ATACTATAATATTATAATTCTTACTTCTAAATAATAATAACTTTACTAACCTTATATAAATAGCATTTTATACTTATATAATAATATTATATATTACTAATAAATTAATAATAAAAGAAATATTAATTAATTTAATAATTAGAATAAATTATATAAGCTTATAATAATAAACGAGAAGTTTTATATATTAGCTCTATTATATAATATTATTATTTTCTATTTAATTTTTATAAAGCCTTTTTATATAGGAAATATTAAAGTTATTATTAATAATTTCAAATCTAATTCTATTTCTAAATTTTATAATAAAACTAAATATAATATAAATATAATAAAAAATACTTTTATGAAATCTCTAATATTAAAGTATTTTTATAAAATAATAATTCTTATTAAATTAAAATTATTAGCTTTTTAAAAAAAAGTATATTTGAGATTGTTTTTAGTTACTAGTTTATTAATAAGATTAAAAATAAAAATATAAAGAAAAAACTTAAAAAATCGAGACTAGTTATTTAAGTAAATAATAATAATAAGAAATATATAATATTAATATAATTACTAATTATTTAATATATTAGTTAAAGGATTATTCTTTATATTATTACTATAATTATAAAAATTATAGAATTATATTTATAAAATATATTATAATTTTTATATTAAATTATTTTATAAACTTATTAAATAGCTAAATCTAAATAATAATTCGGTTTTAAAAATTATAAAACTATTATATAATATAATAAAAGCTAGAAATTATTAGATTAAAATTTACTATTTTTATTATATTAATAAATTCTTTATAAAATAGTTAATTTATAACTTTTGCCTTTTTTATAATAAATAATTATTTGAAATTATTAGTCTTTAAACTAATATTACTTTATTAATTAGAAATAATAATTTTATAAAAGCAAAATAATTAAGGCTTTAAAAAACTAAGTTTTTAGCTAAAAAAAAAATATAAATGCCTTATTTTTAATTATAATTTCAAGTTTAATAAAGGTATTATTTATATAAAAACTACTAGAATTATTTTTATATAAAAATACTAATATAAAAATCTTAAAACTCTATTAATTAAAAATATTATTATTATAAATAATAAAAGTATTATATATTAAAATCTTTTTATTAAAAATTAATATATTATCTAATATATTAAAGAAATTTATATTATATTAGTTTATTAATTAAAAACTTTATATAATTTATTAATTATTATTTAAGCTATTAAATTCTTAAAAATTAATATTAGATTAGATTAAGAAATTAATATATATTTTAAAAAAATACTATTTTTTATATTTTTAGAAATTATATATATAATTATATAATCTTATATTCTATTAATAATTTAACCAATAGCTAGTTTCTATTAGACTAATGAATTTATGAATTATATATTAATATTATAATATTATAATTCCTATTTCTATATATTAATTACTTTACTAATTTATATATTAAAAATTTTATATATATATTTCTAATAAGCTAATGATTTTTATTCGGATTTATTATTTAAATATATTCTAATTATAAATATAAAAATAGAATAACTAGTTTTTCTTTTATTATATTTTATTTATAATTTGAAAAAATAAGTATTTTTTTTAATTAAATATTAAATTAAAAGAATATATGCTCTAAAATTTACTTATAATTCTTATTAAAAAACGCGTTTTACAATTATATATTAGGCCTAATTTATTATTTAATTTATATATAAAGATTTCGAAAATAAATATATTTTTATTTAATTTTATTAGAATTAGAAAAATATTCTAAAAGTATTTCTATTATTTATATATTATAATAGTTAATTACTATTATATTTTTAATAAGGCCTTTAAATAATACTTTGAAAATAATAATAATTTAGTAATTAATATTATAAGAATATATTATATTAAAAAAGCTTTTTTTTATAAAAATTAGTATTTTATAAATATAATAAAAAAAGAAATTTCTAAGAACTTTATAATATATAAAATAATAGTAAAAGATCTTAAATAAAATATTAAAAAAAGCTAATTTAGTAATATTATTATAAGTAATAAAAAGCTAATTTAAATTATAATTATTTATTTAAAAGTTATAAATTCTTTTTTAAAACTAATAATATATCTAATATAATTAAACTAAATCTTTTTTAAAATTACTTCTTTTAGTTAATTAGTTTAATATTTTAATATAAAATTATAAAATAAAGTTAATTATATATATAACTCGAATTATATATTAAAAAAATATTAAAATATTTTAGAAAAGCTTTATAATATAAAAGAAAAAAATATTCTAAATATAAATAAATTATAAGCTTATATTAGTTATTTTATTAATAAATATATATTTATAAAAATAAAAATAAAAAGATATATATAATAAGTCCTAAAAATAATAAATTAGTTATAATAATTAAAACTATTTATATAAATAAACATAATTATTTCTAAAAAGAAAATTATAAATAATTAGATATTAGAAAATCTAATTAATATAAAATATATTAAATATATTTTTACTAAATATAAAAAAAAACATAATTATAAAGTACTTTAAATATTTAATTAAGGATTTAAAAGCCAGTTTAAATAAGTTTCAAAAAAATACCTTTTTCTTAATAAATATAAATCTGATATTTATAAATCTTTTTAATTAAAGAATAATAAATATAATAAATTAAAATCCGATCTATATACTTAGCTAAAAGCTTTTAGTAGATTATATAATAAAAGCTAAAGCTTTTATTATATAATATACTTTCTTGAATTACTAAAATTATTATATATTATTTAAAAAGCTCGAATATTTTAAGATATATAATTTGATTTCTTTCGTTTTTCTTTCGTTTTTTCTTTTCTTTTCTTCTTAAAGAATTCTATTTAGTTAATCGAATTACTAGTCTTTTTTATATAAAGGCCTGGCCCGTAATATTAAGCTTTTCTAATTTCTTCTTTATTTAATATATATCCTTTAATTATTTAGTATTAATATATTTCGCTTTTAAAAATATTTTTATAAAATAGTAATTTATCTAGCTCTTTAATCTCTCGATTTTAAATATGTAATTATTTTCTTTTTTTCGTGATTTTATCTTTATTTATATATAAATAATATAAAAGTATATAATTAAAAATACTTTTAAAAGTTCTAATATATAATTTATAAATTATTTAAAAAATATAATTATATAAAAAGAAAAAAGAATTAATTAAAGAAATTAAAATAAAAAATAGCCTAGATTATTCTTTTTATTATTTATTTGTTTTAATAAAATGAAAACTATAACTATAATTCTTTATATATTTATAAATTATAATTTTATAAAGTTTTTAAATAATTTAAAAGAAATTTAAAGAATTATTATTAAGAAAATTAATATATAATTATAAAAGAATTATCTTTAAATAATAAAATATTAGACTTTTTAAATAAAGCTTTATAAGAAATATAATTAAAAGATAAAGTTTTATAAGAGCTTGTATAAGAAATGTCTATTTATAAATATAATAAAGCTTTATATTAAGATTTAAAAAAAGAAAAAGAATAATAAAAAGGCTTTTTATAAAACTAAAAAAAGGCTTATTACTTTTATTAATTTAGCTAAAAAAATTATCTTAAAAATACCGGTATTTAAGCTTATAAAAATAAAAAAGCTAAATTATATAAAAGTTATAAAATATTAATTAAAAAATAAGCTAGTTTCAATAAAAAATATAATACTAATTGCGAATTTAATAAAAATCCTATAATTATTAAATAAGCTTATTATAAAAAGAACTTTTGTTTTAATTTATAGCTTATAATTTACTAGCTTATAATATCTCTTAATAATTTAGTTTCTAATTAGTTAGAGATTTTAAATGCCTTTATTAATAAGAATAAAAATATAGTAATTAATATTATAAAATAAAAGCATTAAAAAAGAAAATATATAAATATATAAATATATAAAATTCTAGTTTATTTTCTTTTAATTATTAAAACTTGATAAATATTAAAAGTAATATAAACTCAATTTATAATATATAAGTAAATACTAATTTTATATAATTCTAGATAGCTTTAATTTCTATATAACTTTTATTTTTAATTCTATTATAAATATACTTAATATTATATATAATATTTATTCAAAATCAAGTATTAAATAAATCTCGATAAGATATTTAATTAAATGAGATACTTACTTTTTTCTATTATAAGTAAAGTATAATAAGAAATAAACCGGCTATTAATAACTAGAGACTTTATAAGTTAAAGATATTATAAAACTTAAAGCTTACTTTATATAATTAATTTTCAAAAGAATTAAATATTTATTTATACCAGAAATATATACTAAATGTTTGCTTTATTACTAAAAAAGGCTTTAATATTTTGTATTATATAATATCTCTAAGGCATGGTTTTGGATTTATTAATTACTAAAAATAAGTATATTTAGGCAAGTTATTGCAATTAGTACTATGTTTGCAAATTTGTTAGTTATAATAATTCAGTTATTTAAGACCCCCCCACGAACTCTTCAGCCTTCGTTCGTGAAAAGAATAAAGCAGTATTATTCCTTGCCGTCGCAGAATCCGGGCAGATTAACGTGAGCTAGCTACGGCCCAAGCCCTCAGGGAGAAGAACCCCAATATCGAAATTGATTTTGCGTCTTTTTCAAAAGTGGAACAGAAAGTGGCAAGAGTCTCGTCAATCCGACTCAAGAAAATCCCATTCGCCACGAGGATAGTGTTCCACAATACCCTTGCCCAGACCGTGTCGAGGCTGTGGAGAGAGATGAATTGTGTCGACTTTATTAAGTGCTTTGCGCACCCACCAAAAAGGCGGGGTGTCGGCGTTCTTGCAAAGCGGATGGAATTGGGATTGCGGTTATAATGAGTGGCGGCAAATTTACTGGCAAGAGCCAGGGCTCTCGGGCTGTTTTCCCGATGGATTTTGGGGCTGGCCATGGCCGGAATCACCACAATAAACAGTTGAAGACTCGCGTCAATACGAATTAAGTTCAAATCTCAGTACAAAAACCCTTCATACCCTTCATCAATATTATGAAAATACCAAGTGACATTTCTCCCCAGCCCCTTTCTCACGCTGAGCTCGTTCTTCAAGTACGCAAACCTATTCGAAGGGTACAGGTACGTCCGCTTCCAATCTTCGTACCTTGGCTGTGTTATCATATGAAACTAGTGGATTCTACTTCCTGGATTCAATGCGCTGACAGGTCCATCTACCTTCCCATTCTTAAACTAGAACGACACTTACGACTCCGCGCCATCCAAGTGTGGAACACATCAGCGTGGAGAGTGAATTCTTGAATCGCGGAAAGTTTTAGAGAAAGAGATCTGGTCGACTCGGTTTGGCATTTGTATATCAATTTGAGGATGTATTTCGTTACATACTCGATGGTCGGAAGCGTTGAGCCATTGTCACGGCCTGGACAAGCTGTGGAAGTGGAATGTGGTGTGTTTTGGTATGTTTGTAATGAATGATCGTGCCCTAATAGCGGTGAAGAAGCTATATATATGCCTGTGCGCAGCACGTGACAGCCATGACCGACAGGTGAATTGGGGCCATGAACACTGCTCATTATCAGCGATCGGGGTTGATCCTGCACATTATCGCTTGTCCGCACTTACTGAAGTAATTTGGCATATTCTCCGGTGTAGCAGACCAATATGCAGTCGCTCTCTCTTTCCACTATCCACGGAGGTTCGCACCGTTCTGGTCAATGAGTGCGAATTGAGGGCAAAATGAGAGATCGAACCCAGTGACACATATGAAGACGTCTATTTTGATGAGCTCTCCGACGGCAGTGACAATACCTTCTGGCACAACTTCAGCGATTCCATAGGTCACAGCTCGGACGTTGCCCTTGGTGAGAGGCTCCAAGTATCCATTCCCAGGCGTTGGGCGTCGACAGCCAACTGCGAACTTCGGTATGATGAACTCTGCGAGAGGGCTATTGGATCGAAGTTTGGTCTTCATGTCGTTTGTCGAGAATCCTCTGGCCGCTTCTTGCTCGGGGGTGCCTTTGTGGAGCTAAAGGTCTATCAGAACTTGCAAACTTTCACTTCTAGTAAGGGGCACAAAGCTTACTATTTTAAATCGGCTGCACACCTCCTTCTCGACATCCTTTTGGTATGCCAAATACTTCTCTGGATTTTGCTTGAATTCTTGCTTCTGCTCTGGCATGACTGCGTTTCTGTCAGAGATTGAAGAAAATAGTATTAGATCTCCACTTACATTGGAAATATGTTCCTCCTGGTCCGGCTTTGCTTTGAGCAGCTCTTGCTGTCACCAATTTGGATATCGTATAAAGTTGTAAGGTTGTTGACTCGAAGTTGAGTGGAAGGCACAATTTGAATGGCTAGGACCCGCTTCCAAGCACCCCAACTATCTTGCCAGACAGATCGGTTTCTGGATTTTCATGCTGCACTGTGCATCAATTCCCCTTCAAAAGACTTGAGCCAAGGAATCGAGGGCCATTTCCAACTACTGGATGTTCCGTCAGCAAAGCACGGCAGAGAGGGAAGTGAGGCAGCTACTTCAAAAATCCAGATGCATTTATGAAGAAAAGAAATCAGTCCTCAAACTGCTCTCCTGTTTCTACGTTGTTTATCCTTGTGTTCCAGATGTCACTCTGCTCGTCCCAGATCGCGGAGGATATGCGATTTCGGAATTTGACATATTTCCTGAGGTCGTATTTATCCGCCACATCTTGGAAGTAAAGGAGAATTTCGGGACCGGACGGAGGTTGAAGCAAAGTGGGTTCAATATTGAAGTAATTTGAATTGTTAGGGGTGATGTTTGCAGAGAGATCTCTGAGAGAGCTCCTTATCGTTTCGTAAAGGCAGGGTAACGAACTGCTGATTGATTTTTTAAAGCTAAGCCGATGGCCCGATGGTGAGCAGTATTTTCTAAGCTACCACGTTGGTCAGCGAGCAACTTATTAAAGGGAACTGAGTCCTACTGTGGTAGCAGCTTGTTGGGAGCAATTTGCCCGGGTGCTGTAACGCTCCGCCGCTCTATCGCGTTTACTATTCCCATCGATATAACGAACTCTTGCTGCTTCCGTGAAGGTGGTGCTCTCTGTATTTCGACCAAGGGTCATAATTTGTAATTTCGGGTAAACAAGGTTGTTTATTTGCCGCATCAGTGCACGCTTACGATGACTTGACACCACTATCAAGTCATATTCATTGTACCAAATTGGTAAACTTAATCAAACAGACTTTTCTAGATCTAGAACAAGACTTACTCCAAGAAACAAGACCCGCCGCAATTTCAGCAAGGCAAGCCGTCACATGGCCTTAAGTAGCAAGGCACAGACAGGCCACCTCAACTTCATTCGGTCCCACCTTGAAAGGCTACGGTTCGCTGGCCGCAACAGGAAGTCCGCAAATAGATCGCACCTCTGCAACAGCAAAATCGCGATATGGGGACCCCACCATAATGATTTATCTGCGGAGTGTTGGGGTCGGAGAAGCCACTTTGGGTTTAGTAAAGTCTTTGACGACCAATCATGCATCACGCTCCTTGCGGGTGGCTTGTGGCGTTTCATTTTTCTACGTCGCTTCTCTTAAACCGCTGTCAGTCAACACACGAGGCCTAGTGTAGCACCCCGCAACCATTTCTCTAGGCGGGTACCTAGACCACATTAGAACCTCCGCCTTCACTACAGAATGTGGAGGCCAACTGATTCCCCGCCGCTTCAAACGCCGGGTCCCCAGACCATGGGATCCCATATAAAGCCAGATTGGTTTCCGGATTCTAGGTTTCTTTGAACATATTCATCAATACTATCTGTCAGGAAATACGATCATTGCCTTGAATCTACAGTTTTAACTGTCCAAGCCCCTCTTCGTCTAACAGACCCTTTCCCTCGCCACCATGCCTGGAGGCGGAGTCATCAGTATTGGGAGCGCGGACCCAAATCGCATTGAAGCTCCTATGACCCTCAAAGCCTATTTCATCTGCGCCTTTGCTGCTTTTGGGGGCATATTCTTCGGTTACGACTCTGGCTATGTCAATGGTGTTATGGGCATGCCATACTTCATCCATGAGTTCGCGAATCTTCCGTACCCTGAGGCTGGTGCCTCGGCAGACTACTTTATTATTCCTTCTTGGCGCCAGTCACTGATAGTGTCCATCCTGTCCGCTGGCACCTTCATTGGAGCTGTTGTATCTGGGGATTTGGCTGATTACCTCGGCCGCCGGACCACAATTCTCATGGGCTGTGGCATCTTCAGCGTTGGAGTCGTTCTTCAAGTCGCTTCTTCCGCATACTCGCTATTGATTGCAGGCCGTCTCATCGCTGGACTCGGAGTAGGATTTGTGTCCGCGATCATTATTCTCTACATGTCGGAGATTGCCCCCCGTAAATACCGTGGAACCATCGTCTCAGCTTACCAATTTTGTATCACGGTCGGAATTCTCCTCGCAAGCTGCGTTGTGTACGCCACACAAAACAAAAGGGACTCGAGTGCGTATCGAATCCCTATTGCCATCCAATGGATCTGGGCTCTTGTCCTAGGTAAGCATGTATTTCTCCCTTCTGGTGATCTTGTTGGCTAAGTTAAACAGCTTTTGGCTTGGCTTTCCTCCCTGAGTCACCTCGATACTTTGTAAAGAAAGGCCGCTTAGATAGAGCTGCTCAATCACTCTCAAAGATTCGAGGCCAACCAGTCGATTCAGAATACATCCAAGATGAACTTGCCGAAATTGTTGCCAACTATGAGTATGAGAAGCAGGCGATACCTCAAACCGGCTACCTTTCCAGTTGGGCAAACTGCTTTAAGGGCAGCATCTTTGTCCCCAGTTCAAACCTTCGTCGAACACTCCTCGGCACGTCTGCCCAGATGATGCAGCAATGGACCGGTATCAACTTCATCTTCTACTTTGGGACGACTTTTTTCACACAACTTGGCACTATCGACAATCCTTTTCTGATTTCCCTGATTACTACCCTGGTAAATGTATGCTCAACTCCCATCTCCTTTTGGACCGTCGAGCGCTTTGGGCGCAGACCACTATTGATCTTCGGCGCTCTTGGTATGGTGGTATGCCAGTTCATTATCGCCATTGCAGGCACAGTAGATGGAAAGAACCCAACTACGGTTAAGGTTGAGATTGCATTTATTTGCATCTACATCTCCTTTTTCGCATCTACCTGGGGTCCCGGTGCGTGGGTCGTGGTCGGCGAGATGTTCCCTCTACCTATCAGAGCTCGCGGAGTTGCTTTATCTGTCTCATCTAATTGGTTATGGAATTGTGTTATTGCTGTCATCACCCCTTACATGGTTGGTCGCGACAAAGGAGATCTCGGCCCCAAAGTCTTCTTTGTTTGGGGCTCATTGTGCGTGGGATGCTTCTTCTGGGCTTACTTTTTGGTATTCGAGACAAAGGGCTTGTCTCTGGAGCAGGTTGATCGCCTATTGGAGGAGTCTACTCCTAGGAAGTCTTCAAAGTGGGCCCCATCTACGACATATGCCAATGATATGGAGATCGGAATCAAGGATGGGCACATGGAGAAGCTTGGACATGTCGAGAATAAGGAGGTGGTTTAATGTTGGACTTGCAAATTGCAATCCCCCGTCGCTAGCAAAAATTTAGGCGAAGTTCTTTCTCAGCAGTAAGGATCGAGATCTATAAACCTTTAGAAGATGCAGGAATAGCATCGTTATTTATATATACTTGGGTTACAGAATGGTTCCTGACTTGCCCTCGTATGAAGAAAGTGTTTTTTTTGCAAGGCTCGGCTCTTATGACTCATGAATAGCTGAAATGAAGGGTTAACTTATATCAATGGTCGTATTGCATGGCATACTATATTGATATTCGTGATGGATCGGGAATCCCCCCACCTCCCAAACCACAGCGAGCGGGCTTCCTAAATCAGCCCGGCCTGACTGTTGCGGATGTTGTAATAAAAAGACAAGCGGGTATATTGAAACCCCAGGTGAGTGCAAGCAGAGTCAAAGAAAAGTGAGGGAGTATAAAAGGCGAAATCGCTGTATATCAGATGAACATGATGCAGTAAATATTACAACATGGGACTATTTTGGCGCACCAGAACCCCTAACAGGGGCGGGGAGGTTCGGCAGTGAGATATTTCGTATTATATGAACCTTGCAGTTAGACAAAGAAAGTTCGGGAAACATTGAAAATGAAGACCAGGTAGCAAACATCAAAAATGTGTTTGCTGATCGTATATTGAAACACAAGTCTACATTGCAGAAAATAAAATAGACGAAGCTTTAGAAGCTGTGCCGACTCAATTATGAGTTCTTGCCCGGGTTTGAACAGCAATACTTCGTTGATATGCTAAATTGACTTCTTGCCTTTTTCAGTACATTGATCCGATAAAGCAATTTTAATAACCTAGGATTTTGTTCACCTCCCGCGCAAGCCCCCCTTGCCTCTCGCTCTGGCCATCAATTTTCAGGGGACTCAAACCCATAGCGAGCCTGCCAGATTCGCCTATGACATCTTCGCTTTTTGCTCTGTCAGTAAATTCAGATTCTCCAGCACCACCTGGGAAATCGGGCGGAGGGACTCCTTTCAAGAAAGAGTCCCGCTGCTGCGCTATATATTGCTGCATATGTCAGGTCAAAATCTTAAGTAGTACAGACTAATTATCTTACCGCATTATTGGGAGTCAGCGGAACTGATGGAATATAGAAAACGCAAGCGTCAACATTTCCTGTGTTCTCGCTCTCCGTACCATGAATACTGTCCGCGCTCCAGAAAACTAAGGAAATTAGCGCGATTCTGCTTTAGCGTGATAGATCCTTACCAGTATCACCCGGTTCAACAGTAGGATATGGTATCATAGTTTCGCTTAGCAACAAGTGAGGGTGGTAATCAGGGTTGTGCTCTTGAGCAGTTCCAGGGTTTGCCCCGTGGAGGAAGACGTTACCGTCATCATCGTCAAGAGAGAACTTCCATCCATTCAACGAGCCCTTCTGAGTAGGTTTGAAAAATGGTCTGAGCATCCAGTAAGCGGTGGACGGCTGCAGTATAGGGTGAACAACAAGAGTCCCTGGTTTCATCAGCAACAATCGATGCGTACACCTATTACTAACTCACCTTGATTGGGTCCATGACGAGACAATCCCAGCCAGCCTTGAAATGTTCGGAACACAGAGCAACCTCCTGGCCCGTTGTACATGTTCATATTGGCATCAAGCCGACCGGACAGATCCCACGGGTCGTACTCTTGCCACTTTACATATTTAGTCATATTTTCAATATCGTTATGTGAAATGCTTCCTCTTACCTTTCCCTGGAAGATCTTACGATAAACATGATTGTAGACTTTGTCCTCCCACCTTTCAATACCTCCACCGTCCACATGGGGGGAGAGCGCGAATTGTTTGTCGCCTGATGGACGAATTTGAACTCGGTCACAATAAGAGAGCGGAACTGTTAGATCAACTGCCATGGTTAAGTCAGCTTTAGTGGAAGAGGGTTTTGAAGATGTGGCACAAACTTCTCTGGTTAGCATCAGCGGTGTACAGCTGGTTCATCCACGACTGTGTGGTAAGCATGTTCGGATGCGACCTCGCCTTGACCTGAGATGGACTCCAGTAAGACTCGTAGACAACCTGATTCAGGTCAGCACCCAGCTGGATAGAACACAAACTGCCGATTTACCTTTTCGTCTGTGTTCGAGGGGAAACCCTTGAATGTGTGTGCGGAAAGATATTGGCGAACGTCAGAAAGAAGAGTTTCAGTAACATTTTTCGGCATGACCCCTCTAATAACAGCAACACCAGTTCGTCGAACAGCATCGACGATAGCTGAAGGTACAGCGCCGTTTTGAATGTCCGAAAATTTAATCTGAGGAATTATCTATTTTATTTAGAACCACGTTCTACTTTAATGCGAGGAGAGTTTAGAACAAACAAAATTTGGATTAACGTACAGATTCTCGCTTGGTAGCAACTTCTTCGGTCCGGACTTCTAGAACCTCAACCAAATTATCCCACGATCTTTGAATTTGCTCCTCGAATCCGACAGTGAGCCTATGTTTCAGGTCTCGAAATCGTTCTGGCAGAGGTTCGGCCTTTCGACCAGAAAAAGATGTAAAAACGGACGATATATCTCCTTCCTGTTTATCTTTTCGGGTGAGAGGTGCGGCCTCAGTAGCCAAGCGCCGCTTGGCTGGCATAATGGCAGGGTTTCCCGAGCATTTTCCGGCACGAAAAGTTGGGCACTTGAAGCATTTCGATCCCATAGCCCTGTTCATAATGAGACTCATTACGACTTTGCTTTGTTGTATAGGGCAGTCTTGTGAGGCGTGAGGTTTGATTGAGCAGCACGCCTTAAGCAATAAGGTGCCATTTTCGACCTTTATAATCACCTCCGCTGCCTTGGGTGGCTTTTGTCTGGCAAGCTCTTCAACGCAGCTGGCCAGCACGCCGATGGCGTATCGCTCCCTGGCGGACTAGCCACCATATCCAGGTATAGTTACACCTTCTCTAGTTTAGATTGGTCTTTAGTTGTCTCGAGAGCAGCGCATAACCCGAGTGAGTATGTCCGCGGCGGTGCTACCGGACAGAGAAACATTGACATTGGTTGTGTGGGGACTAGGAATGACCTAAGCGAGGATCTCCAAAGCGGTGCTACCGAAAACAGAAACATCAGCTTGAATATCTCCGGAGCGGTGCTACCGAAAGAGAAGTCCGTCTGTCACCTATCGCCTGCAGCCGCCCGTATAGTACACTCATCGCCATGAAAATCACCATCATGCAGGGTGTTCAACAGGCACCCATAATCAATGAGAGGACAGTGGCAGCGAGGAAAAGGAGGTGGTGGTTGATCAGCCGGGCTTAAACGAGCCAATGAAGCGGAAAGGCTTTGCTGAGCGATCGTGTGATGAATCATACTAAAAAATCAGCCGCCAGACCTTCATTTCCCCCTCCATGGTAAAAAAAAAAGCCCTGAGAGTAGCGCTTAATATGTAAATACTTAAAACCACGTGATACCACTCTCCTTTCCGCTTTCTTGACCTGCACAAAAGCAACATTTTCGCTAACCTCTACAACCTCTAAGACCTGATGTCTTTGACTCGCTGAGAACTTAATAACATTCCTCGGTACTAATCATATAAGACACCCAATCCCCACTTCCAGAGTTTCGTCTAGTAAAGTCTACCTGCAATTCCTGCTACGTTTGTGTATGATTCGCCTACGAGTTCAAAGGTGGAGGATAGTATGACAATTCGACTAACATGGTTTGTTGCTTGGTCTACTCAATTTGTGACCAAGACCTCCATTCCATAAGAGAACTTAAGGCATGGTACTCTGTTTCACCTCCGCTCTTACGGTGTAGGTGGCACGGGTTAGTAACCTCTAGTCAGCTCAATATTCCGTGTAACCTTCCTCACTACTCCCTCCTGAGATGATCAACCCCCTTCTTAAACCTTGTTCTGTTTTCTCGTTATCATAGTGAGATTAAGAATCTGAGGTCAGCTTGAAGTTCCTCCCCATGGGGGGAGCACCTTACGGCGTATCTACAATTACTGGTTGGTTTCCATACGATGCTATTTGAGGGTTCTTAATATCCGTACAGCAATGTTACAGTCACTGGCCAGTCCCATGTCTCGTAAATATCAACCTGACATCCCAAATCCTTGGGGAAACTTATGAACGTACTGAAAATAGACGAACACTGGCCACTTCGCAATCCTCTTCTCTTCCATGGCCGGATCTTGTGGTATGGCTACTATCACTGGACATCCCATAATACTCATCTCGTCTATGATAAAAACGCACGCTCTGGAGTTGTGGCGGGGCCCAGCGTACAAGTTCGTCTCATTACTGCAGCTTGAGACGGAGGGGAAAGTATACAAGAGACTGTTTCCCCTCTCCAAGACAACTTCAGAATCGCACTTCAGCTTCTTTAGGCATAACGAGCGATACACATTCTAGTCAACCTTTTGGAGAAGTTCTTCTTTAAGAAAATTCAGTCCTTGGCATCAATATCAACATGAAGTCATCTGTCCTCATGCTCATCTTCTACAACGCTCTAGCTCTTGCATTAGCTGCTCCCTCCCCAGACACAGGTAAAATCCCGCCAGGCCCTCGTTCCGTTTTCCCCTTCCCCCTTCCCCGTGCCCTTAATACCGGTATCCAAGCATTCGTGAGTTTATCTGCTAAAAAAAGACCAATCCATTTCAAACAGGCTGAACCGAGTTCGAGAAGAACCGAAAGCGTCACAAACTGCGAGTTGTGCTGCAATAATGTTGAAGCCTGCAACTACTGCAGCCATTCGAACCGCGTTTCCAATTTCTGTGGTGATGGAGAGATTAGCTGTTGCTTTGGTAGGTATTTGTGGACCCATTGAAGGAATAGAAACGGGATTGGGATAAATGATGCTGACAGGTGTGGTGTGTATAGTTTGCCAGAATCGGTGTGGATGCGTGGATGAATGTAGAGGGTGAGTGTGGGCCGAGATCTCAGATGGTTTCTTGGCTGTGGTTCAGGGTTGGGGTTTCGTGAGCTGGCTTTCTGGTATGTGACTGGACTTGACAAATTGTGATTTGAATTCGAGGGTTTCTTTCAAGGGTATTGACATGACGTGCTGATAATTACATGTGCACATGCGTCTATTCTCTTGATCTGGAACTTCTATCTCTATCTCTATTCTATGTCTATATGTGTATCTGGTCCAAATAAATTTTATCTCTGTATCACGTCTAGTGGCTGAAGTCTATTCAACGCTACCTATCCCAAACCCTCTCAGCACCGCGGCCAGCGCCATGCAAAACCCACATTGTGACATTAATGGCTGGCTCTACTCCTGCTCCCGTCTAATGCGCATCCTCATCCCTCCCAGGCCAACAAATCTTCCTCTGCAAAACAGCTCTAACATGACACCCATAAATCAGCACCAAAAGAAAAAACAACACCGCCCCCATCCCGGACCCTACCCCTTGAATCGCCCTACTATCTAAGCGCTCTCCAATCTTGATCGTCGCAACCGTAAACCCCGCATTCGGGAAAACATATGCATACCAATTCATATGGAAATCATTTCTTCCCACTGCTTCAATCGTAGCTACTAATGCTATGGAAAAGAACCAGAAAGCGAGGACCCAGAGGAAGATCGCTGCAATGAGGGCGAGGATCTGCAGGAGGTCGGGGATGAGGGCTTGGTACTGAGGCGAAATGCCGGGAAGGGAGGAGACGTATGTTGAGAAAATCTTGGTGGCGGCGACGTCTTGCGCCATGCCGATGAAGGCGAGGGCAGTGAAGGAGGGGGGTCCGATGGCGATGAACATTGCCGGGCGCGACATGTCGACGGGAAGCCCGGAGGTTAGTAGACGCCCAAAGTAGAGCCCGTACATCATTATTGCGACCATCATGCCGAGGCCTTGGTAGGAGAGTCCGGCGACGAGGATGGGGAGCGCATGTTTGGCTGGTTGGGTTTTGGCGATTGCTGAGGCGAGCGTGCCGACTAACATGGCGGGGAAAATGGGGAGGACCCAGCCGGGGAGGACGTTGATGAGGACGAGCTTTTTAACGGTGAAGAGGATGTGGTAATAGAAGATTGCTAGGAGGGTCGCGCAGATGGTGTAGACCCAGAAGGCGCAGCGGAGGGCAGTGATAATCCAGGGGCCAGTATTAGAGATCCCGTATGCGGTAGTGTTGGTGATCATTGTGGCGAGGGAGAGCCAGAAGGTTGCGAAAAAGAAGCCCTCGTGAGGGTTGGTGAGAGAGTGTGTGAGGGTTCCTGGATGTAGTATGAAGCGAGAGCATATTGTGATCGTGACACAAGTGAAAAGGAACAGATTTAGAATGAAGATGGCGGTTCCGAGACCAGTAAGTCCGTCGAAGCGGTTAGGAATGACCGAGAGGACAAAAGCTACTCCTCCAGTTGACATGGTCATGGCGTACCATGCGAAGGTGAAATGCTTGAGGCGATCCCTCAGAGAGACGCTCCCTATCACTGCTTCCTCTTTCTCATGGTCTATTGAGGTTGATTGGATCTCGGTGGCTTCCTCTCTGATTTCTCTCCCGAGTATTTTGCTTTCTTTATCGGCAATTTGGTAATTCATCGGCTTCGAGATCTGTGGATAAACCATCATGACAGGTAAAGTCGGGCTCTCAGCAACTATGGGGTCCCGAACTGCAGTCCTGCTGTTGAAGTTGCTGAAAAAACCTGGAACTTCGCTGAGAGGGGAAATCGAGTGTAGCTTCAATGCTGCCACGAATAGCGGACACTCTACGATTGTCGAGGAGAACAGTCTTGTTGTATTGCACTAGCTCTTCAATGGGACCAGCCTGGTAAAAGAGTGAAATAAAAGATGTTGTTAAGTACAAGAGGAGTCTTCATATCTATGAGCTGTCGGTCAGTTGATCATTGCTAGCTGGGAGGTGGATCTTCATTGCCACGGCCATCTCCAAGCCCTCCTAACCAGCTCAAAACATTTTCCGCAGAGGATTCTCTCTGACGGTCGCACACTGTGGAACCCCTCTCAGGTTTTACAACAGCCAAGTTAGGACGTACGTGTTCAAGAGCCTCAGCAACCCTTCCAAAACATGACAGCCAAGTGATAAGAATCTGAAAAGAGGAACCCGAAGAGGATGCGAGGGTGCCTATTGGTACGGAGAAAGCGAGGGGATGACATGTCATATTTCTCACCATTTCCGCAGCACTCTCAAAATAGGAGAATATCCACTTCCAAGCCTTGGCCGGTCGTGCATGTGGCTGGGCATGAGCCGCGAGGTCCTGCTTGAGGCTGGGCGGCCTTGACCCACGCTACGGACCTTCCAAGAGCGCTTAGAAACACGAAATGAGACGGTGGAATGAATTATGGTGGTGGATCTGCGCCAAAGCTTTTAATACCAAGCGTTTATGGGCACCAGTTCGTGGGGGTTGCTCTGCCGGTAGTTGTCAGTAGTGTGTTTGGCAGGTCTTGGGAAGACTTAGCACTTGACTCCGCCCCGAGACCGGCCAATGTTTTGTTCTGGATCATTGCCATTATGCCCGCCGTTGCCATTAATTGAGAAAACTGTGCTGGAAGCAGAATGTGTGCGTGGATAAATCAATGGTAAAGATATGTTCACAGAGAAGTGAACATCGCTCCGGTCCTGGACACAAAGCAGCACCGGAAAGAAAAGAATTCACCAAGCACCGACTTTGATCCTATAGAAACAATAAGATTTAATTCTAGAATTCCAATTGGGAATGCTGATCTAGGGTTCAATTTGACTACTGATAAAGGAAGGTGAATGCGAAGAAAGCAAGCCAAAGTTGTACATGAGTACAAACGATGAGCAAAGTTGTGAGAAAGTGAGACTGAAGCGACATTGAGGAATTTTGACATCATTGACGTCACTGGTTCCAACTCATTGTGTAAAACTCCATGTCGCTGCCGTGAATCTGCTTGGAAAATGACGAAGCTATTCGCAACAAACCGCTTCATCTGTGGCGGAGACCCACTTTTAACAGCGCTTCTCGCGAGCTGATTGGTCGCCTTGTGAGCTTTGCTTGCATGGGTAGCTCCTTAGCGGCTACCCCACCAACGCGTCTCCCCATCCCTCCTCGAGCATAAAAAGGCCTCTCCTCTCCAACCTTCCTCCATCTCACAACAACTCCATCCATCTTCTTCTTGCTGTCCCATACTGCGCACTCTCACACAATCATCAGAACAACCCACACACACCCTCAATCAATCGGACAGCTTAAGCAACCACGCTATGGCTTCCACCACCATCCACTCCGAGCCTGATCGTGCTTGGATCCCCACCCATTCCCATGACACTGTCTACTCCCCCAAGGTGAGTTGGAGCCGACACCCCTTTGGGCTCTTGGGACTAACATGATGACACCAATAGGGCCCGGCCACTGCCACCACCTTGCCTGCTGGCTTCCCCAAGTCCATTGTCTCTCCAACCGCTTGGACTGGCACTGACTTCGACAACGACCAAAACCAAGAGCGCTACATCTTGGTCCTCAATGAAGGTGATGTCAAGGAGCTCGAGCAAGCCTGCCGCAACTTTGAAGGTATGACTGCGCAAGATCGTCCATGCGCATGGCGCTTTTGATGATCCGACCTCCCTCACCTTCAAGCTCGAACGAATGCTGATAAACTCTCGCACAGGCCTCAACCTCCCCTTTGAGCGTGTTTCTCAAGAGTCGTTCCCTCTCCCGACCTTGGGCAGCAAGTTGAAGGCTTTGGCCAAAGGCCTCGTCAATGGCGTCGGCTTCTTGCTCATTCGCGGCTTGGATCCGAAGCAATTCTCGAATGAGGCAAACCTCGTCATGTATCTCGGTGTCTCGGCATACATTGGTGAGAAGCGCGGTTGTCAAGATGAACTTGGAAACATGCTCCGTACGTACCCCTGCAGCTGCATTGTGCTCTAGCAGCTTCGCCTTTCCCCGCGCACGTTGAGATTGAGAGCTAAGACACTTTTTGCAGTTCACTTGACGGATTTAAGCGCTGAGGCTGGTCCTGACAATGAGCGTCAAGCCCCGTACTCCAATGTCGCACAGGTAAGTGCAGCTTCGTCTCGGTGTCGATATGCGGTGGCAGCAGCATGCTGACCAAACGCTAGCCATTCCATACCGACGCGGCTGACATCCTCGGCTTGCAATGTTTGGGTGAGGCTGAGATTGGCGGAGAGTGCCAGCTTGCATCGACCGCAACCATCTACAACGAGATCGTCAAGACCCGACCCGATATCATCCACCTCTTGTCGGCTTCTTCTTGGGTCTTCGACCGGTAAGCCAGACACCAGCTCCTCCGGCTCCTCCGTGCTCAACCCCGCTGACCGTAACTGCAGTTTTGGCCAATCGCCCCCGTACATGGTTCGCCCGATTCTCTACCCCACGGGTGAGGATAGGGTCATTCTCTCTTTTTCCCGTCGACCCCTCGTTGGCAACGCCACCTCCCCGCGCACTCCCGGTATTCCAGACTTGAGCGCTGCTCAAGTGGAGGCTCTGAACGCAGTTCAATTTGCTGCTGAGGAGCACGCTTTGGCAAAGAAGTTGAAGACTGGCGACATGTTGTTCTGGAACAACATGGCCATGTTGCATGCTAGGAAGGGTTGGACCGACTCTCCCAACAGTCGTCGCCATTTGGTTCGCTTGTGGCTGCGCAATGACGACACCGAGAAGCGCTGGCCCATCCCGGAGGAGCTTCAGGCTGGCACTGCGTGGAATGAAGCCTTCGACCATGCCGGTAGGTCTCAGCTCTGGCCCGTTGCGCCCATCCGAGAGCGCGCATACATTGCCAACCAACAACGCTCTTCTGGCCACGCTTGAGCTTTCACACACACACACAGGTAGGCCTGGTTGAAGGACCATCTATTCGGTGAGGAGTCGACCGTCCGGTCCTGGGTTTACGATCGGCGTCTGGCGCACATGGGGGTTTGCATGGGCATCTGGCGCATCTGGGTTTGCATGGATTTCTTTGACCACCACCGTCACTATCATTCGATAGGGATGTCGGTGAAGCGTTGTCTTCCCGCTTGCATGGCTTTTCCATTCAAGCTCGTTTCTTGCTAGCCAAATTGAGGTTTAGCCACACAAACTGTGCCGGAGGCTCGCGTGCGTTGTGTCGTTTCATTTGTCCAGGGCCGTTAGATTTCGCGGTGGTCGAGTGACACGGCGCCGGGAGGAAAAGCAAGGTGTTCTGTGTGCAAAGCCACTCGCGTCATCGTGAACCTTTCCCTGTTCTCCGCCAAGCGAAGCCACCTGCAGCGCGGCGCAGCCCTCCGCCCTCTCTCTGCTTCAAGTTCTCTTAAATTGTTGGCAAAACCCACCCATTTGCTAGTGCATCTGTAGTGTATCGATCTTCCTCAGAACACGACAGTATGGATCACAACCAGGGATTCATCATCCCGCCATGGGGTACCGGTGATGAGTATTTCAATCCGGACTGGAACCTCTTGCCCGTGTCATACCACGACTTTCCCATCAACCCGCCGGATTATACTGTGGACAGCAATACTCCTGAGGCTTCACCCTCTTCGGACTCACGTTCGGACTCACGTTCAGACACTCCGCTGGAAACTAATCAGAATCCGACATCCAAGAGGAGGCAGAGATCTGAGTCCTCGCAACGGGATGCCCTGGTCCGTCCTCGTAAGACTCGGAAACTGAAAGCTCCTCAAGAAACCGCGAAAGTTCGCAAAAAGGGAGCTTGCTTGATGTGCAAAAGGAAGAGAAAGGAGGTAAGTTTTGTCTGCGAATTACTGATATCTTCCCCTACGTCCAAACTAATGTAAAGATAGTGCCAAGACGGGGATCATCCCGACGGTCCGTGCCGGCCGTGTTTAGAGCGCGCAGACAAGATAACCTTCATCCCTGGGCTGCTTCGTCCACTCTGTTGGCGACCAAATATCGGTGGCACTGAAGTTTTTCGTCGAGGTAGACTTGCCCAAATGATTTGAAGCATTCAAGCTGATATTTGATCTTAGGCCCGACGATCGACTTTGCAGTTTCGTTGCGCGGGAATATGGAAGATGAAGCCCCTGGCAAGCAAGCAATATGGAAGCACTTTGCAGTTCGCCGGGTTGGGAATGAGCCTTCGAAGTTTGTTGAGCTGTCCCAAGGCCTGCCACCAAATCGGCTGAAAATCCGACTTGATCGATATCAACCGAAGGACACAGACAGGCAGTACTACAACTGGTTCAATGGCGGTGTTGAGCAAAAGTACCATACACCTGCATACGGGATTGAAAATCTGAATGTTGCCCTCCAAGGGATCGAGGGCTTCATGCGGGATAACTCAGAGACGTATGTTGAGGCATACCTGAAGGACGCAACTGAGATTACGCGAAAGACATTTCGGACTGCTCAGCAGAACAAGGTTGGTGTCCGGTCTCATCGGGTCGGGGCGTCATAGCATTGCTAACAAGAACCAACAGCATCTCCCCCTCGTCGAAGAAGCATTGAAGCTCTGGGTCGGCTGCCGCTTCATCGAAGAGCCTTGGAGCATCATCGGCTCCGAAACCCTCGACCAATCCACCGACCCCAACCCCGCCTCCCCCTATCACACCAAGATCCCCATCCCGCCCATCGTCGACCTGCAGATTGACCTCATCGTCATCAACGAGATCCTGCAGCCGAAACTCAAGAGGATCCTCAATATGCTGAAGGCGATGCTCGAATCGAGCGATCCGTGGAATAATTGGTTTGAGATATACTTGGCGTATTTTATTCTGCTGCATAATGTTGAGTTGACGATGGCGCATGATGCGTGGTTTGTGAAGCGGAATAATCTCAAGGTAGGCCCACCTCCTCTCCCCTCGTTTCTCCTCCCTTTCTTTCGAACGTGGCTAACTTCTGGCAAGCGCAAGTACTCCAACAAAAACCTCGTCGATACAATCATGGGGGGTGCCACCACCTTGCTCACCTGCTTCCACTACGCGCACCAGGGCTACGCCCCTTTCTCTCAGCCCGAGCTAGAGGCAACGCAGAATTGGACAGAGGAGACGAAGGGTTATTTGAGGGAGGTGAGGCCGCTGGTGCAAGGTGTGGGAGGTGATTGTGTGCAGGAGCCGGCGAGGGAGATGTTTTGGACGAGTCAGCTTATGCATGGTGGGTGGAGGCCGGTTGTGCTTGTTTCTTAGCTTTAGCCTGCGATGGGAGTTTAGAGGGAGCTGGAGGATTTAATGGAGTGTATTTGTAGGGTGTTGGGAGTTAGGATTGAGCTAGGTGTACAGTACTGCTACCCATTTGTTTGAATGCAAGCTGCTCGTTTTCCCGAAGTTCAGCCTTTTGCTGGTGTACAATACAGTACGGTCACAATCGTTCTTCGTTTATCGATGCTCTTTCAAGACTTACGAGGAAGCGTCACCAAATGTCATCAAAACGAAAAATGAAGAGGCAGGTGAAATGTGTTTTAGTATTAATTGCCGGAACACAATTCAAGATATCTTCCACTCGCCCGCCCAGAAAGTTTGAAGCGATCTGCTCAACGGCCACCAACACAACATTGGGACGAATTTGAGATCATGGGAGTCCGGAATAGTCATTTGATCAACCATGTCGATTTTGGTCAATTTATAGAACGCTGCGGAATGATGAGATTAATTCCGTTGAAAGATGCAAGTATAAAGCCCAAGATGGGTCTCGCGGGTTTGCTGCTGTGTTACCCCGCATTTTCGGCCCCCAATACTTTCTTTCGCACCCCGCCTAATCCTTTGTCCAAATCCTCCCCCATCAACCACTATTCTTCTAGATCCGGATAGGTCTATAAATCTTGGACTTTGAATCCACCGGGCTGTAGTCGAGTGAACACCCCCTCTGGATCATACCTCCCCTGAATCTCCATCAACCGCTGACGATTCCTCACTCCATATCCAGCAAAGACATCCTGACCCGCACCGGCATAATTGTGGTAGATATATGGATGATGCAATCCCATCTTCTTGGCTTCCTCTATGCCTCTGTCGAGGATTGTGTGGGCCACTTTATGCATCAAGGCGTCGTCTTCGACGTTCTTCCATTGAAGAGTGTGGCCGATAATCATCAACGGCTCCTCCTCCTCGTGAAGCCCAAGCGGGTTCCCGCCATTCTTGCCAAAGTGGCGCACGATCTCTAGGGTGATAGGCTGGAAGTTCAGTCCTATGCCGCCGCCCTTCACGGATCGAACCAGACCGATCTCTGCTAGAAAAATATCGTAGATCCGAGATATCAAAGTGGCGTTGAGTCGGGACGTGGATGTGATCCAAAGACTCCTATCCAACAATCAGTACAGTTTGGAATTGTGTTTCAGGGTGATTGAAGGAGAAGAATGGTTGATGGGGAGGAGGAATAGATACCGAGTGCCAGGCTTGTTGTAAGAGGTATCCTCAAGAGCAAATTCGTTTAAGCCTCCACTACGAACTGAGGAGTAAATCTTAGGCAGCGCGCTGAAATTCTTGTAGACTTCTGGACCGCCGGTTTCCTTGGTGTACTGCGTAACGCTGCAGCCCAGATACAGGTTCACGTCAGCGGCGTACACAAACGCCATGATCATGTGTGCATAAGGATCATTCTCCAAGGCGAGGCTGGAATTTTGGAATGTCTCGAAAAGGGTGTCGACGGGGACACAGTAGCCTAGCAAGCATGCTGTCCGCCAGATTAAGCTGACCGTTTTGTCGATGACGGATTGGAGAGTGTATGATGCGGAGGGAGGGCTGAGATTCAGGAGAGCGCGCCGAGAAGAGACGTCGGCGTGAGACATGAGGTGGAAATTGAATCCTCCCCAGGCTGGGCCTTGGGGGTAGGTTTCTAGGTCGAAGCGAGTTACTATGCCGAAGTTGCTGCCACCTCCTCGGAGGGCCCAGAAGAGATCGGGCGATGATTCGCGGTTGATGTTTGCGACAGTGCCGTTTGCTAGAACAACCTATTGCCAGAATGAGTTGTGCGTCCAGCCTGGTAGCGGAGAGTAAGTGGCATACCTCAAAGTTCTTGACGTTGTCGATGGCCCACCCGTATCGTCTTGAGATGTATGAGATGCCTCCTATTGCCCCGGATAATCAGTTGATTTTCCTGTTGGAAAGACGCGGGGTGAGCTAACCACCAAGAATAAACCCCCCGACCCCAACATCAGCGCTCCTCCCTCCAACAGGAGATATACTGAGCGGCAACAAGACCCCATAAACATCCCTCCACCTCGCTCCAGTTCCGACCCTCACAATCCCTTGATTCCCCTCACTTTCAACCCCACTCTCTAATAACTCAACCTCGTTAAAACCCCCTAAATCAATACTCACCCCGCCATCTGCATTGCTCCAGCCAGCAGGAGTCCCGTGACCTCCTGATCTGACAGCGAATTGGCAACCATACGACTTGATGATTCCCAACCCGGTCGAAAGATCTTGGGGTGAAGAGGGCGTAAATATGCAAGCCGGGATTAGTTCTTGCTGTTGTTTTGCGTAGAATTTTGAAGCGTGGGATGGAGGTTGAGGGCTGAGGTGAACGAGAGAGCCGAGAGAGGACTGGAGAGCTGCGCACTGAGAGTTGTCAGGCGATGGCAGAGACGCAATGAAGTAGAGAACGTACTGCGTTGTGGCATGCGGAATCTGTGGTTTCGTGGAGGACGGCTTGGTCATTGGAGGTGGCATAGTTTGAGCCAAGCAGCAGGAAGAGGGGTAAACTTGCGAGATGCATCGTGAGAAGTCCAGTCTAGGAACCGAGGAGCGAAACGCGGGCTATTGGAGATAGGGCAAACTCATTTCAAAGTGGCCTGTACAGGCCTAATAGATGTTTAAGATATGAGCGAGGTCGTTATCATTGCGCGATAACCGGACAGATAGTTAGCGCTTACTTGACAATCAATATCCCTGGGGTTTGACTTGACTCAGATTCGCGTATTTGTCAGGGGCCTGAAGGCACCCCCTTGTTCGCCAAGCCAGCTTCCCCAGTGCTGCAGTAGGGCTTCGACCTCGGCCACTAAATCGCCTGCCAAATTGCTTCTTCATGGCAGCAGAGTCTTCCCTTTCTTCTAACCCAACCTCTTATTATCACATTTGGATCTCTAATAAGTTTTGGCCTTAGGATAGACAGAAAATGGTGTCCCTGAGCTGCTCGGACTGGACAAGATTGCGACCGACTCCAAGACCAAAGCCGTCTCAAATTCCAGGGCTCGTCGAAGCCATTCTGCTCCAACTATTGCTGCGGGATCTTCTTCGTACCCAGCGCGCCTGTCACCTCTGGAAGGCAACCACCGAGCAATCTTCCATCCTCCAGAGGAAGCTCTTTTTCCAGCCTGTGTCCGACCCAGACCAAAGACCAGAGTTCAACCCTCTACTAGAAGCGGGTTTCTCCCCGCTTTTTCGCTTAAATCAGGAAGAGTGGAAAGCATCAGCTTTCTACGAAGCAGCCGGTTGGTATTATAAGGATAAAGCTCTCCAGCAAGCACTTCTCCGTCCGGAAGCATCTTGGAGTATTTTGACCCCGATATCATTATGCGGAATAAGTAGAAGTCCGAGGAGCGGGGTCTGTGAACGACCGATAAAGAACGTGATTCTGGGAGAGGTGGGGAATGGTGGAACTCTTGCAGCAAGGAAGAGAGTATTTCTACGCTCCAGTGCCTGCGGCGGATTGAGGCTGTGGCCGGAAAGAGAACAGTTGCGAATACCGGGAGTTAGATTGAGAGGAATCAGAGCTGCCGAGACGATTGGTTATTTTTAGGTGTATGAGTGACTGGGAGCGTGTAAAGGTGGTAAAAAGGTAAGTAAGGTTTTGGTTGCACTTTTATAATTTGTTCTCTTCACTCCAATCCCACAGCTCAGCTCTGCACAGCAGAAAATTAGCGTAGACACGCTTTCTCTCGCGTTACCCCAAACGAGAATATCGGACGAGTTGCTATTTCTAAGACCAGGTCACCATTCTTGTCGACATATGTCCGGATCTTTCTCTAACTTCACCTATTCCAGCCATTGTTGGATCCCAGCACTTCGTTAACCCCCTCCTAACAAGGTAACCAAGTCGTGGGGGCTGGATGTGGGGTGATTTGACCCCACTATTTTTAAGGAGAACAAGGAGGATTCGGAAGAATTAGGTCTAGGTTCGGAAGATAGAGGATCGTCGATTGTGCAAGGAGTGAGACTTCATGCAATGGCCAGGGTTGCAGAATTTCCAAGGAATGCACGATGACGATGTGGGGGAGATCGACGTAGTGGGCTTGCACCGGGGAAGGCCGTCAATGCATGTAGGGTTCAGCGCCCCAACTGTCGGGTGCGTTCTCACCGACACAGCCCTACCACCACATTGCGAAGGTTCAGCGTGTCGTGCAGCACTGCAGTAGCTAGATCTCGCACTGTGATACTCAATAAAATAACAAAATATAATTCGCATTCAATTCTTATACTCATTCATAGTCTAATGTAATCAATACATCCTTGCGCAAATTTATGATGTTCTCTCTAAGTTCTTACTCGGTGAGCGAGGGGCTTCGCCTAAAAACTCGCCCCCCGAGCTGCCATCCAGGCAGGCCAGGTCGCACAAATTCTCTCCGCTCAACAATTCTTGGCCCGTTAAGAAGATCACATGAAAAATCACACGTTTTCTTTGTCACTTGACCTAATTGAAGGCCTCTATCTTCTGGAACTCGTACGATATTTTGCCCCCGTTTTCGGTGAGAACTTCACCCTTATGATGCAATGGATTCGGGAAGATGAATGTCAACACAAAAGGAGGTGAGGTTCTCAAACGGTGCCTCTCATACGAGAGGCGAAGGTTGTTGCTTCAACATCGTCAATTCCAAGATGTCTTCATCTTCAAAGTAAGATCTCTACCCTCCAGTCTAGAACTCAGTATTAATTCCGCTTGCAGGACTCTCAGAACACCCTTTACGACCCCGGAAGCCTCACCACCACTTCCACAAGTAAAGCCTAGACAAAAACATGTACCATGTATCCTCGAAGGCATTTCCGCAGTCGGCCAAAGAACAGATCCCCGAAGACCTACCGGAGGGAAATCTGTGACTGTCTTCGGCATCGATCTCTCAGAGTACCTACTAGCTACAAGCAACGACCCGCCGCTAAAGAGATTCCTGAAGGAGGAGAATAGACTCGGAGAAATGTCTTCTTCCCCTTGGGTAGCCAGGAAGAATAAGTTATGACGGATACAAGGATCAATGATGAGGAGGTGACAAGTAGGCTTGGATGGATTGTTCAAATTACGAACCTTGGAGGGCAAGTTTTTGCGGCTTTGTACTCAGTCGCGGGGGAGTCTTTATCTCTCGACGAGTAGTATATGTAATTACCCACCAGTAATGGGATTGGTCAATGATAAATGACTCAACTGCAATGACCTGCCTAGTATAGGTATCTAAATTGAGACAATATGAGCGGAGAAGAAGAAGTTTACACTCGTGCCGTTCCGTAGAGGGGCGAGTTACGTTAATGCCAATCAGCGTTTCAATCATTTGAAGGGTCATTATCTGCACCGAACTCATAACACCTTCGTGTTTTCGATCGAGACCCGAAACGGTACGACAGCATAACTGCAGCAGCCTGAAAGTACATGGGGTTTGCCGAAAACCTAAGAATATTGATTAGATACATGGCAAAATGGAATACACATTCCCATCGGACATCAAGAAGCTGTTTAGTGAATTAATTGATAGTAGGTTGGTCGTGTGGCATTTAGCAGGGTTAACAGGGTAGAATATGCTCAAAATATATTCACAGAGTGTCTCCCGTCTTCTCCCGGCTAAGCCAATCCCACTGCAAGTTGCATCCATCCTTCATGATATGTGAACAGAGTTTCTGAGGCAAGAGGATGTCGTCAATATCTTATATCGGTTGGCTTTAGTAGGCAATATAGACAGGATCATCAGACGCTATTAAAGACTGGTAACAATTGCCCAACAACGTTCGGGTTCCACTTTCCCGCCATAAACCCTCATTTATGCTATCTCGACTCTATGATTCACAACTTTTGCCGTACTTGCAATCACTGGCTGTTCAAGTCGGCGAGGCCTCACTTAAATGGGGCCGGCATTCATATAGCAGAAGGGAGTCCCCTGACTGCTGTTTCTCTTATCGCACGTCCCCTCATTGGTGAGCTGATGGCCGTTGTATTCCTGAGTGTTTCCTCCTTTATCTACCCCAGTGAGTGATTAGTACTACGTCAAGAGCCTGTGATCGGATTAAGTCCAGGAGGAATCCTGCGCAAAGGTTCTGTAAATTGAGAGAGTTGATAGAGTTGTGAATTGAGAAGATCATAATTGCAAGTTAACGGCTGCCATAAAGCGCCAAAGGACTAGTTGAGTCGAGTTGATGAAAGCGCGATACCCCGTCGATCAGAAGCCAAGGAAGATTATTCGCGGTCCCATAGCACCTAATCTTCTCTCGTTTTAGGATCAACTGGACTGTGGAGATGTAAGAAAAGGTATCTTTCTCTCTTTGGTTGCAAGCCCGCTGTAGAGTATGCACGGGGATTGTTGGTGGAGAGACGCTCGCTTCCAACCCCTTTTCATTCGCTTAGCGTCGTAGAACGAACATGATGTACTTGAACCTGTTGGTCAGATGCTCTCCAGTCGTCGATTTAAGCGTATCGGGCGCACTATTGTAGCAATTCGCTTGCGAAATAAGATCATCTCTCTCAGTCAGAAGGAGAACTTCGCATTGCGGTCCGTTCCGAGTCGACCAAATTAGCTGGCACATTGGAATTCGGACTGAGTTACCCTCACCTCTTCCATATGGCGCGGTCCAGATAAGAACCAAACAGATTATATATTCAAGGCGATTTAGTCTTATAAAATCCTTTCCGGTTGAAAGTCATCTTCCTTTCTCAATCACCACCGCCCTACCAATACCATTAAGCATCAACCAGCCAGCGCAGTTAATTCTTCGAGCTTCTTCCAGCACCAGGCATCAAACAATCACAATGCATTCTCCGACGCGAGACCCAGTGAGAGGATATCAGAAGCAGAAAGAGAAGCTGGCACTGATTGGACTGGAATGCATTATCGAGTGGACGAAGAAGACGCTCCTGACAAGATAAGCAAAAGCTAGCCAACTGAACGAAGAGCTAGGCGATATTCACCAATATCTTCGGGCCCTCGAAGATGAAAAGGGGGTGATTCTCGAGGATCTCTCCCAGCAAAGCGCATGGACGAAACCTGAAGGTCAACGACGGACACTGAAGCTCTTGGATCTCAATTCAAAGTAAGCATATCTGACCTTTCTCAATTCTTTTGTCTCTATCGCCAGCACTTCACTTTCAAATTCTTGATCTTAGCCATTTCCTCACCACTGACACTTCGCGGAATTCTTGAATCAAATGTCGCGATTGAAGTGATCAGCGACCAGCTCCTCGCGTCATCTGAGGAGGTCAAGGAGCTGGAAGATTTCGAGGCAGAACTGAAGACCGAGCTTGAGGCTGAAACACGCAAGTGGCATTCACGTTGGCCCGAGCCAGAGGAATGCTCCATGATCTTGAAGATGGAGCTGAGTCGTGGGCAGGCTGAGCTCGAGGCCAACTATCAGCAATTCAAAAAGCAGTTTGCAGAAATGGAACCCTCAAAAGCCGACTGTACTCTTGTCGATGTTCCATCGCCTCCTCTTCGCGGGGATATTCCAAAGAGCAAGGAGAGAGCACGCGAACCCACAAACAAGATCGTTGGAGATTTGATTACATTTGAGAGCCAATTTCAGAATGAGAACATCGCCTGCAGCGATTTTATTCAGAAGGCATGTGTAACTGGTCGGGTTGATCTCATCACAGACTGTCAGGAAGAGGATCTAACGACATGCAGCGATGCAGTGGAGACGGGTAAATTTGACATTCTGGTTGATCTCAATACAGAAATTCCGAGGGATAACCCAGAGAGCAAGGCAACTCCAAAGACACCATGTATATCCGATGATCTGGCTGTACTCGTGACAGACTTCCCAATTCCGACAGAGAACGGCGGAAACAGCGAGGATTCAACAGAGGTACCAACCTTCAGGGATGTTGATGACATAGTCCAAATTATAACGCAAGGTTACGTTCAACTCATTAAGAAAAGAAAAGAGTCTGTCAACAAGGAGCTGAAGGACATGAAGACCGAAGTAGTGGAGGTCAGGAAGGCGAAACTTCAGATGCAGCCACTTTACAACATTGGTCTTGCGATCAGAAAGCGTCAAGTTGAAATCGATTCGGGAAAGGGAAAAGAGGACAAGGACCAAACCGTTATTGCCGACGGGAACTCTGCAGCTCACCACGCACAGGTGTTGGCCGATGCCACCTGGATGATGTCGTCGCCTGAAGAACAGCGCTTCAAGGAGATGTATAACGGAGTCTCGGCGAAAACTGTATTGGAACATAGGGGCCACACCACTTTCCTGGATATCTTGAACTGGAACCTGAATATGAGACAGTTCACACCGACAGGCGGCATCAACAGGACTGTCTTCAATAAACTGTTCCAATTCGTCTTTACAAAATCTGCCCCTCGTTCAAGATCACCGACAAAGATTTTGAGCAGGATAAAAACCTGAGAGATGCTCTTGCTGGTATGAGGAGTCAGCATAGTGTTGCTTATGGGCGAGAGATCCAAACACGCCAGATGAATCGCCGCTTCCGGAAAAATCAACAGGCACGGGCACAGAGAGCAAGCTCAGGAAAATACTGATAGTCTGACATTTGGCGGTGGACGTCTTAATTTGGAGTTCACCCAAGTGATACTTGAGGTGGCCTGACAGGGAAGCAAATCACTGGGAATTAGACTGGTAGGAAGACCAATTATGAAAATAACAAAACGAAGGATGCGTGGTAGTAGCCTACATAATCCTCAGAAATAGAAATGACATTCGGGATGCTGGGCAGACAGAGCAGTGACATGGGGATGAGGAAATAGACAAAGGCTGCGTCTTCCAAACAAATTGAACTCTATATTTCCACTAAAACTACCCTTGGTGCAACCCTTTGAAAGGAACCTGCGGTCTTTTCCTACTCTTCATTTGTGCTCTTTAAAGTAGAATCGACCATCAACACCAGCTCCAACGTCATCGACAGACGCAAAATAGGTCACCAAGGTGCTCCCCATGGTTGCCGAGTAGAGATACATGGGAATTGCAGCAATTGCACAGAGAGCGCTTGCGGCGGTGAAAACTCGCGCTTGCTGCTAGGTAGAGGATCCTGGTTGACGTGCTACGGGGCACTGTAGGACGGATGAAATCGTGGCCGAAATGATTCCTAGAATCATTGCACATAAGAGGAGGCGTTTAAATGTTTTGTGAGTGAGCGCAAGGACGAAATCAAATGGCGGGAGACACGTATAGCTATGCCTAACAATGTAGTCTTCTATGATGCAGGTTTTAGGGAATGTTGGAACGTCGAGTACGTGCATGGCGAAGAAATTACTCGGCAGCTCGACTTAGCTATGTTGGAGCTCGAGAAAGAGCTTAAGGGCTGCAAAGCTTATTGGAGGAGAGGACAATCGTCGATTTCGCATCTTAGAACCTCCGTCGAGTTTGGGATTGTGCTGAATCTGGAACTGAGGACAACCGAGGACAACTTGACAAGGTCGGACAACGTATTTACTCCCACTGAATTAACAAATATAACCTAGGTCAGTGTGCAATACTACTGAAGAATCCCATATCTTAAATACTACATATTACTGTGATATTTTCAGTCGTTGTATACTCTGCACCACCCGCACTTGAACCCAAAGCTTAATGGTGAGGGAGGGCTGGCTCGCCAAATTTCAGGGGTTGTTTCGCGAAACTCAGGGGTCAACAAACACCGCAAGCTGGATTTTTGAAACTAGGCATTCGTGTTCCATCTTAGAAGGGGAAATGCCAGACCTATCAAATATATTATGTTGCAAATCTGTATTTTGAGGCCAATTAGAAGTTTCAACTGTTTGAAACAAAGAAAAGGATTTAAATTGAAATTAAAACGATTCGTGGCATGGCATGAGAAGTGAAATCGTGAGTCTCAAAGCAAAGCAACTTCTCGTTCTAGCGATGACTTTTGCAAACCGCGAAGTTCGTTTCGCACTCGATCGTCATAGGATGATCTTTACCCAACTTGCTCCCTAATCCTTCTGCAGCTTTCTCGTACAATTGCCTTGCTTCAATACATCTCTCCATATCATGGAGAAGGCGTGCCAGATTACATTCACTCGTGAAAACGTCAGGGTGGTCTTCTCCGAAGATCTTGATCCTCCCAGCAAGTGCAGTTCTCTGCAACCCCAAAGCTTCGAGGCGCACGCTCTGCCTCTCGTTCTCCGAAACTTCGAAACTACCTTGTCTCATGACCTCTGAAAGATTATTCATCAATCTCAATGTGAAGGCATTCTCTTCTCCTAGAATCCTTTTTGCCGTTTCTAGAGTGTTCGCAAATAAGGTTTTCGACTCCTCATACTTCTTTTGCTTCATCAACGTGCCAGCGAGATTGTTTTGGCTAGTCAAAGTATCCCTATGTTCCACGCCCAGTGTCTCTCGTCTTTTTCTCAACACCTCCCTGACTATTGGCTCTGCTTCTTCAAATTTACCTTGCCTTAGTAATAAGAGGCCCAGGGTATTCTCGATGTTCAACGTGGTCGGATGAGTGTCGGCATGAAATAACTTTTTCTGCGCGACAAGGGCAAGTCGATTCTGTTCCTCGGCCACAGAATACTTTCCTAACTTCTCCAGTGTGATGGCTAGGTTGATCCTTGAGAGTACAACTTGCTCATGCTCGGAACCAAATTGGCGTTCTCTGGAAGCCAGCAAGCGCCACTGCATCACTTCAGCCTCTGAAAATCGCCCGAGTGCCGAAAGGTTCTTCGACAAGTTGCTCACGATGGTCAGAGTATCAGGGTGTTCGGAACCCTGGACCCTATTGGCGGTCTTTAAAATTTCCTGGTACAACTCTTCCGCCTTGGTGTATTTGCCTTGTTCTTGGTAGAGGGCCGCAAGAATTTGCTGGCTCTGGATGGTGTCAGGGTGGTCATTTCCTCGAACGGAAATGCGGCCCCGAATTGTCTGAGCAAGAAGCTCTTCTGCTTCCGCGTATTTCTCTTGCTCGATGAGAGCAGTTGTGATGTTCGATTCGAATATCAAGGACTCCACATGGGTTTCGTAGTGGATTTCGTTATTGTCTTTTAGACATAGCCGCCACAGGCGTTCTGCCTCTGCATGCTGACCTCTCCAGTAACAGAACCAGGCTTGGAGATTCCTTGCATGTATCAGTTGCGGGTGTCCTGGCTCCACCTCTGATTTCATTTTACCCATGGTGTCTTGCAAGAGTTTTTCGCCGGCGTCGAATTGAGACATCTTACCAAGCATCTCAACTACCCCTAAAGAAAGGCCCACCATCAGATCTTCTTGCTTTGCTGAAAGAGGTGCATTGGAGGCGTAAATCTGCAGTACCCTTTTATAGAGTGCGTAAGCAGCACCAAAATTGCCGCAGTTTCGCTGGTAAGCCGCCATGTTCCTCGTCAACACTGCCCTTGGCCACGCGTCCGGACCTTCGAACTTGATAGCCTTTTCAGCGTGAGGGTTGTACGCACGACACACAGTCCAAAAACTCTGGTCGCCGAATGGGTATCTTTCGGATAATAGTTCAATTGCAGACTGTTGCTGTGTCTCCAATTTCCCTTCGTTCTCGAGGTACTCAACGAAGAAATCCCGAACCAAGCGGTGCATCGAGTAATGGTGATTTCGCACAGCCTTGTGAACCAACGACAATGAATCCAATTTTCTTAGCGATCCGTAGAAATTCCGAGCGTTTTGGCCTTTGCGATCATAGAAGAGAAGGCTCTCGACAACAGATTGGCGGTCTAACACTGCCATAAGTTTGCAGATGCCTATTGCTTGAGGTCTCTCGGACTGCAACTGTCCGAGGGATACCACCAAAGCGCGTGCGACGGAAGTAGAGAAAGTAGATGGAGTAGAACTTAGGTTGTATTGCCGAAATAAGTCAAGATATTCGCTTAAGGTGATGCCGTTGTCCTCCATGTATGCAGCTGCTATTGATATAGCCAACGGTGAGAATTCCAAAGACGTTGTAACCTGTTCCGCAACCCTTGCCTCCCATGGAATGTTTGGGCAATGTTGCTTGAAGATTTGTAACGAATCATTTAGTGTTGGATATAACAGAATAACTTGAGCCTCCTTAGATTTCAATGCATTGGTCAAGTTTTCTTCCAGAGTCTTCGTCTCTCCTCTGAAGGTGCGGAAGAGAATAGTTGACGAGGGAAATGATGTGCCGTCGTTGGATTCTGCGCTCGAAGTTTGGAATTCATTCCCAACGTCGTCAAGAACCAGGACCCAGTCATTTTGCGAGTGCAATCGAAGCCAACTTGCAACACTTTCCGAGATATTGGTCTGGTCGACAATGGAAAGATGCCCGGAAATCTCTCTCAATCGCTCTTCTAGATAAGGCCTTGTCTCCGAACTGATCCAAAGAACGAGGGCATCTGGATGGTCTGTATTATACTTGGAACAGAAGTCAAAGGCCAGCTGTGTCTTGCTATCTTCAACGTCAGATCTGGTGCCCAAACCAGGAAGCAGTTACAGGCTGCCTAGTCCGGCGTGTGAGAGAACCTGGCGAATTAAAGAAAGGCCGGTCATTGAAAGATGAGAGCATTCTGGCAGAAATATAGAGAGCGAAGAAAAATTCGTTCAACCGTACCCAGTACCGCCTTCGCCACAGAGAACAGCGCAACCTTCCGCCGTAAGTTTTCTTTCTAGGTCTGAGAGCAGGCCAGGTCGATGGACACCGGGCTTTCGTCGAATGGGGACTAGAAAGTTTTCCATATTGATCTGGATTTTGTGCTCAAACACGAACATTTAGAGATGTGCGCGACGAGAAGAGGGCAAAAGAGGGGCAAGGCAGGGCCCACATTGAAAAAGAAGCCGAGAAAAAGCAACAAAATTGAGTTCGGGGCGCATCCGAAGCGCGATTGATTGGTCAGGCTCGGCCGTGACCGCTGAATTCGACAAATTGTGGCTTGGTTTTTGATTTTCAGCTCCCAGGACTAGACTTCTCAACGATCAACTTGGTGTGACAGGAAATTCCAAACAAGCCTTCTTTATACTGCCCTCAATCACCACAGAGAACGCAAACGATAAAATACTTCCCGGCACAGGGGCCAAATTGGTCAAGCTTCTCGCAAAAACCTTCAAGAGTAACTTTAAATCCATGAAATGGATCATTTACCGCACGGTGGTCATCCTGTACCTTTGGAAATCCCGTATCTCAGCAAGGAGCCATACAACCATGAAGGAGAGTGGCTAGAATACCCCTCCACTCAAGGATTCAACCTCGATCATCTTCGAGTCAATGCCTTTTATCACTACCCGCCAGATACTGTCGCCGCTTTCCTCCAATCGTGGCTCTTTTTCGGCCTCATCTTCTCCGTTCTTCCCTTCAAACCAGATGTCGATGACTTTCTCAACGATAATGAAAAGGGGAGAAAGTTTATCACAACATCCGAGCTACCGGTCTATTTTGAAAAATGGAAGCGAGGCGTTGAAATGCTTTCTAAGGAAGAGAAACTCTCGCTATGGCGGAAGAATCATTTGGTTCTAGAGGATGCTCACAGGACTATATGTTATATTTCGGGCTGGCCAGAAACCATGCCCTTAACTATGAGCCCGATCCCGCCCGTGAGCAGGGAGATGGCTTTGTCATTCGCCCTCTTGGGTCGGGCTTTAGAGCTTGCCAATAGGGAGATTCTGAATCCCGAGGCACGAGAGGATCGTCTAGGGTGGTCATCCGGTTCACTGCTCCTCGAGCATATGGAAAGCCAGGGCTGGTGTCCGTTTTTGGTTGCCGGCATTGACCACACCTTCGAAATTGATGGAAAATATTACGCCTCGACTATCGGCCCTCCAAGGGTACAGCGGAATCATAGAAGGTGCACAGATGAAATGTGCACGTACAGAAGCAATGGCATCCAACACGTTACGCCCACTTGCCCATGTCTCATGTTCAGCCCCGACATCGACAAAATGAGTGAGATCTTAGCAGAAGACAAGCTACCCCTCCTCCTTTTCGTGACGAACTCGGATGGCAAAGGAGGGGAATTGAAAGTTGTCCCAGGAGAAAGTGGAACCAACTACGTTGCCATGTCTCATGTTTGGAGTGATGGGCTTGGTAACTTTGCTGGTAACAGCATGCCTGCATGCCAGCTTGATCGTATTCAGAAAGCCGTGGATAGCCTATATCATGATGAATTGACCAGCGACGATTCTCAAATCACTTCTGTGCCATTCTGGATGGATACGTTACTCATCCCAAACGATCCCAAGCTCGAAAAGATCAAAGATGCAACAATTGTCAACATGACCCAGATTTACAAGAACGCCAAGGATGTTCTTGTGATAGATTCTGAAGTGGCCACTTGCAGTTTGTTCTCAGATCCACTGAGTGTTCTTCATCGCATTCTGCTATCGAACTGGCTGCGCAGATTATGGACGCTTCAGGAAGGGGTATTTGCAAGTTCAATACACTTCTTGTTATCAGACGGAACAACATCTCTGGGGGCTCTGTTGTATGAAGGTGAAAGTAGGATTGGAGTTGGCATTAAAGCGTGGACGAAGAGCCATTTCACGTACCGATTTGGGCGGGGACTTGGACAAAGTAGCAAGTCCGTCTTGATTGAAGCCAAGGACCCAGACGACAGCCGCGATGAAGATTTGTCGGCTACGCAAATTGTTCTGTCGCCTGAGAAGCAGGCATGGCGTCTGTGGGATAACGAAGGTGCAATAATACGTGTTGTTAGAGCCGTTGCAGATCGAGTATCGACTTTCCAAAGCGACGAGGCTCTATGCCTAGCTTTGCTTCTGGGGATTGACGCCAGGTCAATCATTGCTGCAAAGAACAAACTTAAGGCAAGGGAGGACCTCGAGAAGGCACAGCCAGACAAGTTTAAGTCCTCTGAAGCGCAACAGGAGAGACTCAAACTCGAGAAAGAACCAATGCTGACACTCTTGAGACTGGTCGATGGATCGATTCCCCCAGGCGTATTACTACTTCCAGGGCCTTGGCAGGACGAGTATGGGTTCCGATGGGCGCCTAAATCTTTTCTCAATGGTCCTCACAACTCAAGCACCCTCGACATTTATCCTCTTTCGATACCCCGGGAGGTTCCTAGTAAGGGATCCCTTGACCGGCTTCCAAGTTCTCTCTGCCGTGGGGGTGGCGGATTGAAAGTTGTGTTTCCAGGATTTCGACTTGGAGAAGTGAAAGAAAACTGCTACCTCGAGAAAACATTCGTCATTGATACTCTGCCATCGCTAGATCTTGGTGTCAAGGAAGAGGTTGCTGAAGGAAACCCACCGCGGGTGTGGCAAGTCCTATATAGGGATGACCCAGATGATCCGCCGTGGATTGAAGTCAGACCGAATTGGCAGAATAGCTCGAGTATGGGCATTATAATCTGCTCTTATACGCGACATTGGCAAAACAATGCACTTACCGGATTGATGGTTCGCCTGAAGGGATCAGCCGTCGAAGAAGGGGAGAAATCGATGCATGTTGAAAGGATCTGTAAGGTCATCATTTGGGGAGCACCGGAGTATGATGATCAGTCTTGGGTTAGGGAACCTGAAAAACGTGTCTCGGGGTCATGGCTGCCGGTGACACAGAAATGGTGCGTGGACTAGATGTAGGATACTGGCAGGAGTTGTAGAACCTTTCTGATTGAAGAATTTCACCACGCATTGTTCAGTGGGTTGCTCGGTGAAATTTCAGGAGCTACCTCACTAAATTCAAGCGTCATAGCACAACCCCGAGCACATTCAACGTTCGCTTTCTAAATAGCAGGAAAGTCGATAGTCTTTTGCCCCTAGGAAGAGCTGCACTAGTGTAGCAAGATGGAATTTTACTTTTGATGATTATTCTTGAGGAGCCAATAGAGTGGGCTTTATGATTACAAAGCGGTCTTTCCTAAGGACCCTGAACGGTCGCATCGCCCGCTGCTGACGATACTCCTCGGTGGTGAAGTGAGGCAAGGAACGGCGCACCCTCCGCCTTGATGCATGCCATTCCTAGTTGTAAAGGCTGAAAACCCTGAAATGGGCATTCATCCTCTTCATTGATTCGTTGATCCACACGATCAATTCGTTGCTTGCAAGCGTTGTCGGATAGAACAGCGTTCAAATCAACCTGGTCTAAAGCTGGAACCTCGGCTATTTGACCCCGCATAATAGGGCTTAGGACAGGTAATGCAGCGGATTGCGACGAAGATTGATACAAGTCCACATCTTCTTTTGCGAATGAGAATATCTGCCCCCCACTGCACCCGATACTTGTCCCTCGAGGGTGGATTGGAACAGATACCGATACGCTAAACTGTGCGTTGACAGACACCCCAACTCGCCTATCAGGCGTCAGCTTTGGCAATCTCGACTCCATCCTTGCCTGCTAGTACTACTACCAGCGAGACTTGACATGTATATCCGATTTCTCTTCGATTCTATGGTGGATCTCTTAACATATTAATTGCCAAGTAGACCTGTTTGAACTAAATGGCTTCCTTCGAAGATCGAGTCCAAAAAGCAGTCGATGCCCGTGATATCCCTGGCATTGTTTTACTAGCCAGCGATGTCAATGGTACTCCCTCATACTCTTTCCAAAAGCTCTCAAATCAACCGGACTAATATCTTTCCCTAGGGAATTTCAAATACGAAAAAGCCTTCGGCCCCAAAACCCCTACCGAACCACTGGGCCTAAACGCAACCTTCATCCTCGCCTCCTGCACCAAACTCATGACCACAATCGCCGCCCTACAATGCGTTGAGCGGGGACAAATTGGACTCGATGATCCTGTCTCCGCCATCCTTCCTGAACTGAAAGAGAAAGAAATCATCACTGGATTCAACGAGGATGGCTCGTTAACTTACCGAAAAGCAAAGAATGAAATAACTCTCCGGTAAGTTTTCATTCTTGGTTTCGAAATTTTGGGGTGGGGAGGAACTGAGAAATCCAGGCATCTACTCTCCCACTCCTCCGGCCTCGGATACCACACGATGGACCCGCGGTACCACAAATGGCGCAAAGAGCGAGGCGAAACTTTCTTCATCAAAGGCTGGTCGATCATCCCTCGCATCAACACGCCTCTTCTCTTCGAACCCGGAACAAGCTGGGCATACGGCACTGGTCTTGACTGGGCCGGTATTCTCGTTTCCCGTCTCAACAAGATGAATCTGGAGCAGTATATGCAGAAATATATATGGGCTCCACTGGGGATCAAGAACATCACTTTTCATCAAGAGGATCATGAGGATGTGAGGAAGAACTTGACCAAGATGAGCATTCGAAAAGGACTTGAGAACCCGATGTTCGGTTTCCCGGTGAGGAGTGAGGAGAAAGTAGATTGGACTGATGAGACTCTGTATGATATCCCGATCGCGGATGAATATGGCGGTGAAGGCGCCATCGGCTCCGCAACGGAGTTTTTCAAGATTCTTCAATCGATCCTTGAGGATGACGGGAAATTGTTGACATCAGAGACGATCGAGGAGATGTTCAGCCCGCAGCTGAGCGAAGGCGGCGTGAAGGCTCTCGATGAGTATAACGCCCTGCCATTCTACCAAGGTGGAGCCTTTGCGTCCGTGCAGAATGGGACGAAGGTTACTTGGGGACTGGGAGGGTTGTTGTTTCTTGAGGACTATTTTACGGGGAGGAAAAGGGGGACGCTGACGTGGAGTGGGATGGCCAGTGTGCGAAAAAATTAATCAGATTAATTAATTAATTCATGAATATTCATGAATAGCGTGAATAGAATTTGATTAACGTGATACTTATGTAATTTGATTAGATTAGAATAATTAATCATGATTATTCATGAATACCTTGATTAATATACACGTGACTACAGCACGTGATAGTCTAGCCTAATTAAGTAAGGTTCTTGCTCTAGCACTGCCTTAGCGAGCTTTTCTCTCTAGAAGAAGGGGCACTAGAGCCTAATCCTTACCTAATTAGGCTAGCTTGTCACGTGCTACGGTCACGTGTACATTAATCAAGTTATTCATGAATAGAATATGATTAATGAGAAAACTTCATGAATAGATTAGATTAATAGCCAATAATCTAATCTAATCTATTCATTTCTCACACTGGGGATGGCGAACCTGCAGTGGACGATTGATAGGGAAACGGGGATTTGTGCGTTGTATGCGGGAAATATGTTGCCGTTTGGGGATTTTGCGTCGGGGGATATGCAAATTAAGTTTGAGAAAGAGATGTATGCGAGAGCTGTGAAGAGGTCGATGTTGTAATGAAGAGTGTCAACATTTAAATGATGGGCAGGATAAATATTTGAATCATATGGCACAATTATTTATCCCGTTTGCCCAAATACTTTCATTGTCGATTATCCAAAGACTCCGGTCCATCCTCTGTCCACAGTTCCTTCAGGGTTGTATCTGTACGAATACCAGGCAATACACCAGACTGTCGTGTACAAAAACATACCAAAACACAATGCAGTTGGGTTCTCCTTCGGACCTCTCGCCACTGCCCTTCTCTTCGTTTCATCCTCCCACGTAATAAATACACTTCTCGAAACCCTCGGAAAAGACTCCGCATATTTCTCCAAAAACATATTAAGGATGAAACCAGGGAGCACCATCGCAACCAAGAACGCCCAATTAATCAGCGACTGTACAAGCGTTGACTTCAAATCAGTAACGCAGAGCTGAACGTCGATAACTATCAAACACAGAAAGAACGCAAAGCCTTGGCGGATCCCGATGCTAGCTCCGAGGTCGTTCTCTGGGCGGATGATACTTGGAAGGAACTTGTTGAGAAGGAAGTTGGTTGGGAATATGATGAGAAGAGCCATGAAGAAGAAGAGTGCCCCCAGGGCTAAACTCAATGCCATGACCCAGAGGCCAAGTAGGAGATTCAACGGAAAGGTCCAGGGGCCCGCGACGAGAGAAGGCCCATAAGGATCGCAGCCATCGTGGATGTCTAGCATTGCCCAGAAGAGAGTGAAACCATAAAACACGCCGAAAAAGCCAATAACATAAAGTCAATGTGTTTCAACCTCTCTTTGATACGCTGGATATTGCTTGCATCAGTGGATCCAGGCAGTGTCTCGTGTATCGTATATATCCAAGAGAGGATAGCCAAGCCTTCAACAACGATGAATGAAGCAAGGAACATGGCACCCCACGTCTTGGTCCATGGAACACCTTCCATAGCCATCAACTTGATGCCCGGCCCCGCAGTTCCGAAAATAAAGAACCACCGGGCCCAAGTCAATTTCTCAATAGCCTAGATTCCTTCTTCATCGTTTTCGTTATCACCGAATCTTTCGTAGATTGCTAGTCGGATGGCATCTTGAAATGGGAACGTGGTGACATAGAAGGCGAGATGGATGAAGATTGACAGGGTGTCAACGGCACAGATGAGGGGGTGCAGCGGATATACGTGCGATATTTGCCTGGGACACCGCAAATCCGACCCGAGGGTTGGCCCATAGTGTTTATTGCCAGCGGGATTAGGGTCCAGTAGGCTGTCTCCCATGTAACTTGAGCTGGAAGTGAACATCAGTTTGGAGAAGGGGAGGATGGTGATCACGTGATCACGTGCTTACCTGGAGCTGGTGCGGGATTGGAGGTCACCATATCTATTCAATTGATGTGTACATGTAGTAGGTGATTGTGAAAGGGTGTTTGCTGGAAGATCCTGAGAATCGTGGACGTTGAGGGAACAGGGGCAGAGGGCCGGAGGCTGAAGGGGTGGCGCTTTCCCCTTCAGCGCGTCAACCCGAACCAATCAGTGATCTCGGAATACTCCCTAATGTCTCACCAAAAGCAGTCATACTGCGAATTGCTGATACTAAACTGTCCATCGAATACACAATAATCGGAATTCATGTGCTGTGGAATTTAGACGTGCCTTGAAGAGACGGAAGCTTTTCTTTGGCAGAACCCCTAATCCCTCCTCGTTCGGATCTGATCATCTGAACAAAATTCGTTCCAACACCGTATCCAAACTGCAAAGATATTGCTCATCCGGGACAATTGGCGATTTCTAAAGTGAATGAATGTATCGTGCCGAAGTCTGGACAATATCGGAATGTCTCCCTGGTCTGTGAATTTGGGGTTAGATACAATTCACTCACTCAACACATTGTCGAAGCTCGTGACCCCCTCTCCTTCAAGTCCCATTTGCTCAAGATGCAAACTTGCTACTCATCTGAGGACAATAGGATGAAAGAGATCTCGCCAACCAGACAATATCTCCCTGGAATGTCCTTTTGTTTCGAGTATTTGTGGACGAGTCAAGTGAATCTCATCTTATCACAATAGCAGCCATTATCAAGTCTGGCAATTGCGATTGTTCCACCTACCCCCAGAACGAGAATAAAACAGTAAGTACGTATTGTCCCAATATCTCCAATTGTTCACACCTGACAATACTCCTCCTACCTATATCTTCTCGCCTTCTCTCCCATTCCCTCTCCTTTCCTCCTTGGTCTCATCGCGCTTTCTCACAGCGCTGCTGCTGTCAACTTCTATACCACCAACCACCACCAACCAATCTCTCATCCTACCATGGATTCCAACTTCACCAAAGACCTCTCGGAGGCACTTCCTACGCGAGCACCACAGCCTTCCGTCCCATTTCCCGGGGTTTCTCTCCCATTCCCTGGCAACTGGCCAGCATTCGTCCGGGCTTCGTCCTGGAACCTGGTTGTCGAGCGTCTGGAGCACTGCCCGATGGAATGGGCCACTGACGTGGTCTACCTTTTGTCTCTTGATGGCGCGGATATGAGGGACGATTATCCCGGTTTCGGCCGTCGTTTGTGAGTCTTTCATCCCTTTCAAATGTTCCGATGTCTAGATGAAATCGAGTCTGACAAGTGTTCAGGGAGTACGAGGAAGAGATGGAGAAGGAGGAGAAGGCGGCGGCCACAGCCAGCCAAGCGAGCCCGGCCGACCCCATCACCACTACCACTACCACCACTACCAACCACCCCACCACGCCCAATCCGACTCCGGCCTTTCACGGGAGGGGTGGGTGGATGAGGGCCTTTTTTCAAGGTGCTTATGAATGCAATTATTTTCGTCTCGCATCTGAGTCAATTGAATACTTTTCTCGCGACAGACTTCCCTAAAAGATGACTTGGGTTGAGAGAATCAGAGATAGGAAGACCGGACGAGACCAGACGATGACATCCCTTAAGGGATAAGAAGGGGGGGAGGATGAATTTGAGAAATGGAAAGGAGTGCTAAGCATCAAGAACGAACTTTAAAGAATCAACTAGACGAAAGGACACTGGTCCATGAACAAGCACGATATCCACTCACCGTCTCATGACATCTCTGTCTTTCACTGCAGCCTCGAGAATATCTGCTGCTTATGATGAGGGTTTCGTGTGCTGCTCAATTGATCATGACTCGTCTGACTCGGCTGCATCATCCCTCCTTCAAATCCTTGTCCACCATATCCCTACAAATAGGATGATAAAAATCCTTATTCTTCTCAAACGTCTCCAGTGCCAGTTTGCGGTCAACCTTATTCAACTTCCTATACAACGGTCTCACGAACTTCATCCGTCCAACCTTGCCCAGCAACTCTGCCGTAGGCTGATAAACCGTCTCGTCCTTGGCGGTCAAACCGATGCCGAAGTAGCGGAAGGAGAGCTCGACGTTGCGGGATGTGCCGAGGGAGTAGGCTTTGCCCATTGCTTGGGATTGGGTAGCTGTCAGGGGGGTCTTGAAGCGTTGGACGGCTTCCAGGAAGACGACGATTTGGTTGGCGGTCCAGCCTGAGATGTCTGTGGGGCTTGGTGTGAAATCCTAAAAACTTGATCAGCACGGATTCGCGATTGTGGGACAGAGTGCATACCTTGGACTCCCAATTCTTGGCTAGGTCGTAGCATTTGTCGACCATACTTGTGTCAAATTTGGGCTTTGGTGGCAGGCCAGGTTTGTAGAACCACATATCCCAATCAACAGACTCAAGCTTTTTGGAAGCTTCATTGTCCGATTTAAAGAAGTCGAGAAGAGTAGCTTTGAAATCGTAGGAGTCGAGGGATTTCTTCAACCATGTGGTGAAATAATGAGGAATGAATTTGTCCCAGGTCTCCTTGCCAACGAGTTTTTCTAGGTAGTACAGGAAGTGGAATCCCTGACAAGATTAGCAGGATGCGCTGAGGAATCTTCCATGAGAACCAACCTTTTCATACGGGATACTGCTGAATGCATCATCAGGATCCTTCCCCTTAAGATCGATAACGAGCTTGGTGAACTCGTGATCATCGCCGAAATTGTTGACGGAGTCCTCTGCAGTCAAGTTAACCCTGAAGCGCTGAGCTGGGAATGGAAAGAACATGCCTAAAGCCTTCCAACCAATGATAGCCGAGAAGTCTCGTTGAGGTTCACCGTGGACAACTGCTTGAATTCTTCTTTCAAGGTACGTCGTCCAACCTTCGTTCAGCCAGCTAGGTCGCTGTTAGCAACGATGTTGATAAAGGGCGAAGTCCTTACAAATGTTCCCAACTCGCATTGCTAACCAAATTGCCACTCCAAGAATGACTCAACTCATGTGCAATAACATCAACATTCTCACGATCACCACTAATAATCGTCGGCGTTGCGAATGTAAAAATCGGGTTCTCCATCCCTCCATACGGGAAGCTGGGCGGCAACACGAGAACATTATACTGTGTCCACTGATACGGGAAGATAAGCTTCTCCGCAACCTCGATGAACTTCTCTGTGTCGGCTTCCAGCTCCCATTTCGCGTCAGACAATTCTTCAGGGCCAGTGGAAACGAGAGAACGTGGTCCGATCGAGGCGGTGGCGATGTCGCCTGACGCAATGGCAAAGAGATAGGACGGCATTGGGATCTCTTGGCGGAAGGTGTAGAGCAGTGTCCCTGATTCTCCATCTTTTCCATGCTCGAAGCTGGATGCTCCGGTGGGGAGGCCACTTGCTACCACTGGCAGAGGGGACCGGATGCGGAAGTCATATGTGCTCTTTACATCGGGTGTATCTTGGCATGGAAAAATGGAGCGGTTATGGATGGCCTGGCATTGAGAGAACATGTAGGGGTATTTTTTGTTCGATGTCTGGGCTGGAGTGAACCATTGCAGTGCAGTGCATTGGGCTGTCGTTGAGACTTCAATCCTCAGGTAGCTATACTGTCCCTTGGCGAGGGCGGGAACTTTGATGGAGAGGGGACTACCATAGGGCTCAGAGCGGTCTTTGACAGTCCAGTCACTGGCCTTCGTGCCATTTATTTCGATGGCCGTGATGTCCAGGAAGCTGGTGTCAAGAATGATCTCTTCGGACTCCTTGTCTGTGATGGATTCCAACTGCAGATCGACAAATCCTGTGAGCCGCTGCTTCTTGAAATCGATAGTGAAGTCGGCGATAGTATTCTTCGTCCGCCAGTTGTTGTAGTTTGAGAGGGTATTAGGATCACGTGGCATGTTGGTGGTGGCCATCGTTCGAGATTTAGGAGCGAGCTGATGTGAGACAGAGATGTGGCGCGCAGAGACGAAGAAGGTCCTTGCGAAAGAGAGCACTGTATTCATGTACCGTACGTCTCACTCTTGAGGTCTTGAGACAAGATTGCTGGGGATGAAGACGCTGCGTTGATCAATTGACGTTGTCTTCAACAGCCTCGTTCTGCCTCGCCGCTTTCTGCATTGGTCTTAGCCTCATTGCCCGCTCCAACCTCAGTGGCAAGGCAGCAACTCAGTCGGAGAAGCCGGGTCACGTGCCTCTCAGTCGGCCCGTTCGATATTCTCCTGCAGCTTCGGCAAAGCATTACCCCTGAACGTTGCAGACTCCTGTCTTCCTCCACGTGGGAAGCCCCCCTCCCCCCTTTTAGAACGCCCTTCCCTCCTATCCAACCCCCTCCACCAGCATGACGCCAATGACCGAATTGAAACCTTACGCCACCATCAGGAACGGAAGCATCCCGTCTGCAAAAGGCTCGCAGCTTCCAAAAGCGGGACGAAGATGCTCTAGAAGTGGTTGAAACGGCCTAGCAAGCTGAACGAACTGACAGCGGCTCGGAGCTTCGTTTCGTGCTGGCGGGACAGCGCCCGACGATGTCGCGCTAGAGTTGGACAGAGGGACGCGTGTGTGTTCTTAGGGGGGAGGGGCGGGATGAGAAACCAAGCTTTCTTTCTTTCTTCCCTTGGCTTGCCGACAGGTAACGAAGTTTGCGGGAGAGGAAACCCTTGATTCTTAATAATGTCATGGTTTATGGTTATCTGTTTCGCAGGACTGTGCGAAAGGGCAAGCTGTTTCGAGGAGGGGTCGTTACATCACATTTTCGTCCCATCCAGAGGATCCTTCCATCACATCAACGCCCTCAACGTTCGACCTGCAGCATGTATCCAGGGTCCCCTCTGCCCTCCATCACACATCACACCTCGACTTTGCTGACTGATATCTCTCTCAAAATCACATTCTTTCTCCAGTCTGCAGCTTTTCCGCCGCTGCCTCACTTCGGATTCTGGGTTGGAGTGAACAGCCTCGAACACGCTTGCAAATTGCAATTGCAAGCTTATCGTTCTTCTCTCCAGCCGTTCTTCACGGCTGCGGGTTTCCTCCCGCTCCCTGCACTGGCCCCGCCGTGGACGTAGGAAGAAAGGAGAATCAGCCGGACTCCGGGCCTTGGCCCAAATATAGAACATTTCCTGAGCAACATCGAGACAACGCTTTGAACCTTGGGATCGTAGGTCTCGGAGCACCAGCGGCAATTCCTCGCTTTGCTGGGCCCGCCTTGCTAGTGCAAGACGGAGGAAAATAAACTGAATTTTAAAACTTGAGGGGGTGGGGAAGGCCTCCGGCATCCGAAGGACCACTTTCTTTTCCTGGGACCTTGAATTTGGGATCTTGGATTCGAGGTGGATCTTGGAGGAGGCCAGGCCTACTCTCAGTGATACAATCATCTCCGAACCCGTTTCGTTCTTTCATCTCAAATCCCACTCCAAATCCCCAATGTTACAGTGGGATTCGGGCTTTCGGAGTGAAGCATGACGATAATTTCATCTCATCTCTTGTTCCTGAGCACGGATTCCAGCCACACGTTTATTTGCGCCTCCTCCTTGTCGCTGCTGCACGTCAAGACGAATCTAGCATCTTCTCCTTTGCACAGAACCTCTTCCGTACACCTTTCGCACATGAAATCCACAAAACTTATGCCGGCAATACTAATGTTCTGTGTACCAGCGGATCACACCTCGAAATCATCACCACCCGCACAGCAGTCATTAAGAATGTCGAGATTGAGAAATCTGTTTCGTGACTGGTTTCGAACGTGCTGCAGAAGTGGCCAATCACACCCTTGCGCGTCTGAGGCGGAAGAACAGGCCACCCGGTCCAGCCCTATATCCGAATGCGCAATATAGACTGGGATTGATGATAGTTGAGTGGATTGTGGAGGAAGCTCGGCAGTCCATGCCTGCCCTAGCCACGCACTTTATTTCTCGTCAATTGTTCCTTGCTGTTCAGACTCAGGCTTCACCTTTCTTTAACTTGACTCGGAACTCAAGGGTGGGATTGTTTGAAAAGACATCGGCTCTGAAGAAGAGAACGTGTGCTGGATCACATTTCCTACCAGAACTTGCTGTCGAGATGAACATACAGAGTCTGAGTTTTGAGGTGTCCGACCACGAAGTCGAGGAAAGATCTACAATTGTGCAACGTCCTTTAGTACCGCATAAAACATACGGAGAATTACTTTTCCCCCAGTCTTTTGTCTCATCCGGTGCCCTGGAACGAAAATTAATTTATTTGACTTCGGCTCGCCGCAGCGGACAGGGCAAGGTGCGTTTCCGCCCGAGGGACCAGCGACCTGAACGGCGGGCTTGAAGGATTTGCTCTTCCAAGCGAACCCCACCGAGCTTACTTTCAGAACTCCTCGTGGCCGGTCAGGATTCAAAAAGTGTATTTTATTTATGGAAACAGTGCTGGAACTGGCCAATGACAGGGAAACCCGCAAGATGCGGTTCTGCGACGAGACGAGACAAACGTTCGAGGCTGACATATCCACAGCGTTCCACGAAGGATGAGTTCAGATTTCAGAAACGGAAATGCAATCTTAGAGCGAGGCCGAATCTAGCAGTGATGCAGCCACACACCTTCCGAAAGCGTACAGCTCTGAGCTCGTCGTCGATGGTCAAAGCGGTGTGTAGGGTGGTCCTGCTTCCCGTGAACGGGAGGATAATGAGGATAAAAGGGCGAATTTAGAGAAAATCGTACGTTTTTGTTTCCAGAGTGAGAAAAGGCAGAGGGTGGGAGCGGCGCAGATCATGATCAATTAATAAGAGGATCTTGTGAGCCAGAGGCCGACGAAGAGGACAGTGCGCGAGTAATGTGGGGAGCAGCTGCAGCATCAAAGTGTGTGCATGAATTTGGATCTGTGCTGACAATCTTCGAATCTTTTCTGGCTGTGCTTTTACATAAACCAATGGGCAGCTCGCGGGCCCAACTAACTCGTAGAAAAGGAAGATGAAATGATGCGCGAAATCTCCCCGATGCGGAGCGGAGCGGATAAGAGATTTAAGATTCTGTTGCTGTGCTTGGCGGGAACGCAGTGCTTGAAACTTCTGATCGTGTGCTTCCATCGTAAGCGTTGCGTGCTTTGATGGGAGGAGGTGAGGTAGAGGTGTCCTTCAGGAGTTGAAGCAGTTGCTGAAAAATGAGCTGCCCCTCGTGCCCCTCTATCGCTGCTATCTTGTATCGATTGCTGGCCGTCCCGATGTTGTAGGGGCAATGCTTGCAGCCAAGTTCCCCGGAACCAAGGATTTGAATTGAATATCAGCGTGTTATTAGAGGAGATGCTTGCCCATAGTGAAGCTTTTAACGGGCAAGAGCAAGCTTACTTCGATCCTTGAAACGAAAATGAGAGGTTGTTGACGAGGTCCTGCCTGCCCTTCCGGAGATAGACATGGCGGGGCAGGCCTTCTCCTAACATTAAGGTTTCAGTGATCGAGATCCCAATTCTCCTTTAACTTTCTGATCGCTGCCCCTAGCTTGCTGTCACAGGCAGCTCGTCGAGATCTTGAAAGCACAAGTGCCGGCTGTTGTTTTCCTCATTTTTAAGCCTTGCAGGCGCCCCGTGTGGTTTGGCAGTCGTTTCTTTTTGCTTCAGCAGCTTTCACAGAGCTCGAGAAGCTCAGGATCTGGGGTCCAAGCCGCGTGGGGCCCTGGACAATGTGACAGGATTGCCAAGAAAGGAGCTGGATGAACAGTACTGTATGTGGCAAGGTTGTCGGAACGCCGGGTCGGTCCAAGGTGCATCGAGGACTCGAGGTGAGATGCCCTCGTGGGTTGATCGGAGGATCCATACGCAAAGAAGAGGAAGCACCGTCCCCACGATGTCTATTCTCAGAAATACTTCTATCATGCTGAGTGTTACAGTACAGTGCGGGAAGCTGGTTTCAAGACCATGACCGTTTGAGAAGGGCTGACCGGGTCCGTCAGCGCAAAGCCGGAACGCACAGACGGGCACGGCGAACATCCTGAAATTGGGAAGATAACCCCGCGTCGAGGGCGCGCTGGACGGGATTCTGTTGCATGAACAAAACAACTGCGTTTTCGGAAGTTGGGGATTCGATCAGTGAGGTTCCTGAATTCTCCGGCTCCAGACCTGCTTGCTGGAGGCACGAGCAAACATCGAGGGCAATGTTTGGAGGATTCAAAACTTCGATATGACTTCAGATAAATTGCTTAGTTTGAGGGTTGGTGGGGAACTGGTTGACCATCGGTTTGAGAGGCACTGAAACACTGTGGGCCAGTTGCACGTGTTGCCAGCGATGAAGCTGTCGTCGAATGACTTGCTTTAGTTAGAAAGTTACTTTTGACAGATGGTGAGACGAACGCAGCCAGTGCTTGAAAAGTCGCATTCGATGAATCAGGAAACTAGTTGCGAGTCAGGGGAGGCAGCAGAGCGGCTGACATGAAAGCAACAACATGCCATCATCACGAGTAAGCAGCGAGAGCTCTGAGTGCACGGTGAAAATGCAAGAATAGGAGGAGGCTGCGTGATCTGCCCTCTTGCCTTTGAGCCCGCAGCACTTCTTGAAGCCACCGGCATTTCTCGAGCAATCTCGAGGCTTCGGGAGTTTTGCTCGACAGCTCCACTCGATATTGAGGCCCGCTGCTTTCTTTTTACTTCATCCCAACACTAGCACCCGCGGACATCTTCGATGAGGTCCGGTGTGTTCAGCAGATTTTGCAGTGAAGTGTGTGTGCAACGCTGCAAGCGAGGGGCAGCCAAGACAATATCCAAATTGCCCCGCTCCCCTGCGCCATCAACCCAAATTCAACGTCTGTGCAAAGCTGCGAAATGCCTCATTAGCCAATTGCATCCCCAGTAGCCGCAGGATTTGCAGTCTTTTGCAGTGGCCGTGAGAAGCAATTCTTATTCATCAGGACGCTCAAACATTAGCCGAGCTGCTGTGATGGGTCAGCAGGAGGGAGTGCAGTTGAAGGTGCTCGAGTGGTGCAGCTGCAGCTGCCCCTCGCCCTTCCCTCCCTCGCCGCCTGCAGGAGCGCAGACAGGATGGCCCATCGCTACCACGCAACGCGGCAAGCTGACAATGCGTCGCTGCTGCACGGAGCACCTCGACGGTTGGCCTGCCCTGGCATTGTCTCGGGTCTGGCTGATCTCGGCGCTGGCTGGTCTCGGTGCAGGCTGCCTCTCTGGCCTGTCGGGCCCTGTCTTTGCCATGGGCTCAAGCGGTTTCATGCTCTTCTGTGGCCAGCCCGCAGCAACGCCTCACCTGCCAGCCCCATCCCTGGTCCATTCGTCGAATCGTGGTGGAGTGCTCTTCCGACTGGGAAGAAAGCTCTGTGTCTCTGTGTCTCAGACGCCACAGCGTTCATGGAGCTCCTCCTTCATGGGGCCTGGCTGCCGACACCATCGTAGGAGCTTGGTGACTAGTGTCCCCTGCTGCATGCTTGATTTTTGAGCAAGGGATGGAGGTTCAGATCCTTAAGTCGCCTCCGACGTCCTGGGGTCGGTCCAAGTGTCTGGTCCTCATAAGTATATCTTCCGCCGGTTGTTTGCAACTCTATTGATGTGCCAGTGGTCGATAGAGTTCTGTCAGCTTACTCGAATTTGTCTCCCATTCCTCGCCAGCTCTGTTGCTATTTCGAGGAGCTTACGTTAAGCTTCAGGATCACCTTTTTTGTCCTGTCCAACAAATCCAAAAGGCACCATTGGCAAAGCATATATGGCCCATATCGCTGACTTCCTGGTCGACACTCCGAGTAGTGCGGGGTTGAACAATTATATTGCGAGGGAGCTATCTCCACACTCTTCACATGATGCCGTATGTCCTCTGATCTCTTTGCTTTCATTTTCTGACGCGTATATTAGTCAACAGAGGTTCCCCAGGCGGACGAGAAGGAGAAGTATGTCTGGAGGATGCATCAACCGACGGAACCACGCAAATACCAACTGTTCCCCACAAAGGACAGACTATCGGTAGCGGCGGGACAGAAGAATGCAGAGGCAGAGCAGTCACAATCACAATCCACGACCATAGGGCAAAATGGGAGCACCGAGAAGGAGCGATCACTACTTGGCACTGCACTTCGACTGAAGCCCAAAGAGCAGACCCTCATCCGGAGAAGAAAGGTCAGTGTGCCAGAATTGGGTCCAATGACCACAGTGCAGGAGATAGCCATGGACTCTCGTGAGTTTTGCCCCTCAGAAAAGTTGTATGGTGTCGGTGAAACTGATTAGATTTCTTAGCAACAATACCCGGCCGCCCACCACTACATGAACGATCGATCAGTGCGCCCGGGAATAGCTGGCGGCAACATGTCTTTGGGGAATCCATGATGTCCTGCATATCCGGACCTGCACTGGACGAGAATGCTGAAATGGCTATATCGGCGGATAGTACTAATGCTCCAGCCGCAGCGAATATACCACAGGGTATCCAGCAAAACTGCCAAAGCTCTTCAGCCTCTTCATCAAACAACCCCAGATCAGTCTCGCCGAAACAACCCCTCTCTCCAAAGTCGCTGGCTCCTCTCGTCATCCCCTCGTCTTCACCTTCCCAAATCCAGCGCATTCCCCGGAAACCTTCAGGTACACGTCTGCGGTCCGGCAGCACTCCCCCAGACGTTCCACCAAAATCAGCCAGGATGATAGACAACTCTCCTTACTCTCGTGCATCCCCATATACTCCCATGTCGGCATCAAGTACCAGCCTCCTCTCCGCCACTACCGCCCCAACATCAATGGCTGCCACACCCAACTCCGCCATCCCTATTTCCATCCCAGAAGGTCGCTCCTCACCCAAGCTCGCCCGCTCAGTAACTCCCACCCCACCCTCTGCCTGCCCCGGTCCCATGGTCCCCGGGCACTCCCGCGGCGTCTCAGACGCCCCTCAACGCCAGTTCCCTCTCGGCGCCTCCCACGGCCACCGACGCCACGAATCCGAAGGCGGTGCCTCAATCATGGACCGCGGACGACCCAAAAAACGTGCAGATGCGTCCCCCGTCAAACGCTCGATCTCAAAACGGTCCCCTTCCACATCCGCCACCCTTCTCGAAGAGCAGAAAGCCTTCGAGCACCTACCCTCCGGGCACCCTGCTACAACAGCATCCACATTCCTCCCCGCCTCAGAAGTTGAGACACTCCGTAAACAAGCCATCGGCCAAGCATCCCGCTTCGAAGTCCTCAACTCCAAGGACGTTGACACTTTGTCCCGCGAACTCCGGGCTCTGGATGAAAGATGTGAATATCTCCGTAAAACGCACCGCTCTCTCCGCTCTGGAAGACGGAACCTCCACGACCGCATTTGCACTTATCTACGAAGTCCGCGCGTAGCGAAGTTCAGCCACGACAGCATGCTCAAACAAGAAGAGGCGCTCTCAGAACTCGATTCCTCTATCGACGATTGGGTGGCTAAGCTCGAGCAAGCGGAAAACCGACGGACGCGAGTGAGGCAGAAGTTACTGGAGCATGTGGCTGCAGCGTTGATTATGCAGCCAGTGGTGGAGCAGGAGAGAGGAGGGCATGTGGTAGAAGAGGAGAAGCATGTTGTGCAGATAGCACTAGCGATGGCGATTGCTCCGAATGGGGAAAATACGCCACCTCGCTCCCCTACAAAAGGCCAATCTCCAGAAAGATTAGACCGAGTGGTTGAGGAGGTCAAAGTCACAAGCCCTGAAAGTCGACGTGGTGGAAGAGACGTCGAAAGCATCCGCATTTATGCGGATTCAGATTTGTCGGCTCTGTTGGCAGATGTCGAGGAGGAGATTAATCGCATGGGCGAGCAGGGGGAGATGCATGAGAGGGAGAGGTTGGAGAGGGAACGACAAGAGAGAGAAAGGAAAACGGAGGACACGATTGCGGCAGGCATCACGCTGAATGCGGTTGCGTTTGAGGGGATGTTAGCGCATCAGAGGAGTTTGCAGAATATGAAGATGCCGATGCCCGAGTTTGTTTGAGCTGTGAGCGCAGCGAAGAGCGAGGAAATGAGAATAAGAAAGAGGAAGAGAGATTGATCACGAGACCACGGCTGCACGCCACCCACCTTCGGTGTTGTTACGATTCGATGTTGATGTTGATATTTGGCGATGTTTGCTTCTTTCGTTTACTTCATGATTATATGCTTGCATGGCTTGCCTTGTCACTTTATCACTCCGTTTGTTTTCTTGTTACATCATTTTTCTTGTTACAAACTATTTGCGTATCGTTGATACCAACATTTACAGGAGTTTTTGGAGATGCGGTGCCTGGTTCAGTGCCCTTTGCAGTTGGGACGGCAAAATTCGCTTGTTTTGCAGAAAGTTACTTGTATCATCTCTTGGGGAGCTTGTGTTTTGTTATTGTGTGAAGATCAGAAAGACGTGTTCAAAGGTTGGATTTGGGAGGAAGGTTAGGGAGATTCGTAGATACATATCAAATGAATCATCAACCATCATACATTTCTCCAAGCATATATGAAGTGGTATCATTCTCATCTAGCCTAGCCATACATATATATCATACACAAACGCCATCCCTCACCTACTTCATCAATCAAATCCCAGCCAACCTCCTCATAGCAGCGTTACTCAACGTCCTGCCCTCCCCACTAACGCCGCTCTCCCCCTCCTTATGCGCCCCTCCATCACCCATCGCCAACTCAACCAGCACCTTACCCAACTCCTTCGTCGGACTCATCATACTAGGCAACAGTCCTCTAAACACAGGCAACGCAGCCTTCTCCACCATGCCCATCGCTGCCGTCCGCCTCGGCACAAAATCTTTCACCTCTGTATGGAACGTCGGATCCACGGCTCCTGGTCTCAAACTTATCGGTCTGAGGTTTGCGTATTCAGGTTGTTTGGATAAAGCGACGAGGGAGGATTCCGTCAGCCCTTTGATCCGCGCCCAGTGTTGTGTTAGGAAGGAAGGGGTGGTTGTTGCCCCTTCGCCGGAGACGTAGATGAAGTTTACTGGTTTTGGGGCAAGGGTTGTAGAGAGGGCGCGTGCGAAAGCTAATGGGTATGTGTTTGTGATCTGCTCGTATTCTCTGCCACCAATTATCCATCAGCCTATCTTTGAAATCGAGAGGGTGGGGAGGGGAAGTACGGTTTTGATACCGAGACAGAGGAGATGCCCTGCGCCCATACGACACCATCTACATCCTTCAACTGGTTCAACAATTCAGGCGGGTAGGTGGCATAGTCTTTATGAATTATGACGCGCGCTTTGGAGTGTCCCTCGACTTGGGCAACTGGTCTACGAGAGAGGATTGAGACTTTTGAGACGGAGGGGGTGACGAGCATTTGTTGGAGGACGGCGGAGCCGACAAGGCCTGTGGCCCCAGTGAGGACGAGATGCATTGTGCGATCAGGAGGTGAGCTCTAGAGTCGATGGGCGAGGTGAAAGGGAAGGGAATTGATGGCAGAGAGAGGTGTGAGAAAGAGGGAAGGAGCATGCGTGATATATGTTTGCGGAGGGTCGGGAGAACAGCGGAGGAGACAAGGCTGAGGTCCGAAAATCCGCTGGAGATGGGCGGGCGGCCGCATTGCCGCATTGCTTGGCAGTAAGCCAGTTGCAGATGTGTTTCTTCCTTCATCTCCATAAGGCTCTGCACTGTACCAAGTGGCCTGTCCTCAATTTGTTGTGCTGCAAAAACAGCAGTGAGGGAATATGTGGGATGGTGTTCTCTACTCTATGGAGGTCTTTTGAGAAGGGTTTGAAGTCTGGCTTGCTGACGCCTCGAAGAGGGGGAAATTGTAAACCGACACCCCCAGGTATTGATTGGGGGCGGAGGGGGCGTCGATTAATTTAATTAGCCTGTTAAGGTACTCTAACTTATTATATTAATTAAAGGCTACTATTAAATATATAAGCTAGAGAGTTTTGCCACGTTCTTATAAGCTAATAATAAAGCTACTTACAAGAAATTAATATTCTAATAATAGCTTTTATTAACTAGATTCTTAAAATTTAAAATAATTAGCCTTAAAAGTCCTTATAACTTAGGCATTCCCGATTTAAATTTAGGTACTCTGTTGCTAAATTTCTAGGCTCTCTTAAGGCTACCTTTAAACTATAAAATAATAACTTTTTAACTTCTTTAATTTTAAGAACTATTACTAATTACTATTTTATAAAAAGTTTATATTTGAATAGCCTATAATTGACCCTATAATAATATAAAGAATTTTTTAATTTTATTGACTTCTTATAAAGTAATTTAAATTTAAAGATAAAGGTAAGTTTCGGTATTCCTATCCGAGTGCCTTTATTTCAGGTTAGTCTGGCCCCAAATCGACACCTGGGGTGTCGTTTTACATTTTCCCACTCGCAGCTGCCAAGATGAATTTTCGACATGGAAATTCTGATATCCAGCGGTGACAGTTTTATTTGGATCCGTGTCGAGTCGCCCTCGCCAATAATAAATGAGACTTCTGGTTTCAAGCTAATGTGCTCTGAGGCGATTATCAATGGCAGCCTCCTTGGAAGAGCCTGATACAGGGGTTCTCGGACGCGAGAGAAGCTCGACACACGACTCACAACAGAGGGTAGAACTCTGATATCTACCCAATAGTGATATTAATGTGCGCGGGGGGGAGGCTGGTTTGACACGAGGGCTTGCTTTCAACGGTCGAATCCGATCGGTCCAAAAAGGCTTAGTGGGGGCCTCTGAGAGGCCTTCCACTTTCTATCCAATGGAAGTCCAGTGCCAGAGTTGTCCTATCAGGCGTGCAGTAAAATTGCGTGCTTCCTGCTTCCTGAATGGACAACCACACAAGCTTACTGCACATGGCGAATCCCCGACAGCCTCTTGGAGGCCCTCCGGCTTTTCCTGGCTGGTATAAAGACCTCACACGTTCTCTCGCATCCAACATACATTCTTTCATCTTTTTCTGGTCTCACAAAGTTCCGGTGGTCCATCACACTATCTGGGAGGGCTTGAACCCTCCGTTAAACCCCCCTGCGGGGGTGGGTGACCGCCTGTTCCTCCCTAGCCTGGTCTTGGCCGGGTCGCGCAGCCCGGCCTTTGCGACATCTCCTACAATGGATCTAGTTTGGTAGTTAACGGTGATAGCTTTGATCCCTCGTCCGAATTTTACGTTGTTCCGTCCAGTTCACCTCAACCCAGTTTCCCCTTCGACAATTACCTCGATTTCTCCTCCCTGCAACCTGCCACACCATGCGAAGATACCCAACCTGATATCTTGAGGAGCCAACGACAAGCCCCAGGACACTCGGACACAAGAGTCCACGAATCAGATGCATTGAGAAATCAGATTCCGTCTCTCTCCGGTCCCGAAGCTTTTCTCTTCAATGACTACCTCAACCCGGAACCTAGTGAGCTTATCTGGAGTCTCCTCTCCCAAAGCCAAGATAATCAAGATGACATTGCCGGTACTGGCAACCTCTCATCAACTGGCTTGGGTATTGATTTTGACTGGAACGATCCGCTCAATGCGGCCGACATACTCTATCCAACAACTTTCCCGGCGGAGCCAGATAATGTACTGGCGCCCGAGATGGAGCACCCACCGACCCAGTCCTTAGACTCAATAGAGTTATCAGTAATGCCTCGACCCGTAACAAGTACTTTACCACGAAAGAGGTCAAGGTCAAGCTCCTCGTCATCACCAGAATCCAGTCAATCGCACAAGCGCCTGATACCGTCTGCCGTTCATCGATGCAAGTGGGCCCTCTGCTTGGAGACTTTCAATCAGCCTTCAGATCTGCGGTGAGTTTAAAAGATTCATTCTCCCCCATGACGCTGATAGTTCTACTCCAGAGCCCACGTCCGAACTCATGCAGCTTCTCAGACCAAATGCAGGTGGAGCGAATGCCTCAAAGTCTCAGACTCTACACCCAATCTAATGTGAGTCCTTCTCATGTGCTCTGCATAGTTCTATGAATTGAATGAAAATAACAGGAGGCATTTGGATTCACACACAAAACCGCACACCTGCTCCGACTGTGAATATCGAGGAGCTACAAGGAGATGTCTCTCCCGGCACAAAGTCCGACATGGCTTCACTTCTGGTGTCTCCATATACTATTGCCCCGCTCGCACATGCCCATACGGACAGGATGGGCACAAACCGCCATATGGACGCCGCGACCATGCTGTCAAGCATATCAATACAAAACATCCCGGCTCAACCGACGGCCCCGTTCCAGGAACCTATCGACTTCAAACGACATAGTATTAAGGGAAACAACAACGTAACAATTAGGACGAAATCAAAGCTAATCATCGGGTCGATGCTCTGAATGGATAGACTGCAAGTGCGATGAAATGCCCGTGTCGCTGACTTACGCCCGATAAGCAGACTGAAAAAGTGTCTGATGTCTGGGCTGCCAATCAGTAGGATACCCGTTCGTACCTCCCACTTAGCACCCTAGGTGGTCAGTGAATCCGATTTGGCCACGAAAGCGATCGGGCCAAGTGTATACCTAGCAAATTTTACGGCAGGCATAAGCCAGCTAGAAATACCTCCCATATAAATTTACTAGGTAAACACTTGGCCCGATCGCTTTCGTGGCCAAATCGGATTCACTGACCACCTAGGGTGCTAAGTGGGAGGTACGAACAGGTAATGACTACCACAGTGGTACGAATCTTGGAGGAAGGGCTGGAAATGTAACATCGCCTCTGGGATCTATTCGAGGAAGAGTCGGCCAGCGACTACTGGAGGAATAAGGTCTCCTTTCTCTTTTTCCTTTTTTCGACATCCCTTGGGGCGCCGAGTCATTAATTCTTGTGGTACAGAAATGAACTAACCAGCGAGCTTGTGGTCTCGCATGCTGCCACTACCTTGAAAATAATCTACGAGCGATTCCGCTACGTAGTATCCAATAGTGGGTTGTCCAATTCTTATGACCCTAAATATTACTAATTCGCTTTTTGCAGTTACGCTATGTAGCATGTAGCATCATGGCTCGTGGATATTTTTTCAAGGTAATGAAAGCATGCGGTTCAGCATGCGATACCACAAGTGAGTTCAACACTGTACTGGAAAAATTAAGGACTCTGCGCCGCGCCGAGTTTTACATCCCTTCGTTAGGGATAGCGTCAAGCTCTCCAATGTTGGGAGGTTTGCTCCACATTCGACCATAGCAGGAACTACTATTTTATTCCTATCCGTTGCGCTGCCACCAGGGACGAATTTCCGTGATCAAATATACCGCAAAATTGCAGCAAATCAGAGGTCTTAAATTAAAGAATCTGGCGATATGATTTGCTGATTCAGTTCGCTTAGATATGCACGGGTCAATTCGTCCCTGGTGGCAGCGCAACGGATAGAACATAGAGTCTCCCAAATATCTGCGTCTATATTAGCATGAAAGCATTAATCGGTTTGCAATGATCCACTCCCCACTCAAATCGAACAGTCTTGCTAATACGGCCTCAGAATTCACTGAAAGGCGGATCTGTGACTCAAAACAAAGGTTTCTGTGGTTATTGTACCTGCTTGTTGTCAGTATGCCGGTCTATGTCAAGTCGCACTTCTCAGTGTAGTTCGGTTGGAATACTGTCTACGGCATGCCGCCTGGTTTCATTTTAATGATTCTTTGCCTTTGGTAGTCTGATTCTCCCCCAGCTACCCCAAAAGCTCATGATGACTCCGGGTTACCTTTCTATTCTCCGGTGAAGGACAGTAAAGTGGCTTTATTGATTAGGGCGGGGGGATGGGCGTTTCTTTAGTATTTCGTCTTAGGGTTTGAGGGGTGTACTACATCTACTTAAAATTTAACAATCTTTAACGGTCGAAGCTTGATGAGACAGCCTTTGAACAGTACTCTGTGTTTCCCGGTTTCCCTTTCTTATTGTGATCCTCGATCACGTGACATAACATTTTGACACTATGCTATCAACTGGACTTGATCTTCTATGGAGGCTAACCATGTCCTAATAAGCTCTAATAAAATGCAGCGAGGAAACCTCCCAAAAGTTGGATTGCAGAGTTAAAGGGGTGAGGAAGATATTGGGCTCTCCTCTGATGCCAGTATCGGGAGTTATTGATGAATTTCATGAACGAGGTATGCTGCATATCTCTCCCGCCTCGCGGCAAAGTTCTGACTAGTGACGTGGGTCTGCGGGCACCTTTAGATCGAAGCAGAGTGGCCGTCCTAGACTCTCGGCAAATTCTTCCCCTTGCCCCTGAATTTAGCGATTGAGCCCCTGAAGATTAAGCGAGTCAACCCCTAAAAACACCGGACTTCCAGTCCCAATGCTCACTCCGTAACGTGCTCAATGGCGAGAGTCTATGAAAAAGAATAAGGGAAGAGAATGGTCAATTTGTACAAAGAGAGGCGCAACGTGCCAGTCCTCATTTCTCAAATCCCCTTGTAGCTCGGCTCTCGTATTCATACTGAACCCCCGCCAAGAGGTGCGAGCAAGTATATCATGGCCATTGGAGCTCTGCTTTCCGAATTGAATGCTCAGCTCCCCCGACTCCGTAGGTTTGAACTGAAGTATGAAGCTATGGACGCTCCATTTTGACCTTGGTTCTGAAAGCGCCACTTCTCTACTATCTCCACCACATTGACTTACACTCATCAACCTGCAAAGTCCCGCAAAGAAGAATCTACCACAACCATGCAGTTTCGGTTATCCACCTTACTCGCCACAATCTTAGTTGCTCTTAGTATGGAAGCTCGTGCATCTCCCCTCGGTCCGGCCCCTCGTTCGATCTGTGTTCCTGGTCAGCATCGCTGCGTCGGCATTGCTATCGTCCGCATCCCAATGTTATTCACAAGTAATAGACTGCGGGCTAATTTGTGTATACAAGGGGAATGGGGTTGTATTTTGGGTTTGTTTCCCTTTCTTGTGTCTTTCGGTGTTTACGGGGTATATGCTGAGTCGATTAATGCAAGGAATAAAATCACCCTTGTTTCTCCAGAATGAATCCAGCACTGAGTGCACATGGAATATACTAAGAGAGGGACTAGTGTGTAGTGCTATTTTATGAGAGATAGATGTTGTTTTCTTCAGAGAATAGACGGGACATATGGTTTCTGGGGGTAGGGTTGTATTCAGTGGGGGTAAGAAAACATATTCGACCCTGTGAAATACATTCTAAGCTCTCTTAAAAATTCCCAGACTATTTCCAAGTACACAGTATGATTTCACCGTCACGTCCTAATCCTTCCCCGTCCAATATTTCTCCAGAAATTCCTCCGCATCAGTAAATTTGTAGTCTGGTAGCAAGCGATTCCACTGATCCGATACAACCCAAGATTTACAAAGACCACTGAGAAGAACACCTCGAAGAATAACTTTGGAGAAGTGTTCCTTTTGTTCTGGAGAAAGACCTTGCTCTTTATAAAATTGCGGGACCCAGGAACCGTGAAAGTCGCCGGCGCGAACGTCGTCTTCCGGAAGATAAGTGATATCCCACGGTTTGCCACCTATCATTTAGATTTATCAGTGATTTAATTTGTTTTATGGGTGTTGGGTTTCATTCTTTTGGTAATGCATACCTCGAACCCTCTTGCCAATTTCTAACAACTTGGGAGTTGAGAGCGTAGTTCCATGGATGCCGCCAACTACCGGCCATTCGCCCTCGTACTCAATCGCTCGAGCCACAACATTAGCAATATCATTCGCGGTCGTCACTGTGAATTCTGAGTTGCCGTTCTCGAGAATGATTGCTCGACGCTTGAAAAAGTCGATCCATAATTCCTGTGAAGGTTGGATGTACTTGTTCGCTGTACCTGGTGGTACAAGATAATCGACGAGAAACCCGGGTTGGAAAAGCGTATATTCGAGAACCTGTCAAAGTGCTGTGAGAAGTGTCGTATAAAAATTAGGGAAGGAAAAAGACTTGACGACGTACTTTCTTCTCCTTATTGATTTCTTCAAGATAGGCCCTCACATTTGCCTTTTCGGTATACCATGGCAACTCCTCGACGCTTGAGCTATTCGTCCACCAGACTTGGTCAGTTCAGTCTCTCCTCGCTTGAGAGCACCACGGTAATGTCACTCACCCAGACCACTCATTTGGAGCAAAACGCTTGACGCCTGCGGCGACTGCCGAATCAATCAACATCTTCTGGGCGGCACTCCCGGCGTCTGCGTGAGCGCTGCTGAAGCACAGAACAGTGTGTACACCACTGAGGATGCCGGTGAGTTGAGTTTTGTCTGTGTAATCTGTCTTAACCCAGGTCACGCCAACTCTGTCTTCAACAGTGGCAAGGTCCTGGGTTTAGGCCGATCAGCAAATTTATACCATTATTGTATGAGGGTTTGGTACCTTGCGGGAGAGGATTAGGATATCATGTTTTTGGGTCGTTACTAGTCTGTCAATGATTTCTTGGGCGATTTCTGTTCAAGATGGAGTCAGCTTGGGGACTAGAATGTGAAAATAGGGGAGGTGGTCTGTATATGATGGACAAATGTATTTTTTTTTGACTTACGCCCTGAACCCCCAGCTACGGCGATTTTAACCATGTTTTGTGAGATTTGATTTGATGACTAAATGAGGATAATGTGCATGGGTTGACACTCAATCCATTCTGAGAAGCGGATATCCTTTTAAATATGAATGAGTATATATCAAGTGGTAATAGTAGGCTCGGCCTCCTTCGCGCGAGACGAAGCGCGAGGAAGGCCGAATCGACTGTCAAGCCGTATTTTCGTCAACTCGTGGCTTGATAGCGTGACTGGGAAGAAGGTTGTCTGCCCCCCTTCGGTGTAACTTTTCCTAATTTTGATATGGTTTTGATCCAATCGTGGTCCTAGTCCACGGGCGGGGTAGGGGCTGTAATACCCACATTATTGACCCAATAGCCGAAACACGCCTTTGTCATCCCGTTTTGGGCTCCTCCTCTCATGTGGTTCATTATTACCAATCACGATCTTAACGATCTCAGGACAACAACACTCCCCTGATCAGCGCCAGGTGTGCGGTTCAAGTCCAAATGTCCAGCCCCGTTGATACAAGTTCGTCCGAGCCCGAGTCAAACCCGTGCCCCATGCTCCCCGATGAGCTGAAGCCATACCTCACCCTCCTCGACACGCCCTTTGGCCTACCAGTTTGCATCATTTGCCAAAACGCTGTCCTTCCAAGGAGCCTTATGGACCACCTCCGAAAACAGCATCACATACCTGTCAACCTCCGGGCCGCCGTTCGATCTCTAGTATCTACATTACCGTCACTAGACATCGCCGATTTACACAGTGGCTGGGACGGTTACCCTCCCCTGAAAGCACTACGTGTAGTAGACGCATTTCAATGCAAGCACTGTCCTTTCATTCGTCGAGATATCACCGATGTGCGGAAACATATCAATAAAAAACATGGTATTTCGGCATCTGGTAGTTATGACGAGATACAGGCTCATTCTTGGCTTGGTGGTCGGAGAGCTGTATATTGGAGGGTAGAGGTGTGTGGAGCAGATGGGGCGAACGAAGGACCACAGTGCACTTGGGGCCTTTTTGGTAAAGGGTGGGGTGATAAAACACCCAGGAGTTGGCCCAACGCGTTGGTCGAGAAATTGTTGGTTCTCGAGGGTGGTTGGTAGTAGCGCGTTCAAATTCGCCATCTGTTGAACTGAAGCCCCGGAGTGGAATTACAGGTTAGAGAGAGAAAATGCAATGATACTAGCGTCACAGTGTGTTTCTGTCTTTTTGGAGGGGGTTGAGTGACAAAACAACGAGGATCTGGCCGAGAGTGCTGGTGGAAAATGTTTAGGCGCCTCTTCAGGGGGATTTTTGCATACGGTACTATACGGGAAGTTGTGCTAAGCGAGGTTTCTCTTACCTCTGTATTATAGTAAGACACATATATATCGTTGGTAGGAAGTTTCTCTTGATTTATAGGTAGTACTTATTAGAGATAGTAAAGGTTATGTCTCCTCTGGTTGCAGCAATAGCCGCTGCATTAATATCCTTTGCTATCGCCTCCGCACCGCAGAAATAAACTCAAGCCTTGTTTTTTCTACGTCCCAGAGAGACAGCAGTTGCCCCATTAGCAATCATGCTCTCAATATTATTTCCAACCTTGTTTCCAATTCCGTCAAAAATGCCTTGAAAGTTTGGACTACGGTACCAAAATTTATTTGATAGCGGACCGCGGTCGGGGCAGCTGTGAAATGTGCGTCAAGTACAAATGAATTCGAAGAAAGAACGACGAGTCCATGCCAGATAACATGGTATGTGCTTTCATTTTAAGAGAAGAGAGCCAACTGTGGAATAATTTCAGAGCCATCATTCCTGAATCCAGCTGAATTCAATGCGGTGTGAAGCTGTCGGGAGTTGCATGTGTGCACGCTGATGATAAATGTTTCTTAGGACAGACTACCAGCCGCATTTTTTCTAAGTCGCAACAAGTCAGTAAAAGCAGTCCGCCAAGCGAAGCAATTTCTCAGATGGGGCTTTTTGGCAAGACTTTATGTTAATATTACACCCTGACTTGGGAATCTCATTGTCTCACCTGCCCTCCTGTCGTGAACAACTCTCAATTTGCTTTTCAAGCAAAAGTGTCAAGAATACTAAACTAACCCTAAATAATAGAGAATGAGCTTACTGATAATAAAAGCGAATTGATTCCTTAAGATGTGATTCTTTAGACTTAACAACAGGAGCATCGTCTTCCAAGAGGCTGCGATTTAGAATTCAGTCTCCGACGTCAAAAAACTATCACCACCATGTGCGAAAAGCTATGAGAAGTCATACCAAACTCTAAGACCCCCGAGAAGGTAGCCAGTCTAGAATACTGCCCAGTCAGCCTCCAAAGGGTACAAAAGGTGCTCGCTTCGCTTTTGCGCAGCTTGTGGTCTTCAGGCCTGGCGACCCCACAGTGACCCTACACTGTTGAAAACATGGGGATATGCCTCTTCCCCACTAGAACTACCGGTAGATCTGGAAAGGATTTGAGGGCCCTATTTTGACCCGCCGTTCCTGCTTCCGCACGTGTTTTGCGATGATCAGCTGCGGGGAGAGACCACGGAAAACCCCCCACAACACCAGTACCTGCTAATAATCGTAGGCTAGTCATAGTTTCTGATCAAGCAAGATCAAATTCCCATTCTCAACCTGATCTATACAATCGTGATTGAGGCTCCTTCTCCTAGCTCATTTGATTCAAGGATTGGCTGTCCTTCGTATCCTCGCTCATTCGAAGTTCACTACGCCAGCAACTCAAACTTCCTTTCCAAGGCCTCAAAATCGCCAAACATGGTTTCCCTTGAAGGCGGACATTTTGACGTTATTGTCGTCGGCGCAGGTCCAGTAGGACTGCTTACAGCTATCAACCTGGCAAGTCGAGGCGTGAAGTTGGCTGTCTTGGAACGAGGATGTGGCATTGACCAATCTCCAAGGGCTACTTCCTATCAACCTTGCGTCATGGCTGAAATGGAGGAGACTGGGATCCTCCAAGATGTTAAGAAGAAGGCTATGATCAACAACATTCTCTCATTCTGGAGAGGGTCTGGGCCACAAAAAGAGCGGGTTGCGTATGTGGAGAAGCTGGAAGGAGGCGACATTTTTCCGGCAGCCTTGAACTGTGGACAGCCAGTTCTAACCGGAATCGTTCTGGATCATCTCTTGTCTCGGTACAATTCTCAAGTATTCTTTGCGCAGAAAGTGGAAGAGCTTAGCCAGTCCGAGTCCACGGTTACTGTTGTGTATAGTCCTCCAGACGACGGTCCAAAGACAACATATACCTGTAACTGGCTCGTCGGTGCAGACGGTGCGGGGAGCTCGGTGCGCAAGCTTCTTGGGATCGAGTTCGAGGGCTTTTCGTGGCCCAAGGAACATTTTGTGGCAACCAATTTACGGTATCCTTTCCAGAAGCACGGGTTTACAACCGCGAACTTCGTCATGGATGATGTGAACTGGGCTGTGGTCACAGTCATCGACGATACCGGCTTGTGGCGGTGTGCATTTGGAGTGCGAGAAGGACTGACCAACGAACAAATTCGCGCCGAACTTGATGAGCATTACAAGCGCATATTACCTGGATGGCCAGGAGAAGGGTATGAGCTGGTCCAGCTGAACCGTTACAAACCACATCAACGTTGCGCAACTCAATTTCGCAAAGAGCGTTGTTTCCTCGCAGGTGACGCCGCCCATGTAATTTCCAAACCCAACCCCCTGGAAGGCATGAATGCTAATTATTATCAGAGTAACAACCCAATCGGTGGTCTTGGACTGACTACCGGACTTCTTGATGCTGGGCCCTTGGGACGAGCCCTTGCAGCTGTCATAAATGGCAAAGCACCAGAGTCAATTCTAGATGTGTGGGCTCACTCTCGCCGACACACTTGGAAAACCTTTACGAATGAATTCTCCATTGAGAATAAACGCATGATTCAACTGGGCGGCTACAGTGAAGATCCTTTGGGGATTTGGAAGTTGGATGAAGTCTCCAAGGAGCACGGCATGGATCCGTGGATAGAAAAGTTGGCAACTCCTGACAAGAAGGAGGCAGATCTTGCCATGTATAAAGCACTTGAGGACAAAAAGGCTCAGCTTTCAACCCGAATGAAGCAGTGGAATATCACCATGGATCCTCTTTGGATGGCACAGTATGAGGACCCGGAAGTTATCAAGCTGCGTCTATCATTGAGGCCTCACGGGACGAAAGGGGGTGTACCTGCCAAATGACAGGTTTTATATAAGCAGCGACGATAGGGTCACACATATTGCTGACGTTTACTGCAGATACTAGCTAATCAAAAAAAAAAGGAGGGAGTTTTATCAAGCAGTTTCAAAGCTCTCTTACGCTTTCCGTTTAGCCAGAGTACTTCTCAATTCCCCTCCTCTTCATCACTTCCAAGTAAGACCACATAAAATCCCTTCAGGAAGTTTTCGAAGGCCGTATTTTCCTTCCTATAAATCGCTTATTCCTCCTCATTAAACCTACCAAGCCGTGGCCTCTGACTGAGTCCACGAAACAAAAAAGTGGCTTCCATAAAATTATCTCTTCGGCTCTCAGTTAACTCACTGAAGCGCGTTCCTGATTTGGCTTAAAGAGTCTTTATAAATGTTGACTGTGCGCCGGCAGTTTGTATTTGATGGGACTGAGTAGGGTGCTGCGATCGAGAAGGGTAACTTTAGTTTTGTGAGGATCTATGAGAGTGGGCATCAGGTTCCCTACTTCCAGCGGAAGTCTATATTTTCACTTAGACTCTGGGTATTGAAATATGAGCTGACGATTTTGATGGCAGCACTTACTGCTCAGACACTGTTACAAAGGTCTGTGCTGGGATTGGATATCGCGATTGGGAAGAGTGTTGTTACTGGCGATAATACCACGAATGGGATGGCGAAGGCTACACACGGAGTCTTTTGTGCTTCTGCCCACTGGCAACTGAGAGTCGCTGGATAGTTGAAACAGAATAAGAGACCTGCAGACCTTCTGAGAGTTGGCAAGAATGACTGGAAAATAGATGCTTGAAATAATCATCGACTTTTATGTCTCACCGAGTGACAGAACGAATTTTATCCCTAATTACCTGCCCGCCGTCATACTAAACCAACCCCAAGCAGCAATCGCCAATCCCGAACCTGCTCTAAAGCTACATTTCCCGGACCTCCTTCCTTCCAGCAGACATACCCATTAACAAAACCCACGTATCTGAGGATTGCCATCACAGTGTTCACCACTTCGAGCTTCCCCCGGGGGTAGACGGTGAAGATTGCTATTCCTATCGCTGTGATGCGTGCCATGCCGATGACCATGACGGCTTGAGCTGGTTTGGAGATAGCTCAGCGCTGAGGCAGCCCCAATTCACAGATTGCGTATTCGGCGTTGAAGAAATGAATGACACCGCCGAAGGTCGTTGCTGCGGAGGCGAAAAGGGTCGGGATATGTCGGAGGCTGAAATGAGCTAACATCGTGATAGGATGTAGCAGTTGTGTAACAATGCATTGTACATTGCTATCCTAGATATCGATTGACGTGCATTGAAAGTTTGGGAGTGGCTATCGCCGAGTTTACAGGGAGTGCAGGCTCACCTCCGCCATAAGCGAGCCACTAAAAGAAGAGAACTATCCCCTGAAAGGTCCCACGGCAGCATGCTAACCGCCCATTTCTATGCAGAGTATGTCAGCAATACCACCAAAATCTCTGCGTAAGTTCAGACATCCCACCCTTGCATACTTATTCCATAGAGTTCCTAACAACCGGCGTGCTATAATTTCTCAGTACAGCGAGCCTCCATGCCAATTATGGACCTTGAAGATGTTGACAAACGCCCCACTCGTCGCTCCATATACCTCAATCCAAACGCCAAGTCCTACCGAGCCCCAGAAACAGAAGACAACTCAGCCGAGCTGCAAGCCTTCTATTCAAGTCTCCCCGATTACGCGCCAACCAAACTAGTTCCCCTCCCCGATTTAGCAGCCGAACTAGGTATCAAAGGCGTCTACGTCAAAGCCGAGACTTCGCGTCTCGGTCTCCCATCTTTCAAGCTCCTAGGTGCATCATGGGCAGTCCGCCAAGCGATCATTCATTCTGCAAAACTCCCGTCTTCCGCTTCCCTGGATGATCTAAGGGCAGCTATAAAGCAGCATGGAATGAAGCTCTGCGCTGCGACGGATGGGAATCATGGGCGATCTGTTGCATTCATGGGACGACTTCTGGGGGTGGAAGAAATCAAGGTTTTCGTCCCAAGAGGATTGGATGAGAAGATCATAGCTTCGATTGTGGACGAAGGGGCGGATGTCGTGATTGCTGATGGAGATTACGATCACACGGTGAGGACGGCGCATCGATTTGGGGAGGAGACGGAGGGGTTTATGCTCATTGAAGCTGTTGCTTATGAGGGGTATGAGGATGTTCCTAGGGTAAGTTTTATTCACGAAAACAGCGGCCTCAATATTGACCTTGCTGTAGTGGGCAGTAGAAGGATACACAACTATGCTTCGGGAAAGCGATGCTCAGCTTCTCGTCCACGCTGAAATGCAGAAGCAAGATCAGGCACTAAGCATGATCATCGCACCCGTCGGGGTAGGCTCCCTGACCCAAGCAATCATCTCCTACTACAAATTTCCAAACAACGCCTCTCCAACTCCTGCCGTGGTGACAGTCGAACCCGACACAGCAGCAACGTTGCACAAAAGTCTCAAAGTAGAAAAGTCACTCTCGATTGCCACGAGTCCCACGATAATGGCTGGCCTAGAATGCGGGACTCTGTCCAGTATTGCTTGGCCATTGCTGCAACCGGGGGTGGATATCAGCACTACGATCTCAGACTGGGAGTGCCACCATGCTATTGAATACCTGAAGAAGCACGGTGTGGGTGCTGGACCTTGTGGTGGTGCTGCACTTGCTGGCTTACGTCGCCTGGCCTCTGATCCCGCAAGCAAGGGAGTCTTGAACAAAGATTCGGTGGCTGTGTGTATTTGTACAGAAGGCACTCGGCCATATACTCTTCCCACGCCGGTGGGTGGTGAAGAGCTGTCACTTGTAAACGCATTGATGGTGTTGCATATGACGCCTAGTATTGCCCCTGGCTGGAGTATGCAGAATGTACCGGTTTCTGCGGTGTTTAACTATGTTGCGCAGTGGCTTGAGTATAGAGATGTTGAAGTGAGCTGTGTTGAATATGGTTCTGAGAATGCTTCTTTGGTCGCGAAGCTCCACGGTGCAGGTGAGTGGGTTGGCAATGGGGAAAGGAAGTCGCTGCTGCTGATCTCGCATCTTCCTTCGAAGACCGAGGATGAGATAGGTATGTACACCGGTCTAGGAGCAGCCTTGCTTGCTGTAGCACAGCTCCAACAATCCACTTCGATGGCTAGGCCAAATATCACACTAGCAATAATCCCTGCCGTCGCGGGCCTTAGGTCTGTTCTTGAAACTTTGAGTACTCCGGATGCTGGGTTACTTGTTGACACAGCAGCGGGCTTCGATCTGTTGAATGTTCAGGATGGGATGAACTTCGAGTTTTCTAGGACGGTGGAACGGAGCGTGAGGTCTGCATTGGGGAGAGAGGTGGCGCTGAGGGAAGCCAGTTCGAGCCCAGGCAGTGTCCTCGATATATTAAAGGGGAATAATCTATATGCGATGACGCTTGGATGCCTGGGGGGGAACTTGGCAGATGATAAAGGAGATAAGGGAGATAAGGGAGAGGAAAGTGAATATTTGATGGCGAAGGCATTGATTCAGGTTGCGAAAGATTGGTGCAGTTGAATGGTGGATGGTTTGAGATGGTGGTATAGGGTTATTGGCGAATGATGACGCTGAGGTGATCATGTTTATTAAGAGAAAGTAGATAGAAGAGGATTGGTAGACATCTCTCAATGAGCGACTGAGTTTAATGAAAGAGAATAGAAGCACTTTCGAATGATAGAATTGTTGTTAGCGTGCTCCTTATGGTTCGGCATTGAAGCGCTGGTTCAAGGGAGTTTGCATAGTGCTTGCAGAAAACCCAAGACCAGAAACATTCTGCTGGCGTCGAAATCATTTGGGTCAGGATATTTGTAAGTGGAGATCTACCTGGCTTTTCTTTATTGTGTTGTATTGTCGCACTTGACAAGATCACAGCACAAAGACATATTGGAGAATTCCGGAGGTATTGGCGGCGACGGTAGAAACGAGGGCCCGCTGGACAGGACAAGACTAGTCGTCAAAGGGGGATTGTTGAGACCTAGGCCCTTGATGGGGGTAAAATATATAAGAGACGCTTGGATAGAGAGATCGCTGCAATTCCGCTTCAGTTTCAGTGTCAATCAAAACTTCCAAACTCTTCTCCCCCTCTCCCATCCGACTCAGAATCTACGGATCTTCAGGAGAACGCAGCACGGTGAATATCAACGAATTCTTCGCCCAGCAGTCCCGCTTCAATTCACACTGGGTTGGCCCAACTACCACCGAAGCACTCGAATGGGAAGAGCAGCATGGAACCAATTACTACACACCCCTGGCCCCCGGACCCTTCCTCGTCGCCCAGAGGCAGGGACTCGGCGGCGGAGCAGATGTCTTTGGGCCCGCAATGATCAACTGGGCAGCACTTCGAGCTGCAAACCAAGCCTTCGATGACGAAATGAGGCGAAGGCACGAGGCTGATATGGAGTTGAATACAGGAACGAACATCTGCGAATACAAGAATGAGAAGACGAAGTGGTTTCTCGCCACGCGAGGCGTGAAGTTGAGAACCTTGGCGGCACAACGTACGTTGTACATTGGTGAGCGCACGGTTGCAACGAACAGAAAGGTGGCGGCGATTTGCGCTCTTAAGACTGTAGGAAGAGTTGGTGATGGAAATAATGCTGCGAAGCATTTAGCGGGCAACAAAGTTGGTTGAGGCTCTTGCTGACTATGCGATCTACATCACCGTCATCAGGATCTTGGATGAACTCGAGAGGATGGTGCTGAGGGAGACGCAAAACGGCTGGGATTGGAAGACTGAACTTCGAGCTCAGCTGGATGAGAGAAATGTTTTGTGCGAGTTGGTTGGTGGCTTGAGTGATGCGGCCAGAGTGACTTTCATTCGTGAAGCTGATGCTATCAACTTCTATTGAAGGAGGAAATGCGAAGTATGGGTCTGTTGTGGGGAATATTGTTGGCTCTAGAGGGCTGCTTCCAGTGTGTATGTTAGTTCCGGTACAGGCAAATCTTCGGGACATGATGGCACTTACTGTGGGTATTCACAAAACTCTTGAGGAATTATCAAAATCCAAGACCCAGTTTCATCCCACAACCTCCACCAGCTCCCCCTTTTGCGCTCCCTCATCCCAACCCAACTCTCTCATATCAATATTCTCATTCTCAATCATTTCTCATGTCCTTCAACGCGTCTCACCCCCTACTCTAAATATTTCCTCCGTCTGCTTTCACGCCTCACTCAAGCCCTTGATCACTTCCATTGAATGTTGCTCAAATCCCTAGCCATTGTTTCTTGTCTTTCCTCCGAGGCAATCCTGAAAATGTCTTCCCTTGTCATCCAACTGCTCAGACTCTCCAATTCTCAACATCCGTTGGCAGAACCCATCCACCACAAGCCTTCCCGCACCAAGCTCCTTCAAATGAATTTATTAAGCTGACTTCAACATGGAGTCACTTGGGACTTAAGATGCCAACAGAGAGCAAGTATCTGCAGGACGGATTCGATTCTTTCGTTGTGTTACATCCAGCATCGTTGACGTCATGACTTGTTGAATCGGGCCCACACGAAAACATTATTCCTTCAACCCGAGGTGAGATTTCGAAATAAGGAGGGTTCATAATGCAGCAAAAATGACCATCAAAATACTGCTGGTTGTAGCAATTGTGAAGTGAAAGATGAGGGTATTGGACAAGCCAGTGAGTGCTGGTGGCGGAATCATCGCTGCGGACAGAGATAGGAGCCAGGACAAGGAGTGTGTTGAAAGTGGAAATGTGAGTGAAAAGAAAGGTAGAGGCAGAAGCACGATGCTTGAGAAAGTACGAAGAGATATGCGGGGTAGACGGACATAAGGAGGGACGAGTGGGCATCTAGGGAGATAAGCGCTCAGACCGTCGATGTTAGAGGGCATCTCCGGCTCTTAGACCCTTGTATCAAATAATGTTTTAAGCTTCTTCGGCATTGGCTTTCATATCTCTTCGCATCTTTTTCTTCTTCAACTTAGTCTCAGATATTCGGAAATCGAGACTTCTTTCTTCATGCTGGAAGTTGAATGACCTTGTCATGTGATTTGTATGAAACAATGAAACAGAATCCAGCATATTCGAGCAATTCAGAAACTTGTTTCGTTTCTCTATGCCGCCTTGGTCTGGTGGTTTCGGGAACCCGGATTGACTGGAAAGGTTTCCAAGAGCCGATTCCCCTTGCCTCCAGCGATGGCGACACTCTGCAAGGGAGCACGCGGTCAACAAACGAGATTAAAAGGGACCTGTACCTTCTGACGGTCACAAATTCTGAACTTCTTCTTATCCTCGTATCTTATTCTTGCTACCAATACCATCTGCAAAAGAAATTTCACAATAGATCAGCGTAGTCGTTCCCCTCTGCAGATGCTATCGACGCCACGAATCGTGGTCAGCTGCGCTCGCACCTCGACGCCCACGATTGTCGCATCAGAAGTTATTGACGATGTCTCCACTTGGAATCGATCTTCAATTCGAGTTTGAATTCATTTCTGTGCGAATTGTATTCCGCAAGCTTTGAAGAAACTGGTCCCGTCAATCACCTATGAGCTGGGATGGGACACAATGGCGGAAGGCCGGGCGCGTCGGTGAACAGCCTGATGCTCTCACAGATAGCTCACCGTACATGTGAAATGGACGCGAGTTGGTGAATTTCTAGGAAATTTTTGTTGCGATGATTCGGTGGAAGTGAAGTTTCTCGGTGAAGGGAGAGCAGTCGCGATTCGCGATTTGAGATTTTCGCGTCACATCCAATTGTGGCTGTGCATGGCGATCGACTTCAGGCTACCTCCATACCTTTCCTCAACAACAATGCGCACTCTCTTTCCTCTGTCCTTGACATTATGAAATATGGAGGAATTGACCTCTGCGACTCGAAAGCTGGGTCATCAGGATCCAAAGTCATCAAGGATGGCATATCCACCGCGCCTCACAGATGAGCAGTATGCGGCTCTCGTTTCGGACATCAAGGATTGGCAAATCACTCATGGATCACTCTTGAAGCTTGTTCACACGGATGAGGAGAATTCAGTTCAATGCCATCCCGTCGGCACCACCCTCTTCCCCACGTTGTTTCCGAAGGAGCTCTTTGATGAGGCTCACGAGCTGCAAAGAGTGTACAACAAACTCTACGCGGCTGTGGCTGAAGATGACGAGTGGCTTCTCGAGGTCTTGAAAGACCTCATAGACGTTGATGATCTTGCGAGTGCATTATGGGACATCTATCAAGAGGTGAAGGAAGAAGGATGTGTTCAGGACTTGACGCTTGGTATTTTTAGGTCTGATTACATGTTGCATGCCAATCCGACTGAGAGCTCTCAACGACCTCAACTCAAGCAAGTGGAGTTGAACACCGTCGCTTGCGCGGGCGGAGTACATACGAACGTCGTCTCCGACATGCACAGGCATCTCCATCGAACCAATGCATATCGATCGAATCATCCGGCAAGCTCTGGCGACGTGAACATCGGCTCCTCATCTCTACCGCCGAATTCAACACTCAAAGCACTATCCGCTGGCCTTGCAGCTGCTCACAAAGCATATGGTCCTGCTAAGAGCCAGGGCTTGACAGAGACGTGCATCCTCTTCATCGTTGCAGCAGACAACTTCAACATCGTAGACGAACGGCCGATCGAGTATGCTCTGTGGGGCGAGTCTATCCCTTCATATCGAGTCTCCTGGGGACACGATGTTCTGGCTCATACATCCCTCACTCCAACACGTGAGCTTCTCTACCATCCACAGTCGCGACCTATTGCGGTGGAAGTCAGCGTCGTGTACTTTCGCAGCGGCCTCGAAGTTCACGAATACAATGAGATCGGACGAATGGCAAGACTACAGCTTGAGAAATCACGAGTCATCAAGTCACCTTCCATCCTTTCCCACTTGACTGGATTCAAGAAGGTGCAACAAGCTCTCACCGCGCCTGGTGCACTCCAACGATACCTTACTCCCGAAGAAGCAACCAAAATCTCGCGTACTTTTGCGCCAATGTATCCACTTGATGATACACCATCTGGGCAGCACGCGAGGACGCTGGCATTAGATCCAAACACTGCGCGTAATCACGTGTTGAAACCGTCACTTGAGGGTGGAGGCCACAATGTGTACGGTGAAGAGACCGTTGCGTTTCTGAAACAAACGCCCGAAGAGCTCTGGCGAAGCTACATCCTGATGGAGAAGATCATTCCGCCCGTACTGAACAACTTCATGATGTCGAGCCGAGGCTTCTACGAAGGGCCGGTGATCTCAGAACTCGGAATATTTGGAGTCTGTCTCTGGAAGCGGGTTCAAGATGGAGAGAAACTACGAGCGGAGATGGTCTCGGAGCTCGATCCAAGTTGGAGTCTCAGGACAAAGGATGCCAGTGTTGATGAAATGAGCGTGGTAAAGGGATATGGGTGCTTTGACAGTCCTGCTCTGGTAGACTGGGACATCTTCATGTCGGTTCTCAAAGCTTGACACATCGACCCGATTCATGCGGGGAGGCGCAGCTGTGCCGTGAATTGAAAATTCGGTTCGGTCATCGATCGCGGAGCTGGGAAATTGTGAGGGGACATTGTGGTCAGGGCGATTCCAGATGGCAGATTGCGTGTCTCATCCCCGCACATTCCCCTCTTCTGAGCGGGTGGCTTCTCCAGGTCCCACTTCAAGTCGAGGGGTCAACTAGGATCCGTGCAAGTTGTTACGCAAAACTTTTCATGATGAACGAAATCAAGATCAACGCGATTGTTTCTCATGATCTCATCTCCAGATGTTACTCGGTACCATACCGCCAATTTCATCAAGCAGCGAGGGGTAATTCCAACAGAAATCTACATTTTGAAGCATAATTTTTTTTGCAGGATCAAAGCATTCGAGGAAAGCTGTTTTCAATCGAAACACGTACTTGGTATCCTCACCACTTCTTCAAAACCTTGGGCCCGGCATCTTCGATTATGGTCCAATCAAGCGCACTTTCTCTGTACCTCCCTCATTACAAGCTTTTGATCAGGTGGTGCTCATGTGGCGTGTCGCGCAGTGAGCACGGCGCTAAGGTGCACGACAACCACGAAGAGCACCGCATATCGCACCATAACACCGCGCCAGAAAACCACTCATGTCCGTACCCGAAGTACGATGAAAACCTTAAGGCAACACGCGGCGCAGCAATTGATAATCTGGTCGGCCCCACCTGGAAGGGGTTGCGTGAAAGTTTTTCTTGCGTTTACCCGGGACCTGCATAATGCAGGGACGTTATGATCTTTGCAGATTTGAAAATCATGGTGATCTCGGCATCATTTTGTTCAATCATTATATAACGAAATACTCTAAGTGGCCATTGTAAGACGGCACCGCCAGAATTATTTCGAGATATGAGGTTGCGCGAGGCTGAAATTTTGTGAATACGAACTTCCACTGTGGCTCCCGGCAGCCAAGAATCCAAACCAATCTATATATATTAACGAACTAGGTGGCAGAAGTCCGTGCGTTCAGGGCATTTTCTCGCCAAATTCAAGTGCTGTTCAGGCACTTGAAACATCAAGTCACCAAGATTGCTATTATACATTTAAATTGTTATTCAATTTTAAAGCCTTGAATTCTGGAAATAGATAAATATTTGGAGAATTATCACTTTTATATAGACCGAATATGCGATATCAGTATTTTATATTTTTATTTACTAGTAAAATACCCTGAACGCACAGACTTCTGCCACCTAGTTCGTAACCCTTCTCAGGACGGCTAGGGTGGATGACATCAGAGCAGAGAACCTGCCATTTCTAACATTCTATACTTGGTTACGATGTGGTTCTGCTATTGGGTATTCTTCATGAATGATTATGGAAGCCAACATCATCTTCCTTTCAAGATGGCGACTATCTCGGGCATGGTGACGGTGAAATGGGAAATCTTTCTTATGGGATTTGATATTCGGGATTATTGCCTAGTTTGGAAGGATACTTTACGCGATGGAAATGGGTACCGAGAAATTCTTGTGACACCTGAAGAGACGATATTTAGATCCATGATCTTGACGTCAACACTTACTTCAAGAAACGGATACCAGGAAACCCCCAGCCGGAGGCTCTCAACTTCGAAATTTCAATGCTTCGTGCAGAATTGCGGAAATCGAACGCAAAGGACCCGCCTCTCTAAAGTCTTCGCGAAGAGCAGACAGAAGGTGATCCTTCACTCTTATTCCCGTATTTATAAATGAGAAAGTTCTTTCTCAAAATCTTCCGTCAATGCTGTGCGGCCGTGCCGGGTTCTAGACCCGCCGCCGACTCTTTCTCGTGTTCGGCCTACTAATGATACCAGGCGTCTTGATATTGGGCGGCTGTGGCTTCGAATCGACTGGGGATGGATTTTCGGGGCGTGTATCCGAGGCGCTCCCCAGTTCTCAATTTTCCAAAACAAGAGTGAAGCCATGGCTTTTGCCCACAATTTCGATTGGCAAAGTTAAAAGAGTCCGGGGGAGAAAAAAAGAAGCGTGCCCCTGATTCGGTGTTCAAGAAATTGCTGAGGAGAAGGTTTAGCCAGACAGCTCCAGAACTTCTCCTGTTCGGGCAGCTGCTATGAAGTCCAGTCCTCGTGTTAATAGGCTAAGAATAACCTCAAGGATCACCACCATCGCCGCGGCCGCCCTGGCCTTCGAGTGCCAAGCCGCCGATCGCTTGTACCTGAAAATAGAGAGATTTAAGCATGTGCGAAGCGCGGGACAGCTCACAGCTCGTGTACCCCTGGGCAGCGACGCTAGGCGCGATCCGGCTTAACCCCTCCCCCTTTTCTCATGCAGCACCCACTCGAGCGCCAGCGTTTCGCTCCCCCTGGCTCTCGTCCTCCCACGTCGGCTCCTCAGCCTTTTCCCCTCGCTCATTTCCACAAACAAACATGTGGCCTACTGGCGTGCAGCTCTGCACGTCAATTCGTCGAGATTGGCAGCCCGGCTGCACCATTGTTCCCTGCTGGCTCGGTTGGGTCCCCCCCATTGGCCGGCCCGGGGAAGAGCCCAGATGTCTGCAGTGCCACAGCCAACACACCACCGTCCCATCCCGAAGCGGGCTTTTTCATATATGACTCTGTGTTTCCCTCTCGTGATTCCTTTCTCACGATCACCGCTTTCTTCAAAAACCACAGCTTCCCGGTCCTTTCCCCCAGTCACTCGCTTCAGACACACTCGCTCAGTAGTCACTCGTTAAAACTTATACACTTTAATCAACAATCAACATGCAAGGTCTTATTATCTTGGGAGCCATTGCCGGGCTGGCGAACGCCTGGTCGTACCCCGACTGCGTATGTTTTCCTCTTTCTCTGAATGGGATCAAAACTGACATGTATATAGGAACCCGACAACTGCTATAGAAACCTCATCGATAGCCGCTTCACCGCAACCATCGGCGATTACTGCACCTCGTATCTTGCTATGCCTACTGCCACCGCTATCCCAGCAGACTACAACAACTGCGCTTCTCCAGAAGCGCTCAGCTCTGCTTGCTCTTGCATCGCCTACACCTATACCCACTCCGCGACAAGCTCTACCCCAACATATCCTGTCACCTCCAGCTCCAGCCCGACCCCAACATACCCCGTGACAACCTCCACTCCAACATATCCCGTGACAACCTCCACCCCAACATCCGAGAGCACAAACCTCGGATACACCACCTCGACCGTCTATGTCACCACCCTCAAGACCATCACCAGTTGCGCGACGACCGTCACAAACTGCCCTGCTACTGAGAAGACGCACACATACGTCGTCACCGACACCATCTCCTCATACACTACCGTCTGCCCGGTAACTGCAACCGAGACCCCGGTCTACCCAACCAATGTGCCAGTTGTCTACACCTCAACCTACTACACCACCGAGGTGATCACCACCTCCTCATGCGCCAAGGAAGTCACCAACTGCCCATACACGACCTCAACCACCGTGTACCCCGCCACAACCGTCTGCACGACAAACGCTGCGACCTACGTCCCAACCTTGAGCGTCGGCACGATCAGCCAACCCGTCGGCACCGTCACCTACCCCACAAAGACCACCACCTCTGCAGGTCTTCAGGTCACGGGTGCTGCTGGCCGCGTCGCTGCTGGCTTTGAGATGGCGGCCGCGGCTGCAGGTCTCGTTGCTGCTGCGTTCTTGTAGATGGGAGAGAGGAGAGGAAGGGATACGCGCGATGAGATGAAAAATGACATTTAGTGGACAACGGTTAAAAGTGATTGGAGTCTATAATTTAATTCTGAGTGCATACAATACACCTATCAACATTTCACTTCTTGCAATCGCTCGATTCTGATAACGTGACCACGAGCTATTTCGATATGACATCTCTTTCGAGGGTGGATTATGGAACAGCTACGACGCGCTGGCCTGTGGTTGTGGGGATGTCTGTCTCACACTTTACTGTTGATGCCTCTCTTTGGACTTGGGAGACGGGCCGTTTTCGAGATAAGCTATGACAGACGGATCATTCGTGCTGTTTGTGGAGATGTCTTGTCTCATGGCTTTTATTGATGGATGCTCAATTGTGTTTCAGATAAAATCACAATCTGATTGTTCAATTTGTCTCTCGGAATAAACCCTTGCGGGTGTCTCAATATTTTTCCGAAAGAAGTACCTCGGCGCGCTTATCTTGTGATGTGGAAATAGGGGCCCTTGGCGATCGCTAAAATGTTCCAGAGGGAAGCGAGTGATCGACGCCTATCACCACCAATACTTTGGATATCCACGGAAATGACGCGAGGAAATGCTCATCATTGCTGAAAACCAAGTAGCTTTCGAATTGTCGGAAAGAGAGGGGGGAGTTGATGATTGGCTGTGATGGAGAAGAATTGGCCAACCACTCACCAATCACTGAAAGGGGTGATAGGTGCCTCGGCATCGCTGAAACCCTCTGGAGGCGACCAACACCACCCCGCATTTATTTCTCCAAGACATGCAGAGTGTCAGCCTTCAAGGTAAGCTTACATCTGGAAACTAGAAGAAGGATGGTTTCCTTTCCTCTTCCCTTCAACAAACTGTTTCGGTCGTGTCTATTCGTGAGCTGTCGTTGGCAACAAAATGGTAAGTTCCAATCCGCGCCTGGCAATTCTACGAAGCTGACCAAATAGTCTGTTCAAAAACAAAGAGCAGAGGTCCTCCAGCCAGGCCGCCTCTCCTTCAACAACCGCGTCCAACTCGGCGAGGGCACGACCTTCCTCCCTGGCAAAAAAGACCCCTCGATCACCCACCTAATCGACCATGTCCTCACACACGGCTACGTGATCCTGCCCTCTCTCTTCCCCGCCCCGCTCGTCTCTCGCGCGCTCTCGAAACTCACGCGCCTCGAATCCGCCTCCCTCGAGACCTCCGGCCCCGCTTCCCACGGCGGGCGGAATCCCTTCGAAGGATATCAGACACGCAGGGTATACGCGTTGGCGGATAAGTCAAGGGTGTTTGACGAGTTCGCGATCAATGAGACGGTGCTGAAGTTGAATGATTATTTCCTGCAGGAGAATTATCTGTTGACGAGTTTTCATACCGTTACGATTGCGAGCGGGGAGAGGGAGCAGAGTATGCACACGGATGATGGGTTGATTCAGCTGCCGAGACCGAAGCCATTAATGGGTGTTGTAAGTCAATCTGGAATTCGATTTCAACGTGAAGTGTACAGTGGAAGTGGTTCAAGGAGTTGTGACTGATCGATGATTTGGATAGGGAACGATGGTAGCACTCGACCCCTTCACCTCCACCAACGGCGCCACAACCCTCATCCCGGGCTCGCACCTCTGGCCCGATTCACGGCTTCCTCAACGCTCAGAAATGATATCAGCCATCATGCCCGCGGGCTCAATGGTCTACTTCCTTAACACGGTCTGGCATTCCGGCGGGGCGAATATAAGCAGTGAGCCGAGGAGGAGTCTGACAGTGCAGTATTGCCAGCCGTGGATTAGACCGATTGAGAATATGATTGTGGCCGTGGGCTGGGAGGATTTGGATGTCGTGCCGAAGAGGTTACTGCAGTTGTTAGGGTTCAGTTTGAATGATTTTATGGGGTATGTTGATGGACGGGCGCCGAGGACAGGTGTTGAGATGAGGAAGAGGAGGTTGATTGAGTGGGGGGTTAGGGAGAAGGAGAAGGAGAGGGAGAGAGAAGAGAAGTTCAAGAATGGGTCGAAGCTGTGAACTCGTCAGGTAATTTAAGGTTGCGTTGCGTGGGCTTTGCAATGAGAAGGGGAGGGAGGGGTTGGAAGCTGAAGAATGAATTGGATTTCTGAGTGGGTATCGGATAGGCACTTGGCATAGTCGGGGCCGAGAATGAGAAGAGATATTCCAGGACTCTTTTTGTGTGTGTAGCCTTACGGTAGTAGGATACTCGGATTGGTCGCTCGCAATCCGAGATGCGTGCCAAGGTGTCGTGCTGTTGGTGGAGGGGCATCGCAAATGCGGGGCAACCTTCGCCGAGTTTCAAGCCACATTCGGATTATAGTGCGCGAATATTTCCCGAGCCTCTCTCGACATCGCAATCGTCTTCATTTTTACTTTGTTGCGCGTTATTTTTTATGTCCGATCTGGCCGAGGCGGCTTTAGCTGTCTTCTATATATAAAGAAAGAGGACTTCTCGGGTTGAGGGGCATTTTTTATCATTAAGTACCAACTCCGGACAACTGAGACCCAGACAACTCTTTACAAACCCCAATTAGTTTCTCCTATCCATAATACTACACATATCCAAAATGGTCCAAACACTGCACTCACAAATCGAAATTTCACACCCTCCCTTAGAAGTCAAAAGACTCGTACGTCCTCCTTTCCCAACCGCTTTCACCCCATCATGCCTAATTTCTAACGCCCCACATCAGTTCCTCGATTTCTCCTCCATCCCACAATTCCACGCCGGCTTCACAGTCCGTGCGATGGACGCCTCGAAACCGAACCCCCAGCCCGGCGATCGATTGGAAATCAACTCCAACGGTACCGTCCTACGACCTATTGTCCTCGTACGTCTCGTTCCCTTCCCCCCCTCCCCTCCTCATCTAACCGGAAGCAGGAAAACACAACCGAACACTTCTACTGGCAAGGCAATTTCCACGGCCTGATAAAAGGGACGCATATGTGGCGATTTCTGCCAAGCGAGGAAGAAGGGAATCGAGGCGGGACTACGTTCGTTCAAGCCGAGGATTTTGAGGGCGTGTTGAGTCTGCTGTTTTCGAAGTGGTGGCCGAAGTGGCTCGGAGGAATGAGGGGGAGTATTGAGAGGGATTTTGAGAGGTTCAATGGGGATTTTAAGAGTTGGGGGGAGGGGGGACGGGATAGGGGCTGATTTGGGGTTGGGGTGAAGGACGGTTTGGTGGGGATTTAGCATGTGGTTTTGCTGGAGTTGTTGTGTTTTCAATAGGAGGACAATATTTTGCTCTGAGAGCGTGCCTACAATGCTTTGTTCTCAGTATGCTCACACTTGGTTGGGATGAGGTCGAGAGAGAGAAAAGGGGGTGTGTCACGTGCTTCTCGAGCCGATCAACACTTCAAGACTGCAACCCAAAGTCTTCTCCCACGCTCTATACAATTGATTCACTTAAGACAATACTTCGATTGTATTCCTTGCTTAGGTCTCCACATCCAAGTCGCTTCAAACGGGTACTCCGCCTCCAGCGTCTTCCATTCCTCATCCAACTCTCCTTTTGGTCTTGGCGTTGACAATTCCTCGACCACAACAAAGCCGAAATTGCGATACAAATGAGTTCCATCAGAACTTGCTTCAACAAACATTTCGAGATCTATCTCATCGGCTTTTGTAACGCCCCATTGCATCATGAGGGCAGCGACTCCACGACGACGATACTTGGGGTGGGTACAGATCATGTTGAGCCCTGTGGAGATCGTCAAAGGAATTGAGAGCAAAACTTAGAGAATCCACTTACATATGTTAGGCAAGTTACATCGATTGGCTTGACGCTTAAGTCGATGGTTCATGAGGTAGGTGCAGTATTCTCTGATTCGAGACCCCACTGGATACCACTCCGCCTCAACATGCGGAGCACCATTTGTAAATGGAGACTCTTTGTATATTTGCCATCGTGAAACACTGAACAGAGCAATGAATAACTGAGAGCTAGACGAGTCATCTCAGGATGAGGGAGGAACCCGCGTACCCGACGATGCTACCCGTCTCGCTATCCACAATCTTTATCCAATACTCCGTGGAGCTTGCTTTCCACAATCTAATGGATCTTCCTGTTGCGCTTTGTATTCCTTTCTCGATAATATCTATGGATTCTGTCCCAATTTCCGGGACCACCAGGCGAGCGAAAGGATAGTTTGAGTAAGCCGCGAAAACCACCGTCTGCATCTCGTGCATGTCTTCAAGAGTGGCTTCCGAGAGTCGAAGAGACATTGTAGCTACTTTCAATTCTTTCCGAATATTGCTCGAAAGTAGAAGGATGATGAGTCACGAAGTGTTTGTAGGGATATTGACTAGTCGCCATCTCACGTAAGAATATCCTGCAATGACACATGTAGCGCAGTGGAGCCGGATCCTCGAGCATGATTGAGAATTAAGCCCACAGAAATTCTTTTCGCAATGGCTTTTCAATCAGTACTTTGCGTCCATTATTCCAAATATTGGGAACATAGTCAAGTGAAGCAGTTATGAAGCCCTTTTTTTGATGAGAAAGGCTGCAACTTGGCATGCTTCGGGATGATCGAAGACTGACATGATATTATAAAGCCCCAAAGGATATTTTCTTTTATAACTGCTAGAGGGGGGTCATGGGACCATCGCGTGCGTGGCTTGCAACGTTGAGGCTTGGCATGCACGTTGACGATCGTCGCGGTTGTGACGTCGTTTTCCAGCATCAACATGGCGATTCAAGATTTTCGAGGGTCTGAAACAAACAGCCACCGTAAGTTTGCGGGGATCCAGCTGTTCGAGGCCTGTCAATGTGGAGGTAGGCCATCATTCTTTATGCGTCCATTTCTTCATCTCATATTTCTTGGTCTGTCAACCACATGATGGTAGGAGACTGCTTCCTCCTTCTAATTCAGACGAGACCACTTCGAATTCTCTACCCCTGATCCGCTACTTCATCTGCTCTTCCGAAATTCCTAACAACAGGTCCCAAAATGTCTGCCGACTTTGACGAGGAAGCAGCTCGCAGAGACTACAAAGCACCATACTCGCACGACCATCCTATACCTACAATTCAACGATACCGTGAACATAGAAACGAGCTCGACGAACAATACAAACAAGCCGAAGATGCGCAGCACACCGGCGAGGACGATTCACGGGCAAAGCGGGCTTTTAACTCAGTGAAGGCTATTGTGAAGAACGAGGACAAGAAAGACCCAGCTGGCGACCCATACCCCACGTCCAATCGAAATACAGACGAGGACAAACAAGTGCCGGGCGAACATGACTCTGGCATACCTGATGTACCGTCTGCAGACGATGGAAAAGGACAAGCAGACCAGCAGAATGGCGACAAGAAGGTTGAGAACAATGGTCAGGAACAATCGGCGACCGAGAAGGCTGCGGGACATACGGATCCCAAGCAGAAGCGGAAGGAGATGAAGCACAACACGCGGGATGACGGCGGCCGAGAAGTCACAGACCCAGTCACCCATTTACCCCTCGTCATTCGAGACTCCACAACCAAGGACTTGAAGAAAGCTCCCGAGAGTGAGCCAGCTCCTGGTAGGACGAAGAAAACAAGTACTGGGCTGAGCGGGGCGTCGAAGACGTCGAATCAATTAGACTTGGAAGAGGAGGAGCTGCAGGAAAATTACGATGGCATGAGAAAGATGTTTCCTCCACCAGCTTTCGACGATGCTCGAGCAGAATTGGTTCGGACGTATCAACTGGCGCTCACAGTAGCATTAAGTATCATTGTTGCACTTTCTGCCATGGTGATACTGTTGCTGTTATTTATGGGCTGGAGGTCTGGCCATCATCTAGCAGAGGGCAAGTCGTGGATGAATACCAATGCAAAAAAATACCGGAATCAGCTATACATTGCTTTGACGACAATCACCGGCTTAGCATCAGTGATTGCAGTCTGCGTCGTCATTCAAATCCGAGGATGGCTTGGGAAGAAAGTTGAAGCCATTTGGGAAGACGAAGTGTGGGATGCGGCCAGAGTGGAAGAAGAGAAATCCAACCAGTCAAATGATCGTCTGCCAGAATCAGTTGCGTGGATGAACAGCCTCCTTGCCTCGGTCTGGCCCCTCATCAACCCAGACTTGTTCGCATCATTGGTCGACATGCTTGAAGATGTCATGCAAGCAAGTTTACCAAAAGTAATCCGGATGGTCAGTATCGACGATCTTGGACAAGGCAGCGAGGCCGTTCGAATTCTTGGAATTCGCTGGCTACCTACCGGTGCCGCTGACCAGTCAGTCGATGAGGAGGGCAATTTGAAGAAAGCCAGCGACAAAGAAGTGAATGATCGCGGTGCTCCAGGCCAAGGAGAAGAAGAGGATGTGGAAAACAAAGCCAAGGAAGAGGATGACCCTGAAGCGTCGAAGAAGGGGCAAGAAAATAAACAGCAGGAACAGGAACAACAAGCTATCCGTGAAGGTATGGAGGCAGAGCAAGGCGATTTCGTCAACATGGAGCTGGCGTTCGCCTACCGAGCACGATCTTCTGGCAAATCGATCAAGTCGAAGGCTAGAAATGCACATCTCTATCTCAAGTTCTATCTTCCGGGAGGAATTTTTGTTCCCGTATGGGTAGAACTGCGTGGAATCATTGGGACGATGCGCCTACGCCTTCAACTTACCCCGGATCCTCCATTCTTCAGCCTTTGTACCTTGACATTCCTCGGCCAGCCCCGAGCAGATATCTCTTGTGTCCCTCTATCGAAGCACCTGCCCAACCTCATGAATGTGCCCTTGATTTCTTCGTTCGTTCAGTCTTCAATCGATGCTGCACTTGCTGAGTATGTCGCACCGAAGAGCTTGACACTTGATCTCAAGGACATGCTTGTGGGCGACGACTTCAAGAAAGACACAGTCACACGAGGTGTCCTCTTGATACTCATCAAGGAAGCCAAAGACTTCAAAGAAGGCGACGGAGGAATTGGGCCTATGGATGGCTCGAGTGATGCTTATGTCACTTGCTCATGGGGCAAGTTCGGGAAGACCATTTCGTCAACCAGAATTATCGAGAAAGACCAGAACCCGAAATGGCACGAATGGGCTTACATGTTGGTATCGCCCGAGGAGCTCAACGCAGAGGAGAAGTTGCGGCTTCAACTGTGGGACTCGGATAAACACACAGCCGACGATGATCTAGGACGAGTTGAAGTTGATCTGAAAGAGCTTATGCACAGCCCAAAAACGAAGAACAAGCAATGCGACAGAGTGGATCGATTCAGAGGCCAGGATCCAACCGAAAATATGCCTGGCACCATCTCATGGTCAGTTGGTTATTATGCAAAGACGAGAATCACTGAAGATCAACTCGCGAGCCAGACCGAGGACGGCAAGATCAAGACGAAAGAGAATCTGAAGAAGCAGGTATCGGATACCGCTGAGAGGAAGCTCCGAGAAGCTACGGAGCATGACGAATCCAGGGAAGCCAACCAGCAGAAGACCCAAGATTATCAGGAGCGAGAGAATGCATTAATTTGCGCCTCTCCGCCAGATCCGAAATACCCAAGCGGAATCCTTTCAATCCAGATCCACAATATTACAGGGCTTGAAGTCGAGGCTTTGCAAAAGAAAGACAAGGACAATGAGCTGAATAGGGAAGATGAAGCCGAGCAGTCAGATGATCTACCCAGCAGTTACTGCACCATTATCTTGAACCACAAGAAGATTTACATGACACGAACAAAGCCGAAAAATGCCAAGCCATTTTTCAATGCTGGAATAGAACACTTTGTTCGCGATTGGCAGAGCGCAGAAGTCATGATTAGCTGCAGAGACAGCCGAGAAAGAGAAAATGATGCGCTACTCGGGATCGTATATCTGCCCTTAGCCAAAGTCTTCGAGAAACGCAGTCAAGTCATGGATATGTACCCACTCGTCGGCGGCACTGGATTCGGACGAGTACGAATATCAATGATATTCCGCAGTGTCGATTTGCAACTTATGCCAGAACAGATAGGATGGGATTATGGTACGCTCGAGATTAAAGGACCTGTCAAGTCCAAAGGCCAACTGCCAGAAGACTTGATGAACCATCGCATCAAACTGCGCTCAAAAATGGGACGGGTGAAGATGGAACCAGGCAACGGAGAGTGGCACCCCAAGAATGACGACTCATCCCAATTCATACCCTGGCGAAATCGCTACGCCATGCCCCTCACCGTTGAATTCCGCAAGTCAAGTCTGGGTCCCGACTCCACGCCTGCATTTGCCGTGTTCTGGTTGCAAGATATCCCGGACGAGGAGGAGCGCACGGTCACATTGAATGTATGGAAAGGAGGGAAGGAGAACCTCAAACGGGCGACCACTTGCTCTGGTTATGAGGGGCTTGAAGAGAATGAGAAGCCGCTTGGGGAGATTGAAGTCACGATGAAGTTCTGGAGAGGTCTGTCGGGGTACCACAAGCGATATGCACGGAAGGAGAAGAATGGGGATGTGAGGAGCGTCATGGAGGTTCTGGACACAGTCAACGACGAAATTCAAAGTGACGATGACATCGACGGAGTGGACGATTCAGATGGCTCCGATTCCTCGCAAAGCGGCAACGAAGGACACTCGAACGATGAAAGCACAAGCAAGAAACTCGCAACTCACACGAATCAGCCAGATTCGTCCTCGGACGACGACGACCGAAGCAAGAACCCACTCAAGAAAGCAAAGAAAGTCACGACCAATATCATGAAAGGCCACAATGATTCGGATGATGGGACTAGGGGAGCAGTTGGGCAGATGAGGGATTATAAGGATCATCATAGGCAGTTGCATAGGCAGCATCGTGGTGTAATGCAATGGAGAGCTGCGAGGACGGCGGATTGGGCGCTAGGCAAAGCGCGGAGAGGGAAGGGCAAGGTAGAAGGGATTTTTGAACATTCGGAGAAGAGTAATGGGGTCGAGACTGAGGTTTGATGTAAGAATTTGCGGCATGCATATACGGAGGGGTTTCTTGATGTGGAGCTGACTTTGCGGGCACCTCTAGGGGTTTTCATCTTAATAATGCACCGAGATTTAGCGAGCTCGCTCCTGAAAACCACTTGTGAGTGTTCACGTCCGCATTCCTCCTTAGCAGGTGCCTTCTCAATTCAATAACATAAGAACAACGCCGGTCAGTCGCGAAGTTTCACTCATTTTCAAAGTGCACATTTCTGGATGTTGAAAATCTCAAAGTTCTTTTTGATGTTTCTTTCGCCTCCCCATCAAGGATACGCCTGGAACTGGGGACCGAGAACAAGCTGCTGATACCCCACCCCCGCACCGCAATTTCTATTTGTATCCACTGGCAAATGCTAAATGCGGCGTAGAAAAGCGAGCGCCTCAACCTCAGTGGCGAGTTTCTTCAAGAGCCAACTCTCTTCGCCGCACATCACCAGTGCTACCACTCCCAGAGCTCCAAATCCTCGCTCGCTTTCGCCCCCCTTTCAGGCATGATCCCGATATTTAGAAGCACGCACAACTCAACAAATGAGTGAAGAAATTGGAGCTCACTTTATAGCAAAGTAGAAAGAGTGGATATGTGTGAAGCGGGTGTTGGATTGTATAAGTCGTATAATTATCTATCGAGAAGAACAGGTTTTTTTCAAGGAATCGGACGAGATGCTAGTGTCGTGACGAAATCATGGTTAAACCAACTTAATAATAGAAAGAGATGAGATGAGACTAGGCATATGCTATCTATGATCCAAAATAAGTAGATAAATTTGCGGTGAAACAGTAGTAAAGAAACTTGATGGCAGGATGAGACGAGATAAACTAGGAAATACGTTAGTTCTTATTTAAAAGAACTTCATAGAGTTGTGAATAAAATAGTGAACTAAAATCAAGACCGTAAGACGTAGAAAAGATGAGCTGAAACTTGCAATCATAACATTATAGCCCACTAAGTTTTCTAGAAGAGCAAGAACAACTATACAGAGTTCCTTACTGGGCTTAACGAACTCAGAGCTGTGGTGATGGATAGCCCAACAAATGGTTAAGCGAGCCCCTATTCAATTCTTCTACTGCCGCGGCAGGGCGTTAGTGAATTTAAGCAGCCATTCCCATTCGAATTCGGCGAACAGGCACGCATCTTACAGTATTTATATTAATTGATTCAATGAGAGGCTCAAATTCCTGATTGAGAGTTGTGTCAGTCGGCATCGAAGATTCGGATGGTGGATTGAAAGTCTAATAATCCCTTTCATCCCCTCAAGATTTCATTCAGAGTGTGTCTTCCTTCCTGGACTCCCATCTAACATTAACATAAATTGCTGCCCCCAGAGAACAAGCAAGCGGTTGCAATAACATTATTATTTCTCGTTTGGTCTTTGTTCTCATACACGTTTGACACGACTAGATAGTTGTAAGAAGCTTCATTATCTCTTATCGAGTCGCTGTTCTCATGCACAATTAACAACGTCAGATGATCCAAGATTTTCAATTATTTTCATTAAGTCCTTGTTGTCATGCAAGTTTGACAGCTCAGAAGTGTGATTTTAAGTCGAGGTTCTTCAATACCCAACGAACACCTTCAGCAACCAATTCCGGCTCGGTTTGGTGCGGCCAATGACCGCTTTCCGTAGCATCAATCCAGTGATTTTTTGTGGAGAGCTTGAGAAACAGCTCGTGAAATCCCTTCTCTTTGTCAACCCAAAGTCCGATCATGTCCCTCACTTTCTTCCTCTCCTCTTCAGTCCCGTTGCCGCGTTCAACTCCCTTCTCATAAAGCCGTTGTATGTCTCTCGTTGCGTGGTTGCCTTTAATGACACAAACTGGCCGATTTCCCAGCTTTGGCGGAGTCTGCTTGAACAAATCCTTCTTCTCTACTTCAACAAATGTCTTGTCCATGAATTCAAATTCCTTCGCAGCCTGCCGTTTGTGCATCTCATTTTCCCTTCCCTCCTTCAGAAAGGCTTCCCACTCATCGGGGGTGAGCTTTGTCTCAGTTGTGATGCCTACAGCGTCCCAGTAATCAAGTCCCTCAATCACTGCTTTCGCCTCCGGCAAGGTGGGAAACATTGGAAGCACACTCCAAAATCCGGGCGCTGTTCCATCTGAGAATACCATGCCAGAAATTTCTTGAGGGCGCATGTTCATGAACTCGAGACTGAGAATAGTGCCCCACGAGTGGGCAAGTGTGATGAACGGGGGCTCAATGTTGGCTGCTTTGAGGAGCGCTGACAACTCACGTGCCGCAGACAGACCTGTCGGATGGTCTGGTCCTTCTTCGCTCAGGCCGAGACCACTTCGATCGTAGTCGACAACTCGAGCAAATGATGAGATGAGTCTTCTTGCGGCGGGCCATTGGGTCATTGTGCCTGTGAGACCATGCATGATGAGGATAACGGGCTGACCCACGATGCGATCTGGCCCACTAACATCGAGGGCAAGCTTGTGAGTGCCAATTGACACGGTACCTTGGTGTGCGCCTTTGTTCCAATTGATATCCGGGGACGATCTGGACATCTTAGATCGTTTAGGGGCGTGGGGTGTAGCTGCTGATTTTAAATTTAGTCTGAATACCCCCCCTGAGAAGTCTTTTGTAGGAGGAAATAATAATAGATTGATGTTAAAGAGAAGACCCCGCATTTATAGCTTTCGGAGTGGTAGCCCCACATCATAATGAGGGGTCACGGGTAAACACGATAGGGGTGTAGAAGAGCTGTAGAAGAGACTGGAATAGGCGTTACAGCGATGAAAACTTCGAGGATGAGGCTATTAGAAGAGAGTCATTGACCAGCTTACTGCTGCGGTATAGAATTGCACTGGCACGACGGTGCCTCCTAATCCCGAAGCCCGACAGCACTGTAGTCCAGGCTGGCAGTCAACGTATAAGACGCTTTCAAAGCCGTGTTCCAACTGGCTACCCGAACCGACAAACTGGGCCCGATATGAATCTGGCTAAGCCGAATGGGAAAGTTCGGATCCTGTTGGGTAGATTCAATGCGAGTTTGGCCCTGTGACTATCGGCATGTGGGGAAGTGTTGGCTGGAAAGGGTACCCCACTTGGAAGGAAATTTTTTATAGAGAGCTCGTTAATCTGCCTCTGGGGACACTGATCCTATATAAGATCTTACCTGGGTCTCACATGGGTGGACCGAAACGTACGGCTCTCTGACAGAGAGGCTCGCTCCATCGGGAAGTCTGGCTCAAAGCAGCCACTGAAGATTTTCCCCGAATGAAAACAATCGATAATACAAGCAAGTGATATTAATTTGCACGAGAAGAAATTGCGAAGCCCTGTGGACTGCTCAAGGTGACACACTCCAGAGTGGGTTGGTGGGGTTGTTTGGCAGGGCTGTTTTGGAATGGCAGCAACTGTGACTCTGCATTGAACCTTCAAGATTCCGCCAACTTTTATGCCAGACGTGAGATCAAGAAATATGATAACATCCTATTTCAGCCCGAAACAGCTATACGCTAGTAAAAGTTCATGCCTGATAATGTGTCATTTTATGGAAGAACTATGTACTGTACTCTACATTGGTAAAGCTCTGGTCAAATTTAAGAATCAATATGGAACATTGTGATATAATGGTATTACAATTTTGCTTCATTTCTAAAGTAAGCTCACTTTTGGAATTGCTTTGTCTTCCTCTTCTTCAAAGTTTTAGGAGCGGCTAATGGCGAAGTGTCGACGCCCTCACTTATGTAAACAAATATCGCCAAGTGTCTCTGGCATGGAGCCCTACGACTCTCCATCTCAATTCCAGTGGAAATTCCTAAGAATCCTGCTAGAAGAAAGGGTTGGGAAGTCACGGTTATGTCACTAAGGTGACTTGGCGCTCTGCGCCGAGCAATTGAGACAAAGACCTCTTTCTGACTACCTGATAGGCTTACATACCTTCATTGAACCTGCCCTATCATTTGATTGCATAATCAGCGATGCGAAACAAATCATTTCAAGGGGGTCGCTGTCAGTTTTTATCCGAAGTCAAGTTGCTGTTGCATTAGTCCCCGAAAGGAGACACCGCATGCAAGATGCCGTCGGGGCACAGCACGCACACATGACACGGGAAGCAAATTGATGCGATCTGCAACAAATGTCCGTTGGAGTCGCAGGGCAATCCAGCTCCTTGGGTTCGGTAAATAGAGAAAACCACAGACGGCTGACAATGGTCAAGGCAGCTCATGTGAATATAGCGACATCTCTTCCAAGAATGGAGTTTATTAGGAACGGCGCCGAAGCCAATAAAAGCAACTTAGTTACTTTAAAGTATTCATTTGAGAACTTTTGCGCAGAATTGAAGTGATATAGAATGGGAAATGACAGTTGCTTAGTGAAGTATTCCCAGAGTCAGAATCCGACTTTGATTAGTCCACGTTGGGATTGAGAATGAGCTGGCGCAAGCTTAGCGTTTCCAATCTCTGTTCTTTTGAATCTAGTCAATCACAATTTTGTAGGCACGCGTAGGCAAGTCTCGGGTTAAACCAAGGCGAGGTGGGGGAAGGGTTTCGCTGTCAAGTGATCCACCCCTCGAGAGCCGAGCCCCACCAATATGAGGGTAATGAGGGGCTGATAAGTTCATCCCTCCCTGAACAAGAAAACCAGCTCAATTGCGACTCTGTGAGGAAAGAACCGGCACCTTGATAGAGGTTCAATAGTCTATTCTACATTCTCTTTTCCAGCAAAGAATTTTTTCCCCAAAGAAATCACTGCAAATCCTGCAATCCCTGCGCTACAACGCTAGTTGACAGAACCTGACCCAATGCTTAATGGCGAAAATAGCTGAATGACACTCTTAAAATTTGTATTAATACCAGAGTCTTGAAAATAGGTCATCATCTCCAAAGTGGTAAGTGTTCAAGTCACAGCGTTCATGTCGGAAACAGCCTTCTGACCACGTCAAACTTAGGACGAGCCAACCCAAAATTCCTACAACTCGTAAACCATATCGATATTACCCAGATCCCTGCCCGCCAACACCGATTCTGAGCTACTGTTGGCTGAGATGATATACAGGGGCCGATGGCCTCGATGCACCCTTCAAGGCATCCGACCAGCACCAACCAACGATGTCTGTGGCACAAATTCTACTCAAGCACGCCCACATTCTTTCTCTATTTTTTTCTTCTATAATTCACTTACAGTGCTACTCAGAATTGGCTCTCATTGCGCCATTAAAGCACTCCTCGTTGTTGGGAAGAAATCTCATCCCACGAAACGTCCTCGATAGTGCGACCTGCTTTTCCACTTCGAACTTTCACAATAACACTGGGACAATATTGGCTTGGCGGCGAGCTACATATAAGTTTTTGGCAATAGTATATTCCCTATAGTCATGGATAAGGGGTTTTGGACAAGTTTCTGGTGTCTCAGGATGTGAGACAGTTGATATTAATTCAAGGGTTCGGCATCTACTTCTGAACTTGACTCTACGCGTTCAGGGATGAAAAATTAGTTCAATCGGATCCCTTCCCGCTCAAGATACACTAGACTACTTTTCCCTGAACATCAAGACATCTCTGACTAGACTTCAGGTCAAATATATGAAGCGATCGTATCACGTCTTCAAGACTTTCTGGCTAAATATATAACTAGGCAATCGTGGTCAAGAGGTTTCTCGTTATTTTATTGAATATTCAGAGCTGTGGTTCTATGGACTTTGTTATACGTTTTCTTATACTGCAAGGTAAGCAGCTCTTCATGAAATAAACAATCTTACTATCCTATGACATTTACCCCTCCTGTTCCAAAGGGGTAAGAGGGGTATTTCGGGGGCCGTGCCCTCTGCCCCGCATCCCGCTTGGACACACATTGCCCAGTTTTTAAACATCTCTTGAAACACTCCAAACGAAACACCCGTCTCACATTTATCGCCCTCGTGTATCACCAGTGGAATGGGGCAACGGGGCGAGACTTTCCTTTCGATATATGTTTCGGAACAACTCGCCCTGCTAGGCAGCCCGCAGGCAACGAATCTGAAGGAACCAACCCTCCTCCACCTTTTTGTTCCCCAGAACTGGTAGGTTCCGTTTGAGAGGCTCACCTTCGATTTGGGGCCTGTTTCATCCGATGTATACTTGAACTCTGATCTGCTATCCCTCACAATCTTATTGGAGTATTGTATTCTACAGCACATGATAAGGGGAACAGTGCGCTCTGCCTCAAAGCCGATTTGCTATGCTTGTGACCTGTGACATTTCCGGTCTCCAAAATCGACACCTTCCGCGAGCGCATGGTTATCACGGCAATTATCACAGAAAAATCTGTCCTCCTCGCGAACCTTCATTTCGGAAATATTGGTTCGCTTTCCTCACGGACGAACTCGCAAGCATTTCCACCCTTCCCTGTTGTAGAACCGAAGCCCACTGGATCAATTCACTTTGCTATGCTGTATTTCTCCCTTGTGATTTCTGATATGCTTCTATCTAATCAATCTTATTATACTTTTTTGTCCTCCCACCCTCACCGAATCCTCTGCTCTCAAATATTACATCACAATGGACCCCTACTCAGCGAGGAGACATGCATTATACCAGCCTAGGGGCCCAGCCGGGTATGAGTTTGACTACGGGACAAACCCAGACCCTCAGAAAATACAGCAAATCGAAGAGCCCAAGACGAGCTGGTATGTAGGAGCGTTGGGGATTGACTTCTCTGAAACCACCCATGAGAGTCACGATGGAAATATCCCCTTCCTTCCTGCCACTCAGCCAGCAAAGCGTATTAGGATAGAGTCGGACGACTCATTGATTCCCATGGAAGTTCGGACAGAAGTCTTCGCATTGCTTTCGGGAGCCTGTTTAAATGAATTTCTAGAGATAAGAAATTTTCTGCAAAGATCAAATCACACCCCAGCCTCTGGCAGTAAGTTCACGGGTCCTCATGGGCTTGAACAACGATTCACGTATTACTAGGAAGTGAAATCGCTATGAATGGCTCCGGAATGTATTCTGCAGAAAACCCAGCGCCCATACACCAGCAGTCCAATTCTAGATCCGTGTCAATGCCACCTCAATGCAATCACTGGCCAGGCAGGACAGTTCCTTCTCAAATTGGAATGGACTCTAGCATATTTGGATCTCGCCATGAGTCAATGCCACCATCTGCTTTCCATAGTGTTGGCCAGCTGGGTATGGTAACTCCGGATAGCAACATCCAAACCGCGGGGCTGGATTATCTTTCAGAAGACTCGATGATGTTACCACTTGAGGGGACGGTCTCCAACATACCTGCCGACGTATTTTCTTTGTCATCGAATGCTCTCCCATATCCGGATGAACCTTCCAGTACAGAACCCATTCGCGACTTCTCTCGGCGCCGTGGTATATATTGGGCTGGCCCCGATGTTGACTCCAAGCGTGACTCGGCGATGTCAAGAAGCTCCACTAGCTCCATGTATACTGATCGGAGCATTAGCAGTAAACATTCCTCTACATCTACACTCGCAAGCCAAGGCGCTGTTCTTTCCGGAATGCCCATGTCGAAGCCTCCAACTCTGTCTTCGGCGGCCATTCAGTCCATGGCCCAATATGTGGATCTGTATCCCCACCCCCCTCTACCAGTTCGCGCCGCTTCCACACAATCCAATCCTCAGATACCTTGCGACTTTCCACCATGCGCAGAAACTTTTGGCAGAAAGGCAGACCGAGACAGACATCATAGCCAATTCCACGTTCCGGAGACCTTGTTCACTTGCCTTCTTGACACCTGCACCTCAGAATGTGAGGACCCATGCACAGAGAAATTCCACAACTCGCCATGTCGAAAGACAAGGGCCGATAAGATGAAGAGGCATCTGGCAAAGAGCCACGGAATCGACATTAAGCAGAGTGAGATACCAGAATCTTGGCGAAGGTTCTATTTGCATAGTTCGAATGGTTGGACTTGTGGCTTTTGCAATGAATTCTTGGGGACTTGGACTGGTAATGAGGATGTCATCAACGGCCACTTCGAGAGTTGTATGTTGCCGGATACCAAATCCACGGTGGATACTCAAGAACAGGCGGAGCCGACGAAAGAGACTGACGTTGGGAGTGAGTTGAACATTCCCCTCAAGCGGTTAAGCGTGCAGGAGAAACCGGATCCCAACGAAAAGCAAAGTCTCTCTGGGATACAATTCAGCAACAATTCTTGACCACGGAGACATACCTCGGACTTTCTCATTGTTCGGCGGAGTAATGGATTATGACTTTCTTTCTATAACCTATAGAAACGTTGCTCGGGGGTCCTAATTCGACCTTATAAAAGTTTGTGTTCTTTCTTGCCCCTATAATGCTCTCTTATAATAATACTTTATAGCTCATATTAATTTTTAATATTATGAGCACGAACTTTGATTTATTAAAGGTTTCTGTGATGTGTGTCGGATAGGCTTACCCACGCGCCAACTGAGCCAAAAGACTACAGTATTCACTCAGAAGTGAATACGCCTATCACGCTTCATAAGGCTTGCGTCAGGGTCACGTGCCCAATCACGTGACATGTCACAAATCATATAATTAAAATATAAAATATAAGTTTTATATTTTTTACTTAAATTAAATACTCCTATAGCTTTTTATAATACTTTTACTTTAAAATCTATAAAACTATATTTATTAAAGTTAAATATTAAGTATTAAAATATTAAGGCTTTATTTAAAAACTTTTAAAATTAAAAAAAAAATTATAAGTATAATATTCTTATCTTAGTCTTATAAATTAAAGTAATAATTAAGGTATTAAGATTATATTATAGCTTTAATATAAGGTCATAAATTAGTTTATATTTTATATTTTATTAAAGAACTTTATATTATAAATTATTATAGTAATTAATTACTTATATGTCTCTTGTTTAAAATTTTATTATAATTATATGCATTTAATGTTCTTATAATTCTCTTTATATTTATTAGCTTAAATATACAATAAAATATAAATTAAGCTACTTTAATACACTTTAATCAAGATCCCAGACTCTCTATTTCAATTGATAGGCCGGCTGCCATCTCTACTGCGTCACAACCTTCGAAGTTTCGTTCTCGCCCCAGGATCGAGTCCTAGCCAGAACGCCGCAAACTGCAACCAGAACACCTACGTCGATTTCTCGTTCAACGGGGATTTCAACGCAGAAAATGCAGTCAGTTCAGGCATTCGCAACCTCGTGCGTGGGCCAAATCATTGACAACGCGCGGTGGATAGCTGCTTGGTAAACGGATAGATTTTCGGTTTCGGAACCTTCACGAATTTGTCAAATAGCATTAGTAATGTATATTTTCAAAGCATAGGGAGTGGTAGAATGGAGAAGTGAAGGGTTGGTAGCGAGATGTCGGATGGTGAATATCCTGGCAGGGCTGGCGGTTGACAGTCTCAAAGTCGCAAGAGCTCCAATATGGGAGTCAAGGCATTTGAAGAATGATACCAGCGAAACATATTGTTGATTGCTTCCGAGAGTCGGAATTGGATGTCTTGTTGATGCAGCAGGTACCAGTCGAAATGAATCCAAGACGCTGAGATCTGAACTAAGTGTGCGGCCTCCCGAGTCTTGACGAGTCTGCTGTTGAATGCAATCGAACAATTCATAATGTCTTCTCCAGCGCATGGCTGCGACGTATTGCAAATCCTCCAGCGTAACCTCGCTTTCGCCATTTTCCTAAGTGTGGATATGGAGGGACCTTATTCTTACACTTGTTGACGAGGTTAAATGTGGAGACGTCAAGCCGCCGTGTCGTGACTGACTCGTTGTGACTGACTCGTCGTGAGTGATATGCCTCAGTCTTCAGCTGGGCATTGAAAAGATGATTGCGGGGCATAGATAGACGACAGATCTGATACAGCACCATCGATTATTGTTTAGGTCCAAAGAATGGTCACAAGCTTTGTCTCCATTGCTCACATTTTCAGCTCCTAGCCAAGAGCTAAGGTTCAGAATCTATTCTACAAGAGGCATAGGATACTATATCTGTGTCGGTAGTATGTATCACGTGAATCGAGCTAACATTCACCATAAAAAAGCCGCTTCTATATATGGTAAATGTATTTTCACCATAGTCGTGAAGTAAGCTAAAGTGATAGAAGATATCAAGGTTCAGCTACATAAAACATTTCTTGGAAAATGATATTCCATTGTATAGAAGGAAGGTTTACAGGGAGCCTATCCCCGCACTACCCCGAGCTGAATGGGATCATCTTCAAACCAAGAATCGTGGGTGTCCTGCTGTGGGGTAGGGATGGCATATGTTAGGATTTGGGAAGACCAAGTTATACGAAGATCACGGCATAAAGTATCGGGAATACAGGGCATTATTTTATGAAGGCCACTAAATGCCCTGTAAGGTCTTACTTTAATCTCCTTGTAGCTAGTCCTAGTCCCCTGTAAGCCCCTATAAGCTTACTAAAAGTGCCCTGAAGGCTTAATATGGGCTTATGCAGCTTGATAGGTACTGAAAGCCCCCAAACGCCCATAAATATAGGCGAGTCCACTAATTAGTAGCGAGTAAAGGGGGGATAATTAACCCTAATGTACACCTCTCTATACCCTTTGTTCTGAATTCTAATGAAGATTATAAAGATACTTTGGCTAGGAAACTCACCTGATCTCAATGCAATTGAGAAAGCCTGGTTTTGGATGAAAAAGGAGACTACCAAGCGGGGACCTACTAGTAATAGAAAGAAGCTGAGAGTGAGGTGGGAGAAATGCTGGGAAGACCTTCCCCAGAGCAAGATTCAAGAGTGGATTGCAGCAATTCCTGATTATGTAAAGGAGATAAGGGGGGAATAAGTATAAAGAAGGTAGGAACAAGGGCTAAGAGGAAGTGATTATATATTAGATAGTTATTTTTATAAGATAGAATCGAACTGATCAAAAAATAATCGAAATCGGAGGTTTAGAGAGGTAAGCACATTTCAGGGGACCCTTACAGGGCTTACAGGGAACTAGGACTAGCTACAGGGAGATTAAAGTAAGACCTTACAGGGCATTTAGTGGCCTTCATAAAATAATGCCCTGTATTCCCGATACTTTATGCCGTGATCTTCGTATAATAAATGATACTATTTATAGGTATTCTTCCCAAATAGGCTAGAACCTACTCTGAACTAATATAATTACTGCAATTGCTGTCACGTGCGGACAGAATTTCGCACAATTATCTAAACTTGTCTTAATATCAATTAAGTATCTCTGTTTTCTCCCTGTTTTTCCCGTTTTTTGCACTAATGTTGCATAAATACCATGGATTCTGAATAAATATGACGCATTTATTATTGGCCCAGACCAATAATTTATGTAAGCGCTAGACCAATATTATTTACATAAATTAAATAAATTCGGCCATCCCTACTGTGGGGTGTGGTAAAGTCCATACGTGGTCCAATCCCCGCGATGCTTCCCGTCAACCGAGGATATGGCGTCTTCCGTAACACACAAGCCAATCCTTTACGTCTTCTTATTACCTCATCTGAGACCTAATCTGAAGTCATTCAAACATCCTCCCTTCTGTTTCTCAATTCTCAAACCGACTCACGACTGTCAGGAGCATGGCAACTTTGAAGCTAGAGGTGGTCGCGCTCGTCGGAACAGCGCTGGGAATTGCATCCCATCTGGGATACTTCATCCACGGAGAACATCATATGCAAGCCACACGGATTGCAGCATTCTTCTTCATTGCGCCTCTACTTTTGTTTATCTTAACCCTGAGAGACATAGATGGCAACTCGTACATTGAAGCTGGCAAAATCACGGCAGTCGGAACGGCCTCCTATTTCACGGCTTTGAGTACCAGCATCCTGATCTATCGGGCTTTCTTCCACCCACTTCGGAGATTCCCAGGACCCTTCAGTGCGAAGCTAAGCAAGATTACACATGTCCTACGAATTGCCAAGGATTCTAAGAACTATCTCCTCAATGAACAAATGTTTTACAAGTATGGAGAGTTCGTGAGGTAAGCACATACCTTTCTGACAGCTTTAGATTGATTCTGATGTACCTGGATGAATAGGACTGGCCCCAACGAATTGATAACCAATTCCCCTGAGGCAGTCTCCGTGGTTTTAGGCATTTCTTCTAAGTGCACAAAGGCTCCTTGGTGAGCATATATACACTTTCCGACCTCAATCCTGTCTCTAAACCTGAGTGCCCAAGGTATGAGTGCGTGAGTTATCCGAACACATCGCTGCATCTCACTCGCAGTCGACTCGAGCATGACAAGAGACGAAAGATTTGGGATCGCGGCTTCAGTGCCAAAGGTGGGTCGACCTGCCTTCTCGTTCTTCCTTCACTTACCTAGATATTCAGCGTTGAGGGCATACGAACACCGTGTAACAGGATTCACGGACGACCTTATATCGCAACTGAATTCCCACTCTGGCGAGCCTGTGAATGCATCTCGATGGATGAATTATTACGCTTTCGACATGATGGGAGATATGGCTTTTGGAAAGTCTTTTGACATGCTCAAGACGGGAGAGAAGGTTTTTCTTTTCTTTCGAAGCCCACAGGCGAGATTCCAGCTGCTGACATTCATTAGCATGATACGATCGAGCTTTTACAGGAAGGGATGGCTCCTCTGGGTGTCATAACACCTATTCCATGGATACTTATTCTTTTCCAAGATATACCTGGACTTAGTGCCGGCCCGAAGAAATTCCTCAAGTATCTCTTAGAACAAGTTGCTGCTCGGAAACAGGTCAGTTGCATTTTGCTTCAATAGACCAAACTTTAACAGGGCTTGCAGCGCACCCCCGACTCTCCGGATCTGTTCAGCTGGTTGATCGATGCCGAAAAGCAATCCAACGACCCGATTCACAAAGACCCCAGGTAATCCAATCCAACTTGACCTTCTTAAAACAAAACCACTAACTACAAGTCACATAGATGGCTAAATGGCGACTGTGGATTGATCGTCGTCGCTGGCAGCGACACCACAACAGCAACTCTCACTCACATCTTTTATCACCTCGCACGTTCGGGAGAAGTGTTCTCCAAACTTCGTAAAGAGCTGGATTCATTCTATAAACCTGGCTCCGAATCAGAGTTCCGAGATCTCCAAGAGGCAACTTATCTCAACGGAGTCATTAATGAAGCTCTTCGTATCCATCCCCCGGTTCCTGGTGGGGTGTTGCGAGTGACTCCACCAGAAGGAATCACGATTGGAACAACTTTCATCCCTGGAAATGTTACGATCTCGACACCAGCTTATTCTTTGGGAAGACGTAAGTTTCTGGTAATTTTTCCAAAGAAAACGTTTTAATGAACGGTAGTCGAGTCTTGCTACGAAAATCCTTCCGAATTTATACCCGAGCGCTGGGGGGAGAAACCGGAAATGGTTCGCGATAAAGGCGTTTTTGTGCCATTTTCAGTCGGTGAGTACCGTGCTTTGACTGCTCTAGCGTATTCGGAAGATTGAAGTTGACATCCCCAGGTCCGTATTCATGTGTAGGAAAGCAGTTGGCTCTTATGGAACTCCGCAACGTCATTGCACGCATTGTGACTGAGTTTGATGTCAAATTCGCACCGGGGGAGGATGGAACGGCACTGCTGGAGAAGTCAACGGATACCTTTACGATTGCGTTGGCTCCTTTGATGTTGGTGTTTACCAAGAGGGAGGTCTGAGACCTTGTTCTTTTCAATCGATCTTGCACCATGTAGTTGGAGGCTCGCTAAGTGTGGGGTTGAAAAAAGGGGGTGGGGTAATTTAGGCGAGGCTATGAAGTGATCTTCCCAACGTCCCCGAAATCTTCCATCCAACCTCGACAATACCCTCTAGGCTTCGAATTTTCCACCGAACTCATAGCCATGTTCTCATGTTCGTTTCCCATGAAGCTTGCATATTATTGTTGAATCATTGGGCAAATCCCAGCTCTGGAAACGGACCAAGAGGTCTGTGTGTTTTCCAGATTGGGATACCCAGGGCGTCCAATCGTTTGAAATTAGCGTAAGTTGCCTCGGTCCAATTCGAAATGTAATGCTGGCGGGATGGATGCCAGGTGTACGTGGCGAAAGCAGACCATTTATCAATCAACCAATCAATGGCTACGACGGGCGCTAAAATAACTGTTTCAGGCAAAGAAGATTAGTAATTAAGTTTGGCTGGCTGTCAAAACTCGGCTCGATTGCGAATATCGAGCATCTTCGTTTCTGGATTGGCTAGGCTGGCGGAGGCTGCAGCCGCATTGCCAGCATCTGCATGTATTGCGTTACCTGCTAACGCAGGTTTCCTTAGTAAAGCTTTGCATGTTATTGGTTCTGATTCGATTGAGATAAGAAGAGGCACAATCGAACTACCTTGCTTGGTGTGCTGGTTTGGACCCCTCTTGGTTTCATGCATGCAGGCTTATTAATGCTGGCTCAGGTAGGTACATGCGGTGTCAGATCTGTCCATTCAGCGCATTCCTGCTCCCCAAATATTAATCATTGTATGGCCATACAGAGTGTTCTAATTCAGCCTCCACGGAAACCCCGCGTCAAAGTATTTGTATTTCATGAGGAATGTGCCCCTCATGTCCCTCCTGCTTTTGTGACCTGCAGACGACATCGAGCTTTAAAATACAGCTTGTCAGCTCCATTCCCACGACCAAAAAAACCTGCGATTGTCCAAAACAAAAGAATTTACTCCTGCTGTTCATAGATTGCCAATATGCCGTTCCCAACCGACGAAAAGCTTATGACGACGGCGAAGGATTTGGTAGCACAACTTCAGAGCATTTTTGGCTCGCATCCAGGGTTCCGACCAGGTCAGTTGACCTCATTCAAGTTGAAGAATTCTGGCTGACAATCTCACGATAGCCCATGCCAAGGGCATTACCACAAAGGGAACGTTCACTCCTTCAGAAGAGGCAAAGAAGCTCTCCACTGCGCCTCACTTCAATAGCCCCTCCACCCCTGTCTGGGTCCGATTCTCGAACTCCACCGGGATTCCCAACATCCCAGACTTTGACGAAAATGCTAACCCGCGCGGCTTCGGCATTCGGTTCCACCTTGGTGACCGTAAGCACACCGACATCGTCACCCATTCCACACCATTCTTCCCTATGAGAACCGGTGAAGGGTTTCTCTCATTCCTGCAAAGCCTGGCCGCGGGTACAATTGGGGACTTTTTAGGCGCCAACCCCAGCGCTCTGGCATTCGTTCAGGCCCCGAAACCCGCCCCAGTCAGCTATGGCACAGAAGAATACTTCGGAGTGAATGCCTTCAAGCTCATCGACTCAGCTGGCAAAGCCACCTTCATCCGCTACCACATTGTTCCAGATGCAGGTGTCAAAACCCTTGATGCCGAGGAAGTGAAGAAAGAGGATCCCAATTACCTGTCAATAGAGCTGGAAAAGCGTCTCGCAGAGGGTCCAATTGGGTTCAAGATTGAGGCGCAAGTGGCTGCGGAAGGCGATGTTACGGATGATGCAACCGTTCATTGGCCTGCGGACCGTCCTGTGGTGACGCTGGGGACTATCAAGTTAGATTCCTTATTGGAGAACAACGAGAAGGAGCAGAAATATTTCATTCTTGATCCAGTTCCGCGTGTGCAGGGAGTTGAGCCGTCCGATGATCCGCTTATCGAGATGAGAGCTGGTCTTTACTTGTGGAGTGGGAAGCAAAGACGTGCAGCATGATAGCTTCGCAGTCAAGCCTCTGGGTCTGCTTTATTCAAGGAAGCAAATTGATTCAACCTTTGCACCCCCTGTGCCGTTCTTCGTGTGAGTTTTCGAGTTATTGACCTACGCTGGTGAGAAGCACTACTTGGATTGAAACTACGCAACCTTGGGGGAGTGCCCGGCATCATTTGTGCGAGCTCACCTCGTTGCGAGGTACAAGCACGACAACCGAACAATATATCTCCATTAATAGGTCGCTAAGGTTGAAGTGATGCCAAGAAGAGAGAGAGCCAGGTACTCGCAGCACCACCTTCTGATCCTGAGTCATACCGGCGTCCAACATTATATTGAGATTGTCATCTCACTACCCTCAAAAGTGATGGTGATACAAAAGTGGGACAAGGTGGTCCATCTGGAGTGGCTGATGCTGACCACTCAGCGATGTTGCCTGGATTTCTGACGTGATCCCATTGGAAAGAGTTCTCCACATAATCCTCTTTGCACATTTTCTCATTCGATGATTAGACCTCGAGGTGAAGACCAGGGGAATTAAGCGAGTGCGAGAGAAGTTGCTGCTCTTTCATGAAACTTTAGAGGCATCACGAAAGGCTGAGTTCTGCTTACAGCCTTGTCCTCAGAACGGGTCGGCAGCTGTTCATACCACTGAGCTCTCTTAACGGTAGCAAGCTCTTCTTGGACGTTCAGAAAGTATATATACTGAGTTCGTTGCACTTTTATTTTTATCCTGATATTCCAATCTACCTCCTTATTTTCTTCAAGTTTAGACAAAGTATTTCATATCAAACTTTTTGCGCTCTTTCAATCATATATAAATGGTTGAACTCAAGAAGGGCAAGATGATGGCCGTTCGATGGGAAGGAACCCCTTTTTCTGTGAGCGTAAAGGAAGTCGACATTCCAAAAATCATCGATCCCCTAGACGCAATCGTACGAATTACCAGCGCCGCAATCTGCGGATCTAAACTTCACACATACCGCGGTCGCTTGCCCACCAAGCATCCAATGACATTCGGGCACGAGAACATGGGCATCATTGAAGAGGTCGGGGAGAAGGTCACCACGTTGAAGAAAGGGGACCGTGTGCTCATTGGCGCCGGTATTGGGAAAATTACGGACTTTGGAGAGATTGGCCAAGGACTTCCTGGAGAACCGACTTCTTACGGGATTGGCGAATATGAACCAGGAGCACTTGTGCTTGATGGAGGGCAGGCTCAGTTTATGCGTGTCCCGTTTGCAAACGCGAATCTTCTCATCCTCCCACCTGGCAATAAGCGCGAGTTGGATTACCTCCTTCCGGCGGATATCCGGCCCACGGCTTGGTATGCATTGGAATGTGCAGGCCAGGTCCCGGGAGATACCATAGTTGTTTTTGGAGCTGGTGCGTTGGTATTCCAAGGGGTACCGTTCATTCATTGCATTGCTAACTTGTTCGCAGGTCCGGTCGGCTTGCTCTGCGCGTATTCGGCAATTCTTCTTGAAAATTGTGTGGTGGATTTATTTCAAGTTGGTTAGTTCAATCCGTCCCATCCCGTGCTGCCGCCCCATCTGTTCCCTCCTTTCAAGTCAAATTCCCGATGTCCAAACCTATCTCGAACAAACCTCTAAAAATGGGCGGCACAAATTGGCTCTCCAGACCTTTGAATTTGTAACGAAAACTTGATTTTTACTAACCAAGATAGTGAAAGCGACCATAGGAGCCCCCCCTCTTTTAGGCGAATTATAACACGTGATCGTTTGGGCAACATTCGCCGCCTTCTTCAGAATTATTGCCAGAACATTTGTGTACATAACACTTAACACACCAAGTCTCTTCTTTCCGCCAAGTTTTCTGGTGAAGTACGTTAGTATCCACGTGATGGTGGTCTCAGCCACAAACGAGCGGGGCAGTGACGTCAGCCCGAGATCTTATCCCTTGAACGTCACGAGGTCGCAATCCTTCCAAATCCCTGCAGCACGATTATTTACCCCATAATCCAAGATACGATCGACCAGTAGGCACGTCTTCCGTTTCTAGTTAATAATTCCACATGTTTTTGGGAGCTGAAATACAGCTCCGAGCCATAAATCAGCTACATGAGCCCAGCATTGGCATTGGGGCAGTGAGCTGATTTGGAAGCTTGGCATGGCGCACAGCTTGCTTAGTGTAATCGGGACATCGGGACATCGTACAAGTAGCCCTCTGTCTCCACCCCCTCGTTCAACTCTTCTACTTTCTTCTATTGCCCATCCTGTTTCTTGCAACTTTCTCCGCAAGGCAACTTCAAGATGTATCTCATCCCCAGAGACACAGCTGCACTCGCAGAATTCGCCAAGAGGCAGATATATTACGGATCCCGCTGGTCCGGCTCCCCCTCATTCAGATTGATGACGCGATGAAGTTGACAACCAACAGCAATTACTACGGCAACTGCCGCTCCTCCTGGTACCGCTGGGGACGATGGGTGCTGGCCGGGATCCTGATCTTCATTGGACTTATCATCCTTGCCTTTATTTTGTATGCTCCCCTCTTCCTCATCCAACCCATCGCATAATCTTGAAGAGTATGGCTGACGGCTAGATGCTAGATTTTGTGGCTCCCGTCGTCGTCGCAGAAATAGACACGCAGTGCCCATGACAAGCCAAGCTCCCCTAGGAGGATTTAATTCGGGATATGGAAATGAACAACAGTACGGTGCTCCTCTCGGTCCACCGCCGCAGTATGGTAGCAATACGGGTGCAGATTATGATGGGTATTATGGACAGCAGAGTGGAGTGGCGCAGCCACAGAATGCATACAAGCCATAAGGAGTATCGGCGTATGGAAATTGGGGACAGGAACAGGATGGAAGGGGAAATGGATGGGATGTATATATGGGCTTGGGTAATGGGAGACCACAGAAATTCAGATATGGAATAATGTGTAAGATGCAATGCTATGTACTTTTTAACTCCTAAGATAATGATGTATGAAAGTATGAAAGTATGAAAGTATTAAACATTCTCATGAGACAGTTTTAGCTGTAATACTGCTCAAGATTATAAAAACGACTTGAATAAAGACATAAACAATAAGATCGCAATTGAACTATCACACACAATCATGTTAGAAGTTTATACTATCTATTCTAGATGATAGGGCACTAATAAAGTATAGTATTTACTTTGGGATAGACATAGAAATGAAACACCAAGTTCAATCACGCCAATCATGTGAGGACAGGGTTTCGGGCATGCATGTTGTATGGGGCATAGCGAGGGAGTTTAGACCCAATACAGTTGGAACTCCTTGTCACTGAAATTTTGTGTTATGAAGAAACGGATTATGACAAGAACTGGTACCGGAAATATGACACTCCAACTAACTGAAACCAATCTCCCCTTTCCCCCAAAATGAAACTTCAACACCCTAGAGCAATATCGAAACTGCAGTAGCATCAGGGTCCATCACATTATATGGAACCAACTGATCATCCATCTCAGCCTTGTTTCTCTGGAATTCAGCTTTCAGGCTCATTAAGTCGTTCACTAGCTGTTTACCGGCATCATAGAGGGGATCTCCCGGTGTGTTTTCGGCCAAGTTTTGTAGACTTACCGCGTAGTTCAGCAAGGTTTGCTTTTGGTCTACTTGGTAGCTAAGGAGATATGGCAGATGCGAAGCCATAAGCCAAACCCGTGGGTGTTTTACCGGCAAGGCTTGAACCAGGTCCTCTTCAGTGTATGCATTTAGTCTCTCAATGGTCTGAGGGAGAGGAGTGCAAAGGCAAGAAGGTTTGTTGGGGACGAAAGCTTGGTAGTAGTCTTGGAGGTAATTGACAGCGGTGTGCTGAGGAGAGGCGATGTGGATGCACATCACTACCATGTCAATGACCTCTTCGATGGTGTTGATTTGTGGGAATTTGTCCATAGCGCCACCAAGTGGAATTCGCATTTCGTTGCAGAAGTTTTGGAGGTCTTGGTCTCTTTCAACATCTGCGTTGGTAGTGTAGTGTCTTGCGATGACAGACGAGACGAAAACGCACAGCTTCTGCCAGAGCGCCGACATGTTCCTGCCATAGGCATAGTTGTGAAACTTCTTAGAGCCCAACTCAGACTCAGGAAACCCCCGAGTTTGGAGATCGTTGGGAATGTAGCGAGCCTTCCAATCAAACTTGTTATATGCATCTTTGATGAATGCATACGTTTGACTGCTAGTCATGCCGTTGATATTTACAAAGAAGCTTGGAATGAGGGCAGAACGAGCAGCAGCATTGAGTGGAAGTGTTTTCAACCAGTGAGGAGCCAGGAGGCGATATACGATGTGGTCAATAGGAAGTGTTCGATGGGTGGCCACAATGACTGCCTCTTCCACTAGATGGGTCTCCGTGAGGTGCACAGTGAGTTCGTGGAGGTTCCAGTCAGATACTTGCACACACATCTTCGCATAGCGCCAAGACCAGTCCGTTCCTTCCACGTGGGATGAATCTGAAGGCTGCAACCTCTGGTTGAAAGCCACGACGGACTTCTCCATAGTTCCTCTGTAGTCGAGGACAATGGCTAATGGGTGGAGTCTGCCGTCAGGGTTCAAGTGAAAGAGGCAAACCGAAGCGCACGCAAAACGAGTTCCGTCATCAGAGCAGAGAATATCCTCAGGTTTTGCTTCGACTGCATCGCGGAAGAAGCTGTAGTCTTGCAGGTACAGTGAATCGGAATTCACAGCATCGAGCAGATCCAAAAGTGCTTGCTTTTGCTGGTCTCTGGCCTGCGTCTTGAACCTCTCAACCCAGTCTGGCGACGCTTTGGTAATCGTGGTTGGATTCGGGCCAGTGAACTGCTGTTGCGCAAATACAGCATCAGTGTACCAGTCAGTACGGTCGCCAATGTTCGCTTCCGTCCCAATATTCACGTCTGCAAGACGGATCTGTTGGTTGCGAGCTTCCATGCCTGCCATGGTCGTTGCAATCGGATTATCATTAATGAACTCCAGTATTTTGTCCGGGATCATTTGAAAGAGCAAGACACCAGTACCAAGAAGTCGCATGAAATTGAAGATTTCAAGGAAGCTGATCGCGCTTTCTGCCGTGGTGGGAACTAGAGCGAGGTGTGGTGGATAATTGTCGCTTCCTGGCACCTGAAACGTGAACAACTTCTTCTTTTCTTCGAACTTCAATGGCTGTGGAACTGTTGAAGCGAAGTTGGTCAGGTCGAAGTATGAGGCAAATCTATAATTTGGTTAGTTAGTCAACCACATTTTGAATAGATTTCGAGGTATCTGGGGCGGGGGTCAAACGCCAATATTGGCTCCATGTACCACCAAGACTTTTGCTCTTGCGTACACTACATCTAGACTTTGTCGACTCCTTAGATACAGCACGAGCGCCAAGAGCTCTGGGATTTGAAATGTGCTTCCAACAGTCTCGAAAATTGAGAAAAAAGACCTACCTCTGTTGAATACGATGGTACATTTCCGTAGCTGCTTTCTTCGACCCATGGTACGTCCCTTTAGCCAAGGGAGCTGGTGAAGGGACTGGAATGTTGTTCTCATCGTCGCTCTTGGATAAATCCTGAGGGTAGATGTTGTTCTTGGCGATTTCGGATGCAAATACACCCTTGTCCCATTCCTCAAATTGAACCATGTTGGATGCGAAAGGATTCTTCTCTGAGCTACCGTGGAAGAGGTTTGGCAGTATCTTGCGGAGAAGAAAGATACATCCGCGTTTCTAGAATAAAGAGGAAACGCCCTAAACATGGCAGACCTTCATTATCTATGTGTCAACACCCATCCACCCAGACAACTAAAAAGCCACATTTCTCGAATCGTTCGATGTGGCGGACTTGAGGTTGTCTGTGGCACCTCAGACTCAGCTGAACACTTTGCCTCCTCCATTAATGGATTTACTATGATAACATGAGACATTTTCTGAGGAGACAGTGTCGTCTCCATCTTAAAGTAAATAAGTTCCCAATAAAATGTTTAAACCCAAGTTGGTGAGAGAAGCTTAAATCTGTTGCATGCCCTCAATAGTTCTTCAGGACTGAGACTTAGGGGTTGCGTGGTGGATGCGGATTTTAGATGTGGCAACAATGGTCAGCAGGGCAGCAACACAATGTTGCACAACATAAAGGCTGAGGGCTGAAGCAAGCCCGATTCAGAGGGTAGTGCAGGACATCCTCCAGTGGCTTAACAAGAAATCACACGATATCTGCCTAAACTCACTCCCATGATGGCTTTTCTCTTGGCTGCATTGAAGCACCGAGTGCAAGGTCCAATTGAAGAAAAGTGTTACCCACCCCACCAAGCGAACGAGATATTCTGGTTTACTAGTCAATTGTCTCATTAATCAGTAAGATGTCTTATTGATCAACTAGACGCTGTTTACTGCTAAGATGGTTCATTTATCATTGAGACGAAATGGTCTTCAGATCGTGAAACAGTGAGGTGTGACAGCGCACCAGGCCTGTGCTTATGGTGGGCAGCACCCCGCCTTCCTCCCGTTAACTCGCTACGAATATTGCGGCATAAAGTAATGCGACTACAGGGCACATAATGTCTCAGCTACCAATCACACGCTGTAATCAGTGAAACTAGCCTGTAACGCCACCACCGCTAAAGTGCCCTGGAAGCACCTGTAGCTTAGTGGGTCCGTACCTAAATTATGCTACCTGCCCCTGTAAAAGCGAGGTTTATTAAGCCATAGGCTTAGGCCCTGTAAGGGGTTTCAGGGATTGAAAGACAATTCTAGGGTATACCCCTGCAAGTATAGGGGCTTGATCGCTAAAGGGCCCTATAAGACCTCTAAGTTCCAGCGTCTGAGCGCTATAGTCACTGGGCCAACAGCGTGGCGCTATAGCCACAGCCACTACGGAGGTAAATTACAGCTGGTATGTTTTAGTCCCTGTTTTTTGCAGGGGTCGGCAGCTCTTCCTAGCAATGCCACCACAACAATTAAAAATTTCTGAGAAACATGTATCCATACATTTACCTAGTCTTAAGAATCATATACGTGTTTTTATAATTATTTTTCGTCCAAAACTACAAGAGTTGTGTGGTGTTGAAGTTGCACCCCCCCTGTCGACAGGGGCCAAAACATACCAGCTGTACATCGTACAGGGCACATACGCTGAAGTCGCATGACTTTATGCCGCAATATTCGTACTGTATATACGGAGTACTCACTAATAAAGCCCCTTCCGTTTTCGTAATCTAATCGATTTAACCGTTAGTTCGGACAAATCGATTAATAAAGACAGACGGGACTTAAACTTACTACGCTTACTAAACTGCACTCTCTATACTCCCATTATTATTCTAGGGCTTTATATACTATAATTATAGGCTCTGGCGGCGTCTCGCTCGCTAAGATTACAGGGCTAATACCCTGTAACGTTCTACTCGTAGAAGATCCTGAAGATCATATCGTCTTAACGATTAATGTGACGTCTCAACCGTAAACAGCGTCTAATTGATTACTGAGATCATATTGGACTATATTATTGATTAGTGAGATGATTAATGAGTAAACTAGAACAGAGGCGACTGGACGCCTTGTAGAACGTGCGATCGATGTACGGGTAATGACTTTTGGGTCCGAACGCTAAATAACAAATATTGATTCGCCTAAGGGGATACGATTATTCTTGACTTATTAGAAAACCTCGTTGGACGATGAAAGAGCCAAAACTAGAATGTTCCAAGCCTCTAGTACACCGAAGCCTCATTTTCGCTTACAGTACCAATAATTGCACAACACAATCAAGCTTGGATAAATGATATGCCAACAAGTCTGTCTGTCTATGCCGACGAATTAGGTCCTAGCCCGCCTAATATACACAAGTCTATGCCTGCGAATGCTGTAGTAAAGAAGCTTGTGGCCATTCAAAAATCTTATACTAGCTCCGATAACTTCACCACATCACTTTGCCTTACCACCAAAGAGAGAGAAACGGCTTCTTCGACAAATTGGAAGGAAATAATACTAGTTGCTGAATGGAGAGTCTAAAGTGACTCTGCCTCGTTTGAAGTCTCGTGACTTTTGCGAGACGGCGACGCGTCCTCCCCGCGTGATTTTCAACTTTTCGTTGTCGCCGCCCGACTTGAGCTGTCATGTTGCCTGAACCACAGACTCCGAACTAATTCTTCGCAAACAGACTCCTGTTGCACATCGGAAAACTGCCTCACATTTCCTGATCCGCTGCTAGCTCGAGATTGAAATTTTGCATCTGGAGGAGCCGGTGACGACACAGCTTGCGTCTCTGTCCGAGAGTCCACGTCCATCTCTCGTTACACAAACAGGATTAACATTCACAGATCTAACAGGTCACGATACGTGCACAGCCTGAATGGAGACTGCGCCTTCTGCACTCCTCGGGCGCGCTTCCCCAGTCCGGCATTCAACTCGGGTCATCTTTTCCACCCGAGCCACAAGGTCTCAATACGAACAGCCAAATCCCAATCACATCCACAGGCATCAATCCCAGATACCGCATGGTTGGCACACGGAAGGGAGAAAGGCAAAAGCAAGAATAATTATGCATATTATTAAAGTTACGAATACACGGCCTCTGTCACCCCGACTTCTCATTCGGCGTCTCGTTCAGAAAGACTGCCCACTCTAACCGAAGCCAACTCTATATCCACGATGCCTACATCAACTGTCAGGCGAAGCCAAACGCCACCATGGCACCCATTGCGCCCGCTACCAAAACGGGGCCACTGGTGATCATCGCAGCAGCGGCATGAGAGCTGGAACTCGAGACTCCTGATCCAGATCCTGATCCCGTGGGTATCGATGTGGAGGGTTTACTGGTCGAGGTGCTGGTGTACGTTTCATTCTGCGCCAAATACAGCAGCGCAATACCCATGATCGGCGCCAGCGAGCCATCGGTATTCGTCATGGGCATGTATTCTGTGGTGTTATAGAATGCCGTCACAGTCAAATTATCGCCCAGGTTGATCTGTCCAGTGGAGCATTCGGAGAGCGAGGAGATGTGCATCCCCATGTTCATCATGGGCATTCCTGGCATGCTCATACCCGATGGATCCACGTAGCCTGGGTTCTGGCCGTATGCTGCTGCGCAGTCGCACATCGTGCTGTTGTTTTTCGTGATGTCGAGGTGAACTCCACCATCGTGGAGATGCCCGATTGCGGATGTAACTCGGCCAGTTGCGTTGGCTGTCCAAACAGGAGAAGTGTATTGAAATGCAGTGTCGTTCTTTGCTGGTGCCTCTGAGCCTCCGCAGCCAGTGATGTCCAACCATATTGGAGTCACTTTGTGGAAGTTACTGGGCAGACCAGGGAGATACTCATAAGTTATGGTAACGATGGCTGTTTGGTTCATCATGGCCGTATTCATGAGTTCCGTCAGGAATGCAATTGTGTCATTCGGTCCAACATAGTAGCCCGCCTTGTCGGTTCTATGGTCAAGTCAGTCCTGCAACTTTCGAGGTGGTTAGGTGCAATGCTCACCCATTGATACAGATGTTGACCGGAGAGCGCTCGTTTCCAGAAGCAAAGAAACGTTCTCCAAACTCCTCAGTCCCACAAACGGTGTCCAAATTGTTCAAGTTGTACAGGACGATATGGTGCAGCCACAGGCTAGTATTGGCATTTGCGTATGTCCCATTGGGATACTCAAGTCCAGCCTCCATGTAGGTGACGGTGCAATTTTTGCATCCAAACTTGACGCTTGCAAACTCGAAGTTTTGCATGCCATTGTTGATGTCCATCGATGGTACGACGAATGGTCCGTAAGTGACCTTCACCCTTTTGGAGCCTTGGTCGGTGAAGAATTGAGGTGCAAGTGTTGTGATGGTTGAGTTGATCGGAGGGCTGGGTGGATCTAAATGATCATCAGCTCTAAATACTTTGTGGATTTGGCACAGCAGGACTCTCTTACCCTTTCTTGCCCTCAAAATATTCGATATTTGCTCTTCACGATGATACTTCTGAAGTCCAGTTGCATTTGCAATAGACAGTACGCACAAAAGAACCAAGATCTGGAGCCTAGAACCCAACATTTTTGAAGTGTCTGGAGAGATGATTCTGCAGTTTTTGGAGGGGGCTTTTCTCTGGCATCCTTCTCCGTTTAAAACGTTTTCGACAAACGACAAATCAAATATATTAGACGAGAGCCCTGCGTCATTTCCGTTATTGTACAACACTCCCCTATCAATAAGACGGCCATTCTCCTCCGATCGCTAGGCTCCCTCGGGTAGCCACATGTCACCGCAAGGTTGCGGCTGGCTAATCTGGCAGATCCAAGTCAAACACGCAGGCGACGCAGCACCCAATGTTACCCCGCATATTGCTTTACGTGTATATCGGTCGGACATGGCTTTGCACTGCCGACTTTTCAAAGCTGAAAGGATGGTATTGCGCGTCTTGTCTCTTCTGCTGCGAAGTTTTGAATCAGGATTTGGAAAATCGGTAGTGGGGATCACATGGCAGAAACGTAAGGCTCTCGAGTCAAGCACGATGGCAGTGCATGTCCGGATGGCTACCGACACTACGCTACTCCCCGATGTCCGACTTGTGGTTGTGCCGTATAAGATGCCTTGTCGAATACCCCATTAGATCCTTGTAATCTACTGCCGTTTGTCGCTTTTATTAGCGTTTGTTTGATGACAGCTCTGCCACGGCTCTCGAGTCTGTGCTCGAGTTCTTCCCTCTTATCCAGCAACGATATATTACTAAAAGTCATTCCTTCCGAAAACCAGAGAAAATTGAAGCCGAAATGGATATGTCAAGCATGTCTTCTACCATGCCAGGCATGACAATGACCGATTCGATGCCTTCGAGTTCCGCAAGCGCTGCAGATGGTTCTCCCACTGGCGGAATGGACATGTCGAATGGCACAGACCCTCGAATGGATTTGTTGATGACGATACTTGACGATACAGAGCTTCAAGTCATTGCAAACTTTTATGCGAGGAGGTATTGGTACGGCGTCATTGTGGTTATTGGTCTCACAGCTCTCCTGAACATGGCCGTGCGTCTTAGATCTCGCTCAAGGTAAGTCTGACAAAAGTCTGAAAAGTTTCCACCTCTCATAGGAGTCTACAGAATGAGATCGGCCGCCGCCAGCAGAGTCAAACAAGCAACTCCTCCACGTTGTTGCGGCCGAATGCTCGATGCCATCACCTCCGCCTTTCGAAAACTCATCTATCCCCAAATCTCGCCAACCCGCCATTCCAATCTACTCAAGGTTCCTCCTCTCGGCATTATCGTCCTCCTCTTCATCTATCTAGCCTTCGTCCTTACTCTCGAATTCGTCAACCAAGATATCCCGGGTGATCAGCATCGTCAAGCTATCGGTGTCCGTGCCGGCTGGCTCACAATAACCCAACTCCCGCTGTTGATTCTCCTATCTGGGAAAGTCAACATCATCGGACTCATCACGGGAGTTGGCTATGAGCGTCTAAATGTTCTTCATCGATGGGTTGCAAGAACGATGCTCCTCACAGCTACGCTACACATGGGCTACCAACAGGCTTTGTGGAATAGTCTTGGCTTGCTACAACTAGAGTGGAACACTGATACCTGCCCTCCGACCGGTATATCACCCTCTTTCCCAACTTGTGGACCAAACAATCTTACTAAAGATAAATAGGAATCAAAGCCTACGCTTTCCTCCTCTGGTTAAACCTCTCCACCCTCGCTCCAATCCGCAACCTCTGGTACGAATTCTTCGTTATCCAACACATCCTCACATTCTTTGGCCTCATTATCTGCATCATGCTTCATCTCCCATCCACAGCCCTCTTCTCTCGGATCTACGTCTGGATTCCCATCGGTATATACCTGTTCGAACGAACTCTCCGAACTCTACGCTATGCATACAACAACCTACGTCCAGGAAGAGCAACACTGATCCAGTTAAATGGCGGTGTCACTAAGGTTATTGTAAGCACGAGACAATTGAAGAACTGGAGCCCAGGCTCTTTTGTCCTGCTTTCTTTGCCAAGGTTTGGGTTGGGACAGAGTCATCCCGCGACAGTAGCTTCCATCCCATCTTCTCATGAAGGGAAACTTGTTTTCATTCTCAGAGCACACCGTGGATTTACGAGCCGCATTCATGCGAATGAGAGTACTATTTCTCTCCATGGAGGCTCAGCTTCATCTGAGTCACCCCAGGATTCCAAATCCACTCATCTCGTGTTAATTGACGGCCCCTACGGTGGCACACAGCTTGACTTCGCATCTTACAATTCCGTTCTCCTAATCGCAGGCTCAACAGGTGTGACGTTCACGTTACCTGTTTTGCTTGACCTCGCCTGGCGAGCCGAGAAGCAGAAACCCGCTGTGAAACATGTGACATTTATCTGGGCGGTCAAAACTTCAGCCTGTACTTCTTGGATAGACTCTGAGTTGAAACATGCAGGTGGTGAGTTGCAAAAGGCTGGTATTGAGTTGGGAGTCAGAATTTTTGTTACTGCGGATGAGGAATTCGCTGAGGTTGATGAGGGAAAACCGTCTTCAGCAGAAGCATGTCACTGTGAAAAAGGGAATGAGGAGTGTTCTTGCATCTCACCATTTCCTAAACTGCCTCCCGACACTAAATCAAACCCTCTTGCCGAACAAGTCAAAACTCAAGAGAGAACCAACGAGGCGGTGGAAGAGACGCCAAGACTGGAGCTTCCATATTATGCTAGTAGGTGTTCAGTGACGACGATACAGAGCGGGAGACCGGACCTGAAAGGAATTATAAAGGAGGCGCAAGGTAAGGCGGATGGAGAAATAGGGGTCGCGGTTTGTGGTCCCGTTGAGTTGACGGCTGAAACGAGACGGGTTGTTGCGGGTCTTGAGGGGAAGGGCGGAAGCATTTACTTGCATGCTGAGAGTTTTGGGTGGTGAGATTCTAAAGGGGAGGGGAAAGTGTCGAGTATAGATATATGTTATCTCTTTTATTTCATAATTCCTTTCATTGGATATTGAGTTATATGCAGAGTATTATATCGGGGTGGATAGTAGTTCGCTTATTTGACAGAGAAGACAGAACACTTTAAATAATCTTAAGCATAATCTAATTCACCATGATAACGCTCAGATCAGTGCGATTACTTGCTGTGGATAAATGATTTTGAATCAAGAAAAAGAGTCTTATCGCAGGAAGCTGTTAAACTATTGAAGTGTTGAGAATGAAGTGTAGTAGCGGGTCCCGGGCCACAAGATGGTGATATCAGGCGTGCGATAAATCACACCTGCTGGTACTACTGCATAATTGTTCTTTTAACTTAGGAAATATTCTACGAGTTATAGTGAAATCAAGTTAGTTTCCCTCTTAATATCGCACTAGTCGTGTAACAATGAGACACCCAGGATACGTACGCCTCTTCTAATATTACGCCTTTCCTCGCTTAGGGGCATCGAGATCAAATGTCGCTCCATTGCGCTTTGAAAGCTGAGAGGAGGGAACGCACTCAGTAGCTGAGCTACCTATGATTTCTTGACTGTGTAGGAGTATAATATGACCTAGAATGTCATTTCCAGGCTCGGGATTGGAGATTTGACCGCTCAATGCAAGCCCCCCAGCCTCTATTCGTGCGGTGTGCCGCTGATTTCTTATCATTTCACTGGGGCTGACTGGGCGAACCGCCACGGCATCAATTTCGCTGCATTGCATCGAGGCTAGTAGCTTCAGATGCTTTCTTTCTATTGGGCATCAAAAAGCCACTCCCAGCAATGGACGGTGTACGGTATACGGCGTGGCTTTCTTTGGAGAGCTGAAGGAACAGTTGGCCTTGACCCATAGGGCAATGTAATAAAGTGGCGGCCTTGTATGGTGTGGTCTGGACATCCGTCTCAATGCGCCTGAAATATTTTGTTTTTCCATGTTCAGACACCGAGTAGCGTAACAGTTACCCTGCATCGCACCCTAAAAACTAAATTCCCACTGTGTGAATTATTTGCCACACCTATTCCCAAGCTATAAGTGCTTGTCGGTAATCTCTCTCATGTTCAAGCAATGATGAGTCCGCAGTTTGTGCACCTTCACTACTGCACAACTTGCATTATGCGGAATATCAGCTCCGACGCACTTTTTTAAGTATCGCCAATTCTGCAGTATTATTCGTTTATACATTTTCAGATCTGCACCCCTTCCGATCGATAGATCCAGTCTGGTCACTCCAATTGGGCCTCAACGGGGCTACTCGAAATTTAGGATCTCACCATGACGCCGCTTGGGACAGGTGAAAGTCAACATGACTCCTCATCTGCTCCTAAGGACTCAAACAAGGGAACTACAGTAAATATCAAAGAAAACCCACACCCGGATCCGGAAAAGGGCGCGAGTGGCAATGATAGAGAGGATTACACTGAGGAGGGGGGCTACAACTTTTTCGACTTGCTCTCGCATGCCAAACGAAAGTTTGTTTTCTGGTGGTTCTGGGGGGCTGTCATTCTCGCTATCCCTCTAGCATTGAGCGCAACAAGATTTCGAACCGTTCAAATTCAAAACGTCCGCCTCTTCGGATTGTTTTGCTGGCTTGCCGTATCATGGGCTGGCCTTTTGGCCTCTTATCTCTTTGCATGGGCCCTCTCTTATTTTTGGTTTACTGTATGCAATCTGTTGTTTGACGAGGGAGAAAACTACAACACCTTTTTTGTCGATATCAGGCATTCCACAATGCTCTTGGCCTGGGGATTTATATGCTGGTCAACTGTGCCACTTTTATGCCGCGTCGATCATCACCACTGCACCACTGGCTGGGTCCATACCTTCCAGAAAGTCATGCTCGCAGCATTAGTTGTTGACTTCGTCTATTTTGTTAAAGACCTTTTGCTCGAACTACTTTTCCTGCGGGCGGCTATCGAATTTCTTCACCCTAGGTTGAAGACACTTCAAAATATTATCTCTGCGCTAGAGCTGTTGGCCTTTGAGTCACGCAAGCCTTCTTCTATACTCGACTACCTACACCAGAAGTGGGTAGGGGATTTTCTGGGGTTCTTGTTTTTGATGAGAAGATGGTACAATCCCGAGAAGCAGAGAAAGATTGAATCTGAGGAAGACCAGCCTGGGCAAGACGATATCGAGGACATACATTTTGAAGATCCTGATTCTAAATGGACCCGCTTGGTGCAGATGAACCTCCTCGATCTCTGTACGGGATACGGCACCAAAACGGGCTATTGGATGGTGGCACAGTACATCAAAAGTCTAATGACGAAATGCGACCTTGAGGACCCGTCCGCAGAAAGACCGTCGATAAAAGCCGAGACCCAGCGAGGGTGGTCCAAAAGGCGGAATTCGTTCAAAAGCTTTTTCAAGAAGCGCCCGTCCCGCGACTTCTGCCACCCCCTGCCTGACTGCATCCATGAGCGAGTTCGATCATGTAGATGCACGGTTGATTCTCACTCGAACACCCCAGCCCAAGAGGTGTCATCCAAAGATAAAATTGTCTCCCAGCCGAAAAGCAAGACTGAAGCTAAATTGTTCAAACGCGAAGCCGCCTCCCTCTCTAAGACCCCAGCTCGGGGTGGACTGTGTAACAATTCGTGTGAATGCGGAGGCTCCTGCCAGACGATTGCTGGGGGTGGTTGGTGCAGACGCCAAGTTGCCCTCTATGTCCGTAAGCTTCTTTCTGGGGCTCATGAACAATTCACTTCTAAAGCCATCGCCCACTTTGAATCCTTCGATCAGTTGTGGGGCGTCCTGGATAGAAACAGAGACGGTTTCGCCAGTTTTGAAGAACTTCATTGGCTGGTTGAGGATGTAGGCGAGTCTCTCAAAGAAGTAATATCAGGCCAAAAGAATTTGATGATGGTTATCCGCGAACTTAACCTTGTCTTGTCTATTGCTCTATTGGCGCCAGCTGCCCTTATATATGGTACGTCTCATACTTCACTCTGTATGACAGCATATTGACTTAATCGAGTTTTGTTTTTTGTCAAGAACCCGGGCTCTTATCTTGCTCCAGTTTGGGCGACGTTTGCGGGCCTCAGTTTTGCCCTACAGGGCCCAGTCAAGTCGTTCACAGATGCTTGTGTTTTTGTCTTCTCACAGCATCCGTATGATGTTGGTGATTGGGTTATCTGGGGCAAAGAGAAAGATCTGAAGCTCATTGTTGATGAAATCCGTTTACTAAAAACAGCCTTTACGTGTGCGGACACCGGAAAGACGGTCCATATTCCACATACCGAAATATGTACCGGATATATCGAGAATTTGTCGAGGACATCAACGTACTTCGTCAAGAGTATTGTGCTTCATTCGGAGGACAAAGTAGATAAATGCCATAAAGAAGCGATTCGCAAGTTCCAGCAGGAGGAACTTCGGGATCTTTGGAGAAATGACGAGAAGCGTGAAATCTTCCGGTATCATCAACTGCCGGAGATCAGCGTTGTGCCAATAAAGTCTGAGGACTTGGAAGAGAAAGGCATTCGGGTTGACTTCAAGAGAAAAGAATGGGTATGCTTCAGTCCCATTATCAGGTGCAGCATCCTTCTTATTAATTGTTCAGGCTCCTGGTCGATTCTTCAGACATGAGGAGAGATGCCGACACGAAGTAATGTCTTTCATTCGAGAGCATCTACCCGACTTGATCAAGTCAGGTAGTAAACTCGATTCTGGTGCTCAGGAAATAAGTGGAACCACCGGATTGGAAAAGCCTGCAAGTAGCAATGGAGGCAGTAAAAGCGAAGAGGAAATTGGACACAGCCTGAAACCTTCCAATCCCACGCCATGAGGATTCTGGAGCAAGTAACGGCGGATTTCGGATTTTCGGATTTCACAGTATTTTAACACCAATTCCCAGAATTAAATGATACGTAATTTAAACATCATACTTCAAATCAACCCTGCCTTAGAAACCCCGGTAATAACAATAGTTCCTTCCTTCTATCAGCTTTAGAAGTAAGACACGGTAACCCTATTGCGCCGGAGCAATATGGAGGCGCAAAGACGATAATATCAATAGTTGACGGGGCTTAAATAACTAATGCACAGGCAGAAGGAGTTCTGAAAAGAGAGAGGAAGGAGTCCAAAGCCTTGTTCTTGCCCCCATTAGCCTTCGGCGAAATGGGTGTTCCAAGCACGTGTTCTCCGATAATTTAAATCAGCTAATAAAACATATGACTATATACTAGTGAGCGTTTAATAAGCTCCGCAAGTGATACATTACAATTGAGAGTGGAGAAGACTAAATTAGTGGTTGAAACCTGGTGCTGGAAGGAATAGTAGGCTAACCAGGCTAGTGTACCAGTTCAACAAACCCGCTGAGCTAACTTCCTATCCAATACCAAAAGATTTGCCAGGTATTCATCCGCATCCTATTTTCTATTCCCAGGTATTCGAATAGTCTCCTCATCGCCCCTCATTTCAAACTATTGTCCATGTTAGAAAACTCTTGGATAAGTGCTGGTTAGCGACATCTTGCAGACCACCAGGACAACAATTTTCGTGGTCATGTTCGTACTGCAGTGGATACTGACACACATCTCGTCTGTCAACAACTTGACCTGGCTACTTGAGGCAGTTGTAACGATGTTTGATTTGGATAGCCTGTTACAATAGCAACAAGAAGGAAAAGCGGTACATCTTGGATCCTAATCTACAGTACTTGGTCGGAAATTTACTCTTGTATACGGGCTGTAAGTGGGCGACTCTTTGCTTCCTACCTCAATGCTGGGCTAGATTCAATAGCATGAGATTGCCACCGGCAATTGCACAGCACTACTGCTAAATTGTGGGGAACTCGGTGATGAAGTTAGCACGACCAACAGTATTCCGGATGCGGACATTTAGCGACTACCCCCTTTCCTCGCCAAGCCAAGCCCCGGGTATCCAACTCCGTTGTCTTCCCAAAACTTACGTTCGTCAAGATTCCTCCTTCCTCTTCGAATTAAAGAAGCTCTACTTAACGCTGTCTGCGGGGAACTCTGACGTGAACATGTTAGTGCTTACGGCACCTGGACCGAGTCACCATCATAAGGTTTTAGTTGTTTCTTACTATCACTTAAGCCATCCCCTACTATCAAACTCTGCATATGCTTGTTTATTTAGCTAATCGCTACTATTACTTAAGCTATTGCTCGATATGTCCTCGCTTATTTAAGCTGTCCCTACTATCCCTTCGTCCGGTGAGACATTGCCACATTAGCAGCCGCACATGAATACAGTGTAACCTCGATATAAGGATACCGAAATTGTCCCAAAAAAACTAAGGATAATGCGAGGTATCCTTATAACTAGGTGTGGTACACAGCAAAAGTAATCCCTGCGGGGCTAGCAGATGTATCCTCAAAAACGAGGATATCCTTATCCCGGGTATTCTTATATCGAGGTTATCCTTTATCCCTAATTCGGATTATGTTCTGGCCGAATTAGGGATATTCATGTGCGGCCGCTAATGTGACAATGTCTCACCGGACGAAGGGATAAGAACACTTTTTTATAGAAATGTTTTTTATTACTAGCTTATCTAAATTGCTAGTTGCATATAATTAAAGTCTAGAGAGCATTAAAGCTCCTCAAGCAATGAGGCTAAGACCTTATAGAGACTATTCGAGGTGTGGTTAAGGGGAAACTTACTTGGTAAAGGATAGTAAGTTTGGTTTCAGGCTATATTTCCTACCAGCCCTAAATGAGGCAAATTACGAACGGATAGGGCTACTTTGCTTTGTATATGGCGAAGCAATGAATAAGGCGACGATTTTATTATCTTATTAAAACAAAATACCCCAGGGGTTATTTTATAGCCTATAATTTACTGGTGGCAAAACTCTTATTCATGACTTTCTAGCGTAAGAACTTCAACGACAGTCAATCTCTGTGTGGTCCATGATACACGAGATCCCAAACTGCGCGACCAGTTTTCTCGTGAAGAACGTTTATCCATGGGAACTTGCAAATAGAATCACGAACCCTTGACCAGTTATCAATGTCCAACTGCACAGTCAGAATTCTTATCCTCAAAATGAGCCAGTGACTGCTCGTGGTCGAAAACCAGAGGCTTGCAATGAACAAAAGCCAGAGAAGCAAATCGCCGTCGTGAGCATCGAATTCCTCATCAAGAACCTCTCTTAGTCGCCGAGAGATTGAATCGTATTCTTGGATTCTGCGGTTATCCCACTGCAAGAATAGTGTTGTCATGAATGTTATTAATCCAATATGATATGCTGCTTCCCTCTTGCATTCAGGCTTCGGACTTTGTAATGGTCGAAATCGAATAAGGCGGCAACATATAGATATCACTATCTCCAGAAACGTCGTTATATCTAAGGTCTGGCGGGTAGGAGGATTATTAAATAGAGTAGTGATGCTTATGACATCAACGAGTATGTCTTGAATATCTGTATTTATTCCGTCTCGTTAATGTTGTCCAGAGGTTAAACCGGAATAAAAGTTGAAACCCATTGATAGTAGGGTACTTCGAACCTCAGACATGCGGTCTCGAAAGAATAATACTGGCTTTCCGTATCGAAGTGCGTGGAGTATGTCCATTCTGTGAACCAATACCAAATTAGATGAGAATGTAAAGTGTGATTGGAAAGCACTAACTTAGACATTTTTAATAAAAGTGTGGGGCAACTCTCGAGCCGAGAAAGTCCACCACGGAGTTTGATCATTTTCCTGAGTCCTTCGTAGTGAATCTGCGAGGCCTTTTCATGCCGAATTTGCTCTTGAAGGATAAGCATCATAACCATGCACAGTGTGGAATCTGAGAGAGCTTCTTCGCCTTGCATCCTTCGCTTCACTAGTGAAAGTGTGTTGGAAAGATAGGACAATGCTTTCGGTGGGCTGATACCTCCGCTAATGAAGAATGCATTAGTTGATGCCATCAATGCCAGACTGCAGTATGATGCTGCGCGCCAAATCAGTAAGGCTAAGACTTAGGAATACGATTGAAATATATACCATCCTCATCAATGAACGTCGTCAGAAGCCAGTCATATTTATACTCATTAGATGAAAGCCCAAGCTGAGAAGGGTACATCTTTTCTGTTATGAAGAGGAAAACTTAGGATAACATGTCTTAGTAGCCACTCTCAATTGATTCATCAAGAGGCTGTCATACTTACACTGATCAATACTTTTCAGTGAACTTTCACTTAGCTCCACAGGAAATTGGAAAGTGCGCAATACATTTCCAAGATTCCTTGCGACTGGTCCTAATTCTTCCGCGTTGCGCTTCCTCGCCTCCTCATTTGGGAAACTTGCATCGCCACATGGCGTCCGCCCGGCGCTCAACTCAAACCTTGAACGACGATGAACTGTCTTTCCAGCATTTTTACCCTTCATGACATGGCTGCGCATTAACTTTCGAGTGACTCTGTCGACCTTGGCACTACTATCTACGAACTTGAATGTTTTCTCCATTGTGAGATAAATCAGTATTACCGACTGTACTTAGTCACCATCAAAGACAGACCGAGAGAACCCGAGGAAGAGATTAAACCACGTAAGGCGCAGGGCCGGCCTATATATGTTCCGCACGATCGTATTCGCGAATAAGGGTACGATTAAAATAGTGGCGTTTTGGTAAGGCATCAAAGGCAACAGCCTACAGAAAGCGATAAGGATCAAGTGATCAAGCGATTTTCGAATCCGGTTTTCGACTTTTGATGTCCGATTTGTGGCCCGTGCTCACCCCACCAAAAATCGCCCACATACCACACCCCCTCTCCCTGTACCTCTACCTATTATTACTGCTTAAAATATTACTCTCTCTTTAATTCTTATTTATATATATATAAGAGAGGGGGGAAAGGGGGAGGGGGGCGTGGAGGGCGAGTGAGTAGATGAAAAGTGAAAAGTGAAAAAAGTAGAAAGCGAAAAGCGAAAAGCGAGGTTCGAGGCACGCGACTCGCTAGGAAAGGAAGCCCTATAATTATAGGCTACTTGTCGCTAAATTTTAGGGCTACGGTCACTAAGTTACAGGCTATAGGCACTAAAAATTTAGCGACATAAATTTTTGGTTAAGTTCCCTCGCTTTGCCCCCCCCTCCTTCCCCCCCTCCCCTTTCCCCCTATAAACCCCCTCTCTTATCCATATATATAGAGAGAGAGAGAGAGGGAGAGAAGAATTAAAGAAAGTAGATATTTGAAGTAGTAATAGAGGTACAGGGAGAGGGTATAGTATGTGGGTGTGATATGTGGTATTTGCGATTTTTGGTGGGGTGCGCACGTGCCACAAATCGGACATCGAAAGTCGAAAACCGGATTCGAAAATCGCTTGATCACTTGATCCTTACGGCTTTCCGTACGCCAGGCTTTAATTTTAGCGAAGCGGCCCTGATCTCGTAACCCAAGTATTATATTATATATAGATTATCTTTCGTCTCCTATAAGTTAGGAAGAGATGGACTAGTTTGGAGAAGATTATTTTTTAGTTAATATATAGAAGTAGTATATAGATTCCCAACGCAATTTTCCATACCTACACTATCCTTGATTATCTGTGCAAGCAGATTCCGTGTATCCGCCGGACTAATGACTGCCTGGAACGACTGATTGAGAGAGTGCCGCCTGGGAGTGATGGCCTGGGACTGTGGCCTGGGACTGATGAATGAGAGCGATGGCCTGGGAGCGATGGCCTGGGACTGATGGCCTGGGACTGTGGCCTGGGACTGATGAATAAGAGTTCCGGCCTGCCTCGGGCAGGGCCACAACCAGCCTGGGCCACAACTCTAAATAACTATTCAAGTGGGCTCTCGTGTCGCTAAAAATAGAACAACGCCTTGCATCAGCCTCGTACCAATGAACGAGGCTACCACAAGGCTATAGCAATCGAACGAATAGTCACCCGACGCAAAACGATGAACCCCGCCTACTGTATGGCTATTGTTAATGATGCAGGAAGGAGAAAGAAGGTGGAGAAGTTCTCGAGGCTAGGGTTTTGCTCATCGAAGCTGACCGAGCAATCGTGATCAGAAGCCTGGCCTGTGCGCGTTGTGACCTCATCTGCGTTTCAACACATCCACTTCCCTCCTGAAGATCAAAGAAGGAAAACAATCAGCCAAAAGAAGAGTTCGCACGAACTCTAGCAAGGACATCAGCCTGCGTCGATTGGGTTATTGGCTACGATGATGCAGCGTATGGTGCCTTAGTTGTGATCGAGGACGATGTTGGCGGATGATCACTGGGCGCTTCTCCAGCCATAAAGCGGTGAGAAGGAATACCTCAACAGCAGTGTTGTAACCTCACTTCAACTCCTTTCTTTAGCAGTTGCTCCCAAGATGACTGCTGATATTATAGTCAACGTGTTCAATGTCATGAACGAACCTAGCCCGGCTTTCATCATTCAACTCCAGATCCAAGACAGCCAACGACTCTCTGAAGCATGCGAGGGCAAGGGCAAAGGCCTGGAGGGCGAGCTGTCAGACTCACAGCTCGCAGCAGAGCTGTATCGAGAGAACTTGGAGCACTATGCTTCCATCCTTGCTGACCTGCAGATGACAAGAAGCATTGCTCGAGCTTGCCAAACCGATGGAAATCTTCTCACAACTTCGCTTTCGCAGGAGCAGACCGCAGCGAGCGATCGAGAGATGGCGTGCAGGCTTGGTGGTGTTGCAGATCCGAACTCCATCCCGCCATGGACAGTGATCTCTGAGGAGATGGACTGGGAATTGCTTGCGAAGAGTTCGACACCGAGTCCACCGCAACCGAAGCTACTGCTGAAGGGGGATATGGCGTGCCAGAGTCGTCCCACTGGGCGGCCAGATCTCTTTCGCGCATCGATGACTCATTGTTCCCTCCTGGCAGCGTGCGGGTGTTCTTGACTGCAGAGCATGTGCTGCAGGACGAGCAGAAGAAGATCGAACTCGACACGCCAGATCGAACGTACTGCTCCAATCCCCTCTGCTCGGTCTTCATCCGCTTGGAAGATCCATGACTGGTGACTCGTTGTTCCCTCCCCGGTGCTGTCGTCAGCCCATCACCACTGGCAGCGTGCGGGTGTTCCTGACTGCAGAGCTTGTGATGCAGTGCGAGCAGAAGAAAATTGAACTCGACACCCCAGATCGAACATACTGTTCTAACCTCTGCTCTGCCTTCATCCGCTTGGAGGATATCACGGATGAGCAGGCCTCTTGTCCGGACTGCGGCACTGTCACCTGCACGCTGTGCAAAGCCACCAGCCACGGAGTGCTGTATGACGCGGGACAACCAAAACCCTTTCTAGAAACTCCAGAGCCATACAAAATTAGACCAAAGGAAGCGAAACCGGAAGCAGTTGTGAGAAAGACTCGTGACGGTAAGCTGCTTCCTGGGAGCGCACCCTCCAGATCTTGACTTGGAGATTCTACGGATGCTGATGTATAAAAGGTCATATACAACCAATAACAGATCCCGCAATCCCAAAGGCGTTGGAACCAGGATGGAGTGAGAACCCAGGAGCAAATGTACGAAAGCGAAGTTCTACAGCGGCGAAGAGGGAACAGTCAGTGAGTCGGAAACATACGAAGGATGAAGATGAGATGGTTTTGGACGAAGATCTGGAACTAATCAGAGCTAAACTTGCGTATCTCAAGTTAAGAAAAGGGGGCAGGTTTCATATCAAAAGACCACTCAGAATGAAGGAAAGGGTGTTTTGCTGCTCATGCGAAAACGTTACTGGAGTTTCGGAAGAATTTGCGTGTGTCTCTTGTAAGCATACCAGATGTGCTATGTATTTGGCGATGAGATAGTACCCAGGTGGTTACATAGTTTCCACGGTTCAAAGCACACCACATTTTCAGTCAGCATTCCATTCACTAGAAGTGAAGGGAACATTATGGGCTGGTGAATTAGGGACGTCTCTCTTTTCCCCTTTCCCCCTAGACCTTAAATCGCCGATTTTGAGAGATTTTTCGTAAAGTTAGGTTTTCTTTCGGCCCACACTTCACCCCTAGCCACGCGCACGAAAATTGGCTGAGGTGCACGTCCATTTCGTCGCTTTTTCACCCCCACCTAACCCCCACCCATACCTCGCGTAAAAATATATCCTCATTTTCGCGCGCACTCACCACTCTCACTCCCTAATTGAAATGTGCGAGGTAGCTCACTAATTAATTAATTACCACGTTCCTAAGGAGCACCCGCATATAACGCCCTGCCATATAACTATACTCAGGGACACCTGCACGTAACTGTTACGGCTATACTGCCTATGCCGTACGCCGTACGCTGTACGTGCAGGGCTAGCGGCCGCTGTTCATTTAAAGCTTGCTTCCACGTAGCCTCTACGAGCTTCTCTCCTTAGTTTAGTATTCTCAATAAGAGCCACTCCTACACTGCTTTCCAAGCCTAGGAAGTTGTACTCGTGACAGTAACGCCCTGCCAGAAAACTATACTTAGGGAACCCTACTGGAAACGCAACGCCCAGTTCACTGCACGGTGCTTGTTACTATAATGATTACTAGAATAAAATAGTATTTTAGTATTATATCGCACGTGATCTAGAGCTGTATATCATCATGTGACTGGGCCTCTTGGTAGCCCATGGGCTACCCACGTGGGCGGGCGGGCCTTGGGCCTCAATTCTGACCCGCCCATGGGTTGGGCTGAAGCAGCCTAAACACAATTGCACGGGTAAGTTAGACAAGTAACTAAGAAGAGTACTTTTTGTATTGCAATTGAGCATGGAGAGCTCCTATCTACCTAGGGATAAAGCAACGCTTATATAGACCTCTCCATCCCCCATATAGTCCATGTAGTACAAGTGTGTGTGTGTGTGTGTGTTTGTATTTAACGTCTGGGCGGAGCCCGCGATCAAGTCGCGAGTCCTGGGAAGCCCCGGAGGGGCAAAAGACGCCGGGGGAGGAAGGCTCCCGGATGGCGGACTAAAGTATTATATACAATAGTAAATTGGTGTTTGCTCTTCCTAAAAAAAAATACGCAAAAGCGCTAAAAAAGGAGAAGAGAGCTCCGGCAGGGTTTACATAATTGCCGTCGCTTTGTGTATTCCTCTCGAGGAGAAATGGCAGCTGCCCTCACGTTACAGACGAATCCCCTTGATTCTACTCCAATGCTTCCGAAATCCCCTTCTTCCTCCGTCACCCTCCTATATCCTCCCTCTAACACCCCTATTCCCAACCTTCCAAATAGCTACCGAGAGTATCGCTGAGCCTACCTCAATAAAGATTCACCCGATCCCAGTCTCGAGAGATATCGCAAGGGCTCAAGAGACCGGTTCCCCTCCGTAGACTATCCGTATTGTTTTCGTAATATGCTATTATTCGAAAGTAGGAGCGTCGAGTTCGGGAAAAGGGTTGTGAAAACTCTGCAATTGGCCCCGGACGCCTCCACAACCTCCACCCTTCTTGCGTTCTCTTCTCAGCTCAGGTAAACACACCCTCTAAGAAGAAGAGTATTACCAGTTCGTAGCCAGCACCGCGTACAGGTGAGAGATCCGTCTTCGCTGGCCCATGTAGTACAAGTAGTACCGACTACTTGTACTCGCTGTACTACATGACACGTAACCTGCTGCAATAATGCCTAAGGCCAACACCCTGTAATGCCTTGTGATAGAGCCCTAGGCTCTAGTCGTAACAGCCCAGGCCCTCCACCTATCTTCTCATTGGTTTTCTGTTGTGCTGAAAAAAAATGTTGGCATCTTTCTCGCTAATGGTGGACCGTACATTGGACGAGCAAGGCTGCGCGCATGCTGCAAGCTGCGGAGGTGGTGTCGCGGCCATGTCCTCGTGCAAACGTTAAGCCTTGAATGACAGCCGAATTGTCCTTCAGTGGCCACAATCTGCTGCGTGGGCCTTAATAAATGGAGGGCCTGCAAGCGATCCGATAACAAACAGCCTTGCTCGTTGCATAAAGTCAACCTTGCCCAGTAACTACTTCAAGCCACTCTTCGTCCGGTATAAATTCAACCTTAACTGGTGACTCCCTCAAGCGACTCTTTGCCTAGTTTCCGATTTCTTATTCTCGACGTCGCCCTCTTATCTGAACAAAAGAGCCATGTCCAATTTATCCTTTACCTATAATGCTACTGCGATTCACAATGCTTTCAAAGGAGGCAATCAAAGCTACTGTTCTCTAAGCCCTTTTCAATACTCCGTATACCCGATCGATAGCGATACCTCAAAGTGCCCCTCCGCCAACTCTATTCTAACAACATTCGGAGTTGTGAATCTCGCGGTTACCACCTTCAGCCTGTTACTTGGAAATCGGGTAATAACGCACTGGTATACCTGCGGTTATTGCGGGCAAGAGAAGAAGAATAATTTCGGGAGAAAGCACCTCGGTATTCCTATCCCGAGTTCTATACTCTATATGTGGCTCCTGCCTATTGCGCTCCAGTTTAGCGCGAACGCTATCAACGCCGTACTAATGAAGAGTACTCCAAACTATAAAGAAGGCTTCTCTATTGGCCAAATTATGGTTCTCTATTTAGTGCGGCCGCGTGTTACCTGGCTCTTGGGTATTATCATAGTCAAGTGTTCTCCAGCAGCGGTAGTCAATGGAGATGGCGATGGCGAAACAAGTGCCCTATCGGATACTCCTTCCGGCTTCAACTTAAGGGAGGATTGGCGGCCCTGGGCATACCAACAGATGTTCGCAGAATGGGTACTCCAGGTAATTACCTCAAGCATCGGCCTATTGATGCAATCGTGTATGCCCATCTCGCAACCAGGTAGCGAGGAGGTTTCTTTGCAGGGCTTGAACCTTGTTATCCCAAATTTGGTGCTTTGTTTCGGTATAGCTGCCGGTTCTGGTGCTATGTTCTACGTCAGGAGGGGCGGGAAATTTGACAGAGAATACAAGCAAGGAGGCTCCTCTCGATCTTGGCGTTTCCAGATTCCATTTGTGTTAACCTTAGCTGTCGCTGCTTTACTATGGGCATCAAGGTGGATGTTTTGGGTCAACTATCTACAAAACTTTGACGTATACGGGCAAGTACTATCCAAATATCGAACTTAAATGCATGCTAATTCTATAAAAATAGTTTCTGCCCACCCAAATTCATACAGCAGGGCGTTGTATGGACTGTTTTCTCCGCCGCTGCTGCACCATTTGGAGTCGGAGTCTAGGACTTGGTTTGCCTGTACCTCAGGTTATTTCGATATAATAGTTTGAGGTTTATTCAGATGATCTGGCAGTCCACTGACAAGTGCCAAGGAAAGCAAACGATCAAGGTCGGTTTGATAAGGTAAAGACTAGATTGACTACAAAGATGGAAGAGGAGGGTGAGTGAGGAAGGGATTATATACATGTCGCCAAGGGGCAGAGCAAGGTCTCATTATGTAAAGAAGGTAGTTGTTTTGAGAAATATCATAGTAATTCATAAATCTGGCCCCCTTTTGACTTGAAATCCTGCCCTCTGAGTGGCTCGCTAAGCTGGTGGTCCGTGCATTTAGCGAGGTGTGCTCCGCGTCGCAGCAGAAGGGATAGCCATTATTGACTGTGAGTGCATCACTAGGAGCTATGCGAAGGCGAGCAAAGAAAATATCGACAAGATCGCCGCACTCTTTCAGGCCGATCCGCAAAAGATGGAGCTGCTCTCTATCCTCGACGACCAGGTAGAGCTGTTGGCTCGGGAAGGGCGGCCGGACCTCTCTCGCCTCCTCGACTCACTTGAATCACGTTCCATCACACCATCGGAAGAGGTCTTAAGCTTACGGGCTGAGTACGGTCTCGAAAGGGTAAGCCGGTGCTTGGTTTGGGGTTTGGATACATCCATTAATATAACAATAGGAGCCGGTGCCACAAGGCTGCTTAGATGCTGCTATCGAGTGAGTCGTCAAAGGGGTTGGACACGTTCTCGGCAAGCGCACGCTCGGTAAAGACGATTCTATTATGGTCAATAGTACAGTCGAACTTTCATATGGCTTGTTCGACAGGCTCCGCTCCAGGGAATGGCTCAACTGTTGGGACGTTGCAGCCGCTCTGGAGATAATCGATAGACCAGTGTCGTGACTGTATAACACAACGCAATATAAATACTAACTGGAATTCACCTATTCGTTTTCAAGTATTAGAACATTCGAATTCATACCGAACTTTAGGTATTATTAATAGTGAAGTTATCTACAAGATAGCACATCCACGGGATGTTTCTTCTGTTTCTTTTTCTGATACTAAGATCATCGGCAACATCGATAGAGTGAATTTGTATTACAGCTCAGGTAGATACCTCTATAACCGAGACATAGTCACAAATCGTCTTGCAACGGCCACAGTTAGAAGTCCGCAGACCGTATAGAGTAGAGTAGAATAGTGTCGGATGGACAGTAACCTGATCTGCGCGAAATGAGAAGTGAAAATTGAATGATTGTCTAAGTAAAGTGGTACCTAAAGTACGTACCTAAACCTAATTTTAAGTGGTGTAATAAGGGTTGAGTTCAATTAGTCTGCTGCGACCAATACAGTCAAAATCTGCCTTAGATATCTCCTGGACGTTCCGGGTGTCTTCCGGCCCGTACGCGCGGTAAAACTTTATGGCTAAATGCCTGTGTAAGGCGGCAGTGTACTGGTCTTCCATGATCTAACAGGTCTTGGTCAGTAAAAAGAGTGCCTTGTCAAGCTTGCAGTCAAAGCCTTCGCGACCCTTATTTTTACTGTTCATGAAGGGCTGTGCTAATTGGGGCAGGAACGCTGCAGGACCAGGCTTCCAAGTTTTGTTCAGAACGCAGATAACTGAACGCTCCTTCCAGCCGTCCTTGGCTATATCGAACATTTCTAAGCAAGTGAAGAAGCCGTCCGGCTCTACGACATATCAGTTGAGGTATCTCAAATTGGTTGATTGCGAAGCTTTCCGACATATCTCAAGTTAAATGACCGTTGATACCTAAGGCTGCCTCACGATCATGGATGTTTCCAAAAGCACTTTGGATGCTTCATCAATATCTCCCCCATTGCCAGTACGCTGTGCCAGGGTTTACTACTACTTCCGTCGCCATTCTCATTTCAGGATCGTCAAGACTCTGAAATATGTGCATTAATTTACTGTACAGTATGACGGCTCTGTCACAATCCATCTGCTCTAGCCATGATTTGCAGCTTGGTTATAGGCTGGCGCCAGCTTCTCGTTCTTGTACGTTCTCTAGACATACCCTTATCTTCTGTACCAGTCGATTTGACCATAAGTCTAATGGTATTGCAGAAAGCCTAACTTAAGCTGATTACACTCCGGCATTACTTGGAAACACAAGTATTAAGCGGCAGTACCGACGACAGCCACTACATGATGAAGATGCCCCTACAAGACCTCTCTCTGCATACTTTACCTTTGCAAATCATATACGATTTCAGGAAGTGAGGGCATAAGTTTTGCTGATTTGGCAAAAAAACCCCGAGTCGGCAATATCAAGAGATATCCTCAATTGAGAAAGAGACACCCTGTGTGATGGTGAGGTTGTTTGTTCCGAAATCGTGTCTCACGTGCAAACTGAAGAAATTAGGTTATGGAAGTCATTTACTACCACTACTCCGCCCCACCACCCCTAACAGAACTACTACTGCTACTATTGAAATAAGAAACGGTATCGCACTTCTGCTTCTACAATGGGTCCTTGCTGCTTGTCTGGCTATGAAGTCTCAATAATGAGCGGTCACAGCCCGCTCAAGTTAGTTACAGTTCCACCACCACCTTTGCCGCACTCACACCCGCCTGTAGCTTCCTCATCGCATCCTGGATACACTCCAAGCCCTTGCCAGCCACAATCGGCGGCGGCAGGCACTGCAACTTCCCGGCCTCTAGCGCGGGGGTCAAATAATCCCTAAATACGGGTATCGACGCGTCGTTGACGGAGTAGATCATGCTGGCCTTCACGTTGGCAGGTACGTCGGCCGGAGGGGGATGCGTGCAGGCCAGGTGGCCACTGCCGAGCGCGGCGAGGATGGCAAGGGCAATGGGATAGGTGTCGGGGGTGGCGATGGCGTCGATTAGCCCAATAAAGCCGGCTCCACATTTGGCTACCGCGGCTACGACCTTGTCCACGATAGCAGGATCCTTGTGGTCAATGACCTGGGCTGCACCGCAGCGCTGACTGAGGGCAAAGTTGTGCGCTCCGGTGATAGTTATGACGGTTACTCCAGCTGCGGTGGCTAACTGGGTGACCATGGAGCCCACGGTCGAGGAACCGCCGTACACGACAAGAGTTTTGCCCGAGGAGGTGACTGGGTGCAGTACCGACGGGTACGGAAGGCCGAGAACCGTGAGGGGGACGCCGGGCATAACCTCGCCGGGTTCCTGACGGAAGAGCGCGCAGGCCGCCGCCCCTACGGCTAAGGGTATGACAACGCCGTCCGTGAAGGCAATGGAGTTGGGGAGAAGGGCTGCCCTATCGGCGCGCACGACGGTGTACAGCGCAAAAGCGCCGTCCTCGGGACGGCCAGTAACTAGAGTCATGCCGTGTCTGCAGTCGAAAAGAAAGCCAGCGTTAGCCAAGCATCGTAAAGAGTGTATCTATATGCTGGAGAGGAAACAGAGAGAATAGAAAGAAGAAGTGCGAGACAACGTGAATTGACTTACCCAATGACTCGATCCCCCTTCCTGAAGCGCTGCACGTCTGGGCCAACGGCATACACGGTGCCAGCGACGTCATTACCGATTATACTTGGCCACTGCTTCACAAAGACGCCTGCCTCTAACATCCAGCTGTCGACTTGGTTCATACCCACGACCACGTTGTGTACGACCAGCTCACCGAGCCCGGGCGTGGGCATCGGGGCGTCGCTGACCTCAAGAGGTGTGTCGGCTTTGATCAGCCATGCGACTCGGTTGGTTGGTAGTGCCATGTGTGAATTCATTCGTTCCTTTATCCTTTTTCGTCGTTCCTACAGTCGTTAAGTCTGTTAAGTGGTTATTACATGGTCATGCTGACGTAAATGAAATGAGATGTAGAAGGCACGCTGGTGATAGTGCCGGTGGGCATCGAAGAGGACCTACCTCCCTTGAATATATCGATTGCAAGTCCGCAGACTTAGTCAAAGTCCCTAAGTGTGACAGCACGTACGAGACGTAGGCACGGATAAGTCAGGTATGACGTGATGTGCGGATCTCGTAGAAGAATGCCTTTATTCGAGGATCTAAAGCTGAGGAAAGAAGAAGAGGAGAGGAGAGGAGGAGAAGGAGGTGAAGCGTCGTCTATATACTAGAATAGGGGGTTTCCAGGGGGCTTGTAGGTACTAGTCAGGTGACGACTCGGTGAATCGTCACTGTAAGGCAGCATCGACACGACATCCCATCAGCAATTGTAAATACAAAACCGCGACAGAATTAGAGACAGATGCATACTAGATATCCCGTCAGAAGTGCAAAATGGCTGGGACTAACCACCTTGGATAAATAGATAGGTCGCATTAGGACACCGCTCAATCAGAATGTCAACGGAACCTAGTAATTCGAAGAGTGATTGGAGCGAATTCCATCAAGTCTAGGTTACAAGCGTGAGGCATTATCGGAGATTAGTGCTCTTGCCAACATTCCTGATATGTGCTAGCTCAGCCATGGCACTGAATACTTCCTCTCCTTTAGTGGACTATTTCTGGTGAGCCAGGGTCATAATCCGCTTAACCAATTAGGAAATGAATCTCTCATTGGTCTACACTTCTCAGCGTACCACTAGATTTTATGCCACATGCTCGATCGAAATTGCTATTGCTTCGTGAATTTCCGGATTGAACTAGCAGGACAAAGATCCTGCACAAACAAGATTCCAATATCTGACTGCAGCTGTAAGATTGATGCATAACGACAATAGGCAGGAGCTTGCTACTTCTCCCTGCTGCATTCTGCGATTGATTGATCTCGATGTAGATCCTGGTCAGACAACTACTTCCTTCCACTGTGTCTATTCTTCCGAATACATATTCTTTCGGAGAAACCGCGATTTTCAACATAGTCTGGAAATTCCAAAAGTAGTTGCTTGACATTGACATTGACATTGATAGAGCTTCAAGAGGAGTTTCATGAAATTGGGTCACCAAGAAAGAATATCACTTCCATGAATCCCACATTCAAGCTGTTTGCAAACTGGGGGGGAAAAGTCAGCGCTCTGCTCCGTAGTACATAGCCAACTTACTTTTATCAGTCCCCTTCCCCTCCTCGTTCATAGCCTCTAACCCCGCAAAAGCAGGAAGGATCTGCTCTCCCGCAGCCTTCTCAAGCTCTAAATGACTCATCACAAACTCATTGGTCAGATTCTGGTAATCTGCCTCTCGATTAGCTCTATTCCCTTTTCAATTAATTTTCTCGACTCACACAAAACCCCATTCTCTTTATCTGGATGCAGCTGTCCCGTCCCATAAACACCATTTTTCAAATTCTTCTGCGTTAGTGTGCAGAGATCGTAGTCCTGTTTTGATCAATTCATTATCTCATAAAAATTTGCCGATCTGGGCAGAGTTACTTCAATCTCGACCTCCTTCAGGAACCTGATGAATTCTCGAACTTTCACCGGGTCCTCCCCTTTTCTAGCGAAGATGTCATACTCAAGCACTGTTCTTCCAGCAGACTTGGGTACAAGTCTCATATAGTACCATGCGTAAGAGTAGCAGTTCATTCCGTTGAGTGGGAACAATGAGAGCCAGAGACCGGGCTTATCACCTCCAAGCTCATCAATCTTTATGGAGCTCTGATCAATTGAAGCAGAGGATGGGAATCCCAGCCATGAGCTCCAAGACGATCCTGCGGGTTTGGACTCTACCATTGTTGACTTTGCGTTCGAATCGGGGACAACGACTTCAGCCGAGTGACGAGCATAGTTGTGCCTCGGTTCCACTTGATAGGTTGGGACTTGAATGACTTTGGAGAAACTTGGGTGCGCTGTTGGGCAGTGGTAACACTCATTATATCCATCCACTTGCGTCAAGAGTCAGCATCGTCTATCTCACTATTGTGGTATCACTCACACAATGTCTTCCAATTAAACTCCCCATCCTGTTGCCAACTCTCAACATACTCAAATTCTCCAAAATCAAACTCGTCCATCTCATCTTCCAACCCTTTGTAGAACTCGTGGAATGGTGTGATGTTAGGAGTAGAGTCGAAATTCACGAAGATGAGGCCCTGGCGTGTGGTATGAGTGGCAACTTTGAAGAGTCCGTTGACGGATTTATCGAAGTTGGGTACGGTTTCGAAGCCCGGTGCCTTGATCAAGCTACCTTTCGTGTCGTAGGACCAGCCATGGTATTTACAACCTATAAGAGATCAGAGGGGCGTCTCATCTCGGCTCTTCCAGAGCAAACGCACCTAGAACCAAAGAGTTGCCAAACTCTTTATTGACGATTGGATATGCCCTGTGCCGACAAACATTATGAAAGGCTTGGATCGTCCCGTCTTTTCCATGAATCAGAATGATAGGGAATCCGGCAATATCGATTCGAAAGTAATCTCCAGTCTTGGTGAAACGGGAGCTATGCATTGTGAGGATCCATGACTGTTTGATGTCAGAGATGTTTGTCCATATGGTGACATATATAAGGGTCAGGAATGAGATTATTGCTGACCTTACTAAAGATAGCACGCTTCTCAAGCTCATATATCTTCTCACTGACCCACCAAGAAGCAGGAAGAGTATGATATCTGGCTATCTTCGCAGCCATTACTAAACAATTTCTGTCTAATAATTCCGGATTTATTGAAAGTTGGGAGGTGTTTGAGTGCTTGGCTTAATCTACCTGAGGTCTTGAAATGTTCGATTGGGGAGAGTGGGAGAAGAGACAGCACGATCACCACGATTTCGGTATACCTTGCCATCTGTACGCCTCCTAATTATTGGTGTCACTCCACTCTTGGCTTTGATGATATCTGCGGTCTTGCGCCGAATCTATGGGGGATCCCATTGGCTTACTGAGCATCCAGAATGCCATTCGCGGGGAAGAGGATACCCCACTTTCAACCCACAGTAGTCAATCAACCCCCATTGGATGTTATCATAAGATACTAAGGAGGGACTTTAAAATGCAGCGCATGTGATAGCAAACTAGATTGGAGATAGCTAACGGCTCATTGACAACGGGAAATATATGCCTAATCGAATTGGCTGCTCGATCCTCCCGCCAATGATAAAGCAGTGATCAAATTCGCAGATCTCAAGTCTAAAGAAGCAACATTTTTCAATTGGAACGTAAACGTATTCTTTAATGACCTCGTCTTTACGATAAGCGGTCTGGATTTCTGACGTTATGAGATTATGTTAATAATATAGCAGCCTTCTGGATCAAAATAAATGTCTTTATCTGCCCAATGAACTGAGAACACCCCCTTGGATGTTTCCATCTAGGAACAGCTGCTGATATTATCCCAATTACTAAGACATGCCATAGAATGAACAAGGGCATTGTAGAACCCATAGGAATCTTGACTGCAAGATCTTGGGCTCGTGTGATTCATATCACTCGGAGGCACTCTATGTCCTACACACCTTTGGGTGTTCAACTGTACCAGCTGGAGTGGATTATGATTTCGAGAACTTTATTTCACGTCGAAATTAATGCCTTTAACGATTCTAGGGCATTCAACTGTCTACATTGTAGGATTCTTAACGTGGTGAGGCGAGACTCGTGGAAGGCCAGGAAGATGGTCCTCGTAGAAAGAGAGCAGGCAAGCTTGACAAAGATCGAACACAGGGCCAGGAAAGAATCGAACTATATTGATCGATAACGCAATTGTCAAAGTAATGCAGTGAGACTTCACTGCTTTTGAAGACGTGAGGAAGCAGGGAGCGCGGAGAGAGATGCGGAAAAAAGGGCGAAGTCATGGTTGTTCTAGGAAGGCGGTCAAATGCGGCAGAAACTGCTGCCCACTAAATTTTATCTACCATCACTGACTCACTCTTCAACAACAACATTCTTCACCTTTTCCTTGCCCTTTCGCTCCCGTTATCTTGAATGATACACTTATAGGCAAGATGCCAAAGGTGTATCTTCTTGACTACGTGGCGGGGAATGTGCGAAGCTTGGTTAATGCCATTGAGAAGGTGGGATACGCAGTCGAGTGGATCAGGTCACCAGAAGATGTCGAGAAGGCAGATGTAAGTGAAAGTCATGAATTGAACTGTCAAACCTCCTTTTGTCTCACTCAATTCAATTCACGAGAAGGCTTTCCTATTGTTCCTGCTGACAACAATCGCAGAAACTCATCCTTCCTGGTGTTGGCCATTTCGGACACTGCATGACCCAATTCTCCAACGCAGGCTACCTCCCAGCGATACGAAAACATATCGAGTCTGGCAAGCCATTCATGGCCATATGTGTTGGGTTACAAGCTTTATTTGAAGGATCCTCAGAGAGCGCGGCAGTCCCAGGTCTTGGGTTGATCAAAGGACACCTCGACAGATTTGACGACAGCTCGAAAGCAGTCCCGCACATTGGATGGAACAGCGCAAACACTTCAGACAAGCAGATGTATGGCCTGAGACCGAGTTCGAAGTACTACTACGTTCATTCATACAAAGTACCGTATCGGCAAGGAGAGCTCGAGAGGCAGGGATGGACTGTTGCGACTGCGAGGTATGGGGACGAGGAATTCATTGGTGCGGTAGCAAAGGGAAATATTCTGGCCACGCAATTCCATCCTGAGAAGAGTGGAGTTGCGGGTTTGAGAGTCATTAAGGCATTCTTGGATGGGAATATAGAGAGCGGACACACTCCCGGGCAAGGAGTAGCGGAAGAGGGCCTTACTCGGAGAGTGATTGCGTGCCTGGACGTACGAACGAACGATCAAGGAGACTTGGTGGTCACGAAAGGCGATCAATATGATGTACGGGAGAAGACGTCTGGAGGCAATGTTAGGAATCTGGGCAAGCCGGTCGAGATGGCGAGTAAATACTATGAGCAAGGAGCGGATGAAGTCACATTTCTGAACATCACAAGTTTTCGAGATTGCCCATTGGCAGATTTACCAATGTTGGAGATACTACGAAAAACATCTGAAACAGTTTTTGTTCCACTGACAATTGGTGGTGGAATCCGAGATACGACGGATACGGATGGGACCAAAGTTTCCGCGCTGGAGATTGCCACGATGTACTTCAAGAGCGGAGCTGACAAAGTTTCGATTGGATCAGACGCCGTGATTGCTGCTGAGGAGTACTACAAAGTTGGAAAGAAGCTATTTGGGAACACAGCCATTGAGCAGATTTCCAGCGCATATGGAAATCAAGCTGTTGTTGTCAGCGTGGATCCGAAAAGAGTCTATATCTCGAAACCGGCCGAGACAAAACACAACACTATTCAAACGAAATACCCCGGTCCAAACGGCGAGCAAGCATGCTGGTATGCCTGCACCATCAAAGGCGGAAGAGAAACCCGAGATATGGATGTGGTGGAATTGGTGCAAGCGGTGGAAGCCATGGGCGCAGGCGAAATCCTCCTCAATTGTATAGACAAGGACGGAACGAACAGCGGCTTCGACCTAGAGCTGATCAATCAAGTGAAAGGCGCGGTCAGCATACCGGTCATCGCTTCAAGCGGAGCAGGCAACCCGGCTCATTTCCAGGAAGTCTTCTCCAAAACGCGGACCGATGCGGCTCTTGGTGCGGGTATGTTCCACAGAGGCGAATACACTGTTAAACAAGTGAAAGACTTCCTCGCTGAGAAGGGCCTTATGGTCAGACAGTTTGAAAGCGAGCTATAGGGATAGTCAGCAATACGAACTCTGCTGTCATGCTAGCCAAGAATACCCCGGCGCATCACGTGCCGAGATTTATAATCCTTCCGATCCTCCGGTGATTGTCTTTAAATCTGTGCCAAGAACAGGTGAGGATACAGTTATATAATATTTGTCGTCTCTATCTTTATTTACCTAGTTCCTTCTCTTCATACCGCTCAACAATGGTATCAACCAACTCCAACATCCTCGTCCTTGGTGCCGGCGAGCTGGGAACATCCATCCTGACCTCTCTCTCCGCCCTCGCCCCTCCTTCTACAAAAATAACAGTCCTCCTCCGTTCCTCAAAAGTAAACACCACCTCACCATCCAAGCTCGCTGAACTCTCTGCCCTCAAGGCACTCAACATCTCCTTCGTAGCAGGCGACATCGCCACCTCCTCCGTCTTCCAACTCTCTTCCCTCTTCGCCCCATACGATACAATCATCTCCTGTCTCGGCTTCGCCTCCGGTCCAGGCTCACAAATTAAGATAACAAACGCCGTCTTAGAAGCAAAAGTCAAGCGCTTCTTCCCCTGGCAATTCGGGGTTGATTACGAGGCCATTGGTCGAGGCAGTGCACAGGATTTATGGGATGAGCAACTCGATGTCAGAGAACTCTTGAAAGCGCAAGATATCACGGAATGGGTTATTGTTTCCACCGGTCTCTTCATGAGTTTCTTGTTTGAGTCGTTTTTTGGGGTCGTCGAATTGAGTGGCGAAGAGGGCGTGGTGAGAGCATTAGGTAGCTGGGAGAACAGAGTCACGGTTACGACGCCCGATGATATTGGGAGGTTGACGGCTATGATTGTTTTCGAGGAGAAGGAGAGGGTGAAGAATGAGGTTGTTTTTACGGCGGGGGACACGGTTAGTTACGAGGGGTTGGCGGATATTGTGGAGGGGGTGCTTGGGAGGAAGGTTAGAAGGGAGGTTTGGACGGTGGAGAGGTTAGAGAGAGAGTTGAGGGAGGATAAGGAGAACGCGGTCAGGAAGTATAGGGTTGCTTTTGCTGTGGGTAAGGGGGTCAGTTGGGAGAGGAAGAGGAGCTGGAATTGGCAGAGGGGGATTGAGGTTACTGATGTCAAGAGCTATGCTCTCAGCAATCTCCCACAAGTAGTTAAGGGAACCATTGCTTGAAGTACCCTGCTCCCTTTCCTGTACGGAATCTCTCAGCAGGCAAACGAAGATTGAAGATGGGGAGGATCCTCGAATTTAGAAAGCAGAAGTAGGACATTAGTTCGAGATCTTCTACTTTTAAAATCCACTGCGCATTCACTCGAGTCCTTTCGCTTTCTGGCTTTGTTCGCTTACGCTGTGTGATGGTGCGCGAGGTGTGAGTAAAACGTCCCTCTTTTCTCAAATATCACCACGTGATCTCCTTCAACCAGGGAGATTTATGTACACAAAACTTTAAATCCTATTCTCTTCCGTCCCCGAAGATCTCTAGCCTGTACGGGGGATACTGTGCAGTAAAAACTCAGCGTGACATGCTAATTTAGCACCCGCACCTCGTCAGTCCTGTGTACACTCTCCAAGCCTCACTTACTACCTCTATAATTTTTAAATACTCAATGAACTAATATCAGATCTTATAAACGCATAGAAGATATATAAGTCTTATGTATTCCTAAGAATCTTATTTTATAATTCTATAGTTAAAAAGTTATTAGCAAATTAGTAAAAAGTAGGGATTTAGAAGTACTTCTTCCGGAAGGCAATCTATACCAAAAACTGTCTAAACCTTACCTTTTTACCTTATAATCTACTGCTTTTTAATTTACATACATCCTCGTATAAAGGAAGCAAGTTTTACATAAGATGTATATTTTGTTAAATACGGCGAGGTTTGAAAACAAAGATCGTGGATTAAAAGCTGGAATCAGAGGCGTCCTAGCGTCGCAGGCGTGCCGAGCGTGAGAGTACAAAAAATCTAAGAAATCTCGATTTCTTAATAACTTGATATTTGCTTATTCAAGACTATACGGTTTATGGTATAAAGTAACTATAATATGGTATTTCGTTTTCTAAGGTCAAATTTATATTTAAATGCGTCGTTAGTTAGAAAGTAAAGTGAGGCTTTCGTAGGGAGTTGGGTGTGAACGGCATTAAATTAGCGGATTCACGCTGGTTTTTTACCTCAGCAACTTCTTAGGCGAGCTAGTGGCCTTGAAAGTGTCCCCTCTCTTTTTTTAGAGGCTCGGAGTGGTATACATTACGAAGTTAGACCTGAGAGCCACGTCAGCAAGTCTCGTTCCCTTAGCTTACACAATAACACAAATTGTCAAGGGGAGGGGGTGAGATGGGCTCGGGTAGGAAATAGCATCGGACAAACGAGCGGGCAATGTAAGCACTAAATATGCAACACCGATAAGCCCGACACCCGCGCTTCCCTTGCTTCCTGCCTACAAAACATTGACAGCGTGCCATTATTAGGCTTGAAGTTAGCTATAATCCAGATTCGAAGACAACCTCTTAGTTCTCTATTGTTCACAACCTCATAGTTTTCCATTGTTCAGTACACTGGCTAGAATGCGGCAGCAAACGGTCGCCGTTATTGGCGCTGGTGAGGGTGTCCGGATTGCTGCAGCGGAGACGAGTGTGCTGACACCGGATAACCAGGCTCCAGCGGGCTGTCCATGCTGAAGACTCTTCGCGATGATGGCTTCAAGGTCACTTGCTACGAGAGGAGGAGTCAAGTCGGTGGCCTGTGGGCGTATACGGATGATGAGACGATGACCACCGCCCTTCCTAGTGAGCATGCCAGTTGCCTTCGACATATGTAGCTCTGACTAACGGGGGATTCAGGTACCTCAGCAAATATCAGCAAATATACCTGCGGCATGTCGGATTTCCCAATACCAGACAGTATGGCTGGTCTAATCTTTTCTTTGGAGTGCACTTTATTCACCGCTGTCTAGAGTATCCGCATTACCTGTCTCAAGCAGAATTTCAGGAGTATATCGAGTCGTACGCGACTCACTTTGATATGCACAAGGACATCGTTTTCAACGCTTTGGTGAAGCAAGCATCTAGAAATCAAGACGATAGCAAGTGGCGGCTTGACCTCGTTGTAGACGGAGAGTCTCGAGTTGAAGAGTACGATAAGGTAGCGTTTTGCCACGGGTACCAGACGAAAGCAAAAATGCCCGACTTTGAGGGCGTCAAGAACTTCGACGGCAAAATTTTACACACGCAACAGTTTAGAATGTGAGTTGATGTGGACAGATGCAGCTTGTCCCGTTTGTATACTGATTGTTTCAGGTCCGACGAGTTCAAGGGGAAGAAAGTCGTTGTGGTAGGAGTGTCCAGCACCGCTTCAGATGTCCTGACTCTGCTTTTACCTGTCGCTTCGAAGGTTTACATGTCACATCGACGAGGAGCACTCATAGTCCCCAAATTTCGGAAAGGCTTCCCGCCGGATTTGATGTCCAACTGGCGGCGGCGTCAGATCTTCTCTTTTCTGCAACGCACATTTCCGAGGGTCTCCAGGTGGCTAGTGGACAAGCTCGTGGCACTCATGATGAAGCAGATGTATGGTGACTTGGATCCGGCCTGGGGATTGGGAACCCCTGCATCTCTAAGCCTTTCGCCCCGCGCTTTGAATGAGAACATTATCCCGTCGCTCAGGGATGGATCCTTGACTTCTTTACCAGGCATCAAGCGCTTCGTCGGGCCAAGTTCGATCGAGTTCGCAGACGGGACTGTCCTCGATGACATCGACGCCGTCATCTGCGCCACGGGATACCTGGCTGACTTCAGTATGGCTACGTTCCTAGAGACCAGCCGACCATCAAACTATGGTGGCCCAGACATGGCTAGGCTGTGGATGAATCTCTTCCCTCCTCGATATGCGGACTCTATGGTCATGCTTTGCCATTCTGCGCTCGGAAAGAACAACGGCTTCTCTTTCTCTGACGTGACTTCAATGGCAGTGAGCAATGTGTGGCGTGGTGTCTATCCGATGTGGACTGTGAAAGAAATGGGTAGGCATATAGATAGTCACCAAGACTGGGTGGCGTCAAGATGGCGCTTGGACAATAACATAGACACCTCGATGGTAAAGACATGGGAATACCAATCCTTCCTGCATGAAGCTGCCGGTACGGGTATGGAGAACCTCGGCTGGGGTTGGAAAGGTTGGAAGTTCTGGTTCCAGGACCCAAAGATGTCCTATATGATGAATCATGGCGTCGAAACGGCACATGCATTTCGGTATTTTGAGACGGGTAAGAGGAAGGCGTGGCCGGGAGCAAAAGAGGCCATCATACACATGAACGAGTTGGTCAAGATGTTTCCCATCAAAGACGAGAAGGAGAAGTAATAGGCGGTGTGACGAATTTCATATCAGAGGTAAATGGGATACCAAATATCCGCAATCTATGGCCGTATGTGTAAGTACTTCGTTCATATACTTAAGTGAACGAAAGACCGTTTGAGGGTATCGTAGCATGGATATCTATCCGGTTTATATATACTTCTAATAAGTGTGGTGAAGAAAGAGATCATGCGTTGAAGCATGCTTTTTCTAATGGGAGATTCGGAATCAGAATGAAATTGCCTTTCACGTTCATACTTGCTAATAGAAATTCGCATTTACTGAAAAGGGAAGGGAAATCGGACAGCGTGAAAGTGCGCAGTTCATGGAAAACATCCTTCGTGAAAGTCTCTCTCCGACATGACATAGCCAAAGTCACGAAACAAGTGGCAATCTAATCCAACACCTCCAATCCAATCTTCTCCCACCAACCAACACCCCCAATACTCCCATAACACATCAACAACAGCGCTACACACAAATTAGCCACTTCCCTCATTCCCCTTCCAATTCAGATTTCACTCACAAACTCCCAATCACACAATTCAGCGGCGCCCTCGAACACATTGCCGAATCAGTCGTATCCTGAAACTGCTCGGACGAATTTCGACACCCGACATCACACCAGGTAACAACCCCGTTCCCTGTAGCACGGAAGCTGCGGTCGAATTCTATGTTCAGCATCGCGGGGCCCGCGGTGGCACCGCCCTTGCAGATTCCTATTGAGCCTGGGTTGCTGTTCGGGAGATATCAGAAGGTGTAAGACCTTACAAGTTTATTAGTAGAAAGGTACTCACCGGGCTTGGTCGTTAGGAGGAACGGTAGTACCAGCTGCATCTCCATGATTGCAGTTACCATTCGCTTGGTCTGTTTTATTGCACCTCGTCGTCAGTCCCTACTCACATTTTACAAATCCCAAGATTGGAGTAGAAGAGAGTGCAAGAAGCACTTGCATCAACGCCGGTTGAAATCTGTTCCTCGTTTTTCAAGAGGAACTAATTCAGGGTCACTGATTCTGAATGAGCGGCAGTCAATCACTTGGATCTCTCTGTCGAGTGAAGAGCAAAGACTGGCGAGAGGAGTGCGAGAGTGAGGAAAGCAGCGGAGTAGAGTTTGGAAAGCATTGTTATTGATTCAGAAAAGAGAAAGGCTTAAAGTAATGGTGCAGGACGGGTTGGCTGCTCTGGACGTTGAAAGGGAACATAATAACATCAAACTCATCTTTGGACTTTTCCCTTCCCTAGTTCCCCACTCGAACTTCGTCCCCAAGGTTCCCTGTGTAGAATGCTTAGCCTTGATTTTGAGGTCCAAATATTTGCAAATAAACATGGTGTTTGCAAGTGATTGGCTTCGTTTGTACGAATACACTGCACCCCTAAGTGCAACTCGGATGTGACCCCATTGCGCCTAGTGCTGACTGTAGTGGAAGTAGATTCTTTCCGGGGGGGTGGGCTATTCGATGCTATGGAGTGGTTGTCTGAAGTGCTCAGCAAAGCAAACCTACCCCTGAGCCTAAGGAGTGTATCTCCGTACCAAACAGCCTTATTTTTGGACATGTAACTTCGAACTGACCAAGGCCTATCTGAGAATTTTGGCCGAAAGTGAACTGAAATGTGACTACGCATCCCCGACCTCGAACTTTACAAGCAACGAGCAATTTGTCTCCCTTCCCCTCAAGTCCAACATGCGAATAAAAGTCCACCCTCCAACCGCATACACCAACCTCACAGCTGCAACAGCAAGCGTAGGATTCGCAGCAAAGCTATCATCACTCTTAACCAGCAACCTCAAAAACACCAACTCATTATCCTCAAACTCCCATTCCAGCGTCTCGTCCCAAACCGGATCATTCGATGGCGGGTTCTCTCCCTTGTGAAGAAAGCCAAGTTTGTGGTGCTTGTAAGGTTCCGTCTTGCGTTTCGCAGGAGCTTTTTCCATGTCATTTGGATGCACGAGAAGACAGCTCACGTACGGCTTGATCTCATCTGGGTCACGGCCGTCTGGAAGAGGCACATCTGATGCGCCGGCGATGTGGAGACGCAACTTCTTCATCTTGCCCGTGCTCAGCTCGCCGTTGCCACCAGCGCGGAGAGCTGCAGGCTTCAACACGTATCCATCAGATCCACTGAACAGAGCTTCATTCAACTGCATGCCTGCTCCGAAAGTTTGCCAGTTGAGAGCACAGATTTGCGCACCGATGCCCCAAAATGGAACGGGATTGAGATTCTTGGACGAGATGCGGGTTCCTTTTGGAAAGACGCGCATGAGATGATGAGCATTGTGGCGCCCGATCTTCTCTCTTGCCGTTTCCATGTGAGAAGACAATCCAGACTCCGAGACATTGATGAGGTGGTGATGAGGACCATTTTTGAGCCCCGAATCGACTTCGTACCACGAGTTGTCGCTCGGCTTGACCGACTGCGCATATACGCCTAGGTCAGCAAGTTCTGGTATGATGAGAGCAGCGGGTGCTGCTTTCTTCTGGTCCTTGTAGGCTTTTCTGGCTCGTTTTTCGTCCTCATCCTCGTCGTCTGAACTATCATCATCTTCTTTCTGATCGGCTGCGTCAACGAGGTGGTGTTCGACAATGACGACAATCTTAAACCCCAGCTCCTCAAGGCGAACATGCTTGCCTTCATGTTCCTGCTCTTGGTGGCCTTCCTGCCTCACAGCTTCGCTCAGCAGACGGTCACCCCAGACCTCCTTCATAATCTGAACAAGGCGCAGCTGGCCCTGAGCGCTGCAGTGATTCTCAAGAGACAAAAGAATCGGTGAAGCCTGGAATCCCTCCTGTTGGGCCGATTCCGCGACCTGCTTGTCAGAGTAGTCTCGAATGGTCTCGCAAACTGAGCGGAAGCTGATGCGGGACACGAGGGTGTAGCCATGCGTGACTTTTGGCTCCTCTGGGTCATCGTCATTATCCCAGGCATCGATTTCGACGCACCGTGAGCCAGCAGTGAGAACCGTTTCGTAAGACTCGGCCGAAGAGGAACCAACGAGCTGATGGGCTGTCAAGTACGTATTGTGGCTCGAGCTGATGAAGTACTCTGGCAGTGGATGGGATCTGTCCGTAAGATTTGGAGGTACATTGATATGAGGCTTGTTGAGCAGGGTTTGTAATGCTCCGGTCAAGTCATCTGCACTAGAGTCTTGATAAGATATGGCACCCTGATCGACGAGGAATGATTTCAAAGCGTGGCTGATTCTCAGTTTGTTCTTCGTGATTCCGGTCTCACGAGCACCGTGACCGCCTCCTGCGACACTGTTGGCGGTGATCGTCTCTCCTCTTTCATCTTCGATATCTTCATCCTTAGAGAAGGGATTCAGAGCGGCAAAGCGTGAAGTGATCGGATGATCCGAGCTTGGCATCGCACCGGCTGCTGGAAGTTAAGGCTGAGCGACTCTGAGCGGGCAACGGCCAATTCTGGGTTGGAGGTCAATTGCCCCTTCAACAATCGTAATGTGCACGGAGATATGCTTTCGCCTTGTGGAATAGGTCTGCCTTGATGTGCGAGATTTCCGGAATCGAAAGGCGACGATGCAGGTTTTCGGAGGTGTGCCATGGCTGATGGCGCCCAGCCTCCAGGCGGTTGCCAAGTTCTCAGCCCTGCAGGTTTCTAAAATTAGCGAGAATCTCCCCCCTATTTCACCATTCATCTCAAATAAAAATTCACCTCATCACTGCATTCGCTACTTATAGAAAATCACGTGTTTTTGTTTTTCTGTTGCATATCGCACCTCTGTCTTAGGCCAAGGATTAGACTAATCTAGTGAATATTTCTTATAATCCTTCTACGAATCTCCTCTTTTAGTAGACTTGAGAGGGAAGTGAATTGACACACATTTATTCACCCTCGTATCCACGAGTATACTTCCTACCCCCGCTTCTCTCTTGCTCAGTCCAGCATTGCTCACTGTAGCTCTTGAAGCCCTGCCACGCGCGAAAATGAAAATAAAAGAGCCGAACTGAACCCAAGATACAGGAGGGGTAGATTTTCCAGTCTGGCTATTTATATCCATCTATTTGTACTAGCGAAACCATGAGCGAGAATCAACGCTGCACTCCTCCCTCCCCCGAACACCCCCCAAAAAACAAGCTCTTGCAAATAGAACACCTCCCTAACCGAAATCCAAATACATTTTTTCTCAACCAGCATATGACAAAGTACTACTAATAACCTCATCCTTCACCGGTCTCCTTTTCCAACTCTCAACCTCCACCCCACCCCTCAGCACCCCAATCCGCATCGTGCCCAACAAATTATGCGCCGCATTCGAATGCAAATAAACACCGCCATTAAACATGCCCGTAGCATCCTTCCCCACACTCCCCAAAATCAGACTCTTTCCTCCCGGATGATCTTTAATAAACACCGTCACATCATGAACCACGCCTCCAATCGCCACCAACTTCTCACCATCTTTGGCCCTCTGCACAAAACCATCCCATTCCACTAGCGGAAGATCCTCAAGCGGGATCCCCCAATCAAGCTTCGCGCGTTCCTGGTCCAACTTCTTCTGCATCTGCTGCACGCGTCCCTTCTCAATGATGGAACGCCGACACGTCTTCAAGTTAGATGCTAAGCCGACCTGTTTCCAGAGCCAAATGCACCATTTGGTAGGATCGTATTGATGCCATTCAATCGCATTCCTGTAATCAGCAGGGAACTCGTGGTGGAAGTTATGATATCCTTCTCCAAGAGTAACCAGAGCAGTTAAGACGTGGTCTCTAGGCGAATTTCGGTCGTCGAAAGGTTGGTCGCCAATCCAATGCGCGAGGGAATTAACGCAGAACGTAGCTTGCTGTACCACAAAAAGGCGCAGGATGCCAGCGTAGATCAATCCACCTTTCCAGTCTCCCCAGCCGAGCCCAGCAACGAGGCAAGGGAACAGGAACGCCATGCCCAGCGCAACGGACACGAAGTGGCGGTGCTGGAACATGACTACGGGGTCGTGGTTCAGGTCCGTGATGTCGACGCGGCCGATGGATTTCGGGTCTTGCTTGAGGACCATCCAGCCCATGTGTGAGTAGAGGATTCCTTTTTGAACCGAGTAGGGATCTTTAAGCGTGTCGGTGTAGCGGTGGTGGGCGCGGTGATTGCGCGACCACCATCTGATCGAACCTTGGATGGCGCCGCCGCCGAGGGCTGCGAGGCCGAGTTGGATGGGGAGCGTGGCGTTATAGGAGGTGTGGGACCAGAGTCTGTGGTAGCCTGGGTTTTGTTAGGTCTCATCTAGCTGCCAGTTGAAGACATAGATGTAGCCTTACCAGCAGTGATTCCAAGTCCGGTTAGAAAGTAATAAATAAGAGTCCAGACAGCCGTCTTCCATTGCAAAGGGGCGGAGCAAGCGGCAATGAGACCAAAGAACGGGATCACAGCAACGAAAGTGACGTTGACCCAATCGATGTGCCGGTACCAATTCGACAGCGTAACAGGCTGCTCTGATATGTGTGGTTGTTTTTGGCCTTTACTTGACCTGGGTTGGGTTGGAGAAGCCATATTCAATCAAGAGCGTGTGAATGTGCTCCTTGGAGGCAGAAGAATTGAAGCAGAGGAAGAGTGGGAGGAAAGAAAACGCAAAAGCTGGTAGTGAGAGCAGTTCTTGTACAAACTTAGGGGAAATATTCAGAATTAATGCTGGGCGTTTCTGTTGGGACTTTCAACAAAATACATCTTATGGGTCGATTACTCGTGCCAGGGGTACACTTGCGGCATGCCCCGTATGTAAGATCGGCTCATATGTTATAATGTCGCGTGATACCTCGGTCTTCACTTCCCAACGCATCTGCCCGAAGGACCATAAAATACCGAAGGACTGGGATGAGATGCTTTCCTCGAATGGGGGACACTTGTCCCAGCGTGCTGGATCGCAAATGCCAAAACGACACGGGAGTGGCGGACGCACAGTACCTGGCGCGGGTGCGAATACGCCACCATCTCCACATCACCCCACCTTTCCTTGGCAGACCATCCAATTTTTATACTTCATATTCAAAATCCATCTACATATCGTTCATAAGCTCCATATTATACAAACTATTCATATCTCTACCTCAAGTTCAAGCCTTCATCTCCCGCTTCGGCATGTTGAACAACCTGTGCCCTTCCTTCTGTTCCGTCTGTCCGAGTTTTTCCAACTCGGTCCAGACGACTGAATACGTCTCTTTCGCCCACTCTTCCACGAGGTCTTTCCTGTTCTGCCCCGGGAGGGCGTTGTAGAATGTTCCCAGTCTATCACATCAAGTCAGCAAAATTTCAGTCACATGCCAAAAAGAAGAGGAACTCACAAATTCCAATCGACCTTAATCCCCAACTCCTTCTCACCAACCCCCACCATATCCCTCGCCTCCTCAAACTTGCCCTGTCCGGCAAGTGCACCCACATAAGCAGCAAACACCTCCTTCGTAACCTCGATCTCCATGCCTCTCATCTTATTCCAAATACTCCTCGCAATTTTATCACCAAACGGCTTGCGTCCACAAGCTCTGAACACGATCTCCAGGGTCCTATAACTCGGTCCTTCAGTACTATTCGTGATATCCTCCCAAAACTGCAGTGCTCGGTCTGCGTCCTCGCATTCCGTGTATGCGAGAATGAGTGAGTTGTAAAGCTTGGTGTTCGGTTCAACGGTGGAGTCCATCTTGAGCATGTTGTGCACCATATCCAGATACTCACCGTCACCCAACGAGGCGATGCCGAGGAAACACTGGATGTAGGTATCTAGCACGGGACGCCGATCCGGTAAAGGATGTTGGCGCATGTGCCCGAAGATGTGGCATGCCATGTCGCAACGGCCGCGGGCGAAGAACTCGTTCATGAGAGAAGTCCGCTCTGGGACTGATAGTTCGTCGAGGATTGCCCGCATGATGTTGTAGGCTTCCCAAGCGCGGACGGTGTTTGTGTTGCGGTCGAGGCAGCAAGATATGAAGGCGTCGATGAGACGTTGTCGTTCAGCCGCTGTGTAGTGGTAGGCTTGAGTTTGGAGGAGGTCGCTTAGCTCGTTTATCTCATCGCGTTGGAGATACATCATGGAGAGAGCGGAGACGGTGTCGGCTTCTAATCTCTTTTTGCGCTCTTCCAAGTCGGAAGCGATGGATGTGATGCGGCCGTAGTAGTCCATTTTGGAGACACAAAGAGCTCGGATGTACTTGTTGATCGCTGGGAGGTCTTCATGGTCCAGGACCTCCTCGGATTGGAGGGCATCATAGGCTGCCTGAGCGCCCGTGAGATCTCCCGCATCGACACGATAGTTCATCTGAAGAATAAATGTCCTGGCATCAGGGTGGATCCCCAATTTAAGACCGAGTGCGATGTAGCGTTCTGCCAGATACGGGTCCTGGAGGGACATAGCAAGGTCCACGAGCCCATTGATGGTGTCTATATCTGGTGTCACGGACTCGTTGTCCTGGTTATGTCGTATCATGACTTGAATCATGCGTTCCACATCCTCGACGCCCTTCCCCATAGCTCCAGCTGCCCACTGGAGGACAACATCCCAATTCCCTTTTTTCGGATTCATTTCTAATAGTCCTCGAAAAATAGTCCTGCTCCATTCGAATTCACGATTCCTTATACAAAATCTCAGAAGAGTCGACATTGTTGACGGTAGCGGAACCCCGGGGTTTGGCATGGGTTTGGTGTACCACTCTTTAGTTGCCTTAACATCATCCTTGGATGCATAGAACCCCGTCATAATCCGTTGACTTTCACGGTTGTAGAACACTCCATGCTGTTCCGCCATCTCAAAAGTCCTCAAAAGCTCCTCCTCATTATCTTCCCTCATAAATCCTTCAAGTATCAAATTCCACTCTTTAACCCGCGTTAAACGTGGTTTTGTCTGCCCTTCCGCCTTTGTCTCTGCTTGTCTTTCGGCTTCGAATTCCATCACAAGATCTCTCGCCTCCAGTGAGTCTCCGGTCAATGTCAGAGCCCGTATGAGTTGTTTCCTAGCCCCAATGCTCGCATCTGCATCCGGATCCGCAATACTATTCAAAGCATTGTGAATCTCCCTCGCCATCGTATTGTGTAGATCCTTCTTATCGTTGGGCATACGTAGAAAGGCAAATCTCGCTTTCCTCAGGTCTTCAGCGGTAAGTCTACCCTCCTCGTCCACCCGCTCCCTAATCCCCTGCAAATGCTTGAACAACCTAATAATATACTTGGCTTGCAAATTATTGATAGCCTCCTTCCTCGCATTCTTATACTCAAAGAACGCCCTCCAAGCAGTAACAAGTTCAGGAGCCGGAGGCGGACGAGCATGGATATTATTCATGACGCCGAGGTCAACCATCTTGCTGAAGCCTGGGACGAGGTCAGGATCTTTCGGCTGTCGAGGCGGCTTGCGAGAGAAACCGAAGAGGGTGCGCTGAGGGTAAGGTCGTAGGAGGGGATTTGAGGCATGGTGACGGTGTCGTTGGAGGAGGGAGACTTGGGATGGGCAGCGGAAGGTGAGGCCTTCGCTCGAGAGGAGTCGGCGGAAGACACTCCGGGTCAGTTGGGAGCGCATGGCTGGAAAAAGAATGTTATGTACAGGAACTGTGACGGAAAGTGGTAGCAGAGTAATAGTGGATTGGGGATGATGAGATTTTCATACGGAGTCATCTCGTGGACAGCAATTGATCAAGCTTGGAGCTGTTGATACATTTTTTGACATTTGGAGAAGCTTGGATGAGCGGCAAGCCTCCTGTGGCTAACGCGACTAAGCCAAGTGTGGATACTTCTCAGTCACGTGCAAGGCATGGTTTCCATTGGGAAGCACTTTCCGAAGCGTTTGTGCAGAATTTGAGAGTTGTAAGTGTCGTAATGACTACGAGCCATCCAGCAACAAGACATGTCCCAATGAACTAGAAGTCGTGTACGAAATCATCCATTGCATGTGTCCTCTTAACTACTCCAACCGAATATCCATCCATGCCTACAACTCCCTATACGCCCTCAGAAACGCCGCCGTAAATTCATCTCTCATGTTACACTCACTCGTTAAGCATCAATCAATTCTCCTTCGCCTTCGTCTTCCAATCCTTCCTCGCTGTCCCAGTCAACATCATCTGCCGCAGCATCTGCCGCCCGCTGGACATCCGCCAGACCACTAAGCTCACTGATGTAGTCAGCCTCCGTTAATGCACGCTTGATAAACTCCCAGCCCGAACGTCGGTACTCATCAACAATCTTTGGAGAGCATGCTGAGCAACAATCGTACGATTGACCACTGATCATCATGTTCTGGTATGTGGAGAGGAAACCACGAATTTGGTGCGGAACGAGGCCAAGAGGATGATCCAAGGGATCTCGTACATAATCAACACGTCCTGTTGAATCTTGGTTGGAAGCCATCTTGGGGGCCGGAGCGCGAGGACCAGCTGGGTGTTGTAAAACGGATGTCAACATTTCAACAAGCAAAGCAGATGCTATTGGCGCAACTCCTGGACGAGTGACTGTACACTGTTGATCGAGGGTTTGATCTTTAATGGACTGTAACGGAAGTTAGCCATTGTAATCGAAACCGGAGCCTTTGAGATTTACATCCGCCGGAGCCACAACATCATTGCAGAAATAACAACCCAAAGTTGCTGCCTTCTCGTCCTTCTGGAATACACCGTGTCTCATGACAACATATGTATCGAAACCCAAGGCGGCGTTCAGAACGAGCTTATTCTTAGCTTTTCCCATCATGGTCGGAAGCCATCGAGACTCGCGGGTATCCATGAGGAGGAAGATGGCGTCATGTTCATCAATCAGTTTCTCAAGGGTCTCGAAGTCAAGTCTGGCGTTTTGCTCGTCTGTGATGGGGTGACCAAGCATAGGAACAGACATAACAAATCCACGACTATCGACTCCTGGGTAAATTTCCTGCAGTGCTTCAGCAGCTCTGTAGGCCTTCTGTGCACCACCATTTATGCAGTCCTTAAAGTCAAATAACGGCTGACGAACTGGGTTCGAGAATGAAACGGTGCCGTTGTCGATAAATGTAATCTTCCGAACTCCCCAGCCCATGAGGATACGAGAGACGTAAGATCCAAGAGTACCTGCACCCAGGAGAAGACACTTCGTGTCCTTGATTTTGTTCAAGTTCAAATCTGGTGCGATTCGCCACTTCATTAGCTTCAAGTTCAGGTCGACAGCTTGGTCCGCCAAGTGGACGGGATCCTGGTATTGAGCCAAGTTGATGACTTTCGGGGTAAGTTTGCCAACATTATTACGCTCCCAGCCAGTTACTTTCGGCATCGCATCGTCATCTGAAACTTCGCCCTGGGTCTCCAAAACGAGGATGCGGCTCCTTGCCTCATGGCGACGAGCTTGGGTATCTCTGTAGCACAGAATTTGGACTTTCTTGAGCTTGAATCTTCTCTTGATGAGGACCAACAGATTTCGCAGCATCCATCCTGGATTATCGGGATAAGTAGAGGGGTCGACGAATGCAACATATTGATCTTCCTCGGGAATCCCGCTGAAGAAACCGGTCTCGAACTCTCGGAGAGAGCCAACTACCCACTTGTAGCCCAGCTCGTCGGCAGGCGTACCTGGCGTTGTGGGGCGCTCGCCTTCAGTAGATGATCGATGAACTTTCTTGGCCAGGAAGAAGCCATGCTCTCGGCTGTCAGTGCTGTATCTCCAGGTGCCGATCTCATCTGCAAGAGAAGTAGTCTCCTTTCCAGTCAGTTGGTCAGGAGCCGGAGCATCGACCTGCCTCCATATGGGGTCGGAATGAAGAGCAGGGAACGCAAACCAATACGTGAAAGTGTATTTCTTCAGGTTTGCGAAGGAGAGAATTGTAAACGAAGAGAGCAGGGACTGAATGGAGTAGATCGTGCCATCATTAATGGCATCCCAGATCTGGTCACATGATTAGCAACCTAGTCCGGAGTTTCGGATGCATAGACTGACCGTCTTAGCAGCTCTATTCAGCAACTGTGCCTTGTCGGCGTTCTTGAAGTCCTCGATGGTATTTACATTCTTGATACTCCCTTCAGCACGGATGTGGCCAGCAGGAACACTATTTTAAAATCAGCAAAGCCTTTTGTACTTTGAATAGAAGCTTGACACCCACTCTTCACTAGTCAAAGCGTTGCCCAAGACCATCATTTTACAACTCTCATCGGGCGCCAAGGTCACACGAGGCTCGTACAGGCCCAGGACTCGGCGTGCGGAATCGTCCAGCTTGTCATGATCGATCTTTGACTGGGACAAGTTATCGTAGAACGGAAGCTCTATCTCTGAGCCAAAGGGAGCAAATTTGAGAGCCATCTTCCTATTTGTACGCAGCAAATCGAGAGAGTCGAGGTCGGCAATACCAGAGGCGATGGCAAGTTCAGTAGGGCCAGCAAACAATGTGTGAATCCGCGCGCTGTCGTAGTCGTTGGAGTTGGAGATGGATATCTCTGGGACCTGTCTGAATCATGAGCCTCTGAACTGAACAGGTGCCTTAAGGTGTGCGCTGGACAGTCATGGGATTGTTCCACCTCCAGGTTGAACAATGAAAGACTCACGTGCTGCTCGATGTGCGGTACAGCCGGTTGAACTTCGGCATTCCCATCACACTCCTGTAGAGCAAGGGGAAGACACGTCTAATGCGCTTTAGGGCTAGCTCGTCAAGGGTTCCAATCGCACGTGTCCAAGCTCTGAGCAGCGTCTTCTCGTCCAATGATGCCATATTGGAGGTGTTGTTGTCAACGTTGTAGTTGATTGTTGACTAGACGAAAAAGAATCCACAAAATGCTAATCGGTCTGTGTGGAGGTGAGCTAAGTCTCGCCCCAAGTCGAGTGAATTTTCTGCTAAAAAATCACAGGAATCTGCGCTGGAAAGCGGACGGTAGCCAATTACCTCTCTGAGCACCACGGTTTCACACACCTTTACCTCAAGCAAGATTCGGCGAAAACGGATCCAATCGAGTCCTCGAATGGCAGCGCAGATGAAAGCGCGAAAGAAGGTCCAAAATCGACGCGTATAATCCCCTATATCAACGGAACAATCACAGACAAGCAGCACACTTTCACAAGCACAGAGGACCTGCTGGACTTTGTCACAAAGCGATGGCGTGAAAGATGGGTCACCACAGACATCCACACTGAGTCTATACTCGACAAGCTCCTGCGCAGACCCTTCTTTATCCTAGTCAGCATCGATGCACCAGTCAGTGTGCGGTGGAAACGATTCCATTCTCGATTCCAGAGCCAGAACTCCTCCTCAAGTATGAGCCTCGAGGACTTCCTCCTAAAGTCAGACGAGCACCTCTACAGTCCCGAATGCGGCCTCCTCCCTCTCATCTCTCGAGCTACAATTCGTCTCCTCAATACCTCGTCGGATATCGCACACCTCTACGCTACGCTTGGGAAGTTGGACTTGACAAATGAGGATAGGTTGCGGCCGAGCTGGGATCAATATTTCATGCAATTGGCATCACTGGCTGCACAACGAAGCAATTGTATGAAGCGGCGGGTAGGATGTGTTTTGGTCAGAGAGAAGAGGGTCATCAGCACGGGGTACAACGGTACACCGAGAGGACTGAAGAACTGTGGAGAGGGAGGGTGTCCACGATGCAACGAGGGGCAAGGCTCTGGCGTTGGTCTGGGGACATGTCTTTGTATCCATGCGGAGGAGAATGCGCTGCTGGAAGCTGGCAGGGAACGCATCAGGGAGGGTGCTATACTCTACTGCGATACGTGTCCGTGCTTGACTTGCAGCATCAAAATCACGCAGGTGGGGATCAGCGAGGTGGTTTATAGTCAGAGTTACAGCATGGATGGGGAGACAGCAGCAGTCTTCAAAGAAGCTGGTGTGCGTCTCCGGCAGTTTGTTCCTGTAAGAAACACCCGAACTCTTCATCCTGGCTGAGTCGCCGCTGACCTGAACAGCCTCCCAACGGAATGATCCATTTAGAAAAGCAAAGCTTGTATTAATGCAATGATACCCTTGACACGCCGGCTGTGCTTGCCTTTCTGCCGTCCAAGCGATCCCTGCTGCTCAAGTTACCACCCTCTTCTGGCAGTCTACAAGGTTGAGTTCTTCACATTTTCCGTTGGGCCTGTACACCAAGGTAGATGATTGAATGCAGATTGCGAGTCGAGATTCCCTCAACGTCAGTCATATCACCGCAAAGTTGCGGGGCTCGAAGACTTTCCGGTCAGAGCATCTTGCTTTGGTATTTAGAGCTGCACTTCTGAAGACGCTACACACTTGGATTGAAGGAAATGTTCAAGCTCTGAGGGTTGCAAGAGGCGTGGTAGACCTGATGACCGCTCTTCTTCGGTCTATCTGGCAATTGTTGATGGATCTGCAAAAGTATTTCAAGTACCTTTATCCCGGACACGTCTGGCTCCTAACGCAATGAAACTACGAATTATTTTGTCGACATCAAACTGTGGCTACTCCACATAGCACTGACTCCTACCCATTCATTGTCGAAGACGCCGGGGTGTCCGAAACGCGCAGAGTTGGAAATGTATATTTAGCATTGCCATATAGTGGCTGAGCGCTTGTTGTAATGCAGAATCCCCTGAATATGCCGCTCCTCCTTTGGCATTTGACTAGTGAAGCCTCTTGGTCGAGTGCCTTTTCATGTGTCATTCTCCTGCAATGCATCAAATATTCGGCTTCCGTTTTTGTTCACCGGGTTTGGAGCCTATCCTCCAGGTGCGAAGCGCCGACCCGAGGATCTGGTCCTGCCGGTTGGTGTCACACTGTGTCACAGCAACCCCATAAACGGGCCGGCATCCTCGTAATAGCACCAATAGCTTTCATCTTGTCGCTGATATTTTCCCACAGGGGTGAGGTTATTCGACCAACGTCTATGACCAGTTAAATCCCACACTAATGAGTGTTGGTGCAGCAAGGCAGCCCCACACAGTCGAACAGCTGTTTTTCCCGCGGGCATTCTTGTGCCATCCAAACTTCTATTTCGATAAATGTAATCTTCGACGTAGGTCCAGACCTGCCAATAAATCACAGCGGAAGCTTGATTAGCAGACTGAAGCAAGATCGAAACGCATCCTGCGCATCCAACACCTTGCCGGACGGCACCTCTGAACCTCGCCGAGTCAAGTTCTATATACAATACATTATACCATTCCAACGCTGACCATGGAAAGACCAGTACGTCTTGGCCCGACTCCATGGAGACGGAACTAATCCACGACCCGAATCGCCTAACAAAATGCAGCGTGTTACACCGTCCTCTGAGACTACGTCTTCCCCCACATCAGATGGCTTGCTCACTCCACAAAGCGACAGTGCGTCGACATCCCCGGCAGCCTTGGCTCATGGCCAACTTCAAGACTTAACCCAGCAGATTGAGACCATCAGACTCAGTCAAGATGTGCCTCTTCCTTCCATTGAAGGAAGCTCAATCGGTTCTTCTGGCGGCGTGCCTCTTTCACGGGGAACAACTCATTCTAGAACACCATCTGTCGCACTGACGCCACCACCAGTGGGCACATCCGAGAACTCGCGTGCAGCTCACGCCTCTCGCAGGACATCTAACAGCATTGATGATCGTCTAGGAATGTCAGACGTTGCCGCTGCGATCGGAGGCGTCGGAAGGGATTCGGGGAGTCCTGGTGTCTTTCTACGCCCCGAAAGTCCTGCTGTTGAAAACAGTTCCTCATCCCGCCGGGCTTCTAGAAGGCGATCGAGTTCGCGCACCAATACACCCATTCATGACGTGAAAGATGAAGAGCTTCCGAATGATCGTTTCAACGAGGCAACGTTCCAGGAGGCTTTTTCGGACGCAAAGAGGCTCATGGCAGAGTTGACTGCTGTGCTTTCGAGCAACACTATTAACCACGAGCTAGACTCAACCATGAGACAACTTCATGAGCAAGCTGGCAAACTAGCTCGGTTCCATTGTCCTTCAACTCGAACAGTCGGATTCGTTGGCGACTCGGGCGTAGGTAAGTATCGCCATAGTAAATAATCAGATACCGAAATCAAGTTCACCATCTGTAGGGAAAAGCAGTCTGTTAAACTCGCTTCTAGACTGTAAGGGTCTTGCCAGAACCGTAAGTTAGTCCCGATCACCGTTGTGAGCAAAACTAACTCAACTTCTATCAGAGCGATGGTGGAGCTGCCTGTACCTCCGTCGTTACCGAATACCACTACCATAGCACCGAAGAATTCGTCATCGAAGTGGAATGGTTTGGCATAGATGAGACAAATGCACAGTTGACCGAGCTACTCCAGGCCTACCGCGACTATCATTCTCTAGGCACAGGTATCGACGAACATGAGCTGAACGACCTCAGAGATCGCTCGAAGGTTGCACAGGATACGTTCCAAGCAATGTTTAGGGGACGCCTTGGAGACGAAGGGTTTCTCACCCAGTGGTCAGAGGCTGACGTTATGCGGACTCTAAGATCATGGGTAACAGGGGCAGGTCACTCATCGTCCGGTCGTCAAGCCTACAACTCGCTGGAAGATTGCTCAACACAGTTGATGCACCTCACTTCCGAACAGATCGGGAATGTAGAGCCCGCAAAATGGCCGTACATACGCAAAGTCAAGTTCGTTCTGCCAGCATTGATTCCTCGTTCTCATTCCTGACTACTTCAGGGTTTTCTTGAAAGCCCATATCCTGAGCAAAGGCCTTGTTCTTGTGGATTTACCAGGTACGAGAATCTTTTGTTGTAACTGGATTCAAGATAGCGTATTAACAAACTCCATCCGACAGGACTTCGCGATCTGAATTCTGCCCGAAGGGCAATCACTGAGCGATATATGCTCAAATGCGATGAGATCTTTGCAGTATGCTGTATAGGCAGAGCGACAACCGATGCAAGCGTTATGAATGTCTTCGAGACAGCAGAAAAGGCCAAGTTATCCCACGTTGGAATTGTCTGCACCAAATCAGCAGTGAGCCTTGAAACAACAACTATGAGAAGATTTACAGACTGACTAATATTCAGGACATTCGACCCGAGGAAGCCAGGAAAGATTGGGGAGGTGACAAAGCGAGGATAGTCCAACAACATGAAGATGCAATAGCAAGAGATAGACGGGATTGGGACGCTGCTGATGCAGAAGTAGATGATTGGAACCAGGCCGATGATTTAGATGATGAGGAGAGGGAAGAACAAGCCAAGGCTATTCGACGCTCTCGAGAAGCGAGGCAGGTACCCTTGTTGTTTGATGGTTTCTGTACTAGTGTTGACCCTCCTCCTTTAGGAAACGATTCGATAAACATCAGCTCGAGTGGGTTCTTCATATTTAACCCGATACCTTTTTGCTAGAGCTGACAAACTCTGCTAGATTACAACAATACCTCATCAGTAATCGAAACAAGGATGTCACCAAGGCTCTCGAAAATATATACCGGGAAAAGCTGCCCGGTAATGATTTAAAAGTTTTCTGTGTTGACAACATTATGTATCAAGATCACCGTACCGAACCAAAAGATGACGCACTTCCTTTCCTTGCACTCAGCGGCATTTTTGCTGTCCGCAAGCACTGCATCGCAATGGTTGCAAGTAGCCAGCTTCGTTACGCGATGAAATATATCAACGATGATATTCCAGCATTTCTAGGAGATGTTGGGCTCTGGGTACAGTCGGGAGCGGGGACTGTAGATGCGGAACGAAGAGGGGAAATTCGAGAGACACTTAATGTTCTGGAAGCTCGGTTGCAGGGTGTAAGGTACGGCCCCAGACCTTCACGGGACATACTAATGGATGGTAGCACCTCACAGGCAATGCTTCTCATATCAGTAGGATTGCAAGATCAGGTAGAGAAATGTTCAGAGAGCAAATATCGCAAAGTAGGTACCCTGAACCTACCAAAATCCCAACTTTCTTACCTGTAATTCAGGACAACGCATAGCCAACTGGACGGCAGCTGCAGCCAGGGCCAGTGGTGAATGGGATTCTGTGAGTATCACAATTTCTGATGGCAAAGGCAATTAATTGTTAATCAGATATATGCAGTGGTATCATTGTATCTCTCTCCCAACCAAAGACACGTAGCAATAGAATACGAAGCTAATTCGTCCTTCAGCAACATATTCCGCTTTCTGTCGAAATTATGGGACCCACTGTACGGCAGCGGTAGGCAGGCACAACTGGAATGCAGAAGCGATGAAAAAAATGGTTAGGGATTTGACGACTCCATGGCAGGAGCTGAGGTCAATGATTCAGAGCAGTCTTGAGCGAGACAACCAATCTATCCAAGATCTGATGGACGACAGCATGGATTTTGCAGGTAAAATCGAGAGAGCCTTCCTTCCGTCACGCTGCTTATCGATCTGCAGATGACCAGCTTCAACATTCTTTGGAGTTGGCTGACACCCTTGGCCAAACGATGAGATCGCGCCAACATCTTCTACTTGCAGATATTGAACAAGCCTGCGAGAATTTTGAAACGAGCCTCTCGTGAGTTTTCAGTCATCCAGTAGAGGTTCTCAACGCTAACGGGCGCTAGCCTGCTGAGAACGGATGCGTTTTCCGGTCTTCGCACCTCGTTTTTCGGGCAACTCATGGAGGATTCTTATAGGAGATGCAATAGAGATTCTGGTAACTTTTGCACAGAAATTGCCTTAATCCCTCTTCGGCGCTAACATACCAAAGGGGGCGGAAGTGACAGAAGAAGAAAGACAGTCATCGAAGATAGGTTGAGCGACGAAACCGTCTTCATATTTCTGCACCGAAGCTTCAAAACTCAATTCAGCGTTCTGGTTGAAACCCTTCAAAGTGAGATTCAATTAGCCGTTGCAACGCACCTATCTGTTATCACACATACACTGGATATCGTTAGGAATGAGAATGTTGCTGTTGAGAGCGAGAGGGATCCAGAGTTCAGGGGGAGGGTGGAAAGGGAGGTGAGGGCTGCCTTGCAGGAAATGCGTCGGCTGCAGGGTATAGATGCGTCTTCGAGTACAGGGGATGGGCGAAGGGTGGCATTCGAAGCTTAGATTTGGTGGGCTGGTTGAACTTAGGTTCTCAAACGCCAAAGTTCCCGATTCAAACAGAGAATTGACTGGTTTTGTCTTATTAGTGGGTTCGGCTCTTCAAGTAAATAGCATACTGCCTTTTTCTCGCTCCCCACTTCCCTGACGCCATCAACCCAATATATATTTAAAATCGCAATCCTCTCTCCTCACCCCTGGCCCCCTTTCACCGGTCCTGGAAAATGATGATGGGGCACCAGTGCCGGTGATGATAGCAATCTACATGTCCTCCCACTAGGACATGGCCCCCCAACCCCAAGAAGAAAGGATATAAAATCGACGTTGAGCACAGGATTTCCATGCTTGAGCCACGGATGGAGATTTTAAGGCCAAGTAACGCATACCCTTGGACTGGGGATCTTGCCCACTTATCCCCTGAATCGGAATTTCATAACGGGTAAGTAGAAATTTCTCTTGTTCTTGTTCTTGCGGCTAGGGAAGCGGCGATGAGGGGTGGATACGGTCCAGATGGAGAAGGAGATGCGGAGGCGTATTTTGGTGTTGGTGTTGGTGTTGGAGGCGTGAGTGTGGTTGAAGGTTGTATTAAAGGAATGGGATTCAGGGGTAGGATCCAGGGGTTTTGTTGGAGAGAATGGGGGAGGTTTGAGAGAGGGAAGTAATTGAGTAGATGACTCGATGCTCAAGCAGAGATAGATAATAACCATGACGCGACGACAGGGTTTTGGATCGCGAAGTCCCTCGAATCTGCGAGCTAGACAAGCGCCATCCCTTGCTCTTCCACATCCTTGAACCACTCATCCATTATGCTCAGTCCGCGAGCGAACCTCGAATTCTCTTCCGAGTCCATTATGTCATCTTGTAATATGCAGAGTGAGCCGACCCAGATGTACCGCATTCTGAGCTCGTGAGTCACAATTATTGCTTTATTGAATGTATTTGATAGAATGTCCCAGGGGATGGCTGTCCTCCGATCTGAGAGTTTTGCGGTAGCGGTTGTCACTATTGGCGAAGTTCCCCAACAATGACTCAGTGCAGAACATTCGAAGATTTCACTACCAGCCTCATGGAGGCGTGGCGAGAAGTTCTGCTGAGAATGTGAGAGAGATCGCGAGTACGATTTGCCCCTTAAGGCGGGGTCAAACTATTACATGTCTCGGCACCTTCCCATCCGATATCTATTACTCTACGTGGCAATACTGTATCCTTTACCTGGCAAGGCGTATGCATGTCTGCACAGTTCTTTATCCGTTTTCTGCATTGCTCAAACGCAGCGGGGGTTCCCGTGCCACGACACTCGAAGTCTCCAACTGGGAAGGCTTTGCAACCTCGAAACAGCCGGCATTAGCTTCACAGCCATAGGTATGGCGGAATAATAGGGAGAGAATGCACACACTCGAAGGATGGGAATGTTTTCGTGGCAGTGCAGCAGCTTGAGAGAACTTCCAACGATGAAACGTACTCACCAGACGGTGATGTCTGACGGAATTCAAATCTCTCATACCTGCTGCAGAACAAAACTTGATTTGAAGTTTGTCGCGCTGACGAGTAACGTCCACATGTGCTGCCGCCGTCAAATTTTGGTCGTCATCCGGGGTGTGGTCCTCGAAAGCAGCAACTCCTTCTCGGACAGCTTGGCAGGTCCGACAACCAGTGGCTGCGTTGTCTTTCAATTCGCTCCAGGAGCAACTAAACTCACCGATGCCCAAGCACGAAGTTGGAGCGTCGCTGCATGTAATTGGATCACAATATCTGTGTGATAGCTGACAGATACAGCCCTGCTTAGGTCCCGTCGTGGTTGGTGGATTTGAGATTCGCCATCAGCATGAGAGAATAAATGAAATGGCAGTAATGGACTGGCCAGAAGATTGGGTGAGATGTATGGAAAGACGTCAGAAGGGCATGGCACTATGGAAGTCTGGATAGCAGCCCCGCGGGAGAATGACCGTGAAAAGGATGGGAACCACTTTCCTCATCGAATTTCGATCATCGATTATGAAACTGGCAAATAGCCGAGTGCGTGTTGAGTGCGTTCCTCAGTTTAGAAATTCCTGCTCATCCCCAATTCTACAATTCTGTATGGTACACTTGATATACAGCTCTATCTCCCACCGCTATCTTCCCAATATGCATCTTTCAATCCATCTCCGCCTACAGCGGCGCTAATCTCGAAGGAGAAAGCTGCTGGTTCTTTTTCGTCTGGTTCTTATAAAGAATCTCCGGATGCCTATGCACACTCGGCATAATCCCCATCCCAATCGTCCTCCTAATCGCCCTCGCAATCCTTCGCTGATTCACCGGCCTGAGGCCCGTCTGTTTGGAATGCTTGATTCGTCCCATGGGTGTCATATACTCTGACATGATAGAGAAGTTCTATCACCCCAAAAATCACATTAGCTTCTCCTCAATGAAACTTGTAGAAGGGACGGAGAAGGGGGTACGTACCCTGTAGTGATCCATCGGATTGAAATCCAACACATCAAAGGCATCACGGTTCGGCCTATCCCTTTTCTTCCACTTTGCCGACTCGACCGCACTCAAATCGTGCGGCGCGTATACATCACCGGCCTTCCACCTTCTCGTGATCTGCTTGCTCAAATCCGCCGCCAAATTATATTTCCGCAGTTCCTCTACGTCACTGGAGGAGCGGGTAGCCCCTCCGGCTCGCCGCTCGCGCTCTCTGCGGTCGGATACTTGGAGAAGGCGTGTGACAGCCCGGCTGGCGGTGCTGTTTCCGGGGAGGTTCTTCATCTTGGCGCGTTGGATTGGGTTGGTGAAGGCAGGCATGGGGGTGAAGGAGGAGGTCGATGATGACGATGAGGATGGGGAATCTCCAAGAGCGGCGAGGGGGTCGCTGGTTGCTGAGATACGAGGAGGAGGGTCACCTGTGTTTTGTTAGGGCTGAAGTTTGCTGCTTTTGAAGGAGAAGACTTGGACAAACCAGCGCGTGAGATACGAGAAGTAGAGAACGTAGCTCTTGCTCCCATCCCCTTCTTCAGAATCTGCCTCGTTGCATTGAGGCATTGAAACCGTGGAGGAGCCATGATTGCTTCTCTGCTGTTCAAGTCCACATCCTCGAGAAGGAGTGTCGTCGGCTCAATCCTCGAGCTATTTTCCTAGCGCCGCAGAAACATTTTTCCAGGCCGGCTTCATTCCAAAGAAATTCGGCTTCCCCCACCCACTAAACGCCAGGAACATCAGGATAGAAGCTTGAGGCAAAATGGTCAGAAAACTCAAGCACCATGAGCAGAAGCTCCTCCGAAAAGTCGACTTCACGACCTATGCCGGCGACAACAATCACAGAGACGCAGCGGTGATTCGACGGTACAATATCCAAAAACCCAGCGACTACCAGAAGTACAATCGACTATGCGGGGTATGTACATGCTCTTTCAATTGTCAAATTGGTTGACATACAACTGATGATCTTGAAGTCCCTGAAACACCTCGCACACCGTCTAGCCGCCCTTCCTCCCGACTCCCCATTCCGGCAGAAGCACGAGTCCCTCCTCCTCTCCAAGCTACACGACATGGGCATTCTCCCCTCAACCTCCTCAACCGCCAAGCTCTCCGAGGTCGAGAAATCCGTGACCGTCTCAGCATTCTGCCGACGGCGACTCCCCGTCATAATGACACGTCTAAGGATGGCAGAAACTGTGCAAGCTGCTACGACGATCATAGAGCAGGGACATGTGAGGGTGGGGACTGAGACAATTACGGACACGGCGTTTTTGGTGACGAGGGGTATGGAGGATTTCGTTACTTGGGTGGATGGGAGTAAGATAAAGAGGAATATTTTGAGGTATCGGGAGAAGTTGGATGATTTTGATTTGCTGTGAGGGTGGGAGCATAGGCTGAAGAATGGGACTTATGGGACTCGTATGTGCATAGCGTTGGCGTTTGGGTCTGCAAAATTGGGGGTTGGGCATGGGAGGAGTTGCTGCATCAGTAAGTAGGCTTCTGATCCTGCTCACGCGTTCACGTTGCAGAATTGAAGACTGTTTTCTTTTATCGTATCGCATTGCATTGAATTTTCTATCCCAAATTTCTACCTAAGAGCGGCGCATTCTCTCCGCTGCAGTGCAGCTCCATACACCAAAGAAAGGAACTGTAATCAAAAAGGCAACGTCAAATGAAGATTACCATCCAGATATGAGGGCCTAAGCCAATCAATCAATGATCAGTGCCCAAAGCAAACCTCCCTTACGCAGCCGTAAGAATAACATCAATGCTAGTCTGACTAGGCCTGCAAACAGGAGAAGCCACCGAGAGGACGCTGCTGCTTGTCTTAGTGTGGTGATAGTGAGATGTTGGTTGGCCGATAGCCCAAGGATCAACGACCGTCAACGAAGGACAGCCATGGCAGTCCCACTCCGGATACAGTGTGGTTGTCGAAATCCAGACAGTCTTGGTACCCGGACGGAATTCTGGAGAATGGGGAAGGTAGAGGGTCGTGAGGCAGTAGGTAGTCGACGGAAGTGCGATCGTGGTTGCGTTCTGGAAGGTGGAGGGGTTTACCGTATGTGTTGACTTGCGGGGACCGCGCGAGTTACGAGTCGGAGCAGGATGAGGAACTGATGTTGGCTCTGCGGGTGAGAGCGTACCCACTGTGATGGTATTCGTACCTTGAACGACGCACTCCAGATCGGTATTGGAAGCACATGGACTTGGATTCAGGCTGGGGGGAGACGTGGCAGCGGAACCGCCGGCGGTTGAATCACCAGCATCTATCAGAGGAGTCAGATATCCGAATCTCTTCCTTGGACTAAAGGGGACTTACGAGTTGCGATATGCAGAGTGATAGTTTCGACAGAAGTGCCAGTGGTGAAGGTGAAGGTCTGGGGTGCATGAGGTCCACCCAACCAATTGTCAGTTGGAAGAAAATGAGGAACGGTTGCGGGATCTGTAGAAAGTGGGCCGCCAGCAGTGGATTCGCGAGAATCTCTTGGAGGGGTCAGATATCCGAATCTCTTTTCTTGACCGAAGGGAGGAGGCAGCAGGCTGAGGCGGGCGACAGCGGCCCAGTCGGGTGGAAAGGAAAATGGAATCGATGCAGACTCGGTGGTCCCGACAACGGGAGCTGTGGACATATGGATATGTTCAGTACCAGTCCAGTTTTCATCTTGTCCTTGGCGCTTCTCAACTGTGTATGTGTGGTGCACTGCTGAGTGGGTAGAATATGGGGTTTGCGAAGCATGAGCCGAGTGCGGGGTATGCAGGGGACGAGTCGACTTTGCAGAGTGCGAGCCATGGGTCGAGTGAGCAGAATGATGGGGATGTGTTGACTTGACCGAGTGCGAATGATCGGACTCATGGGAATCCTCAGCAGTTGCAGAGTCACCAACTTCAGTTGACAAGTGCATTAAGGGGATAGCTCGGTTCTCAACAGTTGGGGGCAGATGAGAAGGAGAATGCGGAGTTGAGTGAGTAGGGACCGGCAGGTGTGTGAATGCATGAATCACAGTCGTGTGAGATGGGATAGGATGACGAGTATGCTCGAGATGAGTGGTTCGGACAGAGTCGGCAGGAGTCAGGGTCTTAGTTGACCAGCTGTGATGCTCCTGGCTCTTTGTGCCAATATGCGAGAGGTGGTAAATGCCAGCATTCGTCTTGGTGGTCGGATGGCCTTCCCCAGTGTACAAACCCCAGTCTGTACCCGTCACAGTGAACCAGGAGTGATGTTCCTCACTCTCCGTACCAATATGCGACAGATGCGGAACATCAGTTGCTCTCTTGTCGACCATAGCAGTGATCTCGAACTCTCCCGGTTGAGTTGGAGTGAACTTGTGCTCTGGGAGACGGAGAGGGTTGCCGGCGACCAGCTCAAGGAGGAAGCAAAGGAATGCGAGCATCGTGCCCAAGTTGGACTTGAGCTGAACCATGATCAGTTGATCAGTATGCGATGTTCTTTCTCTGAGGTAGAAGCCAGGTGTGATTGTGGTTGTCTGTCCAAAGAAGCGGACCAAGTGAATAATGAGGGAAAACGGAAAAATTGGTTACAAGACCCGGTGACGAATTTGAATATTCGCTAACGAGGCCGAACGAGGCTCATCTGTTGCGGTGAATAGGGAAGTGAACCCGTCGGGTAAATATAAATCTGGGAGATTTAGCAAAGTTGGTTATTGTAAGGGTTGTAAGTGGCGGCACTCCCTATTATCGTCCGCTATTATTCGAGGCAAACTTATCTCTTAGGGACTTCAGGGCATTTACTGCTCGCAGGTTGGTTTATTCAAAGATTAAACCCGCCGGCTAACATCCCTGCCTTTCGATTAGACCTCTTAACTAAGCGTTTTATTGACAAACAAATCGATTCTCAGTTATTGCCATCCGTACAATAATTACTATCGTCTGATTCGGAGTACTTGCCCGTTATAGCGACCGAAACTGCCCTCCCGACGCTTCCGCACCATAAACGACTTCTATATTAACCATGGCGTATATGAACGTTGCAATAGCCCTCCTTCTCCTCAAGCCGACGTTACTGTATACCTTGTATAGCTCCGAGGAAGGTGCTCCACCTCGTCGTTGTGGGCACTTCACCTTTCCAGCGGATTGATCTAGTTGTCACTCCTTATTTGGTAGCATAAAGGTGGCGTTGTTATAATGCAATCTTCCTATCCGAGTGATTCTATCTTTCCTGATTCTTCTTATTATTATTGTCCGGACTTCTAGGGCTCGGATGAGATGAAATGTTAGAGACTAGATGAAGAAAGGAACGGGAGACAAGGAAGAGATGATAGCAATAGAAAGAACATCCCTTCATTACTCCTTGAATATTCATTACCTCTCATAGTGTCCCCTCTCAACAATACAAAAGACGCCTCCACCTCCACCTTTGCAGCAAGAAGCAAAAGTAAACACTAATGTGGTTGTCCTTGAAGGACAGAATCTGTTGCTCATGCGTCGGAAGAGCAGGCGGGAAGTTAATAAATACTATCTATATTTTCGCTTATGTATAAATAGGACAGCGAATCAAGTCACAATGTTATGTAAAGTTGAGGTAGAAAGTACTTCCTGGGGATGAATGAAGCTTTGAATATATATTGGGGGAGAGAGAAGTACAAACAAGGCTCAGACATTATGGCACGAAGGGGAGTCTTTGATTAAGGTATCTTTTCATTTATTCTCCGCAGACTCAATGTAATATATCCGTGGTATTGTAATTCAACGCGACGCAAGAAAGAAAGGAGATTCGTTATCTCGTTGTATGCATATGCAGCAATCATTAATGCAACCAGCCATCTGTCAAAGAAACCACGGCCGTAAACCCATCTCATCTCATCATCTCTGCTGAATCTGGAAAAGGAAGAAGGAAAAGAAAATTTCCGGTATGCCGCCCACCTATCCTTTCCGATATCCCAAACCCAAAGATCTCATAAACTCAAGGAAATCAAGGAAAATGTACTGTACCACCCCCCACCACCACTCAACGTCTCCTCTTGCCTCCACCTCGCAGATCATCGGAAGAGGCGTTAGGAGAGGGACCACCCTGCACAACATCCCTCAAAAGCGCAACCCAGCTCTTCTTCCCCTCAATAACATCCCCGATCTCGCGCGTAAAGCGCTCCACCATCTCCGGTCCTACTCCCTCCTCCGGTCCAGCTCCCGGACCCCTGTTCCTGGTTCTAAAAGGCATACCGTATCGATCTAGTGGCCTTCCTTCCTTGTCGAACCTGTCTGGAAGAATCTCAACATCCGAGGAAGAATTCTCTGGAGAAGGGGAGCGAGAAGCGTTGTGGTGACTACGGCGATGTTTGCGAGTTTGAAGGGGACGGTCGGATGAAGGGTCGGAATTGCGACGGCGTCTGCGGCGACGACGAGGTTGCTCAGCATCGTAGACGTGATCACGAGATTCATCGTCGTCTTCTTCATCTCCTTCAGCCGGCTCTCGGAATTGTGTGTTATAGTTCGATTGGGGTGGGGCGAGAGTCGCGGGATCAGAGGAATCGTAAGGAGCGTGTGAGTGTGGGGCGTTTTTGTGGATTTTCGCTAAGCGGCGAGAAGAAGAGGGAGAGAGGGGGGCGAAGTTGACGGATTTGTTGGATGCTCGGGCTGGGTGGAGATTGGGTGAGGAGACAGGGGAGGGAGAGGCGGTTGAGGGGGTGGGAGGTGTGTAGATTACGCGTGGGTGTGCTGAGCCCTTGTTAGCCAGGTTCGGTGGGTGATCTTGGTACTTGCGAAGAAGGAAATCAAGGTGGCATGGAGGATCAAGACGCACCCTCCTCGGCATCGCGATTATGATCGTGATCGTGTTGATCGTGTACTTGATCTTGCGGCACGTGCTCGTCTTGCATAGGAGCAGTAGGGGGCGGAGGGAAATACGGGAGGGCGCCACTTGCAACCGCGGTCGCTGCAGTAGCTGCAGAAGGAGGACGTGGACGAGATCGCTCTGCACTCACATTGTCACCTGTTCCCTCGGGGTAGGGATATGGGTTATGGGCAGCCGGTGCCGGTTGACCTGCATAATCCGCTGGATTGTATGGTGGAATCGGTGCAGCGTCAGCTGGATGTACAGGTAATTGAGTGTTCATAGGCTGTTGAGTGAACTGGCCCGTTGGTGGTGGTGGGAATTGGTTATTGTCGGGATAGTAGGATCCACCCGAGGCGTGTGGAGGAGAGGGAGAATAGTCCTCGTCACGGTAATCGCGGTCGTAGTAATGCTCAGTCGGGGATTCATCCTCCTCATAGCCTGAATCGTGGGTGTCAGTTTCCCAAATGTTGTTTTTTAACGAAAATACATTGCAAGCCATGGAAACATTGATATATAGAACAAAGGAAGACCTGCATCAGCGCCCCGGAATCAGGTTTGACAATCGCTTGGTCAGAGTGCTTCTGATGGATGATGCAGATCGCGAGCGAGAACGAGAATGAGAACGAGATCTTGAGTGCTGGGGGTCCTCACGTCTTCGTTCCTTTTCACGCTCTGCTTCCTTCTTCTCCTTTCTCTTCCTGTACTGATTGATGCCGATGGCCGCTGCAGCCGTGCCTGCAGCCGCTCCCGCGATATCCCGAACTCTGCTTCTGCTTCGTGACTTCTTTCGTGTGCCGCCGCGCTCCGAGGAGCTCTCAGAGGAGTGACGACGACGGCCACTGTGTGGTCGATGTTCTCGCGTGGCGCCATACGCGGCTCCAGCGCCTGCAGCGAGAGCAGGATCGTAGTAACCCGGGTGGGTGTAAACGGGTTCAGTACCGTACTGAACCATGCCTAACTCGGGGTCAACGCCAGGATCAGAATATGTGCCTACAGATCTGGCTCTGGACCTGCTTCTTCTCCGCTCCCTCCTAGCTTCAACTTCTTCCGTCTCGCGGTCTTCTTTAGCCTTCCTATTCTCGTACAGTCCTGCGACGCCTGCTCCAGCCAGGCCTGCCGCGGCGATTTCTGCTCCGGTTCGTATGCGTGACTTGGATCTGGACCCATCGCGCTTCTTAGACTTGTTTCTGAAGTGTTCGACTATTCCAGCAACAGCAGCGGTGGCAGCTCCGGCCTTGGCCATTTGAGAAGCACGATGCTTGGGATCGGCATGTCTGCTTCTGCTTCTTCCGCCACGATCTTCGTCGTGGAAATCATCGTCATCAGAATAGCGACGTCTAGAGACGCTCCGAGTTCGTGAACGACCTCTGCCTGCCTCTTCCTTGTTTGCCTTGCGGTTCGAGACATATTTGGCAGCTGCCGCGGCTGCGAGACCAGCGGCTGCAAGAGCAAGACCAGTCTTGATCTTTCTGTGTGAATGTCTGCTACTTGACCTCGAGCGGCTCTCATCGTCGTGACGATCACGATACCGACTTCTGGCACGGGTAAGGACTTCAGCGCCGAGGGCTCCAAGAGCTGCACCTCCGACGACTTGTCTGCCACGATGTTCAGGTCCATTTCCTTGCTTGTCGCGGTGATTTGCAAGCAGGGCAGCGGCGCCTGCACCAGCCAATGCACCTTCTGCCAAATGTCTCTTGTGGTGCGAGTCTGGACTCCGGCTGCGCTCCTTCTTGATAATTCGTTTCCTCACAACCACATCCTCCTCATCGCTATACGATCTATCGCTGACAGAATCCCGTGGACGGATTTCTCGTCGATCATGGTATGCTGCAACAGCGAGTGGGCCGGCGGCTGCGGTCAATGCAAAATCCTCATCGCTGCGTCTCGGACCTCCAACTTCCCTGACATCTCGCCTGTAATAGTATTCGTCCTCTACAGGCCGCCTCGGCTCCGGTCTTGCAAGTTCCTGAACTTCCTCTCGTCGTCGAATTACCTGGAATCCCTCTTCACGTGGTGCCGGTTGCGGCAAGTAAATAGGAGGCGGCGCAGGCGCTTCGTTTATGATAATCTTCTGCGCCTCTGGGGCCCGTTGACGGATCACGATCGGCTGTGGAGCAGGATCTGGACGGTCGTAGTACTCGGTCTCACGCTGATATCTTTCGAGCTCATACGGCTCATCGCGGCGCTCAGTTGTAACGCGCTTCTCGATCCTGAGATCCGTCCCCCGAACGTCCCGCTCTGACTCCCTCCCAAAGTCGCGCTCCCAGCCTCGCTCTGGCTCGCGCCGGTCCCGTTCGTAAACCACGGTTCTGGTACGCTCGGATCGTTCATCGCGGAGCGGCTCACGCAGCGGCTCGCGCTCGACGTAGCGCTCGACGATGGTGGAGCGGGGTCTGATGTCGATGGCAGAGCGCGGGCGGGGCGGTCCTTCGAAGCGTTCAGATGTTCTCTCGATGTCGAGATGGGCACCTCGATGATTTCCGACTTCGAGAGTCGTGCGAGAGGTGCGGCGCTCGTCCTCGACGGGCTCGACTCTGCTGGGCGTGACGCGGTATCGCTGGACGGTGCGATAGCCGCCACCGCCGCCGCCGCCGGGTTCACGACGGCTGAAGGTGCTGCGGTCGGAGTCAGAGTCGGAGTCGCGGTCTCTTTCTCTGTCTCTGTCCCCGCGGTAAACGACTCGTTCTCTCGTGATCTCGGGCATCGTGGGTGGTATTGTCGTGTGCTTGTGTAGTTGTAAATGTAAGGTCTCTGGGCTCGGGGGATTTGTTGGGGTTTCGAGTGCGGCGGTGCGATGTCAGCTTTGTGCGGCGAGGGTTGGACGAGGTGGGGTAGCAAGCGCTTTGTACTCTCGCTGCCGACAGGGGGAGGACGCCTGCGAGCCTCGTCTGATGCGCTCACCAAAGATGGGCCAAAGCCAGAGCAAGCAAAGCCTTCTTGTTGCCCCTCGCACACCGGTTGAATGACACACGACCAAGAGCGCTGGAGGAAGGAGAAGGGAAGGCGAAAAGTTTTGCTGGTGTTGCGCTGCGCTATTGTGGTCTTTTCTCTTGCGTGCCAGCCTTATGCCCAGCGCCGCGATAGCGCAGGTAGTGCGGTGACAAAGCAGCAATAATTGGATGCTTCTAAGGCTCGAGGGAGTGCAAGTCGAGCTGTGATTGGGATGGCGAATCTGCGGGTGGTGAGATGGTTTGCGTCAGACGACAAACGGCTGCTGTAGCTCGAATATGGGATCGTGACTCCAAACTCGGTGACAGGCGGAGGCAGCGGAACGGGTGGAAGAGGTTCAAGTCGAATTATCAGAACGAGGGAGAAGAGGGCCAAGTCAAGCTTTAATCAAAGAGATTCGGAGAAATGAGCAAGGCTTCCGTATCGTCGTATTTCTCAGCTTATGCTTATGTTTCCGGGTTTCTCTCGCTTCTTGCCTTCCTGCAGTGTTTATGTGGGTGATATGTATGTCTTGACACGTCGCAAACTGGCTTTCTGCACGAAAGAATTCTCGAATAATTATGGAGCTGTCCCCGCTATATGTTGTCTGCTATAGCCTCTCCCAACCTCCTCCATTTGCAGCACTCAACCCCAGCTGAAGAGGGCATCCCGGTCTGCTAGCCAAGTATCTGCAGCTATCGCCTATGACGCAGCGCGCGATAACCTCACCTCTGCGCTTCACTTCTCACATTCTCCTTTCAGAGCCGCATCTCCCATTTGTTTGAAGAAGCTGCGCCACGATGCAAGAGTGACTCTGTACTCCTCTCTCACACCGGTCTTGGGGCTTTGCAACACTGGGCGTAAGAAGATCAGAGGGGTTGCTCGAGATCCAACATGATTGAAGAGCAGCAGAGCAGGGGGGTGTGCACCTTGCCGTTTCGGGAGTAGCCGCTTACCCAACCGAATGCCGTCCTGACCCCTCATCGTCACTCCATTGAAGCTTCACTTCGCTGCTCAGCCTCCACACCACAGCCTCACTTCACTCCACCTCCGCATGCAGCATTCGATTCTCACTCGATTGACTTTCTTCTGACGAGGCAAACGCCCAATCGCGGAGCATAGCGTCGATCCGACTTCTTTTATTCGCGGCGGTTGCGGGACGAGCGGGTTTGGAATCTGCAATGAGGCTGTGGAGATGCACGGAGCCGGAGCTAATTGTTCGTCTTTTGGATGCCTGATTCTTCCCACGTGTTCCGATCCAATCAACGATCAAATTCGCAATTCTTCGAGATGCAGGACTTTGCATGAGAGAACTGTCAATGCGAGTAAATGGGACGATCGTGCTGGATGGCTGCAGGTGTTCAAGGCTTTGAGCGAAGGCTGATTTCGAGGTCTAGCCATTTATCATCCCGATTCCTCGCTCCTCTTTACCAATTCTGGACAGATGCTTGATACTCGGTCTGTTCTTGGCGAATGAGATGCAGTCCGGGTGTTCAAGTCGGGATCTTGCAGTGAGGCAACCACGATAGTCGCGTCGACGGGAAGGGCAAGGCAACCATTTACAAACAGCACAGCCTTGTGAAGGAGAAGCTCTTCGCGGGAGCTAAAATTGCAGTGATACGGAAACGCATTTTCCTATTTTTTTTCAAGCCAACGTTTCACGGACTGCTCAGCCTTGTGGGAGGGAAGCTCTTCTTGAGAGCTAAAATTGCAGTGCACATGCAATGTCGTGTAACTGATTTTGAGTCTGGCCACCACTGAGCTCGCTCAAATTCTCCTGCAGGAGAGTAACTGGACTTCGTGCAGCTGATTTTGAGGTCTGGCCACCACTGAGATCGCTCAAATTCTCCAGCTCCGGGAGAGTTCGATACTCGGTCTTGGCGAATTGGATGCTGTTCGGAACTTCAAGTCAGGGTTGCAGTAAGGCAACCACGATGTTCGGGATCAACATGTGGTTTTCAAGGGAATCATTGTACGGACTGCCCAGTCTTGTGGGAGGAAGCTCTTCGTGGGAGCTAAAATTGCAGTGCATATGCAGCACGCGAGGCTACCTTATTGCGAATCATTGGTGGACAGAGAGTGCCATTCTGGCAGGGGCTTTCATCGACGCCGTCGAGAAACCTATCGCGAAGTATTTAAGCAGGAAAGGAGAGCATGATTGACGAGACCAAGCAACCGATCCGAGCGTATCTCAGAAAGAAAGGAGAGGAACGTTGACGGGATCGAGCAAGCGCTCAAGGAGTATTTAGCCTTGGAGACATTGACGAACCGACCGTTGCACCACAACTTGTTCATGAACATTTCCTTAGAACAGCACTGCTTTCTACCTCCTGCACACCGGTGACAACAGATACCTTGAAACACGCCTTCGTCCGGTCCTCTTTACCCGACAAAGTCGGCGAACTTACCACCCGACAAAAATTATTGTCATTGTCATTCGTTATTTTGCTATCATCCAACACGTAGTCGCCTTCAGGAGTTTGGCAACACCATGACGACTTGCCATCGGTCTTCTTCTTCTTCGCCCTCTCTGCGACGTTTCTAAGAGATTGGCTGCTCGAGCGTCTTATCAAGGTTCATGCTCGTGTGTGCAGCTTTCACTTCCTCGAACAACTTATCTTCAACGGTACCCTCGTCCTCAGGAGGAAAAAAATATAAAGAGTGACGGACGACGGAAGATTGGTTCTCCATCGTTGTGAGAACTTGTGCCACCGTGTGAAGGACACCTGACGGTTTCCAAAGAAGGAACGAAGCAAGTGAACCTGCAAGGACTCGTGGTTGAAATCAGCAAGTTAGCAATTCGAATTTACGACACAACTTCAGCATTGAACCAACACAAAGCGGCAATGACGGGGATCGCAGAGAACTACTCGCACTCCAGGAGATAGAAAAGCAACCACAGGCCATAGTCCTGAATACCGTAGCTTACAGTAGGATCACACCGCTAAGGTTTTTACTTCGTTCCGCCACCCTAGCCGGAAGAGAAAGTGCCAAGGACATGATGATGTGGTTGAATCTATGGCTGGCAAGAAGAGGAACAGGCCATTGCTTGATACCTTCGCAGAGATGCCTACGCAACGACTAGAACCTACCTTCCACCATCCAATAAGAAAACGAGCTCACCGTCGTTCGGTGCCTTCGCAGAGACATCTGTACGTGGTCCTCTGCAGTGTGGAAATGACACCTCATCAATGCCGCGTGTGCTGGTCTCCTACATCGTACAGTATGCCCCTTTCAGGCACTACTTGAAATGCAGTAAGGTCTTCGGCCATTGGTCGCATTGGACATGGCGTTCAATAGTGTTTCAGTAGCTCGTGAGGCTGAAAATATTTGAGCCAATTAAATCAATCCACTAGTCCCTAGTTTCCCGCTTCTCGGGAGCCACCCCCTAGCTTCTTCGGGTAATCCCCTGGCTTCCAGGGGGTAACCCCCTATGTTATCATGCGCCCCTCGTCGGGCTCATCCCCTCATGATTGACTCTTCACTTCAATCAGCGCTTCTTCCTGTAGAACTTCCTATTGATTCATCCTCGAAGATTGCATCGATAATGGCAGATGACGGCTCTCCTCGTCAGGACAGTAGCGACAGCGATGATGACGGCTCGCAGATAGATTATCACGATGAGGAGCAACTCGGTCACAGGCTTGCGAGCATGCAGCAGCAGTTGGCAATGATGTGGCCCATCGAGGGTGATATTCCAGAAGAGCCCGTCGCTCGGTTCAACTATCTCGACGGCATCGCGAGATTGTACACTGCTCGCTTTCTATGCGATGGATCCTGCCTGGAGGAGGCCTTGTCCTCTTCGGGTCAAGCAAAGGCGCAGATCCCTTCACAACTCGAGGACTCGCTGTTTCGTGAGCCGGATGATGAAGGCTTCGGGGATAGGTACGTGTTTCTGCGGGTGTATGCTTGGCACAAAGACAAGAACCCGCAGAATGCCCGACGGCTTGTGGATGCGATCGAGTGGAAGTTTGATGTAGCCCCAGGATCTCGAACCCTTCAAGACATTGGACTGTTGGGACTGAGCAAGGCTGGGATCTACCGACAGACCAAGAATGCCGAGGACCTCGCAGGGGCAATCCAAAGCTGTCAAGACTTCCTCGGTGCATTGCAAGGCGACCTGGAGTCTGTCTCGGATCCACAGGATTTAGTTGAACAACGAGAGTTGTATCCACCAGTGTTGTCCTGTCTCTCTCAACTACTATACCACGAATTCCGCTCCTCGGGGAAGTACGGTTTGCTGGAACTCAGCATAAGCATGGGTAACGACGTTTTCATCGAAGTTCCCGACGCCGAGCGAGCTGATCTAGGAATGTCACTTGGATGGGCTTTCATCGCGTACTCATTCCATCACAAGATTTGGGATGTTCCCCGGTCAAAGCAGCGGGTACTCGACTGGAGCTTTCTCGATGAGAAGGACGGGCCCTCCACTGTTGCTGAGACCCCCACACTTCACCTTGACCCGGCGAATGCGCTATACGATGAATTTCCGCTCGCGCCGGACAATAGCCAGATACGGCTTTTGCAACTCAAGGCTGGAGTCGGTGACGATCCTATCACCTGCTTTTTGGAAGTTGTCGATCTCGAAGGCTGTCCTGAATACGATGTGAGTAATCTGCGCAAAACACCAGCCGTTTGTCTTGGACTTTCCAACTGATCAAATGCTTCCTAGGCACTCTCATATGTGTGGGGTGACCCTGGGGTGCCCGAATCTATCACACTACATGGCAAGCAACACGACGTTACCATAAACCTCTACGACGCTTTGAAGAGATTGAGGCAGCCAGACAAGCATCGACGCTTGTGGATTGATGCTCTGTGCATCAACCAAGGAGATACAAAGGAGAAAGAATGCCAGATAGGGCTAATGGATAAGATATATTCCAGAGCGAAGGAGGTTTGCATGTGGCTTGGAGAGCCCACTCGGACAAGGGTATTCTCCGATGGTCCAAGAGACATCCCTTGCCATGTGGCAGCTGCGGAAATGCTGGAGAAGGCATTCCCGAGTGTCTACCCCCAGATCAGGCCTCATCTGTCCATTCTCAAAGACGGGGAATTCGAGCTGATCAGCAGCGCCGACGCTCTGGAGCTCACGCCCATCCTGTACCGGCTGCCATTTTCGATGCGGCCCATCCCAAGCGCACCTGATGACTCTACATTGAGCGGTTCCGCACCAGCGCGGGACAACAGAAATTTCTCTAACGAGACTGCTGCTCTAGTGCGGGTCACAGCAAACATGAACTTGTGTATGGACTTCGAAGAGGTTTTCAAGAGAAATGCATGGCACCAGGACACAACAAAGGAAACACCGGCATACTTTAACTGGGGCAACGAGTCACAAATCCCTTGGTACCTCGAGTCAAAGCTGTCGGGGGTCGACTGGCCGATCTGCGGCGCGTTCCTGCTCGTCAACTTGCTAGCAATGGATGTCCACTTCCACGACATGCCCTTCTTTGGAACCAAGGGGTTTTCTTGCATGAGCGGCGCAACAGCCCAAGCTTGGAACAAGTCCTGCTACGCGCTCTACCAGATCTTAACTTCGAAATACTGGAGTCGCGCATGGATTCTCCAAGAAATCGTCCTGGCCCAGACCCCGAGGCTCTACTTCGGCAAGCACATCCTCCCATACCACCGACTCATCAGAGCCATGATGAACTTCGACCGCCACTACAAGACCTGCTGCAAGGACGTTGTTCCCGCGGGCCAGACTTCGGCATGTGAAACTCAGGACTGGTGGATGAAGCTGCACAATGCTTTTATGAGCTGCATCGAGAGTACAAGCGAGATGTGGTTCGAGAGAAAGGTAAAGGAGTCTCGAGGCGAGGATGCGAGCGTACAGGTTACGGATATCATGATGTCGAACTTCAAGAAGAGGGAAGCTACCGAGCCGCGAGACCTCGTGTTCAGCATGTTTGGCCTGATCAAGAATGATGGTCCTGATGCAATACCTGTGGACTACTCGATGCCGGTGGAGGAGGCATTTGCGCGAGTTACGGCTAAAGCCCTGGCAGAGAGCAAGCATTACCATACGTTCTTCTCATTGGCGGGATACGGTCGCTCTGACGAGCTAAAGTATAAACTTCCCTCATGGTGCATAGATATGACTGCACCACTGGAGTGGAGTGGCCCATTCACCGATATATCCCTCAGATTCGACGCCTTCCCTGATGTTTCAGCCGACGCCCAAATGGAAAAGGATTTCTGTCTCTCAATCACCTCAGCAAAAGTAGACATCGTCACTCGAGTATCCTCAGCCGGCCAATGCTGCGCCCACAGCGACTGGGATGACACAATCCACAACATCCACCAATGGCGAGAATGCGCCTCTCTCCCCAAAGACACCCGGAATATCACCCTCACCGATACCGAAGCAAACTTCTGGACCACGATCCTCGGCGGCTGTCTCCCCCCTTCCACCTCAACCCTACACACCTCCCCATCCTCGTACGAACGCATCACCAACTCGGATCTCGACCTCATCCCCCACTGGCAAGCCTGGCTCCACGACCCGAACCGCAACCCGGACCTCTCAATGTTTCAATCAGAGTACACCAACGCTGTCGACGTGCGTTGGCTTTCGAAAGCAGAGGAGTTTTCGTGGTTTAACCGGAGGTTACACTCTGCGATGATGAATAAACGGTTCTTTGTCACTGAGAAAGGGAGGTTTGGGGCTGGGGCGGGGAGCCAGGATCAGGAGCATTTTACGAGGGTGGAGGAGGGGGATGAGGTGCATTTGGTGGGAGGGTGTCGTGTGCCTGTAGTTTTGAGGCTGGTTGGGAGGGTTAAGGGCGAAGGGGCGAAGTATGGGAATGACCCTGCCGCGTTTTCTGCGGATTTGAAGACTTGTGTGCATGATGAGGGGTCAGTGTATCAGCTTGTTGGACCTTGCTATGTTGATGGAATTATGGATGGGGAGGCAACGAAGGAAGATGGGTTTTCCCCGAGAAGGATATGTCTTCGTTGAGTACGTAGAGAATCTAGTGAGGCGTGGACGCCACATGTAGCCCATGAAGCCTCGCCACACTCGCCAACCACGCTCCGTCAAATTGAGCGTGTCGCAAACGGCATTTCAGGAAGGCTCGGTGAATTACATCAGCGGGCAAAGGAAAGGCTTGAAAAGCTTGACTTGGCGAATCCGGCCGAGTCTCTACAGAGAGTTAACCTCTGTCGAGCGCGATAATTACTACTTTGGGCGGATAATCCTGGTTTGGGAATGCTACGCGAGCTGAATAGGGGGGTCTACGGGGGTTGGCAGGGGCACACTGATTTTGTATCTATTATCAGACCATCGCTTGTCGCATTCAGCCAAAATCTTTACATAGCTCACTAGAAGATAAAGCGCCCAAGGGGCCGCGCACCGAAGAATCATACGAGCGACCGGCATGGGGGAATCCACTGAGAACGATGAGACCGTCGATTATGGGGGGTTTGGAATAGCGTCCTGCAAAGGTCTCAAAGTACCAGTTTCACTTCGAACATTGCGAAATTAGTTACATGAATTGTATCAGTGCCTCGCGGAACATTGGGAACATTGTACATACAGTACGCTTGCCCGAATCCAATTGTCATGGAACATCGGGGCATTGCGAGGACTCGTTGATTGAAGGAAATTGTACCAGACTCTCACTGAATATTCGAAGCACTGCAAATACACGTTAATCAAAGCCAAATGTGCGAGAGTATTACGGAACATCCGGACCATTGCATATATCGTACATGGATCTTGATTTGCTATTCGCTATCTACTCAGTTCTTCTTGGCCTTCTTACCACCACGCTTCTTCTTCTTCTTCTTGTCACCTTCAGCCGAAGCTGAACCACCAACGTCACCAGCCTTGTCCTCATTGCCCGAACCAGTGCTAGCTACATTGGAGTTCTCCGAGCCCAAACCATCCAAGCAGCGAACTGCGAAACGGTAACCTTCAATGTCCACCTTCATTTGAGTCTGCGGCATACCCTTCTTCTTAAGATAGGATCGGATGTGTCCCTCCGCCTCATCGAGGAATGCCTTTGCAAGGGCCGCACTTCCGCCACAGATCGTGACCGCAACGGGTGTCCAATCGTGCTCCATAGTCGTCAAATCGCGGAGTGCTGCCTGGTGTTCCGCAAAATCGTCGTCATTCTTATTACCCGGACCCGCAACTCGAAGCTTGATCTCAAGCAAGACGTTGTGAAGTTGAATACTGGTGATCGGTTAGAAGTTAATCGGAGCAACGTGACGGAGGAACTTACGTGTCCGCATCCAAAACACCACCTTCGGCCTCGGAGAGTACATCAACTGTGTGTCCACTGCCACGAGCCAGGGCGTTCAGGGCGATGTCCTTCAGTTGCTGTGTCTCCCGGAGTTTGATATACTTCTCCGCAATGCCGGTCATTGCCTCAGTCATCCACTCATGCGTCGTCGTGTCACAGCCCTGGGGACAGTTCGTGGCCTTGTGACCCTTGAACAGGCCATTGTACTGGACCCTGTCATACTTGTACCATTGGAGAGCCTTCTTGATCGTGTCCTCATCAACGGTCAGGCTGCCGAAGGAGAATTCCATTGTGTTGGGGTTGTCTTGGTCATCGGAATCGTCATCGCTGTCCTCGGTGGCTGGGCGTTGTTCATTCGCACTCTCCATCTTCTTGCGAAGACCGGGAGCAATAGTGCCCTGATAAATCTCCTCATTCTCCTTGATGCCCTTGGCGAGAGTGCTCTTAAGGTGACGAACATCGGAGGTTTGCTCTTCGGGATAGTTCTTGTCGCTAAGTGCTTGGTTGGCCTCCTTGATGAATCGGTACGGCATTGAGCCCTTCGAGCCAAGGGATGAGTCGTGGACCAATACTTCGACGGCTGGGCCTGCTTGGGCTTGCTCGTTGGTGGCAGTAGCCTATCCCAAGAAATCGGAGTCAGCATACTTCTTTGAGGGGTTTCCAGGAGCAGAATGTTCCAAGAGCCATTGGGCATTGAGAGTAGAACGTCCCAAGAATTGTTGGACATTGTTTAAGTGGGACGGATGCTGCGAGAAGGTGGGACTTACCTTGGTATCAGTCTTGGTATTCTCATCATCACATTCCTTTATAACCTCAGAGATCAGAGTCAGGAAGGGATCCTCGGGATTCATAGCCGAGTTCTGCGCGCAAGGACTTTGGTACCAAACAAGCATGTCCGCAATCTGCTGGTTCTCCTCAGCGGTAACGGGGTCCAGGATGCGTGTACGTGCTCTGTTGAGTCTAGTGAGGCGGGCATCGCGCTGGGCGTGGGTTTCGTTAGCGGGGACAATGTGCAAGAGGTTGTTCTCTTGTTCATCCCATTCCTTGAGACAAGCCTCCAGTTCTCCTTCGGAAATATTTTGCTGTCGACATTGGTTGTAGTACATCGCGCGTCGGTTGCGAGAGGCGTTCAATTGGACGTGGTATTCATAGAGGCCGGCCCTACAGTACTCAGGGTTCTTGTACGTAGATTTACTGGCGGACTTCAACAGGAGACCAACGGCTGATTTCCATCCCAGGGTGCCCACCTCTTTCAGCTGCTTGTCCTCGTCCTCAAGGTACGTGAGGAGGGTGTTGTAATACTGAGACGGGCCGGCTCCCCATGAGCTGAGGAAAGTGGACTCATGCGCCACCGTAATGCGACCAGATTCCTCAAGAGCCTTGGTACGCTTCTCCATTTCCTCGGCGATTGCCTTGAAGGCATACCAAAGGTTGTAGTCGCCGGTTTTGCGTAGGTGGTTGTGGACGAAGGCCGGCTCGAGGTGGTATCCTTCCTTCTCGCATTTTTGGACGAGGATGTCGAAGAGGTGGTAAGGGATGGTTGGGACTTCAACGTTCTTCATCAACTCCTTTTGCACGTCCTTGGAATTACCAGTCGACGCCATTGTATCGAGAGAAGAATTGATCCGCGATATCGTCTCGAGGATTTGTGCTTGAGTGTCGCTATTAAACTTCTCGACAGCTTGTGCGTAAGTGGTGCTTTTCGACCTCTCCTTTGACTTGTCGCTCACGGATTGTCCCTGCTCTGAGATGAACTGTTAGCTGCATTGTTCCAGATGTACGTGGTTGGGCGAGGACACTGATGGCTGACGAGAGGAAAGAGTTGGTGTTGACGAAATGAGAAGAAGTGCAGGTGGTGGAGATGATAGGGACTAGAGAAAAAGAAAGAGAAGACCTCACCGCTTGAGAGCTGTTGTATTGGCTGAGCTCAAGCAAATGAGAATTGCGAAGTTGTGATAAACGGTCTGATGACCGAGGAGGGAAGATGGTATGAGAGGAAGAGGGGAAGATGTGGAACAGGGAAGGACGTGTAGAAGGGGAGGATCGCGTCGAGGAGACAACCACTAGACAAGCAATAGACCCATGGCATGGAGACCGGGCCCCAGATACCGCAGAGAGTGTGTGATATGATTCTCCGATGCCCAAGCATGTGATGTGGTGGTGTTGTGCCAGTGAAGGAGGGGCGAACCCACGACCGTGTCAGACAGACAGATCGAGGCAGCTTTCATCGCGTATATCCCACTGGGAGATCCGCTGAAAGGAGGAGATTCGTCTGGTGCTAGTGTGCAATTGGACGAAAATGATCTCGCGCCAACAGTGGATGAATTGTAGTACCTACTTCCTCCCTTTGTGATGTTGAGAGCTTTGGGAGGAAACAAGGTCAGAAAATTTTCCGAGGATATCAATATCGGACGAGAATGTGAACCCCGTGACCTGAGCCAGAGCCTTGTCCTAGCTCCAGACACTAGGAACATCTTCCTTCCTTTCCGCGAAGCGAAGTGAAGGCTGAAGATAAACAAGAGGTTGTGAATCCCAGGATGAGAAGGACAATAATATAGAGTGAAGGAAAGGGGGGAATACTCACGAGCCGGACCCAGCTCTTCCTCCATCTCAGAGGGAGGGGTCATTACTCCCCCCACCTCTTCCTCCGCAGAGGAATCGTGTACGATTTTCTTCTGTTGAGATGTTTAGTTAGCCAGTGTTTCTGATCAGACGAAAGGATAGTGGTGTGGCGCGACGAAAGGGGAGACAGGAAGGGGAAAGGGGTAAGAAGGATGGATGATATGTGTCTGCTGTCTTTCTGCTGAAGGAGACTGAATGGCAAGTGTCTTCTCTTTGACAACAGTGTGCAAGTGCAGCACAGAAAGATCTGTGATGACATTGCGACATTAGTACTTGCAGAACACGTCCACAAAGGACGTGTTTGCAGTGGTACGATTTGATTCCAAGGCAAGAAAGAGCTTGAAATCAAGATCCCAATGCTTTATTGATAAGAGGGAAGGTGTGGAAGGGTGGTGGAGGTGTCCAAGTGGATGTGCCAGGGCTAGCTGCCTCCTTGCCAGGGATGTAAACACCACCACAAGAGGCAACAGACCCTGGCTGCAAGCCTTGGAAGAGCTTGAAAACAAGATGCCAGTGCTCAAGTGTTAGGTGTAAAGGTGCAAGAGGGTGGTGCAAGAGTGCAGGGGCTGTGGGAAGGATGGTGCGTCTCCTTCCTCCTGAGGAGTCGCCAATACCAGGGTATCAATGACCCCTCCAGAGCCTGCAAGAGCTTGCTCATGATGAAAGAAGACGTTCAGATGAGTAGGAAGACACTGCAATGCAGTGGATACTTACAGTCATCTCTTCTCCGTGGTGGTGGTGGTGGTGGTGGTGGATTGGATGATAGTGGTTAAAGAGGAAGGAAGATCAGACTGAAAGGGTTGGGATAAATTATTTTGTGGGTTGTAGACATGTGACGCGACTCATCTCAAGTTGACCGCTCCCGTTTGGGTTAGCATCAAAGACTAGGGGTAGAGTTGGGGCGGTTTTCAGAATGGGTGCGGCTTGGGGAATGGGTGCACTGGCCGCAGCTGCGGACTGCGGCTGTGCGAGGTGGGTTCGAAAAGGAGTTTTGAGGAGGGACGAAAGGGAGTCTACATGACGCATTAGGAGGGATGAGAGCAATTGGGTATAGGGGGATATATGATATTATTTTAGTGAGCATATCTATGGGACGAGAAGGCTAAGGAGGAGAAGAAGATCAAGCAACGTCTCGAAGAGTGCTGCGAGCCTGAACAGCAGAAGCCTTCTATCTGGTTGTTTGGACGATAGCTATGAGCTGGGACTCGAGATTTATCGAAAGTCTTTACTGCAAACTACTTTAAGACGAGAGTCGATTTCACAAGTCTGTTTGAGCGTCTGGCAATACTGTCGTCCTTTGTTTATATGTGTTTCGTCCGAAAGGTCAGGGCGAGGACAGCTTTTCGTCCGTTTCTTATTAGCAGCTTAACAACACTTGAGAATTGACAACAACACCTGTTTTGTGGAGGTATGCCTTTGTGAATTCTGCAGTCTTGGAAGCAGGAGTCGAATGATTCTGTGCTGTATTGAAGGCTAAAGTCTTTTTCTATCTCTGTCCAGTGCCTTGGCTACAATTGATCTTGGAGCTGAAGAGCTTCGCAGTGCATAAAAACATAGCAATCATACGGTTTATAACTTTGTCACAACTTTCCAGTGGCAGGTTTCTCTTTTTAGAGGGTTCCTCATTGTGCATTACCTCCAGTCGTCGTTGCGACTACCCCTTTTTTACCCGAGATGCGGCCGCCTTGGCAGGGACGAGTGTCTTCTGAAGGATGCCAGGGGGAGGAGCCCTGGATCAGCCAAAAGATTACCTGCCCCAATATGTGATTGATTAGAGAAGAGCAATTACAGTTCATGTTTTCCTGTGCAATATAACATCGTTCTCTCTTAAATTATGTCTACAATTTCCCCAGCTTTAGTGGGGGTCGGCAGTTGAGTGAAGGCAAGCCACAACCTGCGCCACACAGTCACCCGGCCACTTCCAGCTTCCAATATTTATCACCTATATTCGCGAATCTATTTTAATCTCGAAAAATACTTTTCTCGCGCTTTCTCACTCCCGACGGAACTTTTAATCAATGACACCAGCTGGAAGCACAGCCACATAATCCAGTGGCGCTCTCTCCGTCCCATTCGGTGTTCCCACAATCTTCAGCATATCACCCTTCGCGATCTTGATTCCCTTGAAGGTAATCCGGCTCGCAGTATGCCCATCCAAATTGACAGATACCGCATGCCCAAGTGTATCCTCGTGATTCCCAATCCATTCTCCAACCGACTTGTCATTTAAGTATACCTGCCAATGCGCCCTGCCACCAATGACATCGAAGTAATTGACCGCCAAATCATACGTGCCCGAAGCAAACTCAAGCTTCATAGTCGCAATCCCAGCAGTAGTATTCGAGCTCGTAATAACCGCCGTGTAATTCGAAGCCGTTTCGAACGGCGTTACAGGAACAACCGTGTACCCATCCAACACCATACTCTCAACCTCAACCCTCCACGGATGATGTCCAACCCTTTTCGCCTCATCAGGTATCCCAGAAAGATTCCAGTAGAAATTGTTGATGGCGTCTCTCCAAGTGATGGAATGTCCTGCTTGGAAAGTCTGCCGATAAAGGACATGCTCGTATCTCTCGTCGTCGATCTTGCCTTTCAGCGATTCCCACATCTTAACGAAGGTCTGCTCTATCTCTGCACCGCTGTAATGCGCGTCGTAGAAATATTGGATGACTGTTTTACCGGAGTGGAGGACGTGGGTGTAATTAACGTGGTGGAACCACAAGAGGAGATTGTCGGGAGTGGTAGCGATGTTTTCGTACATGTTGGCGATTTCAGGAGGATAGGTGCCGGAGAAGCCAGTCCCATTCGCTACTGTGCGGTCCATGCCGATCGTCGTGTGATCAGCGCGAGTCCATTGACCCCAACCGTTGTCGTCTTGCGATTGAGGCTTGGGACCGAAATGATTCCCCGTAATATCTGTCAAGGTCTGGAGGCCAAGATTGCCGCTATATTGCTCGTAGGCTGGCCATGACTGCATGGACATTTTGGTTATGGTGTCCCTGACTTTTGGGTCAAGGCCGAAGGTGAGCCGGATCCAGTCTTGCAAAATGTCTTCAGGCTCGTCTGAGGGATCCCAGGCTAGGCGTCCGTAGGCATACAGATTCGACATCGCCATGTGGCTTCCGAGCCAAGTTGTGTTTGTCCCTGCATTCACGACAGCCGCTGATCCTCCAAGAGGCCGGTTGAAGCGCTCTCTGGAGATGATATCGCTGACCTTCGAGGCCTTCCTGTCGACGCGGAGATCAAAATCAAGGATCGTCTTCCAGAGCGGGGCTAGATAGACGAGATGACATTGCTGGCCAAGGTACTCTTGAGCAACTTGAAGCTCGACAGCAGTGCTGGTATTTCGCAGGTTGGCAAACAATGGAGAGACAGGTTCCCGAACTTGGAAATCGATGGGACCGTATTTTATTTGGACAACTACATTGTCTGCGAACTTTCCATCCAGCGGCTCAAAGAATTGCACAGCGGCGTTGGCGCGATCAGCTTTCCAGTCCGATTCATTGAGCTGATTGTACACGAACGCTCTGAACATGACCACTCCGCTGTATGGGTCAAGTATTTTGGCAAACATGTTGGCTCCTTCTGCAAGAGTCCGATTGTATGTCAAGGGACCCGGCTGACCTTCAGAATTGGCTTTGACCAGATATCCTGCAAAGTCGGGGATCCGTTTGTAAATCTGATCGGTGATATTGGTCCAGAAGGAAATAACACCCGAATCGAGGGGGTCGAATGTCGTGAGACCTCCGACGGCAGTGGGAGATGCAAAGTTGAGCGAGATTCCGACTTGAATACCGTACGGCCGGAAAACATCTGCAATTCTTCCCAGTCCTTGGATGTTTTGGGGACTCAGAAGAGTGGCGTTTGCGTTGACGTTATTGATAATAATCCCGTTTACACGGATGGATGCCAACAGGCGTCCATATTCGGAGACTCGGGTCAGGTCGTCGACGATGCCTCCATTCTTGAAGAAGAGAGAGGGACCACCGTAGCCACGTTCAATGCTACCGTCCATGTTGTCCCACTGATTGACCCATCGAATTGGTTGGTTCGGGTTGTTGACGGAGGAGATGCCAGAGAAATCTCCTTGAGCAAGCATGGAGAGGTACTCGAATGCGCCATACAGTGCTCCTCTCTCATTTTGACCCAGAATCTTGATGGTGTCGCCCTTGGTGTTGAGCCAGAACCCGTCCTCATCCAGATCAGGAGCATCATCGCCGTCTCCGTAGATTTTGGAATAATCATCGACAGTGCCAACAATCAAAGCTGAAGATGTTTTGTGTGTGTAGTTACTGATCTTGACCACCTGGCTGAAAATTCCCTGAAGTCCTTTTTGCAGTTCCAAGCCGGCAGTGTAAACGGAACTAGCTTTGGAAGTATTGAGAGCAATAATAGTGGAAGGAAGTGTTAAGTGATGACTGTTGACATTTTGGAGGGGAGCATAGCGTAACCAAGCATTAAGACCATTCTCTGCAGTAACTATGTTGAGAGAGGCAACAACCACAAGGAGAGCGCGAAACATCATGAGTCTACCATCATTACATCCCGATTTCAGGGCACATTTTGACGACTTATATGTTGTCAAACATGCTGTAGCCGCGAACGCGTGATGAATATAGTGTTGGTACCTTCGCGGGGTAGGTTGTTGATCTGGTTCTTTAGGCTAAAGCTAGAGATTTCCAGCACCCGCCACCTCAAGATCATTCACCCCACTTTTCTCACATGGAACACTTCAACGAAAGTAGACAACCACAACTTGACGTTGAAATAACCCTCAGCGTTGAGTATTGAGATCAGTGGGAGTGCAAAAGTAGTTCTCTACTCAGAACATAATGCAAAAAAGTCTGCAGTCATTGAAGTGAAGTCCAGAACCACTTGGCAATGGCCCCGCCTCCTGGCTAAACGCTGGAACGGAGCAGATCATAGTGGATCGGCGTGGTTGGGCGCGGGGTCAGGCTTGGTATTTTGTGGCGAGATTTTCCGTTCGTATTCTCAAATTCCACGAAACACAGGAGAGATCGAGTTGGCTTTCGTCCTCTGTTCCGCTCGCGAGTCCTCAAGTCTTCGTTCAGCTTGATCGTCTGTTGGGAATTTGAGGCTCCCCAGAGACGGTTTTTCTTTATAACAGACGAGCACACCCACTAAAGATTTGCCTCCATTACCTCAAGAACTTCGGATAATCCAGGACTAGGAAGTTCATCCGTGTAATGTTGTATGTACAGCTAATGCGCCATGTACTTCGAAAGATCTATTCCAGGAACATCGCTATCCGACATGCTGAAAACTGAATCTGTAGCTCCTAGTGGACCCCGTTGTAAAACCACTCTCTGTTGATGTGTCAAGATTGATAACTCCCACTTCTTTGTTCTCCGCAAGACGCTCACGAGCCTTTAACAACCGTCCTTGCTTGAAATCCTTGAATAAAAGCTGACAAAACCGTCCGATCTGGACGTCCAACTCTTCCTGGTGCTCTGACGCCAGCATGGCATCTCCCGATTTAGTGTTCAGCGGAGCCTCTGTTATCAAATCCCATGGCTGGACTCTTGGCCTGGATAAGGTGCTTTGCCAGCGATGGCAGCGTTGTTGGTGCTCCTCGAACCACTCCTCAGCTCTGGTCCGACGGTGATTTGTTTTAAAGTCTGGCATCACAAAACCACGTGAAGGGATACCCATCAGTTGGAACAGTTCTCCCGCTATCTCAAACTCTCCTCTTAGAGAATAGCAATTGGCCAGGTCCAGCGCGTGGAACAGGAGCTCGTCGCGAAATAGGAGCTCGTCGCGAAGCTGGCCCACGTCGTGAATCTTTTGCCCCGAGAAAACCACACCAAAACCAGAACTACGAGACCAGTCCTCAATGGTTTGGATGAGGGAGTGGAACTTTTGGTTAAGATCCTCCCTGAGAATGGAAGATGCTGCGTTGTGGATGCGCCGAAGTCGTTGTACCACACATAGAATACGGCTTGGAGCGGAGTCTAATCGGTTCTCAGCAGACAGTAGCAACTTGAAATAACCAGCCACAACTAATTGCAAGACTGCCTGCTCATGCTCTAGATAGCATTGCCTCTTCACAACACGTGAAAAGGGCAATATTCCTTCCAGTAGGTGCGTGAAGTCCGGATAAAGGACACCTCCGAGAAACCCCCAAGCGTTGATAATCACACGTTTGTAAAGGAGAACGGCGGCAGAGTGCTGTTGCTTTTCGATGCAATTCCTGGCGAGTGTCGCAATCCTTTTCATTTCCCAGTAAGACAAAGACCCCTCGGATAGCTCTTCTGGCTCTGAGGGAGATCCCTGAAGATATGTGAACAAGGATAACAATTGAGAGATAGTAAGATCAAGCCCGAATCCATCTTTGAAACATTCATCAATTGCCTCGCCCAGCGCGGAGAGGTTCGCCTCCTCAAGAGTAATTCCTGCTGGGTCCATATTGGGTGCCTCGTTAGCTGCAAGATACTTATCGCCAATGATCGGAGAGTCATCATCCCGTATCACAGATGCCACGAAACGTCCCTGGTTCTGGACATCGCCTTTCTCTTGAAGCCCAACAGGAACTGATAGTGGAGCGTTACTCGATAACCGATCGTGCTCCTCTCCCTGACCATGTTCGTTTGCAGCTGCGTTCTGATTCCCTGTGATGGATGACAGCGATGACTCAAGACCATCGGAGTTGAAGATATCGATAGCGGGAAATAATTCACCTGCAGAGGTAACAATTCGTGGAAGGCCTTGCGACCAAATGTATCCTTCTGCAACTTCGCTGCGACCGTCATCGATGGAGTTGGATGCAAAACCGCTCAGTCCAAGACTACCACCCTCATCCGTCGACAATAGCCGGGAGTCCATCTTTGTATCTTCGGCACTTGCGCCACTGATATGGTCAGCGCTTGAATGAGGAGATTTTAACCGAGTGGACAAGTCAGAAGTAGAAAAATCCAAGTCTTCGAAATTGTCATCCAGCTCTGCAATTTCATCCAACTCGATCGTAGAATCCATATTCATATCGAAGTGTGGGGTACAGTACGTCACAGGTCCTGGTGTCTCTATTAAGTAAGATAACATTAGCACTGATTTAACTGGCCTGGGAGGAGTGTCTTACGAGCACTAGGGGAGGCAGGCCCAGATTCCCTAATAATCTTCCTCCTTTTGAAGTTGTCAATCTTCTCAGCTGGCATCTGCAACCCGTTGTAAAAGACCGCAGTGTCTTTCCCTGCCCTCTTGCGATTGTCCACTTTAGCAACAACGATCTTCATTTCGTTCTCGCTCAAGTGCTTCTCGAAACTCCATTCCTTGAGCTTAGCCTTCCATTTTCGTGGACTGAGCAGTCGGATTAGATATTGGATCCAGTGTAAGAATATGGGGGTGAGGTTTACGATGCCTTGAAGTTGTGAGCTTGCTCGATCTTGAGCATCGTTTGCGGAAGCGTGTTTTTCTCCATCATATACACCGTCCATATTTCTTGCTTGAGCGACTCCCACTTCTGGTCATTGCGTGACAGAACAGCTCCCTTCTGAGGCTCTCGAAGGGGATCCATAGCTTCTTCTCGGCCTGGGATATCGAGGTCCATGATTGACGTCTGATCCTCCATGAGGCTTGCAAGATTGTGATCTTAGATTCTGTGTAAATAGACTTCAAAGCCCAGTGAAGAGGAATAGGGACGAGCGATGCAAGAACCGGCTCGAAGAGGGGAAAGAACCAGATTATATAATTGACAAGCTTTCGAGATTGTGTAACAAGGCTGCGGCTGGGGGGAAAGAGCACGAATGGGTGAAGCGAGCCCTGATTGGTTGACAAAGGTGCAAACCGATACCCTTGCTCATAACTACGCCACAAATGCGCCTAAAACCAAGCAGCCTCTCCCCGTCGGGGACGAAGGTGCAAAAGCAAGGGTATCAGTCAGAACAATCCAGCTCGAGTCAAAAATTTCCTCAGCCAACTCACCATCAAACATCGACTTCTGGGGCGTCTTGGAGGCCTTGCTCCGGTTTGAACCTGTCAGGCGACCAAATTGCTAGGCCAGAAGCTTCATGGACAAGGCTCGTTAGCACTTCAATGCAACAGTTCCAAGCCTAAATATCGGATCTTCCATAAACACAACATATGTACAATTATCTGCCCTTGTCTACAAATCCTTGCGGAAAACCTCTGTTGACCAGGGCTCACTCGTCAAATTTGTTAACCCAGCAATATTCTCGCATGTCTTCCTTCCACTCATCGGACCAGGGGACGGGATCTTCACGCCTCCCTTGTCATATATCCGCCCAGAATCCTTTCCAACATCCGCACCACTCTTGAAATTCTTATCCTCGCCGGTCAATGCACCCGTTCCTGGCTCTACCTCCTCGCCCGCATTCGCTTGCAGGGCCTTCAGTAACGTGACCATGCTTTCGGGTGTAAGGTCTTCGTAGTAATCATCATTGATTTGAACCATGGGTGCGTTGACGCAGGCGCCGAGGCATTCGACCTCGACGAAAGTGAAGAGTCCGTCCTTGGTGGTTTGTCCTGCCTTAATGCCGAGATGGTCTGAAATAGCCTTCACAATCGCGTCACTTCCGCAGCCGCCGAGCTGGCATGGGGTCTGGTAATTCCAGAGTCAGCAGCTGATAGAGAACAGTCCGAATGCCAGAGAATGCTTACTGTTGTGCAAGCCTGCAAGTGGTACTTCCCAACAGGATCTCGATTGTACATAGTATAGAAGGTGGCAACCTCATACACACGCATTGGCGGCATCTCCAGCAACCGTGCGACCTCATTCATCACGCTCAAGCTGCAGAATCCATGCTGTCGTTGCCCGAGATCCAGCAGGGGCATCACGGCTGCCTTTTTGTATTGAGGTGGATAGCGTTTCAGGATCTCATCGATGAGCTTGTTGTTCTGCTCTGTGAACTTGAAGGGAACGCTGGCGTTGTTCTGGGGGGTATCTCGATGCTAGAATCGAAGCTGTCAGTGGCTGCACGGCTGCTCTGGAGAAGCTTCGAGCTGAAGGGCGACGTACGACCTGCAGAGCATCGCTGGCAGCTCTCGGGCTCGCTCTGAAAGCCCGGCATTGCGATCGCGAAGCTATCCGTGCGGGCCGGAAGGCCGCCCTGAAGACATAGGGAGTGAGTTTCGATGCCATTGTCGCGGTCGAGAGGCGCAATGGCTGCTGTTCGAGGTTGCAGAGAGGTTGTCGTGATGATGATGCATTTGAAATGAAGAAGTGTGATTGGTGAGCCAATTCACTGACCACGTGACTAGTCCCTTACTTCAGTTTTAACGTCAGATACACATTTCTTCAGGAAACAACTCAAGTGAGTTTGAAGGGCTATCCACTTCCAAACCGACCGAAGGCTTGACAGCTCCATTATGTTGTCTTGTACTTCTCACCCGTGAAGTCTCCTTTCCCCAGCCAAGACTGACATAGCGCATTGCCCACAAAAGTTTGGGAAATTCAACTCGCGGTTTAAAGTCCCAATATTCGGGCCTATGCATCTGTCAGAAATCTGGCATCTGGGTACTGGTCTCATGAATGATCGTTAATCTCCTCTGTGACCTTTTGCGCTTAATGAAGCGCAGAAGTTGAACTCTCTGATGCCTTCACGCTTCTATCAGCCAAATGTTTTGTAAGAGCATACGCCATTGCTCGTCGTACACCTAAGCGAATACGTGACTACCCCTCACCAAAACCCACACTTCACCGCTTCTTTTCCCACAAACTACCATTTTTCTTCTTTAATTATTGTACAAGCAATGGAAGACTCAGACTCAGACTCAGAAATCTCAAATATCCTCTCTCCGTCTGTTCTTAAGGACCACCAACCCAATGAGAACTGGAGAACTCCTGTTCGTGCTACCGTTCGCTCGCTCCGCCGGCAAGGGAAGAGCTATGGCCAAATCAGGAAGGCCACAGGCCTTACCAGGTCCACAATTCAGCATATTATCAAGGGTCCAACCTCTCGTACGACGCGAAAAGGCCTTGCCACCAAGCGCCCCGCTCTTAAACAAGCCGATGTAAAGCGTATTTTCCGATTCGTTTCCCAGTCTTGGACCAATCGCACCAAGTCTTGGGGACGAATTAAGCACGAGCTCAAATTAGAAGCCTCGATTACTACGATTCGCCGGATTATGAAGGAGCATGGATATCGTCGTTATGTCGCTTGCCGTCGTCCCTTTATTTCCAAGCAACAAGCTGCGAGACGACTCGCATTTGCGATAAAATACCGGTGGTAGGGTATAGCAGATTGGAAAAAGGTTATATGGAGCGATGAGGCTACATTTGAGACTGGAAAGAGAGGGAGAATTTGGGTCACACGTCGGCCGGATGAGAAGAATCACCCAGATTGTATACAATCTATATACAGGAGTGGAAGAGTGAGCGTAATGGTTTGGGGAGCGATTGGCTAGGATTGGAAATCCCCGCTTATTTTCTTGGTAAAGGAGGAAGGAAGGAAGGGAATTTGCAGTCAAGCTTACTTGAACCAAGTCCTGAATCCTGTTGTTTTTCCTTGGCTTGACTCCTTAACAGCGAAGCAAAAGGAGGAGTTCTTGTTTATGGAAGACGGGGCAAAAATCCACAAGGGTGCGGCAAAGCTACCCCGCAAGTTGCGTGGATTGCGTGGGTTTAATTGGCCTCCCTCTTCTCCCGATTTGAATCCAATTGAGAAGGTATGGCGATGGATGAAAAATGAGATTACAAAGTTGGAAACTATTCCTACTTCAATTGAGGATATAAAGGAGGTTTTACAAGAGCTATGGAGCGAAGTTGATCCAACGGATTGGCGATATTTGACAGAGAGGCTCACTTGTAAGCTAGAAGACGTAATTGCTAGTAAGGGAATGGCTACTATACACTAAAGCCTTAATAAATATAGTTCTTTAATTAAAATTAAAAATTGTGGTGAAGCACCAGAAGTGTGGGCTAAAAAATCGCGATTTTGGTGGGGTAGGTGGGGTAAATCACGTGTACGACGAGCAATGGCGTATGCTCTTACTAATCTGCTTTGTAGCCCCGTACACTTGCGTTGGGATTGAATCTCCTCGAAGAAGAAATCTACTTAAGTAATAGTCGTTTTCGAAAGTAATCTACTTCGTAGACAAGAGGTCGGAAGCATATCAACGAGAGAAGAATTGGAGTTGATTTGAGTCTTTTGTTAGCATTGCCTAAGTTCACTTCTGGGGACGGAACGAGGCACGGATCACTGGTATCACTTCCCGCCTTTCGTTATGCACTCTCGCTTTCCAACTGTCTCTACAAATTGGACATCTCTCTCGTCTAACTCTGCTTCTCACAGCAACATCCATAATCCAACTATCGACCAATCTCCATCAACTTCACCCCCAAACTATTTAAATGCAAGCCCCCTTCATCCTCTTCGTCGTTTTCTATTTTCTCGCCTCCCCCTCCGTCACCGCTCTGCCTGAACCCAACCCCACCGCTGCGTCAAACACCCAACTTCCTCCCACTAACCCGACCTCCTCTCGCTAGACACCTTCTCCGAATTCAATTTCGACAAGCGCTATCTGTGGTGACCCACCGAGACCGGGTGAGTCGCCTTGCCATAATGCTTCTACGACATTGAAGGGTGGCTTGGGAATGACTGGAGATGGTTTGGTTGTTCTGGGTGCTTTCGTCCCGTGAGGAGAGGTCGGGAATTTAGATTTGGGGGAAAGGGGAGCTCGTCGAGGTAGATTTCATGGGTCCTTGAGACGCCGAAGCTGGGTTCACTGCGCTTGGGTTTGTTACTGGGCTGCGGTGTCACATACGACAGGACAGCTTGGGTGTTTGCTGGAGAAAATGGTGCTAGGGGGTGAGGGGAGAATATCTGAGAAAGGAGATTTGGGGAAGGGAGGGCTTGCATACAGGGAGAAAAGTCCTTGAAATTTAAGTTGTTGCTTTGTTGAGATTTTCGAATTGCTCTGCAGCAGCAAGAGTAATTGTCCAGCTTTTCAAACTACCCCACAATGTTGCTTTAAAGTCCCACCTATCAATTACGATCCCTTCCCACATTCAATTAAATCCCAATCTATACAGCATCTTGATATATTCATGGGGATCCGATCTAGACCCTGCAATTGCGGAGAAATCGAGAAAGATCTCCGACGAAGAAACACCAGCCACGCGTCAAGCCACACCAGCCACCACTAAAAGTTGGCAGACTCGCTTGCCCTGAACGACATGCCAACTTTCTTCATCCTTCCCTGCTTGCATCTTCCCATTCCACTGAACTGCCGAGATTGAGCAGCAAGGCACACATCCAGGCTGGCCTATTGTCGTCATTTTTGAACAGCAGGCTGACCGATACAGGAGATCCTCTCCGAATTTCGATTCCCAAACCTGGTTGAGGTTGACCGCCAAGCTCGTACCCTTCACCAGCTATTGGGTACGAATTGTCACCTGCTGTTCTTCCCCTCACCGGTTGCATGGAACTCAGGGCCGTGATAACCCAATGATCTGCCATACTTCAAGCAGTTTATACACATGATTGAGGTGGGCTGTCAGATCATTGCTGCTTCTTCGCTGTCCGCTGCTTGCTTCACGCCCTGGATTTTGATGACGATGAACCCTGTTTGCTGGCTCTCTCTAATACGTTAACGCGTACATGGATTATATGTTTCATCTATTCTGCAGCCACAGTTGGTCCTCCGACGCCACAAATTCAAGGAAAAAGAGGCTCCTCCCACACACCCCGGTCACCATGACTTCACTGATGGGATGATAGTTTTCCACGTTGGAGGACAAGGTGTTGCGGGTGCAAAGCCAGTCGCTTTAGCCTTGGAGTCGCACAAGAAAAGTCTTGGGGGTTGTCATCTCCTGTTTGCAGGATTGGATGCGTCACGGTTGGCAGCAGCACAGCGATGTGGGGTGACCCGTCGGCGTCTTCATAAGTCTCCTGTCTCTTCCAATTCACCTTGGCTTTTTTTACTCGCAAAACAACGTGTGACGTATTGCCTCGGAAATCAGATAAAGTAGTCCTTTCCTCTCCTTAGCAGCCTTCCTTTCCTCAACCACCAGACAACCGATAACTCACCCAACCACATCAATCAACCGACACCGCAAGTGCAACACCACCATAATGCTTCTCATCGACATCTTCTCGCTCTGCCTCCGCATTGGAGAGCTTGCCTTCACCGCCGTAGTCGCTGGCTTGACAGGTCAATACCTGCACCAGCACAAAGGAGCCCGAGCATGGGACGAGAAGCGCTTCATCTATACCGAAGTCATTGCCGCCATCGGCATTCTCTACTCTCTTCTCTTCCTCCTGCCATTCATGGCTAGCTTCATCCACTGGCCCATGGACTTCCTCCTCTTCGCGGGAACCATGATCGCCTTTGCTCTACTTGCTCACGTATGCTCCTTCTCTCCATGCCACATCCAAAATCAAGATAACTAATGTAGAATCAGTATGACAACAACTGCGGCTCTATCTGGAACTGGAATGGAATCACTGGAGGCAACACCTGCGACAAGTTCAGAGCTGACCTTGCATTCCTGTTCTTGGCTTCCATCTTCTTCCTCGTTTCTGCTCTTCTCGTAAGTCCCCCAATCTCCCCCTCCTATCTGCCTCCGAAAGCACCCGCTGACGAAGTTGTAGGGCATTTATGTCATGCACCGCCATGCTCGGACAACACACGTCGACAAGACCTCCACCCGCAGACGTCGCTGGTATAGCCGTCGCTACTAGATTGCCTCTCTCGCTCCCACAAAACGCTCTCCCCTCTTCTATCTTGAGAATCCAAAGCTACGAAAGATTGAGGAAATTTTCATATGTTTTGGACTTGGCTTGGCTTCTAGATCATTGGGCAACGGATCTGCTATTGGGCATTCGGATTGAGCAATGCAGATTGTAAGATATGACCGTCGAGGGTTTATTTGGGATTCGGTGATAGGTTTCTCTGCGATACGAGCGAGCGATGATACCAAATTGCGAATTCTGCATTCTTTGCGATTTGATATCTGGGAATAAGATAGGCATCTGGTGCTAGGATGATAGGACAATGAACAAATTGAAGAAAGAGAAAAGATCAATGTACTTTCGTGCTAAGCTGCAACTTTCATGCAGTTGCGTGTGTGCGTTCGTGCCTGGGTGCGTTCACAGCTCGACCCGTTTCTCTCGCATACATTAGTGATTCCCGGGGAGCTAAGGGTGTGCAGGGGTTGAGCCGATAACGTAGATGTGCAACGAAAACAGAAGACTGAGCTGTAATTGGGCACTGAGGATATGTAGATGTGCAACGAAATCCCTAAGCCTGAACTAGAGACAAGACCAAGCTATCATTGGCCGGTACGAGGTATAGACGACAACGTCAAGGAGCAGCAAAAACATGTCAAAGTAGAGGGAGTTTTGGAAAGTGCAAAAGAACTTCTAGAATTTAGTAGGGATGCCCGCCTACTGCCCTACATAATCCTACACTCTATAGCTCATCCTTCACGTCATTTCCCACAGGGCCTTCAGGCCTGCCACTATCCTTCCTTAAATCAACCCCATTCTTCTTCTTCCACTTCTCCCATGTTGCCCAGAAATCCTTCTCCATGCCCTTCTCCATCTGATCTGGCAAAACAACCGTATATTCCACCAATAGATCCCCGAACTCCGTTTTATGGTACACGCTATCCCCGTCCTCATGCCATTTCGGCATTCCTTCTCCGGCCACCCTCTCTACTTGTCCTGGCTGGATTACTTGTCCGCGAGTTCGGGAGAGAGAAACGATGTGTCCATCGAGATGTGTGAGGTTTCGAGTCCAGGATCCAAGCCACGCCTCTCTGAGAGACAGGACTTCCTTCCAGTACAAGTCATCCCCCTTCCGCCTGAAGAATGTCCCATCAACCCTCAACTCGTTATCCTCATCGAGATTCGCCTCCTTTTCCATAAGAGTAACATGCAGATCGCCCGCGACATAATCGGGGCTCTCGTCCGCATCATTCTCATACTTAATCCGCATCCCCTTCGGCGCTCCCTTCTCTACGTTCAATTGGAACGTATTGACTTTCCGCACAACCCGTGAGCCACTGCACACAGGGCATTTATGCTTGATCGTCTTCCCCTGCCCGCCACACGCATCGCACGTAACCTGCACCTGCTGGAAAATACCCGGCGCAAGCTGGTGCTTCTTGATCTGCACACCATGCCCATTACAAGCATGACAGGTATCCACCTGTCCATCTTCACTTCCACTGCCCTCGCACTCCTCACAAATCATCTGTTTCTCCAATTGGAATTCGGTGGTATGTCCATTGTAGAAATCCTTCAACGGAACACCGACTCGAACTTCCATGTCCGGGCCTCGTCTCTGGCCTCCTCCATGCCCGAAATGTCCTCCGCCGCCGAAGAACCGCGAGAACAGGTCGAAGGGGTCGTGGTGGTGGCCGCCGCCGCCTTGTTGTCGCTGCTTGAGGCCCTCGTGTCCGTATTGGTCGTAGATCTTGCGGGATTCGGGGTCAGAGAGGGCTTCATACGCTTCTGCTACCTCGACGAATTTTTGCTTGGCGGTGGCATCCCCACTGCTGGTCTGTTAGTTCGAGCTTTGATTTGGAGACATTGGAGCCATACGGGTTCTTATCGGGGTGGTATTTTTTGCTCAGGGTTCGGTAGGCTCTTTTGATGTCTTTCTCTGAAGCATGCTTGTCGATTCCTAGAAGCTGGGCAAGAGTGGGTTAGCATTGAGTTTAGTGGGGGGTTTGGGAGGAATGCTTACTTTGTAGAAATCTTCTGCACAAATTGCAAGCTGTAAGAGGCACAGTAGTACCAGAAATGCTGAGGGTAGCCACATGTCTGTCCTGCGCCGGCAATGCGCCCGCCTGGGAGAATACTGAAGCCCAGAAACGCAATTGTTCAAATGAAGACAAGCATGTGAAGGAATGAATGAGAGACTGGGAAGAGAATTGGATCTGTCGATGGAGGGAAACCTCTTGTCAAAGGGGAGGAATGAGGTATGAAGGAGGGCCAGATTTATTTCAAGGGCGGAACAAGATACTGCCACGCTGGTCTCAACTCATCGGCGAAATTGGTAGCGAGCTGCCAGGGGCTCGACAGCCTTGTGGTAGATAAAAGCGGCAGCACCAGGACCCAATGTCCTAAATCCAATTGGTTGATTATCTGGGATTTTGAGTGCGCGGATTTTGAAAACCTAGCACTTGTAGGAATTAGGAAGGGAATAAGATATAAATATGAGATGGCTCTGGCCATTAGGAGGATTGCAAGTATTTGAAATGTCCAACTTGACTTTGTGGCAATGAAAACGAGTGCCGCTTTTTGGTCGGCCAAGCCGCAGGTGGGCTGGAAAAATACGGCAGCCGACGTGCGGCTGCAGACGATTAGCCGCAAGGCTCACTGAAGGCAATGAACCACGAAAAAAATCTACAAATACTCTTGCCCACATCACTGCTCTCTTCTCCCACCAAGTATGTCCCCAAACACCTACCATCCCAAAGCTCTGCTAATCATTGATAGCCTTACCTCCACGTTCCTTTTTCGAGTCACGAAATCTCAAAGATGTCTGGCAAAAAGTACGCGCTTCTTCCTATGGAAGAAGATGAGGTCGGCCCCGCCAAAGTCGTAGAAAAGAAGAAGGAAAAGCGACGTCACGGCGAGAAATCTTCTTCATCACGACGAGAGAAGCACCGAGACAGAAGTCGTGACCGTTCTCCACACCGCGAATCAGAACACAGATCCAAAACCATTCGCAGACGAGATGCAAACGAAGCAGACTTCGAGGACCGGTGGGGAGATGAGGAATATGTTTCTGAGGAGGAGCCTGAGTTCCAGGAATCGGCGCCGAAGAGGGTAAAGACTTCACACAGCGATGATGACGATATTGATGACGAAGAGCGGGAGAGGAGGAAGGACCAGGCTGAGAAGGAAGCTTTCGCCAAACGGTTACGTGACAAGGACGCCGACAAGACCAAGAAAATCGTCGAGGACCGTTCGTCAACAAAAGAGGGGAACATTTTGGCCCAACGAAGAGCCCTGGCAGAAGATGCTGCCGCAAGGAGCGCCGCTCTGCCCGACCTTCGAGAACGATCCCGCCAAGAGTATCTCAAGAAGAGAGAGGCGGAACGGTTAGCGTTGTTGCGGAAGCAAGTGGCAGAAGAGACTGAAGAACTGCGAAGTGGTGCACGACTTTCCGAGAAGGAGAAGGCGGAATTCGCGAAGAATCGGGAGGTTCTACGAATTGCGGAAGAGAGGTTGCGGATCGATGATCATCTAGATGGCTATGCGATGCCCGAAGATTACATTACGGAAAAGGGGAAAATCGACAGAAAGAAAAAGGAAGATGCCATGTACAAGCGATATGTTGAAAAGGACGAGTATGGACAGGAGAAGTTTGTAACCGAGCACGAGGAATGGGAGAGGGAACAGGCCTCGAAGGCCAAGGCTCAGATTCAAAGTACTGAAAGGACTGACCAAGGCGAATATGATTACGTCTTAGATGAAGAACAAGGGATAAAATGGGTTATGGACTCGAGGTTACCTGGAGAAGGAAAAGGGATGAGCAAGGAAGAAAGATTCTTGGCAGCCCAGCTCGACGCTGCCGAGAAGAGAGCTCTGTCCATGGATGAGACGCGGAAGAGTTTGCCAATATACGCATATCGGGATGAATTACTTGCAGCTCTCGAGGAGTATCAGATTCTGGTTATTGTCGGAGAAACTGGTTCGGGGAAGACGACACAGCTTCCACAGTACCTCCACGAAGCGGGCTATACCAAGGGCGGGCTCAAAGTTGGCTGTACTCAACCCCGTCGAGTTGCTGCTATGTCTGTGGCTGCTCGTGTTGCGGATGAGATGGGAGTGAAGCTTGGGAATGAGGTCGGATACGCCATCCGATTCGAGGACAATACCTCCGATAAAACAGTGCTCAAGTACATGACCGATGGTATGCTGTTACGAGAGTTCATGACGGAGCCGGACCTCGGGGGCTACTCTGCCATTATCATCGACGAGGCTCACGAGCGAGGAGTCAACACCGATATCCTCTTAGCTCTTCTCAAAGATTTGGCCCGAGAACGTCCAGAGCTCAAAGTGTTAATATCGTCTGCAACAATGAATGCAAAGGGCTTCTCGGACTACTTTGACGGTGCTAACATTTTCAATATTCCTGGCCGCCGCTATCCAGGCAAGTTTTCCGTTCCATTTCAGAAAATAAGCATACTAATCCTTTCACAGTGGACATTCACTACACACCACAGCCCGAAGCCAACTACCTCGCCGCAGCTATCACCACGATCTTCCAGATCCACACTTCACAGCCGAAAGGCGACATTTTGGTCTTTCTAACGGGCCAGGACGAAATCGACTCGGCAGAACAAAATATCACCGAAATTGCACGGAAACTTGGATCCCGTGTTCCAGAGCTCGTTATTTGTCCAATTTATGCTAACCTCCCATCCGAGCTGCAGAGCAAGATCTTCGAACCGACTCCAGAGGGTGCAAGGAAAGTTGTGCTAGCAACCAATATCGCCGAAACCAGTTTAACCATCGACGGAATTGTTTACGTTATCGACCCCGGATTTGTGAAAGAAAACGTCTATAATCCGAGCACAGGAATGTCGAAACTCGTTGCAGTTCCTTGCTCGAGAGCATCGGCAAATCAAAGATCTGGCCGTGCTGGTCGCGTTGGCCCAGGCAAGTGCTTCCGTTTGTACACAAAATGGGCATTCATGAATGAAATGGATGAGAGTACCACCCCAGAAATCCAGAGAGTGAATCTCAACAGCGTGGTGCTGATGCTGATGTCTCTGGGTATCAATGACCTACTTGATTTCGACTTTATGGATCCCCCGCCTACCGAGACTTTGATTGGAGCACTGAATCAACTTTTTGCGCTGCAAGCTCTGAACCACAAGGGAGAATTGACGGCCCTGGGGCGAAGAATGTCCGAGTTACCAATCGATGTGATGCTGTCGAAGGCCTTACTTTCGGCCGACAAGCTTCAGTGTGTTGAGGAAGTGCTTTCCATAATCTCTATTCTCGGGGAAACATCAGCACTGTTCTTCAGACCGAAGGACAAGAAGATCCACGCAGATAGTGCTCGAGCACGCTTCACTATCAAGGAAGGAGGAGACCACCTCACGCTCCTCAATGTCTGGAATCAGTGGGTTGATAGCGATTTCAGTCCTATCTGGTGCAAGGAAAATTTCATCGATGCGAGGAGCATGAAGAGAGCAAGAGATATCAGAGACCAGCTTGCCAAGCTATGCGATCGCGTGGAGGTTTCCATGTCGACTTGTGGCTCATCCAATATCGAGCCGATCCAGAAAGCACTCACAGCGGGATTCTTTGCCAACGCGGCACGGTTACAGAGAGGGGGCGATAGTTATCGGACGGTCAAAACGAATACCACGGTGTACATACATCCTTCGAGTGTGCTGGTGGCAAGTGGTGATGCTCCGCCGAAGATGATCATCTATTACGAGCTGGTCGAGACTTCGAAATCCTATGCCAGAAACGTAATGCCAATCAAAGCGGAATGGCTGCATGAGGCTGCTCCACATTTCCACAAGAAAAAGGATTTGGAGGACATGGATGAGAAGAAGATGCCGAAAGATAGGAGCAAGATATAATTGGGTGTGTAGATAGATCCCAAAATATCGAACACGGATTTGGATGCATGAGCTACTTTGGATTTGATGGGGCGAGTGAGTTGTGATACAGGTATGTGGCGAGATGGCCCAAAGCTAGACGAATAGTAAGGCTGGACTCAAGGTGGGACCTTCCTCTTCCAGCGCCAATTTATCCATGCCTCAGATTGGTTTTCTGGGGGCCGGCTATCAAATTCTAGGCGGCACTCGCGGCACAAATTCACTCCGCACAGATATAAATTTCTCACGTCTCACATCTTTCTTCTTCCCTTTTTATTTTCCTCGTTCGCTCACTTTGATTTTCCCACACCTCACCAAGACAGCCCAACCGCATATCGGTAGTCCGAAACTCACCCACAACATCCTCGTCTCGATCTCTCATCACAACGGTACAGCCAGCACCATGGTATCCCCATCCAAAGCCCTCGATATCTTCCGCCGCCTCATCGGCCCCTTCCACCTCCTCCTAGTCTCCCTGTCCTTCCTCCCCGGCACCATCATATCTCTCCTGCATCCGCTGCAACTTCGCACTCTTCTCTCGCCAAGACGTCTTCAGTCGGCGTGGTTCGCACGTTTCTGGAGCCGCGTCGGGACGGACATCCGCACCAACCTCAGGCCCCGCGTCGGCCCCCTCATCGCGCAAGCGCACGGTGTGGTGCTTGATATCGGGCCTGGAAGTGGAGAGTGGCTTTCTTGTTTTGATAAGAGTAAGGTGGAGAGGATCTACGGGGTTGAGCCGAATGTGGGTTGTCATGGGAAGCTGAGGGAGAAGGTTAAGGAGGCGGGGCTGGAGGGCGTTTATGTCGTTGTTCCTGTGGGCGTGGAGGAGATTGGGAAATGGATTAAGAAAGGAGGGGAGGGGAAAAGTGGATTGGGGAAGGGAGATGTGGATAGTGTTGTTACAGTTTTCTGTTTGTGTAGTGTGAGTCAGCCGAAGAGGATGATTGGGGAGTTGTGTGGATATTTGAAGGATGGGGGAAATTGGATTGTCTTTGAGCATGTTGTTACGAAGGAGAAGGGATTTATTGCTTGGTATCAAGGTGAGTCCTCTATTGTCAGAGACTGGGCTGAATGCTGATGAGATCGTTCTAGCGTTTGTGGATTTGTTCTGGCCGCATTTCATCGGTGGCTGCTCGATCACGAGGGACACTGTTAGATGGTTGAAGGAAGCTGGAAGCTGGTCGAAGGTGGATTTGGTGCAGCCGGAGGATGAGCCACCTTATCAAATTATTCCTCATATTATGGGTGTGTTGACGAAGTGAAGGGATGCAAAGGGAAAGGGAAGAATATCAGAATGCGCAAACGGGGGTGGAAGCAATTAACAAATGTTATTTCTTTGGATGGACAGGGTCTCGAGAAAGGGTTTGATTCATCGGAGCCGATTTTTGAAGTTGTATTTCATTGTTTAGAAATTTATTGTTTTCATCTGGGGAATTCTGGAAAGGGGGGAAGTCAAAATTGGCTTTTGCAACCTCAGGCACCATTTTTGCTCCACCTCAAAAAATAGTGACCAGGGTGAATCCCGTGGATTCACTAACCATCAACCACCTCAACCGTGTTATATCGTCTCCGCGACACGCCGTACCCGATGCCTCTTACAAATTATCTACAACGATACCTCCATCCGAATCGCAAACCGTGATGGCGACATTCGGGGACTTCGACGCCTTCTCAGCCCCTCCAGAAGCTCGTGGTACCCCGCAAAATCCCATTCCGACACAGTTGACAGCTTCAGCTCCAAAGCCCGAAGATGAAGATGAATGGGAGTACGAGTATTCTACTACTGAGATGGAGGTCTATCCTACCTTCCGCTATCACATGGATGAATAGACTAACAATCCCTGCAGACATACTACGTGACTCTCGATCTCACCAACCCAGCTCACCCGCCGAGGCGTAAGCCTGCCCCGAAGCTGGGACACGCAAGCACAAGGGTGCGGTGGATCAATCCTGTGTCATTAATGAAGGATGAGGACGAGGTACCGCGGATAAACCACGAGCGTCGCAAGAGGACGAGAGAGGACCGAATGTACAGGTTAGGAAGTCAAGGTTTGGAGGATAAGGGATATGAGTACGAACATGGAGACGACGAAGACGATGACGACCTATCCGATCCAGTTAACGAAGGGGGGGACCGGGCAGGGCCGGGCAATGACGGTATCGAGGCTATGGAAGTCGAGCGAGAAAGAGGAGAGCCAGAGGTCGATGATCTGGAAGCGGCTGGCTTTCGACTAGACCCAGAAGACGTTATATCTGACGCCGACGAGGAAGAAAAGAACGACGAGAAGGAGTTCAACAAGGTCCAAATCTGTGAATTACACTCCCAGAGACCTTTTGTCCTATTCCGAGGCAAGTACTATGACTGCCAATGGGCCTCAAATATTGGCACAGAGATGCTCTTCACGAAGCACGACCCAGACGATCTTAATCCTCTTCCCAGCCTGCGCACCCTCCAAGGGGATGTTGACCTCCTGGCTGCCTCTTCCGCACGCATCATGTCCAAGGAAGTCAACCTAGTCCCCAAGGTTCAAGAATCGCAGAAGATTCGCCATCCTGGCCTGAAAGCGAAAGATCTCGCAATCGAAGTAGGTCAAGGAGCCGGAAGAGAGCGCAAAGAGCAGGCGAAATTCCTAGAAGAACTCATCAACACGAAGCTGGGGATGGGAGAGCTCGATGCAGTGACAGTGGACGCGATAGGAAGAAAGTCGATCTGGAGATGGAAAGAGTACTTCAAGCAGGAAACCGAGAGCCTGAAGAAGGGAGGGAAGGATGCTGCAGAGGCGGCGACGAAGCTGCGGGCACTTGAGGAAGAGGTTAAGCGGAGAGAGGCGAGTAAGGGCGGCCAGAAGAGGAAGGGGGTTCCGGGTGGTGCGCCAAAGCCGCAAAGGGGGAGATCTGCGCTCGGGAAATTGCGTGAGCCGACTCCTGCAAACTTTGGCACGCCGGGTTCTGGGTTGGGGAGTATGGCTCCTTCATCACCAGGCGACTTTGATAGTGACGAGACTGAGGATTCTGATTTGGATGATGAGGATAACGAGCTAGAGGACAGTGAAGAAGGGGATAGCGAGGGGTTGGATAGTGAGGAGGACACTGAGCGAGAGGACTCTGAGGGAGAAGACACTGAGCAAGGGGATAGCGATGAAGGGGGCAGCGGTGGAGAGCAGTCTTCTGATGAAGAAGGCTTCTCTGAAGAGGGCGAGAACGACGAAGATGACGAGGATACTAATATGTATGGTTGATACGGTTGATACCCGAGACTGACACAACAAGTCTCTAGATATTTGCTCTCACGAGCTCTTACGAATACACTTGCAATTTTTCAGCAGCTAGGGCTTCCATAACATACGAATTTAACGGCTTTACAACGATTCTCAGGGCTGAGTGGCCTTCAAAGGACAAGTGTTTGTTGTCACGTGATTATATTGTGAAAGCTTGAGAGGCCCTCGAGAGGGAGTGCTAAAGCTCTAGTAAGTTCTTTGGCTTATGAGTCATTTATAAGCCAGTGGCGGGCATACAAGCTCATAGAAGTCAAAAGCGCGTTTATTGCTACCTTATTATTAATTATTATTATAAGTCCAACTCTTTTAGAAATCATTAGAAACAACTAGCCCTTATTAGGTTTAAACCGTATTAAATGCTTATTAATCAATATTATTAACACTGGAGAGCTCTTTGTACGGACTTCAGCTGCCTGATCTCATAGGATAGTATGGGGTAGCTTGGCTGCATCGGGTGGGGGCTTTGCACTGTAGTTACTTGGCCTGGCTTGGGTTCCGCATCTGTGCTTCTTACATTTTCTGCTTACTGCGATGGTTTTCCTAGCTACAACAATATGGGGTGGTCTCTTCAATAAAAGCTGCATTCTATTCCTCAATTCCCTGGCAGCGCTGTGCATGCTTCCATTAATGTTCACCCCAGTGGAGAGTCCGAAACACGAACTTTACTCTGCGTAAAACTATCATTCTGTCTATTGCTCTCTAGATGGCAAAATTTGCACGTCCTACCCTGTATGAGCCTGCTCTTCATTCACTAACAAACTAACTCTTAGAGTACAGCCTCTACCCTACTTGCCAGAAAGCTCGTTCAAGTTGAATAGCTCAATGTTCTTCGCTTGATCTCCAATCTGAATATTAATTATCCCAATTGGTGCCCCGAACTCACTCCGCTTCTCGGTTGCAGCCTGAAAAGCGGTTTGCGTTGGCTGGGTCGTGATTTGGTGGTTGTTAATGACTGAGTATGCAGTGGACTTCCCAAAGAACCCGTACCGGAGCTCATGATATGTCTGAACAGCCTGGTGAATAGCACCATGGCAGAACTTAATCAGGTCATATTGTGGGAGGAGCTTGGTATCCGTACCCGTAAATGTTACAAAGAGATTTAAATATCTTTTGTCATGGACGAGGCTGAGGTCAAGCTTGTGTGTTCCTTGGATATTATAGTTGAATTCTCCCACCCCCTCTTTTCCATTCTTGCTAGGGTCGAACTTTGTAACCTCCTTGCAGATTGGCTGAGCTAGTGTCGGTGGTTAAAAGTGAGCGTGCAAGCAAAGTCTGCATCGTAAGAGATATGACCAGAAGATGGCAGGCGAAACTAGCCTAAGGGATTGTAGGGAGGGGCGGGCTTGATAACTATGTATATTAGACTAAGGTGTAGATAGAAAGAGATAGCTGAGAGTATATAATAAAAAGATTCGGCGAGGTAGATGTCAGGCTTTGAAATAAGTATGAAACTGAAGGGTGACTTGTATGAAGAATGTATGCTACTCTGTAGATGCTGCTGCTAGCTCCTGGGCATGCGCCCCTTATATATTTGGTTCTGACTTCCAACTCTTAGCAAATTTTATAGACTATAGTTAGTGAAACACGGAGAAGGGGTGAGCTGTCCTTCTGCTAGGCTCTCTTGGTAGAGTATTCAAATCTCGAAATCCTTTGCCAAGACTTGTGAGAGCTTAATATGGCTGGCGGATCATAGTGCGTTATAGCATGGACCTATAATATTAGTTGGGCATCCTTAAAAGGGCTAGTAGCAAGAGATACTAACACGGGACAGAGTAAGGAGGGACTATATCCGTGACTTAGCCGTGGCCAGCGCTTGACGACCCCTCTCAGCCACGTTAGTGGTCTAGCCAAGGGCAGCACTTACTGTAACAATCCGCCTCGGCCACATCCGTGGTCGAGTCAAGGCCAGCGCTTAACAACACCTCTCAGTCACCTCTGTCCTTTACCGAGTCAGTCTTTCTTTCCATTTCTTACAGGCCGTTGTTTAAGTCTTAATCTAGCCAAGTCACCGCATAATTACTAGCACGCCCTCTTCCACCCACGACGCAAAATCTTGTCCTGCTCTTACACAATTCGATTAATGATACTTAACCAGGCCTATATTTATATTTTCTTATTTTCTTCAACTCCTTTATTAGTTACTCATGCTACACCTCTCCCTAAACGGTATCCCCCAGTAGCCTTTCTGTTGAAATTGGTACGCTACCATAGCTAGCTTACCAGTCCTTCCAGCACTAGGTTCAACCACTAATTTAGAGTTCTTCACTCTCATTTGTCATGCGTCACTCGCCGAGCTTACCAAGCTTACTAGTATATCGTCATTTTGATTACCTTTGATTTATCAGCTGATTGATAATATATCGGAGAAAGCGGGCTCGGCATCACCGGTATCGCCGAAAGGTAATGGGAATAAATCCCTTACTTTGGACACTTTTTCCTCTGTTTCTAGAACTCACTCTTCGGTATCTAGTCATTCTGCAGTCTGTCAACCTTCAATAAATCGATTACTTTACAATACTTTCGGCAGGCTATTGAAGCAATGGCGGGCTTGTTTGTAACGGAGGCCGAAGAAGCATTCCCCAAAAGTAAGCTATATCTGCTAAGTTTAATTCTTACTTAAAACCCCTCTCTCTCTTTCTGATAAATTTTAACGACTAGGCAGCCCCAAATATACTTGGCGAGGGAGATGCAGTTGGGCTTCTCAATATTCAAATAGGGCCTTAGAGTCGGAATATGACGAGTACAAGTAATAAGACGGGTAGAATCATATCAAAGGGCAGGGTTGCCGAAGCAGCTCGTGGAAGTGAGATGTAGGGCAAAGAGTCTACCAGTTAAGAGAACCCTAGTTATGTTAGTGAGGCCAGTTTGCTTGGTTAGTTGTTCTTACTTTTTGCCTACTTTGAGGAAGCAAGGGATGGTCTGCATGTGATAGTATGGTGGGCGTAAATTGCTCTTCAATTTGTTAGATTATTACAAGTCAAAGAATCCGTAATAGAAGCAATGATTATTTACGAAGATCACGGCATAAAGTGACGGGATTACAGGGCATTTGGACCCTTGCACCCCTCAGGACACAATTTAGTGGCTTGATCCCGCTGTAAGGCCCTATGGCTCCAGGCCAAATGCCCCAAGCAGATCTCAAGAGGCGCTATAAGATATTCGTAAGGTATGAGATGTCCTTAGGGGTAAATAGTGCTTGGACGCGAAATAGGTAGTTACTATAAGGCTCTTTAGCGAGATGTTCCTTGTAAGTACAGGGGAGAAGCCCTAAAAAGGCGTGGTACCCCTAGCTCCCGCTTTCTAGCGTGCTTTTAGGGCAATGGCCTAGAATTATAGGGTAATTTAGTGACCGAGTGCGCTAAAAAATATAAAAAAAGACACTGAAGTGCTGTAAAGCACAAATGCCCTGTAATCGCGTCACTTTATGCCGTGATCTTCGTATAAACGACAATCCTACTACTTCCTTTGCTCGTATTTTGAGTTCTAATCTGCATACACCTCTTTTCTGATTCACGTTCTATGTTTTCTTAACCTTTTTAAATTGTGACTATTTTGCTCCTTGTGTTTTGGCTACATGTTTATTACTTGCATCTCATAGGGTCTTAGGGACCAGGCGGTAAGATCCCTTCATATTAAGCACAATCCTTTTATTAGAAGGCCAGTTGCGATCCTACACTTGGAAGGCCAAGTCTACCCCTTGTGTTGGAAGGCTAGTTGCAATCCTACAGTTGAAGGCCAAGTCTACTCCCTGTATTAAGAAGCTATGCCCAATCCTACAGTTAGAGGTCTATAATTACCATCCAGCTGGACGCTTTGCTCAATCCTATAGTTGGTATCAAAATAGCTCTTCATTTATATTAAATATATAAACTAATAGAAAGAGTACTGAGTTCCCGTTAATTTCATCAAGTTTCTCCTTTCTACTTCCCCTACAATCATCGAAAAGCAAAGCAACATTTGCCAAGTTTTACTCTCTATCTTCTATGCAAATATCGCCCACAATTGGTTCATTATCTATATATATACAAATATGCGGCCAATTACTTTCCTGAAAGGGTTCCTTGCCTCCTTACTGGTGGCATCAGCTATCGAGGCTGGTAGGCCAAAATGTTCGGCCTCGAACTGCGCTAGTATTAAAAGAGATCTTATCTCTCGGTTTCAAAGAGAAGAATCCCCTGTCGAAGGGACTATTCTCCACACCCGGGCAGAGCTCCCTAAGGTCGAGCAAAACGGTATCGAGGCCTATGTTATCGCGGCCGTGGATAAACTTTCAGCAGGCGATAAGATCTACGATGATCGTTCTAAGTCGCAGGGCAGCACCTCGCTATGGCGCCCCTTCGTGAGAGGGAATGGCAATTGGGCTAGCTCCTTCAAAACCGGTCTCAAGTTCATGACTGGCTGTACCGCAGTCGTCATTGTCGGGCCACGTGGGGTCTACGCAGCTCATTTCTTCGAAGATATTGCAATGGACCCTAGCATTGCAGACAAATATGCAGCAAACCTACTGGACCATGGCTCAAAGTCATTTGAGCCGATCAAAAACCATTTCAATGATCTTACGGGTTCGCCAGCGCCACCGGCTGCAGGACAGCAGAGAGATCCTTTCCCCCAAGTATTTATCATGAACCCAGTTAGGTCCCGAGAGGCACCTGTCGAATCGGACCCCAAAAATAAAGCTCCAGTTGATACTAGACCTGCTTCAGACATTGGATTTCGCATTGGCGAGCGAGAATATGACACGGCGTATTCGGATATCTATGCAAAAATTCGTGCAATCTGGCCCGGAATCAATACTATCCACGAAATTTCTTATTACGCACTCAATAAAGACAATACGAAGCAAAATAAGAAGACTCCCAATATACTTCCGGACAGCCAGATGCTAAGAAAAAAGGCGTTGCTGGGAAGATTCTTTTCGAATATGGTCGTAGTAAAGACAATGGAGGGGAAGTTCGGCTTTTCATTGAGAATATCAGATATCTCGAGACACGCCTAGTCTAAGTATGGCATGAATACGATCTTATAGGGGAACACGTCATTACGCAAGGGAAGGCCGAGTATGCTTTGAGATATAGTAGAGGGTTATTTTTAGATCTTAGCTAAGCGCGCGCGTCGACAATTTCATAACTCAGCTAGCCTGGTCTTTATAACCGTTCTCCTTGCACCTGCCAACTTCTCCTCCTATATCTAAACAGACAAAATTACACAAGTACTTAATTATGTCAAAGACCAATTCTTCTGAACCCCAGGCACTACTAGCCCCTCAAACTACAGTGGGAGGCCCTCCGCCACCGCCGCCGCCTTATTCTGGGAAGATCCCAGTACCCCCACCGCCAGGGACTGCCCCTCAAACCAGGCTAGTACCCCCACCGCCACCTCTTCCGGGCTCTGCTCCTGTCATACCAGGCTTATCGCGCGGGTATCGTACCCCGGCGAAAGACCTGACTGAAGCATGTCGTTCTGGAGATTTAGATCGAGTACAAGCCCTGTTTGCCGAATTTGAGGATACTGAAAGGGATGCTGATGACAATGACTTTGGCTTTCAACAACACCTTGGACTTAATCTGATAATCGCAATATCAAGAGGATATGTCGACATTGTTGCCTACTTGCTAGACCATGGAGCAGACATGAGCAACTCACCAGATTTAGCAACCCAGCACAAGGATCCGAGTATCGCAATTTCGGTCTTTAATACTCTCTTTGATCATGGGTTGGACCTTAAGCTCTATCCAGACATACTCCAGTAATAACCTTCCTAGCAGAGCCTTCAATATTATATACTAATAGGAGATAGTTCCATAGTTGAAAACGCAACTCTACTCAAGTACTTGCTCTCAAAAGGGGCAGACCCCAACGGCCTTGACGACTTCGAAATGGTCCCTCTCCAATTTTGCCAAAGCTGTATATCAATCAGAACCTTACTCGACCACGGTGCAGATATCTCACGTAGTAATCTACTACATGAGGCAACTAGTATTTCGGATGATACAGAGTGTATAACTCAGATGGAATATATACTTAGGAGAGGAGCGGATATTAATGCCCGAGCTGTATATCTAGGGACGTATGAGCCAGGCACTCGTCAATATAATAACGGGATGAGACGAACGGGGAATGAAGGTACTGCTTTGCACTGGGCTGTCCGCGGCTTTAAGACTCGCCGAGAAGTCGATTTGTTCCCTAGGGTAAAGTGGCTCTTAGAACGAGGGGCGGATAGGGAGATTAAGGATAATGATGGCCTTCGACCAGTGGACTATACACCCAATCAAGCCATGATAGATCTTTTAGGTATAAACGAAGGGCTATAGTATTAATAGAATCTGCATTTGTAATAGAAACATTATCTTAATAGTTCTCTAGTAAAGGTAAAGAGAAGATCTGTTGGAATGGACATTTATTGACAATAGTAGCTGGCCCTTCAAGTCAAGGACTTGGGGGCATATATATATATGGTAGCGTGATTTGTCAGGTAACGCATGACAAATCAGCTGACGTACAGAAATGAGAAATTGGTAAGCTGACATTGACATGGCTTTCAATAAGGTCCCTTTCTTAAACTAGATTTATAACAAGTATATTTAGATTAATTTATTTATAATCTTTAAATAAATCTAATATAATATTCATCTGGTTCCTTATATAACCTGCTATAATACTCTCTAAGAGTTCTATTTATAATTACAAAATAAACTTGACCCCAAGTTCGTTTATTTCTTTATATAACTCACTTGTATATTATAAGCCAAAATGGATATAATTACTCAAGCTTAAACAAACAAATTATATAATTAAAACTAATACTCTAGATACTACTAAGCCAATTAATTACAAATAAATACTTTTTATTATTGCATCTTTGTGACGGCTAGTGTCACATGGTTAGTTTCAGCCAAAGGGGTTGGTTTCAGCTAAGGTTCCAAGCTATGGTTCAAACCAAGCTCGCTTCCAAAGCTCGGCGTTTCAGTGGTCTTGGCCATACCTACTTATCCACTGCCACATGTCACTCCTTTCCTCCTTAGCTTTAAATTCTCAAGACATAGGAAATCATTGATCTTTGAGCCTCGTTTCATTGCTCTGTTCCTGCCGTTACAATCTTTATATATTGGTTTATAATAAATATTTGAAGTTGGGTACTTCGTCATTAATTTCGAGGTAGTTTGCTTAATCTTCCGTATTGAATTTCGAACGTAAAGCTTAACCCTTTTCGGAATTTCAGATAGAAAACTAGGCGTTTTCGAGGCTAGTATATGCAACCCCTGTCTGGAACAAAACGTAGTTGAACATCAACCTCTAAAGGACCCACTCAATACAGACCTATAAGATTACAGAAACGATGTCTACTTCTGCCCAATCTACTCAAGGCCGCAAGCCAAAATACAGCTCTCAAGTAGAGCAGCGACAAGCTAGAAACGTAAGGGACAGAGAGAAATACCGCCAAAAGCACTCATGAACCATGCTATAGCATTCCAGAATGTCTTCCAAGCAGCTCCTAGGCCGGTCCTAAATATACAAAACCCAATACAGCTCAATGATTTTCCTCCCGCTAGCCCCCATGACTTCCAGTCCCCAGCAGGTTATAATAATGGATTCGTTCCTCTGCAAATTAACGATAAGTTTAAAGGACTTCTTCCATTGCCGAGTCCATCTCTAAGTTCAGCCTCTATGGACATATCAGAGGTTGAATCTTGCAAATTGAACGTACAAGAGCTTATTCAAGAGGTAAAAGACGCCGAATTTCCGGACATTAATGACCTTTACCAAATATAGACCAATTAGAAGTCAAGAAACTCGCCGTCCGACTAGCCAATCAACTTATCCAGTTTCAAGAATACTGCTATAACTGCTATAAGCATTTCAATAAAGAACATAATAACGAGCATGAAACGCACTATATCCCGCAGACTTTTCTTAGTGAGTCTGCAGATGAAGTATTATCTGAGTATCCCGACATACTGGGTTCAAATCAAATTGCACCTCACGATAATGATCTGGCTGGATTAATTACAGTTGCACAAAAGCGCTAGATATTTAGTGGAATCTATCCGGATGGTCCTAAGGAAGCCCCCGCACATATTTGTCTCCAGGAAGAGGTTATACCATGTCAGATAGCCGAAGTGACGTTTGATGTCGAGAGCATTACTGGATTTTGTCCTAGTCTAGGAATTGCAAAGGGTGGTATGCAGTGGAATGTTATGCAAATGCCGGTTTCCGACCTCCAATCCGGTTTATACTTGGCTCGCAGGCGAGTCCAGTTTTTTGATAGCCACGGGCACTTCCAATCCGTCCGGAGACTAGTTTATGATACCCCACACTACATGCTAGGCTGGTTAATTAGCTTTGAAGATGTCTCACTCTATCTCCTCTTCCCCCGTCTCTACCGAGAAGGTCAGTAGAGTAGCCGCCTGCTTAATAATCACTTCCAGACGTGGATAGATCAGGTTCTCCTCCCTGATATATACCGTTATTATAATAGCGCTTAACGTCAATACTACCCTTCAAGCTATTATCATGGAAAGTATAACTCGACTGCCCGTGGAATTAAAGGCCTGTCCCGGAAGGTGGACGCTATATCTCGTGAGTAGCTCATTATGCATTTCGTCCTGCCAGACCAATTGCATGCGGTTTGGGAGACAATTCAAGAGACCATTAAGTAGCCTGGTCTATAGTAATTCAAAGATGTGACCAGCTTTCTGCATGCAAAGAATCTGAAGACGTTAACTAAAGATTCTACCTGGGAAGGCATAATGACTCGTTTGCAGAAGTATTGGGGGGATATAGTTAATGAGGCTTATATGTCTGCTGACTTTTACTTTAACGTCAGCAAAGAGACCTGTCCAAGATAGACCTACCTGTCGACCCAAGATATTAGCAATTCACTGCCTGCAGAGATACTCCTTTGGAAGAAGTATTGTTTAGAGAGTTACTATAACTGGTATCGGAATAGCGAGAAGTCATATCTCTGCAATCAGACGCTATACCCAATTGTTATGCTTAGAGATACCATATCTATGGGAGTCGAACCAGGCGCCAATTCGCAGCTTCGTTCCGGGGGTCTATTATACAAACAGTTTTGTAGCAGTATAAAAGAGGTATTTGCGGCTGGGAACTAATATCCTTTCACTAATAATGCTATTGAAATACTCGCCTTAGATCCGCAGTTACGGAAGACCTAGCAGCATATTGGGGCTGGCCTTAGTCATGATCCTATTACCCTAATGAAGGCATATCTCTATGCTAAAGCTCGGTGTCACTATGGGATCCAAGGATTAATGCAGAAATTATTTGGGGTTCGAGCAGAATACCGAATCTTAGTAGCCCTCTTTCATGCTATAGATTATCGATTTGAGATATTGAATTTGCGACAGCAAAGAATTGCTCCCACTGGCAATGAGCTGCCGTACGTCATGCATTTGACTGCGACGGTGCTGTCTTGGTACCGGTGGAATATTAACAAGTTCTATGTCGGGTTTGAGATGGTATATAGCTTAAGTGGGCGTTAGTGGGTGACGTGGGAGCATACGCGGATAATATTAATGTTTTTTTTCGCTGTCTTTGGTTCTCTTACGGAAACGGGCATCCAAAAGAAGCGGCTGGCTGCTGGCGGGATATTCGGTGCGCACCTAGCAGCGATGCACCAGATGGGATTTAAAAGACAGTATGGGTACCTATGGTTTTTAGAGAAGATCGACCAGGAGACTATGACTTTTAAGGCGCCTTATGGACAGTATATGCTCTTTAATAACCCGTCTATATAATACACATACCACGCGCGGTACGGCCAGATCCGCGATATTTAAGAGGACTTTATTCCGGTGAATAAAATCCAGTAGCTGATGCAGTAATTCGAGGGAATCCCTGAATGCTATAAGTTTCTCGAGGAAGCTCTCTAGCAAGTTTGCTTTTATGCGTTCCAAAAGGACGTCTTGAGTAGAGTATAAGTAGGACATATTTTGGCTGAGTAGAGTATGAGTAGGACCCACTACTCTACTCTACTCATTTGACACACTGAGTACACACCCTAGTGTTTCCGTACGAAAACCACTCAATTCCTCTACGAGAGAACCACCCCTAGAACCTACTTTCAGCGTACCATACCTGTCAATGGTCTGAAAACTCGGTTTCTCCTTCAGCATCGAGCTCGTGCGTCAGAACCATACTTACACCAAACACTTCAACACCATGACCGCTGTAGCCACTCCCACCCCAGTCATACTCGATGAGGACGCAGACTACATCCCATGGATCGAACTTATCAAGAAGGCTGCTGAGAAACACCAGCTTTGAGCTGACATCAACCCGTCTGTTCCAACTGACATCTTATAGCACTCTAATACTGTATTAGTTTGCAAGAGGCATACTTGCTTATTCTCTCCTGTTAAAGATTTCTTAATCCTCATAAAATGTTATATTAATAGTAAAAATGAGTTGACAACACGTTCCATCCGAACTATTTTGCTGTCAAATCCCAATCTACTTCAAAAACGCCAGCTATTAACACTGGATTCTAAGGTCCTTCACTCAATAGTTCACAGCTCACAGCAGACCCCCCAGCTTATCTCAAGATTCAAGATGGTACTCTGCTCCACAAGAAAGGGAGCGAGCCGAACCGTTTGAGGTCGTCATGCCAGCTATAGTTAGCTGGAGAGGCGCCTCTCCACCTTGGTGCTTCTTAAATAGCCCTCGCTCTCCAATAGCTCCCTCAACTGGCCTACCATTATACCACTGTCAGAACCCACCCCTTTGGCCCTCTCTAAACTCAGCAATTTCTGCTCCCTCTCCACTATATAAAGGCCACCCGCGCGTCTAAGATGCGAAGCACAGTAGCATCCCGACCACAAGCATTGCGCAGCCGCTGCCTTAGAGTTGTGGAATGCTCCAATTTAACACCTAGAGATTGGTTTGGCGCCGAGGGAAAAACATTTGTTTCTGCGGTTTAAGCCATTCGCGAGATTTGGTTCTGACAGAGAAGAATCCGGGAGACATTCTTTGGGTTAGATTGATGGTTAGATTGACAGCGTATTTCATCTGACCTTTCTTGTTGTCAAACCCTCACTTGGTCGAGTCAACACCAAGCACCTACTCATCACGGCTGAGCCTGCGACCGATTTTGGTAACGATGTCTCGAAACCCTATCTATCTCTTACTCTCTTTGGCGTAAAGGGGAAGCCAGGCCATGACCACCGCGCATCTTCTCATGTTGTTTGATTTCCGGTCGACTTGCTCAGAGGCCCAACGGCTTTTTATATATCACTTGCCCCTCTTTTCCTGCACGAAAAATCCTTAGGACCCTTCCAACTGAAACGTCACCCCAAAGTGATTAGCAAACGGCAAATACCGCAAGATCACAGAGACAGCGGAAGAACAACGGTACTTTGAAGTTTATATATTTATATTTTGTTGAGATCTCGATAGCCATACAGTCTCACATCGTACACAGATAGCTATCTATGTATACAAGAAGTGGAGTCGATGCATTTTACTCGCGTGCACGACGATAAACTTCAGGCCAGCTCAGATGTCCCGTCTATGCGTTTTGCCAATTTTGTCTCCCCCCTCCTCCCCCCATGCATCTTTATATTACCCTAGAAAGAGTATGCGCCAGAAAGAGAGACAGACAAGACAGGAAGGGCAAACGACAAGACGAAACAGACCATGAGCAAACAGACCAAACGCCATGCTACTGGTATATCAACTCCCAAAAACAAAGACAGACAGGTATATGTAAAGAAAACAAGCAAGCATCCAATCTAGAATCATCCAATCATACACATACAGTCTGCACTTGCAGCTCTAAGCCACAAAGCTGGGTATCCTCAACCCTCCCCTTCGTCAACATGAATCCTAAACCCCGCCTTCGTGGCACTCCACAACGGCGCTTCAGCCTGCACCTGCCGCTGCGGTTGCGTGGACGGATACTCACTCGGGGTACTCTCAGTCCCACCGTCATCCCCATCCTCATCCTCCTCATCCCCAAATCCCGCCCTCTGCCTCTCGCCAGAATGGAAGCTTGAATCCTGGACACCCTCCCACTCCTCATGCTGGCCCATACCCAATTCAACACTCCCCTCGTCGGATACATTATCAGAGTCATAATCGCTCAAAGCCCGCTCCTCGTACCCCGTCTCATCCTCCTCAAAGCCCGTCAATTCTTCAGTCGTGCTCCCTCCACCTTGGTGCTCATGCTCGCGCGCCTCATCTGCACTATTATCCTCGTCTTCGTAGATGCCTATCCCGCTTCCGCTGCGCGGTCGCTCGATGTACGGTGCGTTGGAATGCGGCGTTGCGTAGGCGAAGGGCGTCATGCCCCTTTCTTTCTCTCTTTTGTCACCTCGTTGACCACCACCTCCACCTTGAGCTTGGGCAAGCTCGTCGTGGAAAGTGAATGGGGAGGGAGGACCGACGGACCATCGTGGTGTATCTACTGCGCGGGAGGGTGAGCGGGTACGGCGGCGTTTGAGATTCGAGTTGAGAGTGAGGTTTAAGTTGGAGGTTGAGGCGGAAGGACGGGTTGGCGAGACAGAGGTCGAGTGCTCGAAGGATGCGATGCGGCGTTTACTTGATTGGATTTGCGAATTGGATAGCTTGAGGGCGATGGTTGTCGCCGTTGGCATCGAGGTCGTGCGAGCGTGTATCGGACGGAAAGGGTTCCTCTCCTTCAGTGGGGAGAATGATGGGTTCGTAGGCGGCGCGATGGAGGTTGGTGTTGTCGATGCTCGAGGTGAGATCGGCGCAGATGAGAAATGGTCAGATGGAGAAGCGGGCTCGAATTCTTCGGCTTCTTGCGGCGGGGAGCGGATGCCGAGGGAGGAGAAGGAGGAGTGGATGCTCTCTTGGGGCGGATCGAGACGCTCGTCGTATTCCCAGCAGGGCTCGTGGGCGTCTGCCTCGGGGGTGTGGGAGAAGGAGGGGCGGTCAGGGTAGACTCGGGGGAGTTGACGGAGCTTTTGCCAGGTCCAGTCAGCGTTGTCATGCCCGAGGTGTTGGATGTAGCTGTCACGGTGGGTGACATAGAGACGGGGTTTCGTCTTGTGTCTCATTACAACGCTTGAGGTCAGGAAAGGTGTCGTCCACAGAGCAGGTGTGACCATCTCGGATGGGTTCAAGAATCGAAGACATGAATCCTTGTGCAACTTTCGAAGTGGGATCCATGAATAGTGAAGCCCAAGATATTTCTTCAAGGTCTTGGGTACCGCGCCAGCGTTTTGGTCCTCACGTTGAGTGTAAGGATCCTCGGCGAGAATATCAGGAAGATCTCCAAACGCCGTCAACATGGCAGATTGGACATCCCTGGCATCAGGCCCGAAAACCTGGATCGCCTTGACAAGTCCTCTGCTGCGAAGCCTTTCATCAACTCGTGACCGAAGAGCGCAAGCCTTAGCCATCAACCAAGTAGTATCTTCCTGGTCACCGAGATTCATGGCCGAGTTCTCCCAGGCAGAAGCCTGATCATGAGCAGTGAGACACGCCTGTGCTGCAGCCATCGAATGTTGCGTCTGGGTCCACTCATCCATCGCCGTGCTGTTTAACCTGGACCGTTGAGTCATGCTGTGCTGTGATGACCAGGTGCCCATGAGTTGAGTCCCAAAGGGTAGGAAGACGACTTCCACTTCCCAGGGTCGGGAGTGTGAAGGCAGAGCCGAGGCTTGAAGTTCGGCGACTTGAGCCTCAAGAGCCTCGACTCGAGAGACGTCGAAACCATCAATAATAGCGGCTGCAATCATCGCGGATGAGGTGACTGATGCCCCAGAATTGAAAGAAGTATTAATAACCTGTCGGCTACCGACACTGCTGGCGTCGTTAATTGCAGCTTGGCCTTTCTCTAGCTCCACAACTCGTTCCTCGAGGTCGCAGACCCTGTTATCAATGCGTTCATCAGTTTCCTGGAGTTCCTCGATGGCAGCATTTGAGAATGATGCATTCTCCAGTAGATCCAGGCGTTGTTCATGATTTTCAATCTTTCTTGGATAATCTGCTAGATGGCTGACAATATGCTTGAGTCGAGGAACCAGATACCCTTCCTGGGTCTGGTTTGGCGCAGTGAGGGAATCTAGTTCAACAGGGACTGAACCAGATTGCTTGATATGTACCTGAGACGGTAGGTCTTCCTTGGTGATTGGCCGCAAAGCTACGGCAGTCTGAGGCTTGTCCTCCATAAGCTTGTCGAGAGCATCCTTCACGCTTTCAACGTTCTTGCCGAAATCAATATCGGTGTAAGGGCCCTGGGACGCTCTCGCACTTGGAGTTGCCACTTCAGTGAGGCTCTGGAGAAATCCATTCCCATGGGCGTCCTCGTAGATCTGCATTTTCCTGCCACCAACCTCTGCAATTTTTTCTGCAGCTGTGGTGGTATGCTCCGGTATGCGATCCAAGGTCCCGAGTCCAAGTCCTCCAAATGGTCGATGCAATGCAGCCTGGCTGCCAGAAGCCATAGATCCATTGTCGGATGGTAACAAGCACTGAGACGGGATAGCTGGTAAGCCACCCAAGGAAGATCCAGAATGTATATACCGGCTCCACTGAAGTGTATCCGGGATATTGAGTTCCTGCGGGAGCTGGAGAGCTGAACGTTGATCCTGAATATCGCCCTGTCCAACCTCTTGTGGAGTCCGCGGCATAGTCGACAGCCTCGGTGTCCTATCTGTCATTGTAACATCGCCCGATACCTGTAATTGTCCTTCGGGAGCAGCATCATGAAAGCAAGCATGATGCTCACACATACAAAACCCCGACCTCCCCCTCCCATCCCTCTGCGACCCCGCCTTATCCCAAAACCGCCTGCACCCACAGCGCGGGGCATTTCCCCCAACGTTCAAATTCGTAAAATTGCATCTCCCGCTTGGAAGCCCCTCTTCCTCATCATGATGTACATTCGTATTCGCATATCGGTTCAAGAGTGGAGTGTTGGGGACAGTAGGTGGTTCAGCCATGGACAGTCAGATCAATGGTTTGCGGACAGACAGACGTCAGGTCCGGATCGCAGGTCAGGTCAGGTCGGGGAAGAGGACGAGGGTTGGAGCCTCTCTCAGGTCCGTATCGCATTGAGGGCGTTCGCGGTCGCAGTCTTGGTCGAGGTCGGGGTCAAGGCCGAATTATCTAAGGCGGTGCGCTGGCAGGCCGGCGGCTACAGCATCCAGGTGGCCGCAACGCGACCTCGAGCATTGAAGTATCGCGATTGCCCTATCAAACAAAGACGGAGACTCGTAATTGGATTTCAGACGCGCGCTCGGGGACGACAAAGCAGACGACGCGTCGCAGGCGTGTAGTATTATAGTGCTTGCATTGCAGACCTGAGGCCCGTCAGTTGGGGTCCTGGCCTCCATTTTATATTCCCAGGCAGCGAGGGCACTAACCTCCGTATTCACAGCAAACGAAACTCCTCTCAACGCAATGAAATTCGTAAGTCGTTAATTTGATGAAAGGATGATGGATTTATAGGAAATGGGTTGGAGGAAGGAGAATAGGCAGGGAGCTTCGACGGAGCAGCCGCACGTCTAGCTGCTAGGTCGCGTGGGGAGGAGGGGGGACAAAAGGAATAAGAGAAGATTGAGCTTCGATTCGAGGAAACGTGAGGTTCGAGATGACTCCTCTCGATCCTTGCTATCGCTGCCCATTGGCGCTGCACTAGCAGGGAGACGCATCCGATTCGTTTTAGAGTTGTTGTGTTTGACTCGTTTGCTCGGAGTATTTTTGGCTTGTGATGCAGGTGTGCCTAGAAGACGAGGCGGTGCATCCGGCTCGGGTCGCCTTCCGCTACCTCGAGTTTTGATTGGCAGAGAGCGGGGAATTGGAACAGGCAGGGGGCTGTGGACAAGCTGTGTTGAGGTGACGAAGAAGTCACACTGACAATTGCCTTACAGTTGCCTTCGCAGAAAATTATTGAAGGTGGGTTGCGGATGAAGGCGTGCTTGAGACTATGACTCGAAATTTGGTGGTACTTTTTAGCCTGGACGCCTTGTTTGGGATTGGGCAATTGGGGTTGGAGGAGGGGTGGGGGAGTTGCGAAGCTTGGTTGCCTTCGGTGTTATTGGGCAATTAGAGTTGGGACAGAATTTGAGGAGGGGTAGCAGGAGATGTGATGGATCATTGAGATGATTGGGGATATAATATTACTTTCATTGAACCTAGTCTGCTCAATACATTATTCCTTAGCCCGAACTCACCTAGCAATTGAAAATGTGGAACCTTATTTATAAGCACAGAGGCTCCCTATGGCCATCGAAAGGCGAAATCCATTGTCAGTAGCCTTTGCTGTTAGAAGGCAACACTGAAGATCTAAATAGTACACTCTTGCGAGCAACTGGTAACTGCAAACAAGTGAGAAATTAGCTTTTGAAGCTTTGTGTACCACAGAACCTGCACTAGACCCCCTAAGTTACCGCGAGTTCTCCGAAATCATTGAGGATCGTCATGGCTGATGTGCTCAGGACGAAACAGTGGATAAACCTGGAGTACATACGACCAGACCGCGAATTTGGCGATGAACGTAAACAACGATCTTCCCCATAGCTACTAAACTGTTGAAAACACATGCCTGCCGTCTTTCCTTATTGATAAGGGACGTCAAAGAATTAAGTTGGGATCAAACTTCTTGCCTTTTCCTTAGCCGACCACTTGACTATGAAAGTCTTGTCTTGGCACTTGCCACATATCTACTGTAGAACCGAACGAAATTCGAAGACTCATAGAAAACTACTCCAGGCAGCAATTTAAATGGCGTCGTTCCTGGGGAATTAGAGTACCGCACGCAAATCAAGAAATCGAGCCTTCGGTATTATCCCCAGCGGTCCCACAACTCCTTCATACGCCACATCCTGCACACTTCCCCAGTTCCCATTTCCTCGTCCGGTCCAACCACATCCCACCTTCCGCCTTCTCATCCCCCCGTATTATCAACCCCATATCTTCCATTCAATGCTGTGGACGCGCAGCTCTACGCTTAGCGAGCGCTCGAGAAATGCACAGGGCGAGCAGACCAGCAGCGACGACGAACACAACGCAGAAGACGACCATGACACCTGCTTCGCGGGCGGCCCAGTTCTTTCGCTTCATGAGGACGTGGTTGACGGCATCGCGAGCTTCGAGAGGTGTGAGGGCGGCCATTTTTTGGACTGTGGAGTAGTTAGCCGGATACCATTAACGGTTTTAGGCATTCGGGAATGTGATGGGGGAAATGCAGGTAAAAGGTAAGCAAGTATTGCTAGCAAAATTTCGGAGGAAGTGCCTGTGTACAGTTTGAAGAGAAATTGGTTGACGCGGTCTTGTGTTGCGCGTGAATTGAGCCTCGGTGAGGGGTATCTGGTGGGATGGAGCTTACAATTGTGTAGCTTCTTTCTTCGAAATACTTGACAAGATGGACGAATAGCTGCAGAGAAGAAAGCTCTCGAAAGTGTCTATGTTTTCTCTTTATTAGCTTCGCGTTCTGTTGAGGCGTTTGATAAGTCCAGCTTTCAAGGTCCCGCAATCACTCGTACCGAGCTGCAAATTGTGCAAGAAAGTCGTCAGAGGGGAAGAAAAAGCTTCCCTAGGAAAGACTCGACGGTGGTTCTCGTTCTGGAGGGAAATCAAGAGTTTTGACGTCTTGTATGCTGTCGAGATGGCCGTTTGTTGCGATCATTGAGCGATCAAAGTGACCTGACCTGCCCCCCCCCGCGTGTTGATAAGACCTCGTCACCTTACATGTGCCCATCTTCCTCTTTCTCAATCGTGTTGAAGAAACCAATTGGTACTTACAGAGCAACTTCCACGTATCCAAAGAACGATTGTACAAAGATGCGACGTCGACAGAGAGGGACGATCGAGGTTGTGGACGTTGTTCAACTTGCGGAGAGCTCGAAAAGCGGGAAAGCGCGCTAGTGGGATGCGCTTGTCTGCTTCGGGACTGGGTCACGTCAATCAATGTTTTTCGGCCCCGTGCCAAACGAAACTTAATACGTTGATTGGCGAAATTGTCTGGGGGTGGGGCTGTCGGATTTAGCGATGTGGAGTTTGACTTTCGAGGCAGAGGGAGCTTCATCTTTCATCAACGATTTTCAGTATTCTTCATCTTCATCTTCATCTTCACCTTCGTCTGGACGTTTTTCTTCGCCTGCCCTTGGAAACATGTGATAATTAGAGATGCTTGAACATTGGCGCCAAGCCAGATCTACAAGTCTTCAGCCAGCCAAGTGGACGAATGGTCTTGTCTTTCTTGTCGCCAATGGACGTGTTCTACCTCTCAGAGGAAGTGGCACTCTTCGGCATCCAGCGTAGATCGGCAATTTTCAGAACGTCTTGACATCCTCCAACCTCTTCCCAAGAACCTTGCACGAACTTGGGAGGAATGCCCGGTTCCCACGCGTCTAAGGTCGATAGTTTGTCCAAACGCGGACCTTCTCCTGTTCCCATGTTTTCTATATCGCCGTGTTTCGCATCCGTGAAGGATGATTTGATTCTTTTCGTTGAAAGCCAAGCACGTCCGGGGTCAGTGCTCATGGGGTGAGGGTTTGTCAGCCAGAGGGTTTTCGCGTGCTCATTCCCCCATTCAATGAGAGATTGGCCGTTCTTACCATTTCAATATATTGTGTCCTAATGGCTCTGGACTTCTTCGGCTCCTCGACCACACACCTGCCTCAAGCTGACGATCTGAGATCCGCATTGGTGGGGGCCGCTGATTCTTGGCAAGCTGATCTGAATGGCTAGCCCTCGAAAGCAAACCTATGTGGGGGCTATCATTTCTACGTTTCCCTGCTCGCGAGGCTGAGAGAACAATTTGTGTGATGCTTCTTCTTCACAGAGAATGGCTTGAGAGTCCGTTCGTCTCCCCGCCTTGTTCTTTTAATCCTCAGTACCTGCGTCACGTGTAGCTCCTCACATGACGTCAATATCAGCTTATATCGCCACCTCGAAAACGCATACAACTGCTCAGGACAAGAATTTTGAACCTTCAGCTAATGTTGACACTCGACCAAACAGTTGAGACGACACATGGATTTTTTCGCACGTGATGTACTCACTATCTTCGACTTTGAAAGTCTCTGGAGGAGCTTGGGAAAAGAAAGGTTCAGAACTAGGAATATGCTGGAATTATCAAAAAAATTATTGCTTTTGGCTGGCAGAATACTTACATGCACACTCGGCAGAGTCAGAAAACCCATCGAATGGCAGCAGCAACCGATACACCCTCTTCAAAATTGGATGGACCAAAGAGAAGGCCTCGCTGTGCTTCAGGAACGCGGCCTACCTCCGTACCTGACGCCCTTGAGTCACGAAACGACGCGGAAAGCAGATACGAGCAATCGGACACCGGAACAAGCAGATCAAAGCCGGTCTACTTGATTATGGTGACAAGTAAATTGGAGTTCGGACGGGAAAATTCGAAAGCTTACCCGGAACAGTCGTGAGGCTGCGTGTGGAGTGCTTGTTTCGATGTGATCCAGTTCGGCTGCCAGTATCAGAGCAAGGATTGGCATGAACGATAATGGGGGGGTGGGGGTGACAGTGATGCTGTGATATTCTTGGATCACTGCAAGGCTTGACCGAGAAGGCTGATAGGAAGCCTCCTTTTGACATGCAGAAAGCTGGCAACTTTTCACCATAAATTAAGCCTCAAAGAGGCTCGATTACATGGTTCCGTTCCCAATCGTCAGGAACCGGCCCCGCTTACGTAGTGGCGATTACCTGAATCCCCCTGTTATCCATGATCATGCAGTATCAACGATAGAGAATTGAGCAAAATACCTCAGGTTTGCGATCATGCCAATATCAGCCCTGAGTTCCCTCTCCTGTCTCGTCCACACGTGTGTTGTAGTGATCGTTCACTCGCTAAACTGGCTGCTGGCGTTTCCACACCGCCTGCGCGTCCTGGGATGCTCTCGGTGTTGCTTGCTGCAGCCTGCAAGGCTCTCGGTCCCCAGTCCTGCTAGGAAGTGATCTCTCAAAGAGCTCCGGCAACCAGCATCAACACCAGCAGCATCGATCGATACGCATCTCCCGTCGAAGGCCCAGGCATCACTACGGTCGACGCCCGGAGGTCTCCACCGAAGGCGCTTGGTTGCAGTCTGCACTCTGTAGAGATGTTGGATAGTGTAGCGTGGTGTGCGGGCTCCAGGTGCACCGTGGACTAGTTCTATTTACCAAGGTAGCACGCTTTCAAATCATCGATTCCATGACTCTATGATTGCCCAGAACTCTCTAGCCCCCCCTCCACTGGCCCCCACTAACTCCAGCTGCTGCCAATCGCTGCCTGTCATGCGCCTTGCGAGAGCAGCCATTTTGAGCTTCCCTTCCTCCCTTGTTCCTCAGTTGCACCCGAACCACCGGCTCGTGTCGCGCGTCCACGACTCCACGGCCGTTTCTCTGCACCAGGGCGCGATTGCGTGCTGGCCCACGGAAAGGTCCAAAATACACCAGCCTCAACAGGGGCAAGCTTGGAGATCTACAGGGATAGCTCGGCTGAAGAGTGCAGACCCATCGAAACCCGCTGCCCAAGTCCGATGGCCGAGATATACCCTGGGTGCTGGTGTCATGGAAACGTCCCGCTCCTCGACTTTTAATCTGATTGATATCCATTAGATAAACCCCCCTCACTCGGTATACACTTGTGCCCTTATCCACCGCTCTCCTACATGACCTGGTCACTCTCATGGCGCCTGCCAGCAGCGTTTTCAGAATGATCCGTAAACGCAGATTCAATTTTCGTTCCATCTGAGCTGCTCCTACGAAACATTGAAGACTGCGTGGAAGAAACCACGGCACCAGCCCTCCCAGAAATAGACACCAACAACTTGGCGAAAGGGCTATAGAAGATATAAACTCCTGTGGTCGGTCTGACTCTTCTGCTTGCTGCTCATGCTGGCCTTGCTAACTCAGTCTCAAGATCTTTACTTCATTTCGTTTCTAAACTCCGAGTGCTAAGCTCACCAGAGCTATCCATACATATATATTGGACGCGAGCTCAGCCTCGTTTTCGTCCGCATCTTTTCAATACATACACATCTTATACTTCATCACACCATGGCGCTGGACCACCCAGTACAGAACAGCGAGGTCTACCTCCTGGGCTCCTGCCACGCCCCTCACATCCCGCCGCCCTCTCCTCCTTCACCCGCTACACCATGCGAAGAGCTTTCCTCCGGCTTGGATGGCCTAATGTCCATCACACCCCCGGATCCAGTCAACTCCTGTCCAACCTTCGGACAACGCCTCTCGAACGCAGTTCACGTCCTGGGCACTGAGGCTACCGCCCTCTCCTGCCTCACACGCCTGTATGAGACGGACCCTGTCGCCCGCGGCGGCTTCAACTCTGCCGTCTCAGCGATCACGCGCTTCAAGGGCGACAAAGGTAAGCTTGTCATCTGCGGCGTCGGGAAGAGCGGACACATCGCCAAAAAGCTCGTAGCAACAATGAACAGCCTCAAGATCCACGCCACCTATCTCCATCCTACGGAAGCTCTGCACGGAGACTTAGGCAAAGTTGGAAAGTACGACACGATCCTGCTTATCACTTTCTCTGGCAAGACGCCAGAGTTGCTTTCCCTGCTTCCGCATTTCGACACCTCGTTGCCGCTAATTGTCTTGACGTCCCACACTCACCCCTCAACCTGCGAGATCGCTAAGCATCGCCCAGATACGATTTTGCTTCCAGCACCAATCCACAAATCCGAGACAGATTCATTTGGCTTTAATGCGCCTACGACAAGCACAACGATGGCGCTTGCACTCGGCGATGCCCTCGCGGTTGTCATCTCAAACGAGCTACACATCAACGTGCAAGCCGTATTCTCGCAGAACCACCCCGGAGGCGCCATCGGCCAAGCTATCCCCAAGAAACTCTCCGATCTCGTCATCCCCTTGACTGATATCTGGGATGTCGGCAACAGCGTTGACGTAGTAACAGGCGCACACGTCTTGATGAGCGCGTATAAGAGCAAGACGCATTGGGTCAGGGCCGGTATGGATGTTGTCATCCCGCCCAGGAGAATCAAGAGGCTGGGCACGGGTGATATGGATGAGCCGGCGATGTGTATCCCGGGCCTGGCGGTGCCGTGTCGGGAGTGGATTGAGATTCCGGGGCAGACGGAACTCGCCCAGGCGAAGGAGTTTGTTAAGGCGAAGAGGAGAGAGGGGGATAGCAGGTTCAGCGATGATTCGATTTTGGTTGCGGTGGTGGAGAGCGAGAGGCTGGGTGTTATGGAGGCGGGGGAGTTGATGGGTTGAGATTTTCTTATGTTCTCTCTCTCTCTCCCACTTCCTCTCTCGCTTCTATCACAGCTCTCATCTCATCGCGATTGAATTGAGAACGCATTTTCTGGGCTTGTGTTAAACTTTTAAGGCGTTCACAGCATTCGGCGGCGAAGTGGCTAGAGCAGCCAACTTCAAATCATGTATCTCTTTCTGTTTCGGATTTCATCTCGTCCCATGGAGGCAAGACTTGTGCATTATGTTGGAGGAAAGAGTCATTTGATTTTGGGCAACGAAACAGCATTGGAATGGGTATGGGCTAGATGGAAGGGTGGATAGAATAGATCTGCCGTTTGAATGAATCATGATTGTATTGCTTGCTTGCTTGCTGTGGCACAGCATTCGCTCCCACAACTTTACTCTCCCTCCCTGAAATACCAGCGTGCTTTTGCGCAGATTGCCGTGGACAGTTCTAATTTGCTGTACTAGTACTCCTTTCCTTGGATTCCTTTCCCCTATCTTGGCCCCTTTCCCTCGCTATTTCACTCCGAAGTGGGTCAAGACAGGAGTTCCACTCTCCACGCCACTCCCGCCCCCACCCTCTCTTTCCTGCACCTCCCTTCCCTGCCCGTCAGAGACAAAACGAAACTAGTCCCCCAATCGAAATCTCCATATAATCCGGGCCTAGAGCCTCAACTCGGCAATCATCCATCTTGTCACCACTTTGCAGCCTCCCTGGACCACGCGTCCGGAGATCAAACGTTTCTACCCACTCTCTCGGCCCGTTGACCTCTGAACTTCCCAGCTCCATGCATGTACGACCTCCACTCCCCAGCCTCAGCTGCTCGAAGGAAGATAAGAGATGACAAGAGATCTACAGTCTCAGAGTGCGAATCGGTTCTCCACAGCTGCGAAAAGAACTTGGCTTCACTTGCCAGTGGGTGGAGAACAGGAGTATGAGAGGGAGCATCAAACACTGGATAAACGCCAAGAACTTCATATCCACTTCACTCATGATTAAGTCTAATTTTGGAATTTGGAAGGGGCTGGAAATGAGCATCACGTGCCAGTGATAAGCGGGTGAAACGGCGGGAATTCGAGCGGACTCTTCTTGTCTTACCGGCGATCGACCTTCTCAGTTTTTCATGGACTCGATATCAATAATGTTCAAGGATACTGTATGTTCTTTGGCAGAGCTTATTTCCACACACTCCCTGGGAAGCGAAAGGAGGACAATTAGGGGAAGTCTTGGCATCTCACCACGTGCGCGAGGCATTGGAAGCTGCCGTCTCTCTCCAGCACAACTCCAACCTCCGAGATCATCGATCTTCATTTCCTGTTATTTCGGAGTTGGGAGATATCAGTGATATAACCTCCCTCTACTCCTCTCATCTCCTTACCTTCCACCTTTTCCTTCTCATCGCGCTCTCCCTTTCGCGTCAAAAATTTTCTCTTGCGAAGAGTCCAAGCCACACCCGCGATTTGGAATCACCACCAGGCATCTGCTTACCTTACAAATCTTCACCACGCAAACCACTCTACACAGCCTCAAAACTTCACCATGCGTTCTCTCATCCCCTTCTTCGTTTTGATTTTGCTGGGTGTGAAAGCGCATCCCCACGTCTCAAATCCGCACCAAGTCCTCTTTCCAAATCAACGCAATGTTGACATCGACTTGTTGAATGAGGGAGCAGGGTTTCGGAGATCAGTGCATACCACCGAGCTCATGGCTCTCGCTACTGCCGGGGCGGGCCGAGGTGGCCCTGCGTGATACAGTAATTTGATAATGGTTAAGGTTTGGACGTGAGATGTTTGACGTCATGACAGCTGGAGCTGGAGGTTGTGGCTGTGGCTGTGAGCAGGCGATTTGAATTGATTACAATGCATACGTCGGACCTCATCACCCACCCATCCCATATAAACAGCTCTTCACCACTACTCGCCACTCCTCACTCCTCACCCATCACACCAGATTCCAATCTACATCAAGAAAAAGAAGAGAGAAAGCAAGCAAGACACAATGGAACCGAAAGAACCACCACCACCATACCAAGAGGCCTCGTCCTCGTCCTCGAAACCAGCACACCTCGAGGTCCCGCACAAGTCAAGAAACGGCATCCCACCACACATCCGGCGCTCCATGGAAGACGAAGCCCGTCCCCTCCCCACCGGTTGGGTGCGGCAACTCGACGCCAAGACACAACATCAGTTCTTCGTAAACACCACCACTTCGCCTCCCAGTTCGATCTGGCACCATCCATACGACGACGACGCCTATCTGTCATCATTGACGGAGGAAGAGCGGGAGCGGGTTAAGGGTCTGCATCGCGTGCCCACGCACGCCGATATCGAAGCCGAGAGCTCCGGCAACGATGATGATCATCTTCATCACGTGGGGTCAGGGGTGGGAAGAGAGGAGGAGCCGAAGGGAGTGCACAAGTTAGGCAGGAGGATGAAAGACAAGATCACCAATTCTACACATCAAGAAAGGGAAGCGCGACGGCGGCAGAGAGAGGAGGAGGAAAGGCAGGCTTATAAGCAGCATTTGCATGTTCGGGAGCAGATGGCGAGGGCGGCGGAGACGGGCACTCCGCAGTTGCTGGGGAAGGATAAGGAGGGGAGGGATGTGTATGTTGAGCCGCCTGCTTATGGTGGTGGTTATGGGGGGTACAGTGGTGGGGGGTATGGCGGAGGGTATGGGTATAGTCCGTATGCACGGGGAGGTGGGCCGTATGCGGATCCTAATGCGAGGTTTATCAGCCCGCAGGCACCGTATGCGAGGCCTTATGGAGGTGGGTATGGAGGCGGGTATGGGTTGCCCCTGCTAGGGTTGGGAGGAGGGTTACTTTTGGGGGGTTTGTTGTTCTAAGTAAAGTGTCTGGAGATGTGCATTGGAGTTGGGGAGTTTGAATAAACTTTTGTATCAGTATTAGAATGATAGGAGTTGCAAGAAGAGATGTAAAGTCTAGATTTCATTCATGCAAGCCATCGTTTACCGACAAATATACAGTTTAATCATAACCATGCGTGTGCAGCCTTCTCATCATCATCTCATCATCTATCTCATCTATACCCTCTACCGTCCTCATCCCCTTGTATCAACTCTATGCCAGTACATCCCAGCCTGTGTATCTCCTCCCTAATATCACCGTCCAAACCCTCCCCCCGAATCTCTCCCTTCACTCCTACTCAAAGCCCAGACCTCACAGCTTCGCCTTCTCCCCAACCGTGCCAACCTTAAGCCGCTCACTATACTTCTTCAACACCCCCTCATTATGGTATTTCCAGAACTGCTTCGAGGCGTCCTTACCCGCGACCCGCTTCAACATCTTAGCACCACCAGGATGTTCGTCTACAAACCCTATCCACCACCAACATTAGCACGAGCGCAGCGAGAACGGGGGTTTGGGGGCTTGCCCCCATGATTGACCGAAAAATAGGAAGGAAGGGGAAAGGGGACAAACCGGCAACATCGTACACGTTCTCGTCGATTATGATGTACATGCCGCTCTCGGCATCTTTGTGTGTCGCTACGTCGGCGACGGAGAAGGATTTCGACATCTTGGTTCCCTCCTGGTGTCTATTCTCCGCTCTCAATGGATTAGAAATCGCGGCTCGATTTGTTGTTGACTTTTGTGACGGGAGTGGGATGATGGGTTGGAGGTGAGGAACTCTGGTTTGAGGCGATGATGATGGCAGGTGAGAGGAGAGGTGGTTAGAAGAGGAGAATTGAGTTGGAATTAGAAGTGGTATGGCGAGGAAATGAAGGAGGTGGTGGAGAGGAAGAGGTGAGATTGGGAAAGAAAGTAATCGGAAGTCGCGCGGCCCAGGATTTGGACCTCGGCTTGGGGTCAGCGGGGATTGAGGGGTTGTGATTGGTTGGGAGATGGGTTGACAGCAACGTCAACGTCAACTTTTCCATCATAGGCCTCTAATAAACGTCATTTGGCAAGTTCTGGGACTTGTTGCTCGCCTCACTTGCTTACCTCCCTTTCGCAACCCTATTCACTGCTGGAGCCTCGCTGTGGAAGTAGAGGCGGCCACTATTTTGCACTATCCTCGATAATTCCTGCTTAGTTTAATTTCTGTACCTAATCTTCGGATGATATTTGCTGTCAGAAGAACACTTGCTGGAACGATTGAAGTTTCCAGTGCCGAGGAGTGAACCCCTTTGTTAGGACTTGACAAACTCAGCTAGATGGCTGCTGTGCTGTGACAACTCGCTCGAAGATGCCTCGGCTTACACTTACTTACCTATACCCGCAGCCTCCTCTGCTGGGCCACAGTCACAGTTCTCTTCAAACCATGGTGGATTAAGCAATTCTTTCTAAATGGTCGACCGTTGAATATTGGCCAGCTAAGAAGAGGAAATTTGAACTGATTTCAAACATTTCTTCTCTCGAACTCAGTTACTTACTAAGCACCATGTAGGGACTGGGCAAGGGCCACCCGGAAAGAAAAAGATGGTTCAAAGAGGTTGATTGGCTCACCTAATCAAGAAATTCGAGGAAAATCGCCTACCGCTACCTTGGAACAGACAATTCCTGAGCTGGAAATGTGCACATATGTAATCCCTTCGCCGTTGTTTGGTATTCAACCACCATTGAGTTTACTTTTCGCGGATGTTCGAGCCGCAAACAATCTCGAAGTGCTATTTGGCGGAGTCTGCACTATGGCGATGAGAGGTAGACTTGCGCTTCGTTTTCGCGGAGCGTTAGGAAGACAATGGCGGAAAATCCGATGCTGACAGCAAATACCGACGGTGATAATGATCGGATGGTACTATTGAAACTGGATCTTTGTGTCTTTGAAACTAGAAGCTGTCTGCATGTTTCTTCAAGAGAAGTGAAAGAAAGAAAACAGTTTTGTTGGCTGGAATAAAGTTCTGACAGCTGTGGGGTATTACCACGGAGGCAAGATGAGCTCGGATTGTTGCCTTGATAACTGGGAAGGGGAGGGGTATATATACTTGGTTGTACCCAAGCTTGCTCGCTGTCCTCAAGTTCTTGGTGATTCGGGTTGTCGAGCGGACTTTCCAGTGCAAAACTATCTCCCTTGAATAGTCCTCCCGCAACTATCTCTTAGCACGAGGCAGCAAATAATGATCCGTAACCCCTTTCAAATATCGAGTGTGGAAGGCTTGATAGTGAGTAGTATAAATCCACCCACCTGGTAAGTAAGTATGGTTCTGCCAACCCTCCGCCAACCTCCGACCTCCTCCCACAGACCAAGCTGACTGGCAGTTGATGACGGGTCTTGTCTCTGCACCAACTTCGGCTTCAAATTTGAATATCGCCAAAATACCACTTGAGGATTCCATAACATAACAACTTTTTGGTGTGGGCAGGGTCTCCGTCATCAACGAACCCATGCAAGATCTCGACTAACGGTCATGTGTCAGCTCCAGTTCTCAGCTTAGTGAAGTTGAACCACCCAGCAAGCCGGCTGATGATTTCCAATGCATGACCCAAAGATACGGTCTCTGGCTGAAGGGTCCGTGACTTCTGTCCTCACTGCTGCATTGTCAGACATGTTTCTGCTGTCCCTGGGCTGACAGATTTGCAGCGAGAATGAAGCCATGGGAGCAAAGCAGGTCTCCAAAGATCATATGGTTCAAAAGCGAAGATCCCGAAAGTACCTACAGGGTACCAAAACATTCAGGTACATTGAAGTGCAGTAAGGTGATCCTGAATTATCTGCCGTCTTCCAATCTCTGCTTTGATCTCATGTGTATGCCGGTATCGACCGCTGACAGCGGGATGATACTTGGCAATAAAACGATAGCTAACAATGAAACGATCTGGAGCCTCTTCCAGAGCTTCAGAAGCCAGAAACCCACACACTGGGCGGTTTCTTATTCATCCATCTTCCCCTTTTAGTCATCCAGGAGGACACCTTAGTCAAAGATTGAAGGCTGTTTTGCGCAATTTCTGTAAGGAAAGGAAATGCATGAGATTTCCTGGATGGAGGACTGACTCTTCACATAAAGTTGTCTGATAGAACAAAAGTAAATTCATTCGGGTCCTTGTCCTCAGCCGTTTTGGTACTTTGAAGAATTTGACATTGTCGTTGATCATTCTGGAACATTCATTCAGTTTTGGGAAATGCAGTCAGAGTGGAGTCTCAATGTTCCCGGCAAGTTTGGTACATTCGTACATTCAGGACAGAGATCTGACTTCCTGGTCTTGACTGAGCCTTCAGTTCAGTTGGAGATGAAAATCAAAGCAGAACGACATTATCTTGAATGAACACTTGACGCATAAACGAGTCTCCAGCCCTCGATTCTACGAGAACTGAATTTTAACCTCGAACACCATTTTTTCGCGGATTTGGTGGTCAAAATAGATGTGACAAGATCAACCACGTGGCAGGTGCACGCGCTGGCTGCACGCTGCTCGAAGGGATCACAGACACCACTTGACTGCCTCCTCTCTCGACTCCATCACAGGCAATCGCCGTCCTGCGCCCCCAAGGCTTCCGTCGCTGCTGCTCGATTCCCATCGAGAACCACACTCATCCAATGGACGTCCCACGCCATGTCATTCTTCAACCGTAAGAAAACTCAAAATTGCGCGGACGCGGCCTCTCATCCGCCTCAACCGAGCCTGAAAACCAGGCATCATCGAAGGACTTGCAACCATCTCCACTGCCAACGCAAAGGACCAAGCAAGCCAACACCGGCTGTTCTGCCCGCAGGCAACGTCGCCTGACCCGAAGCGGTCGAGCGAAACAAAGGAAAGAAGATTGCGCCTGCGGATATGAGACGTCGGGACCGCGCTAGCCATGTTACGAGGCTACCTGAACGTGACGTTGTCCTCGCCTCTTGAGCTTGGGCAGGTTTTTTGCAAGGTGAAGAAGACGAATTTTTCGAATTTTTACATTATCAAGACACGATAGACGCTCGAGAAACCATCAGTTTGACGGATCTGTTGAAAGGAGAAGAGAGCTTTTGATCTAGATTTCTTAACGGAGCAATATCAGATGGCTTTCTCGTGGAAGTACCCACAGCATGCTCATCCATCGTACTGGGGACCTGTGACGGCGCAAGCAAAGTAAGACCCCTTTTCACGGAATACATTCAAAAGAGGAATGCTAATACCCCGTTTAAATAGCTTTTGCGAAGAGGTAAGCTTGTCCCCGTTGAGAGAGAGGGTGGGATGTTGCTTTGGGAGAGTGGGACTGATATCTTCGTCCAGGACTACATTCTCACCGGATACATCGCAGAAGTCATCAATACGGCGTCTAATCTCACCTATCGTACGCCTTCTCTCTTATCCCACCCTTTATCTTCGGCTTCCTCATATTTTGCTCAAAAATATCAGATCACGTGATACGACTATGGTCTTCGTCACGAGACTTAAAAAGCCAAAGAGGAAGAACTGTTTACTAACTTGAATACCTAGTCCTCTATGCCTACCACGGCATAAAGTCAAATGCAAATCACAAAGATGCAATCTTTCGAAACCTCCCCTATCTCGGCATAGCAGGCGTAGGCATCGGCTCTTCAATCTTCCACGCAACACTCAAGAACTACACACAATGGTGTACTTACCCCCTTTTCTCACCTCCCCTCCATTCTCCACTTATATCTCTACAACCATACTAACAAAAACCCAGGTGACGACCTCTCCATGCTCATCGCCACAGCCACCGTCCTCCACCGCGTCTTCACCTTCGACAAATCCCTCTCCGTCACCGTTTCCTCTGGCCTCCTTATCACCCTCTTCATGGCCACCTTCAGCACCTGGCACTGCATCACCGACGAGCTGACCATGCACTCCGTGCTCTTCGGCCTCATGATCGCAACCATCGGCCTCAAGACCCGCTCCATCATCTCTGCCCGCGTCTCCAACCCACTCATCAAAGCCCAAGTCTTCAAACTCTGCACTTGGGGCTCCGTGATCTTTGTCACAGGGTTCGCGATCTGGAATGTCGATAATGCGATCTGTGGGAAGCTGACAGCGTGGAAGAGGGCCGTGGGGATGCCGTGGAGCTTTGCGTTGGAGTTGCATGGCTGGTGGCATGTTTTTACGGGGGCCGGGGCATACATTTTTATTGCGCTTGTGGAGTACCTCACTTCTGAAGATGCGGGAAAACCGCTGGGGGGACGCTTCGCGTTTCCGGTTGCGTGGTTGGTTGATGGAGAGGCGGGGAAGGAGAAGGTTGAGGCGAATGGGAACGGGCATGCGAATGGGTTTGCGAAGGCAAACGGAGCTGTGAAGGTAAACAGATCGAATGGGAAGGCGAATGGGAACGTAAATGGGAATGCGAAGGCCAATGGGATGGCGCACGAGAATGGGAATGCGAAGAAGTCTCTCTAGCTGAGAGTGCGAAGCGGGACACCGAAATTGTTGTTTGATTCCTTGATATCTTTTCTTGTTTACTAGAAGCGAATGTTTTCCCGAGTAGAACTAGAACTCACAATTTGGAAGGCTAGTCTTAATGGAAGTCATTGTCTCAAATACTCCTGGAATATTGAAACTCTTCCCAGGATGTGCAAATTTGGTGAATGTCCCAACACTCTTGGTACAATGAAATCTGACATGGTCTCTGATGAAGAAAGTTAATGGGCAATGTTGGCTGGGACATTGAAAGCTACGCAAGTGGTCTACTAGCAGTATATAAGCCCCCACCTGCCGTCTCTTCTTTCCTTTTCGCGGATATCTGGGACGACATGGATGGTGCACATATTGTATGGGAACTCTGTGCAGAGGCTTGAGACAGAGGTTGGACCTTGTCAGTTTTGTGAATGAAATTTTGTCAGCCTCCACCCAGTGGATAGATGGTTGCCAGGATTGGGAGTAGAGGAAGGAGGGTTGGGAAGTTGACAGCAGCTAGATGATGGTTCGGATGAAAAGGGAAGGAAGGATGAAGTTTTGTTGTCATACTTTGGGGATATTTAGTGGATTGAGGATATGAAGTGAGGGCTTTGAATTCATCGTTTCAACTACCATTGACAAGGAAGGGAACTGACGTTCATAGACCTAGATGCTAGCCCAAATACATGTCTATTGGTATCGTCCGCAGCGAAGTAGTCAGGGCATTGTTCACCATCCTCGTTTCGTCACAGCAATGATCTTCAAGTTGTACAAAGAAGCCAGTGCGCCTTAAATAGGCTAGAACATCCGTGTCTCGAGCAAAACTGTGCTCACGTGAAATAGCTTGTAAGAGACCATTGGAGGGGTAAACAGCGCACTAGCGCTTTTCTATAGATTGAGAAGTGTCCAAGATTAAGTCTACTCATAGGAAATCTTTACCCACGACAACTCCAAGCTCCGAACTCCGTATAGAACATGCTCACTCATGATTCATACCCGCCTGGTTACCTGAAAAGGGAACTCCAGATATCAGGGCCTCCTGTAGCTGCTTGGAACTCTTTCGAATATCCTAATGTGACTCCACACTCGCTCTCACTCCTTGCCTCTTCGGCACTGGGCAGCCATTTTGTCATTGCATCAATCCTGGTCGAGTCCTTCTCCAAGTCAGTACAGAGATCTTTTTCTAGATAAGAGATGCTTACCGAAGGATGAGTAGACAACCACTGCGGAATAGAATTTCCCGCTGCTCTCTGAAATTTCTCCATTCTCTCCCAAACTTTCACTGCTTCATTCGGATCATAACAGCTCTTCGCCATCATCAGCAACCCAATATAATCGGCTTCGCTCTCCTGTCTCCTTGATGCCGGTCTCATCATCCCCAAATCCATTAGAATATCTCCAATGAACCTTCCTATGCCACCCGTGTAGCCTGCATAGTCGAGGAATATGAAGACCCAGCGGACGGGCTCTAATAACACGTAACGGCTCATGTTCTCCGCTGCATGCTGGGCGAGATTGTGTGATATTTCGTGGCCAAGGATTGCAGCTAGGCCGTCATCGTTTTTGGCAATGGGAAGGATACCGCTATAGACGAAGACTTTTCCGCCCGGGATAACAAACGCATTGGCTTCTATTAAATAATTAGCACAGAATCGATGCCTCAACATGCGAGGCATGCAGTGCTCACCGTCAGATTGTATGACATGAACCTCCCACTAACAAAACTCCAAAGTCAGCCATTGCTGTTTCCACCACGGTGTCTCCCGGGGAGTCCTACATCGACATGCTCCAGCCCACTCGCAGGAATCAGTTTCGTCATAACCCTCTCTACCATTCTCGTCCTCGGATCCCAAGCTGGCAGTATTGCATCCTTATCCTGTTGCATAATCATCCTATACATCATTTTCCCCTCCTCCTTCACCCTCTCCTCACTATAACAGTTGAACCTCCTCCTCCCAGAAACAGGCACCGTCTCCAAGTTCGAAACATAGAAGTAAACTCCTCCACTAAAAAGTACGACGGCTATCAATGTTGTTCCCGGATGCCGGAAGCCGTTGCGTATTTGCTCCTCGGATATGAGAGGCCTTGCGCGTTCGACTTCCTCAGGATTGTATCTGATATGCTTGATTCGGGGGGGTCTGGGGCCTCTGCCGGACGCGAATCGAAAGGTGTTCAGAGGTGTGGGTTGCTGGAACACGCGGGGGAAGGGAGTTCGAGGGAGAGGACGTGGTAATATTCGTGGCAGAGCTCGAAAGGAGCTTCGCAGGATGCTTCGTGATAACATCTTGACGTTGAAATTCGAGGGAACCCCCTCGTGCGTTGCACCAGAGTAAGGCGAAGGAGGTGAAGCTGGTGGAGGCTGCAGTGAAGCGCGGCAACTCTCAGCCTTCCCAAAAATACAAGCACCGAATACGGGTCCACGGGAAATTCCCCGTACTAAAGCCCCCCTGTAATTTTAGCCTGGAAATGCCCAGAACGCCACGCTCGCATGCCCATCAGGGTGTCTAACAGTATGTCACTAGCCGCTTCAAATATCACTCCATTTCCTTGAAAGTTCCCACCTTCTTCTTCCCCAAACACATCAATTCCCATTTCACAATCATCGCAAAAATGATGGAAACAGCTGCCACCGCAGCAAAAGTCGTTCACGGCCTCTTCCAAAACACACATCCCATCACAGCAAAATGGGAGAAAATCGAAGCCCCGCCATTGCCCCGCTCCTCGCACAGCATCTCCGTCATTGCAGGACGAGCATACATTTTCGGTGGTGAAATCACACCCAGAGAACCAGTCGACAATGATACGCACGTTATCACTCTGCTATCCGGCAGTGTCTCTTCTGCAGACTACAAAAAGATTCTCGCGAAGCCTGAGATAGCTGGAGGAGAGGTGCCGGAGAAGAGAGTCGGACATACTGCTGCTGTTATTGGCGAGCGGATATTTATCTTTGGTGGCAGGGGAGGAAAGGATATGAAGCCTTTGCAAGAGAATGGCAGAGTTTGGGTTTACGATACGCGGTCCGATGCGTGGACTTACTTGGACCCGATGCCAGGCACGCCTTACCCGGAAGCACGATCATACCATTCGAGTGTTGCGATTGAGAAGCCAGAGCCGCCAACTACGAGTGTTAAGGTCAATAATGCTACGGAAGAACCAAAAGCTGGCAAGATTGCTGCGGCTGCGCAGACGGATGAGGAGATGGGTGGTCATGGCACTTTCTTCGTGCATGCTGGGTGCCCTGCTAGTGGACGGACGAACGATCTTTGGGGATTCGATGTTAGGAGTCGGACTTGGAAGGAGTTTCCTGCCGGGCCGGGAAAACCGAGGGGTGGAACTGCTATCGCTGTGTCGAAGAGCAGAATATACAGATATGGAGGCTTCAATGGACAGGGCGAGGAGGGTGGCTACCTCGATATTCTGGAATTGGGTCTGGATACTTTCAATGATAAGGGTGGACAGGGAGAGCTCAGCGTTTCAGCTAAGGGGCTATGGCAGACACTGAATTTCCAGGAAGAAAGCATGAAGTTCCCCGGAAACAGAAGTGTGGCTGGACTGCAAACCATCACCACGGGTATGGGTCGAGAATACTTGGTGTTGTTTCTTGGAGAGCGAGATCCCAGCAGCCAGGGCCATGAGGGAGCTGGGAAATTCTGGGGTGATGTTTGGGCTTTCCAATGTCCTCCTCAAGGCATGACCGCGGCGAGCTTCAAGGATGCTACATGGCAAGCTCTTGGACGGGAAACAGGCGAGGGTTTGTGGAGTGAAGTGGTTGTTTCTGATGCTGAAGGAAAGGAGGGTGATGATGTCCGGAAATTGGTACCAGGAGAGCGAGGTTGGTTTCCCAGCTCGAGTTTAGGGGACTTGGATCCGAGCAGTATTGTGCTTTGGGGTGGTCTGAATGGTAAGAACGAGAGAGAAGATAATGGCTGGATTCTGAGAATCGAATGAGTAGAAGGGGCGATGACTGGACAAAAATCAGAAGAATCTTTCCTGGAGGAAGAACACAAATAATGAATTATGTAGCAACAAGGAAAGTTCCCACTCTTGAATATGTCCTTTCCATCGGTGCTCGCCTAATCGAGAAAACGGGAGCTATCTCCAACCATTCTCCTCCACTCTTGCCCCGCCCATCATCAACAACAAACCTTACAAAGCCCGACCGTACCTGCAACGTTCTCTTCATCCAGATCTAAAACACGATCTCAAGAGTCTGTTGCAGGTACACTCCCAATTGCTACCCTCTCTTCCTCAACTAACCCCACCCACTCTGCAGCCCCGCCTCGACATAACTCACCTCCTCATCTCAATCAACATGGCCTCCGAAGCAGCTCTCACCCCCGAAGCAGCACGCTCCATCGCACCACACCTCTTCCCTGCTCGAACCCCAATTACAAAAGCGCAGATAGAAGCCGGAATCAACGTGTGCCTTGACATCCAGCGACGCGCCGTGACGTTCGGGAAGCGGCCTTTTGCGGCCTGTTTGCTAGGGTCAGATAACGAGACCGTACTGCTGATGCATCAAAGTATTGATCAAGTGAACCATGCCGAAGTATATCTTCCTCGCTCCCAGCATCCTTCGGTTTCAGAAGAGAAAACAGAGACTGACAATGAAGCAGAGCTCCTTAGCCAGATTAGCATACTCCCACTATTCCAAAGCCTACCTCTGGCAATGCACCCTCGTGTCGACCTGGGAGCCATGCGCCATGTGCTCCTCCACTATCTATTGGGCACATATTGGAAGAGTGGTGTATGCAGCGAGCAATGAGCAATTGGCGCAGTTGACGGGCCCCGGGAATAAGGAGAATTTCACGATGAACTGGCATACGAGGGATATTTTGCTGGGACAGCAAAAGGATGTTGAGATTATTGGGCCCGTGGAGGGAATGGATAAAACGGTTGTGGAGGAGAGTGATGTTTATTGGAAGACGACGAGGTAGTAGGAGGTGAGGGAGACTGAATTGTGACGGAGTCAGTTCTGCTTTGCTGTATTTCGTGTTATTTTGATGTTGAATGGTTTATTGTTTTCTATAACTGCTGGCTGGGAAGTCCCTGGAATTTCAAATTTTCAAGAATTTGTTTTCACTGGCTGGTGTTGGTTGGGAAGTCCCTCGAACAGCAGCTTTGAATGAGAACGTTCTAAGAGACAAGTCGCATTCGAGCCTATTTTAGGGCTAAGTGCGTGATTCATCCTTTGAATGGTTTTCGAACTTTGGTACAGGGGATGACCAGCCAGATGGACAAGCGAGCCCCCTTGGCACCTGGAACACCTTGCTAAAAATCACTACCTACAGAGACAAAACAACTCGACTCTTATTGGTGCTCACGTACTCGCCAAAATCGGTCACTCTTTCCTCCCAAGTTCCCGGTTGTGAGTTCGGGGCTTACCTTTACGTGCCTGGATTCTCCGGCCACGTTCCGGTAAGCTGACATGGGGTCGTCTCCCTGGAAATGCATTTCCACATGATGCCGTACTTTTGCGGCCTATAGAGTGTTCTCCTTGTCGGAAATTATGTGCCGTACACCTGCATGTACTCGTATGATGAGCCTGCAGGAAGTAACCAGCACAGTATGGCGGATTGTACAGAAATCACCAGAACAATCGTTTCGAATCTCATATTATATATATATATATATATAAGTCCTTGCCACTCACTTTCAATTTCATTATATATCATCTCCTCGCTCGTCGCAGCGTTCCAAATTCGAGCTGATATCAAATATTCGAACTCAATAGTCACATCATTGAATTCACTTTCTTCTCAATGTTCGGGTATAACTCTTCAACCCTGCTTGCCCCGCCATTCGGGAGACGTCCAGCGAGAGTCGCAAGGAATTGCTATTTACTCGTATACGCTTTTAATCACTAAATTATAGTCTAGGCCCTGAATATTAATAATCAATTTTTTCGTGGGGTGCGGCACAGCATTTAATCATGAAAATCCGTTTCGGGTTTCTCTCTTGGGCTAGTGATCCTTGCAGTTATATGCAAAAACTCCCTGTTTTAGCGTATTTTTGACTCCTGCTCTTTTCTAAAACTGCAAATTGACTTTTACTAAAACCACAAACTTCTTATAAAAAGTAAATATTTAGAATGGCCTTCTTTTAAATATCTTAAATATTTGTTAGACCAAGAGTTTAAAGCGAGTATTTTAATAATTTTAAGGGTTTAAAGTAAATAAATTTGGTGTTCCTCGTTCTCGCCTAAATATCGGTTGTGCGAGGCCTGCCAGGCTAAGTCAAAGTAATTTTTGATAGCAAAAGGGCTAAAAATCTACTTAGAAAACTAACTTAAGAGTTTTTTTTTGAAATTAATAAAGATTCTAATAGAGGACTTAAAGAGAAAAAGTCCTATAATAAGATTATAAAATTAAAGGTAAAAATATATGATTTTCGAGTACTTTTTACACGGCTTTTGAGCCTGGCACAAATAAAATTTAAAATAAAAACGAGGAATACCAAGATTCCTTTTATTAAGTCTTATAGAATTAATTAAGAACCTACTTGAAACCTTATAAAAAGTATATATTCAGACTCTTTAAAGTAATACGAATTTTCATACCTACCTTTTATTAATAGAAGTTTTAAATAGTCAAGTTTTATTACTTAGGAAAACATTTGCGAGAAAAAGTATGATTTTGCCAAAAATGCGCTAAAACAGGGAGTTTTTGCACATGACTGTGTGCTTTCCGTATCCGGCTGTGTCCCCGCACTAATAGATTTTCGTGGATGTTGTGTAGCCTCAGATCCACCATTTCCCCGCACTTCGAGATAAGGAACCACCAACGACGCTCCTTCTCATCCTAGCTTGCTGATCCATTCCACTCCTTTGAAATCGCATAGCACATCCAGGATCTTGATACTTGAGCATCTTTGTCCTCCCAGCAACATGGAGACGGCTTCAACAGCGGACGATGCGGCTGGTCCGCCGTTGCAGGCCCCTGTAGCGCCTTCGACTTCTCTAGCCGAAATCCCTGGTCTCGATGTAAGTCTGATATCTACATTGGCTGCTCGCTATCTTATTATGACTAGATAGATAGTCAAGCCAGTATGGGGGATAGCGATTCCGCCATTGGAAGCATGGAGTACGATATCCCGCATTCACACAAGGTGTTTATATCAAGAATGTCTGTGCTGATTTGTGACCAAGGTCTTCGACGCAGTCACTCAGGGATAGCATCTATGAATACGTGGAAGAGAATGGGCGGAGATTTCATAAATACAAGCAAGGAAGTGAATACCCTCCTCGGTTTCAAGATTGCATTTCATAGGTAGCTGACATGGAATCAGATTACTTACTTCCGAACGATGAGGTGAGCAAGACTAATGTCTAACACTCTGTGACTTTTATTAACTAGAGACTTAAAATTAAGACAGAGCAAGACAGACTAGGTAAGTGAAATATATACTCTGACGGAAAATGGTTCTAATTATTACAGACCTCCAGCACCACTTGTTCACCCTGACGTTCGATGGCAAGTTACACATCGCCCCCATCGAGGAACTGAAGGGTGGAATTCACAATGTTCTGGATATCGGAACTGGTACCGGTATCTGGGCGATTGACTTCGGTACAAGATCCCTCCTCCATCACTTAATATCAACAAACCGCTGACTTTAGATGCACAGCGGCGACTTACCCATCCGCAAACGTGGTCGGCACAGACCTGAGCCCCATTCAACCAAACTTGTCAGCGCTCCTCTTTTCTTAACTCACTCTCGCTCACCCACTACACACCCTAATGTTTCTTGCACATTCCTTCCCTAACCCGCCCCGAAGCGTCCCGGCCAACTGCAGTTTCGAGGTCGACGATGCAGAAGACGAATGGGTCTTCCCCCAAAAGTTCGACTACATCCACGGCCGCGCCCTGATGTCCTGCTTCAAAAACCACAAGACAGTCTGGGAACATGCCTTCAAAGCACTACGTCCAGGTGGAATTCTCGAACTCCAGGACCTGCAGATGCCGTTGCGTTACGTCGACTCCACAGGCGAGGGAACAGCCATGAAGCTATGGAACGAGCGCTTCATGGCTGGTGCGCTCGTTCTTGGCCGTGACTTCACAAAAGTCGCGAAGTACAAGGCAGTCTTGGAGGAAGTGGGCTTCGCAGACGTGGTAGAGAAGCTGTATTATTGGCCCGTTGGGACGTGGGCCAGGGGCAAGAAGATGAAGACTTTGGGGGCGTGGTACAGAGAGGATTGTCTCGCGGGACTGCATGCAGCGAGCGCGCTTATCTTTACGAGGGCCCTGAAGATGACGCCTGATGCGGTGGAGTTGTTTTTGGTGGATGTGAGGAGGGATATGAGGGACAATCGGATTCACGCTTATGTTCCTGTGTAAGTGTCCTGGATAAGCAGAGGGACGGAATAGTGCTGACTTCGTGCCAACTAGATACGTTGTTTATGGAAGAAAGCCACAATAGGAGTTGGCTTGACGAACTTGTCGCCGCTGTTGGCTGAGTAGCCGTAGAGGCTATCTGGTTAAAGATGATAACATCATTATTGGGCCAGTCTCTGTGCACGCTTCTACTCCGCTATATTAAGTGTGTAATCAAAAAAGGATGTAAGCTCTACCCCAGCTAGCCTTTGGATAACTCGCGAAATCTCTTAGAACATGGCGCGATGTAACTAACAGGACATGTTTTGTTACATTTCCTCAATGTGATCGCTGTGTCGAGATCTCAGGGGCAACCTCGCTTATTTCGATCAGAAAGACTTCACCCATCCACGCATGCACTTTAACATCTTTCATAGAGTAATATACAAACAGAGTCGGAAGGCTTCTAAGTCTGCAATGAATCATTTTTAGTGATTCTTTTCTTTTAGAAAGCATGATATCTTAAAGTGTTCTCTGGTTGGAATAGGGAACCTGCCAAGCGCTAAAAGTGGGGACTCGGCTGTGCAAGCCTCCTGAAAACTTCGAGTCACTGCTCTTCGACTCATCCTCACTCATTCATGCATTCATGAGCAAATTGTGCATGGAAGATGTCGAATAATCCACTGGATTGAGGGTCCACGTCCATTGACCAACTGTTGGTTGTGTATCCCGGGCGAGATAGACTCAAGCCGGTCACCACATCGCATGCACTCTTTTCTCGCAAAGTGGTCTCGACCTCTGCCGATGTTGGCGTAGTGGCGCCACAAGGAGCTGTCAGTTCAACCTTGGCAGCAATATATAACAACGTTAGTTATTTCTCGATTTCAAGGTGTAAAAGGCATCTTGTTTTCTAGTCTCTTTTCAAACCACTCAACATGTTCACGAATAATTCCTTCGACGTTCAGGTCACGTCCTCGACGAATATATTTCCCGAATCAACTCAAGGGGGTGGTATCTTTGTTCCATTGTCAATCTTCGACAATGCTTCTACTAGTTTCGCTCGTTGCGCGGCAGCTTGGTTTTACGATCCTCCTTCCAGTCCAGCATCGGTACTGTCCGCTTCCCACTTGCAAATCTCTCTTTCGAAAACTCTGAATTATTACCGCCAATGGTGTGGACGCCTCTCATATGCTACACCAAAGCCCAATGGCAGCCACAACCACCGCTATCAACGAATTTGGGTTACATACAATACATCAACAGATATCGGGATCCCTTTCGTCACCGCCAAATCTCCCAAAAGTCTTTCGAAATTTCTACCCAGTATCTCGACTCGCAGATTTTCACTGAAAGCATGGGATGCATCTCAACTTCCAGCTGCCGAACTCCTTCCCAAGTCGAAACTATCGGTTTCAGAAGACAGGGACGCTCCGAATGTGATCATCCAATTCACAACTTTTGCCTGCGGAAGCACAGCAGTGGCGATAGAAATTACCCACTGCTTCGCTGATGCTGTGTCCCTATCTCGCTTCGCCAAAGACTGGTCTCATATGAGCAGTTGCATGTTCAGAAACGAACACCTTCCAGCACTCACTCCCATCTTTGACCCACAACGCCTCGACTCTTTCGCAGCAGGCGACATCGACACCTTTTCTCCCGATCCCTCCATCGTCACCAAAGCCCGTTCACTCCCACAACACAGATACGACTGGCATCTCCAAGTCCAAGGCCAGCCCTGGCCAACCCACACACCCGCCGATTTCGACACTTCCCTCACTCTATCACCAAGCACACCAATCCCATGGCACCAATGGGACACGAAGGCCACTATCTCGCACCACGTCCTTCACTTCTCAGCACAAGAAATCCTAAACATTTACTCGCTCGCCACCTCCCCTTCTTCCGGTACACTCGTCAAAATCTCCAAACACGATGCGCTCTTAGCACATATCTGGAGCCACATCACCCTCGCACGCCAAATCCCAGAAAACACAATAGTGTATCTAGACATGACGTTTGGTCTCCGACCACGCGTCTCGCCTCCTCTGCCAGACTCTTTCCTCGGGAGTCCGATTACACATGCCGCTATCCCTTCCACCGTTGCCTCTTCACCTCCATCAATTTCTTCTCTTGCACAAATGATCCGGAAAACACTTGCAATTTTCACACCCGAAGCAGTGGCAAACCATCTCCATGACGTAGCATTCGAAGTTGCGCCCCAGAGGCTATGGAGGGCGTGTCTCGGTAGAGAGCATGTATTGCTGACGACCTGGGTGCATGCTGGTGTTTACGAAGTTAATTTTGGAGGTGGAGGGCCGCGGCATGTGGAGGCGGTGATGCCGAGTTGTGATGGGCTTGTTGAGGTTATGGAAGCGAGTGATGTGAGGAGGGAGGGTGGGGAGAGGGCGGATTGGATTAGTGAGGGTGTAGATGTTAGTGTTTATCTTGAGGCTGAGACTATGAAGCGGTTGCTTTTGGATGGAGATTTGTGGGGTGGTAATTGAGTGTAGATTCCAGGTCTATGTACAGTAAATGGAGAGTAGAAAGGAGGTAAGTGAAATATATGAAAAATGTAGAATAAAACACAAATTTATGGAGTTGAAAACCCTAGCGCTCTAATCTAGACCCAGGAAAATGTGAAGTCTCTGTGCGTTCTACAAGTGGACGTTGTTCATGAGTCTCAACCTAGGACTTTCATTTCGGGTTGAAATCCAGGATAGAACTCTCGTGGCTTAGGTCATATCCATTCCACCAGGTACCAGCGCCCCAATGCTCAGAGGACATTTCGCACTGCATGGTATGAGAGTTGCGATCAAAGTCGCTATCGTTGCCTGTCATGCCTGATCCGCCGTCTGCAACCGGTTGTGAATGGGAAACCTTAAGAGCTTCAGGAAGTTCCTTTTCGGAGCGTTCGAACCAAGGATTGAAGTTGGCCACGCTTTGCAATAGCTGTGAAGAAGGATCGTAACTGAGAACGTCGGCCTGGCTTCGGGTAGTGCCCGGCTCGGTGATTAGTGTCGAAGGATCTAAGACCTCGTGGGCAGTTCGAACCTCAAGGCCATTCCGATAGGCGTCCTCCACCAGTCTTTCGGAGTCGCTTTCAAGTATTGTTTCACAGTACTCCAGCTTCAGCTTGAGCAGCAAGGTGTTCCTGGCACGCCAATTGAAACGTGCAGCAACGTTGTAATTCCCGACTTGGCCGGAAACAAACTTCTCCCATCGCGAATGTATTTCTTCCCGTCGTAACAAATTTCGAAAAAGCGTGTTGTACTGCCATTCGTCTTCAGACATGCGATCTTCCAAATGCTCAGCAACATGGTCCCGCCATTCATCCCAGGAGTGCAGCAAGCGGTCACAAAATTGACGCCCGCAAGCAAAAGCTCGTTTGCTATATCTCAATTTCGTGGCGGTACCGGAATGTTTGCAACGATTGCGATGGCAGTGCTGAACCGAATGATGTTGAATGAAGTTGCAAAGCTGATCGAAGACTTGGTGACAGTCAGGGCATTCCCATGCCTTTTTATCTGGTTTGTGGAAGTCATTCATGTGCTTCCTCCAATCTGATCTCCTCCCAAACGATTTCCCGTTGTGCTCATCAAATACGCAGAACCATCGGCTTTCCGATTGCTTCAGAACAGGAGTCATCTCCAGGGAGGCTGCATTTCGAGGCTCCATGGCGTGTTCCTTCTCCTCCGGACATGGAGAAGTTAGGTCATTCACACTACCTCCAGTTTCATGAAAATGAGCAGAGACACCACCGAGATCTTGGCAAAGCGAAGACATGCTGGAGGAGGAAGAAACCAGTGTACTGGGCAACGTTTGGAATATGCCAGTAGAACTCGCCCCCATGTGAGCGGAGGATATTGAGGACAAGCTTCCTGAACCAGAGAATGGAGAAGCAACTCTTGGTTCTATTCAAACTTTTAGTCAAGTTGGATTTCCTACTTCGGTCTATTCGTGAACTCACCACACGACACTTCCCGAATGATCCAGAGGACGATTTGAGGGGGATACTTTGTAATCAAAGCTCGGGCATGATTCCAATCATCGAATGGAATGTTGCAGGTTGGCGAAGGAGGTACAAGGAAGTTATGCCCGGGTGGTGCGCTCGTCAGCCGGGGTTTGGGTGCCACTTGCATAGGCGCGACGTCGGAATGACAGGAGTGAAGATATATATATTCACTCGAAACCCGTCGACAAACAGACAATATTCCTCAAAGCCTAGTAGCCTATCAGAAAATTATGAGAGAGAAGCGCAATTTTTGAAAAGGCAAGACTGTCTAGCAAGAGGGAAACCTGACTTGTGACCCCCTCAAGAACCCCCGGACTAGCAAAAGGTATATATACTGCACCTTGCATTGAGAGCCTCACCCACCGCCGTCTGACAACTCGCACAGAGCACAACAAATACGCCCAGCCATAGCTCAAACCGCGCGCGCAGCTGTGCCCTTACTCATGAGTTGAAATTTGGCCAGGGATTGTCGAACTCCGGCAAGATATTTCTGCAAAGAAATTCGGCAGATGTTTTATTTTCTGCTTGCCGTGTGGTTAAAATTAAACGCCGCCTGATTCATCATGGTTACCTACGGACATAAGTCGGGAAAATGTAAACGTCACCCCCTCGCCCCCCGCGGGTCCCGGGTGTCGATTGGGGCCAGGGTGTTTAGAGACCTTAAGTTAGATTTTTTAATATAAGTATAAGCTAGCATATTATAAGGCTCATAATATAATCACGTGCTTCTTGACTTATAATAAAAGGATTTCTAAAAATAGAATTTTAATTTAGAGGAATTTATATACTAACTAATGAAGCTCTAGTTTTTAAGCCCTATAATGCCCTATAAATTAATGGCTTATAGGGCTCTCATGTTTAGCTTTAGGGACTTGTTCGCTAAATTCCTAGGCTTTCTTAAGCTTACCTTTAGGCTATAAAATATATACTTTTTAACTTCTTTAATTTAAAGAACTATTACTGTCACGATAAGGTGGTTGTTGCAGTGGTGGTAAAGAGCTTGAATTGAGCTGAAGGCTGTGTGCGCGGCTAAAAGCACTGGCTACACGCTAAGTCACGTGCAGTGGCACCACGTGACTGGTGCCACGTAACAATTACTAATTTATATTTGAATAGCCCTTAATTAGCACTATGAGAAAATAAATAAAGTTTTAAATTCTATTAATTCCTTATAAAATAGAATAAAATTAAAGAGAAAGCTAGATTTTTGGTGTTCCTGTCGGAGCGCCTCTACTATGGGTTAGTGGCCCCCAAATTTAACATTTTCCCCATAAGTCTTGCAACTACCAGGGTCGGCGCCACTTCTCGCTTACGAGCCTGCTGACAAAAGTCTGTGGTTTTAGCGTATTTCGCTAACAAAACAGCCCTGAAAAGGATTTCAATAATTATAATTTACATCGCAATTTTGTAGACTAAGTTCTTAAAATTAAATATACCTTCTTTTATTGAATACTCTCGAGTCTTAAGATAGTATTATTAATAGTTATCTAATTATCGTGGAGTGAAGTTGATGACTTTGGTTTGGCGAGCCTGAAAAAATCGCTAAAACCACAGACTTTTGTCAGCAGGCTCGTTAAGTGGCAGGACCGCTGCACGGCAGCCAGGAAGAGCTGTAACTACAGGGCCTTGCAGGCGTTCCAGGGCCAAAATATAGCGCATGGGCCCTATAAACATTGCTAAACCTACTCTCCCTATAGGCTATCGAGCCCCTAATTTTTGTTGCTAGGTCATCTACATGTGGCGTCCTGAAGCTTGGCACTCATCCTTGCCGGTTGCAAGACTTATGGCCGCGACCTCCGTAATCAGCGGCACACCAGCTGCAATTTGTTAATCACGGGATAAGATCATGTGATAATTTGCACAAGGTATCCTGTATCAAATGTAAAAAAGCTGCCAATAATTGCTTGATAATATCTCGAGCACCTAGAAGTAACTATGTCTGCAGGAAAATCCTTTAGCACTAGCTCCTTCACTCACTTCATTTGCTGCTGAATGTCTTCGTCTGCATCAGGTCTTGATCTCTCTCGCATACTGTAGTTCCACAAGAAGAAAAGGATTAGAGGCAGGAGTCTCTCTTACGCGGTGAATGGCACAATGGCATAAATCACCACAAAGCTAGAATAATGAAGAAAACGAACAGTCCCCACAAACACTACAAATGCCATGCGAGCATCCACCCCCCCAAATGTTCTGTCCTACACCGGCGTCGTGCTCTGGGTACAGCCGTATGCGAAACTACAGTTCCCTGCCGAATTTTAAGCGAACCTTAACAAACCACAATTTGCGATTCCACCCCCAGACCCTATGCAGCTAATTCCAATTAAATTATAAGCCCTTTTAGAAATATACTAGGGAGCATATAAGAACCAATTTAAGACAAGGTATACTTGTTCTAGATATAGTTCTTAAGTTATTTGTAATAGTATGTCTTGTCCCTAACATTTACCTTATATAATGAATTTGGTATATTTTTCTAGTAAATCGCCCACTTCGCCAGCATTTCTTTATTAAGCTATAAGCCCTAATAATAATATAACAGGGAACACTTAGAAACTAATTTAAGCTAAGGCGCACGTGTTCTAGAGGTATAGTTCTTGAGTTGTTTAAAAACGGGCTGGTTGAATAGAAAATCGAGGGGCTAAGCGAGGGTCTGAGAAATGCAAGGCTTAAAACTCAGAATTTTTAGCCTCCTTTAATAACTTGAGAACTATACTTCTAGAACACGTGCACCTTGGCTTAAATTAGTCCTTACGTATTCCCTGTTACATTTCTAGAAGGGCTTAAAATTTAAATAATATTTCCTAGGATAGTTGGTAAAAACCGTGGTTTGCGCAAATCGCGTTTTGTTAACGAGTAAGGTTCGCTTAAAATTCGACAGGGAACTGTAGTTTCGCATACGGCTGTATCATAACGATGGAGAATACTGCGGAGATGTTGTGCTCTGAAATGAAGTTGTAACCCAGCTATTCCATGCTGGTTACCCTTTGGTGCTATCCCGCAACTCCTTGGACTTGGCTTTACTGCTGTTGTGAAAATAGAGGGAGGGTAGATTGGATTAGTGAGGGGTTTAGTGTTAGTGTTTATCTTAAGGCTGGGGCTATGAAACGGTTGCTTTTGGATGGGGTTTTGTGGGGTGGTAAGTGAGTGTATAAGCAGGTAGGTGCAGCATGTGAAGATATATTCTCATGACGTCCATGGGCACATAAAATGGACTAGATGATTCTCTGTTGGGGTATTTCCTTGAGTGACCTGGTGAGTCCCGCTAGAAAGTTAGTTGAAGAAATTGTACTGACAGAAACCTGTGACTTCTACTTTCTTTGGGATTAAGTACCCTATTAGATCGGTGCTGTTCCTAACCTTGTTAAATGGGTACTTCGCTTGGCCTTTAGATGGCTAGATGCATAACGCCTGCATATCTTAGCTCCGACTTGACTCTTGAGGAAAACATCATTGTGATCAAGCTCCGACGAGGAAGACAACTGCTGCTGCATATCCTCGCTCGTTTCTAGGAACGACATGTGCACAGCGCCCAAATTGGAACCTGGTAATAATGAGCCGGTCGGCGAGATACCTGCAATAAGCGAATTGGAGGCGGATTGTGTAATGCCTATGAGATAGTACAAAGTGTTGGAAACTTGTGCCTGAGGCTGACAGTAGCGATTCAGGGCATTCAGCTAAACATTGGTTTCCAGCCAGGCTTGGCAGAAATACCTAATTTCCGGTATCGATACGTATCGATGCCAGAATCGTAAGGTATCGATACTATCGATACCGAATCGATTCTTAGTAATACTTTGCCCTATTTCTAAGGCCCCAGCTAATTTTGGTGCCATCGTCTGAACTATACCAAATAACTACGTGAATCATAGCTTCATATGATGCAATATAGCTTAATCTGAGTCATTTATGCTCCCATTTTTAATTTTCGATAATCCAGATACCTTTAAAATAAGCTCTCAGCTCCCAACCCTCTCTCCAATTTATACATACTTTCCATATACCCTCCATTCTACCTACCCCCACATATACATATACACACATATATATACATATACTAGTCAAGATGGCAGCTCAAGCTCAGCAAGATCTGGTAATCTGGACTCGTCTTAATGGCTATAATAACGTACATTACTTCCTTCGTATGGGAGGTAATGAACTAGAGCCATCTGTCATTACTGGTAGCCCTTAATAGCGAAATACCTTCAATATCGCCAATCCTGCCCCCTCAGATATCGCAATCAAGGGTCCCTATACTCCTGATACCTTTAATGTCCCGCTTCTTCCTGAGGTTATTAATGCAATCTTGACTCAACGAGTATAAATTACTTCTTTATACTTTATACGATCTATACTAAATAATATAGTAGCCAAGTTAATATCCGTACTCCTTGTACTGCTTGCCAAAATGGTCAAGGCATTTTTGAGGAGTACTTAAGGGTTCCTGGAGGAGAGTGGTATAGAGCATATGGTAACTGTATTCGTTGTGGTTATGCGACCCATTGCAGTATACGAGATATTGATGATAATGGGGGAGAGGGTAATAGTAGAGGATAACCCAAACCCCCTCAAATTATACGAAGTGGCCGGGTTTCAAAGCCTGGACGTTACCCTGGCCAGAGTATCCCTTCTATTACAAATAAATAGATAGGACTACTCTCTTTATATCATACGATTGCCTGGCTTTTATATAATACCCAATAGACTGTATTAAGCTCTTAATATTTGCCCTTTTTTGATTTTTCCCTAGCTAGTTTCAAGGAAAGTATTTAGAATTCCACTCTTTTTCCAATACTTTAAGCACTCTCGTATCTCAATAGTCTCTGCCTCCATTTTTGCCCTATCCCAGCCTACCGTACGTCGACCCCCTGAAAATACTCTCTCTGGCTCATTACTCATTAGTGGAATAGAGAGGATATTAATAGCCATAAGAGAGAGCCTTGGCCAGCGTTGCCTCTATATATCCTGATACCACTAAGCAAGGGCCCCCTGTTTACCAGGATCATGCAATGCTAGTAAGTTATAGTCCTCAAACTCGTCTTGACTTACAGGCCGAGCTATTGCCCGGAGAGATATAGAAATTCAATCAAAAGTATCTAGTTCTAATATCTCATAAGACGAGCTATCGTATGAAAAAGCTGGAGGAGTAGGTATAATTATAGCCCTTTCCCTATACTTCTCCCAGAGCTTTTTAACCTTGACTAGAACTGGTTTAGACCATTTCTTTGGCCAGTATATCTCAATATACCTCGTACGATTACGAGGATTTAAAATCAATACGGTAGCATAAACTGGAGACATATCGGTCTTTATATAATAATTATCCAGAACCTTGTATACTGCCTTAATTCGGCAAAGAAAGTCTTTTCCCTCTGGATCTCTACTCTTCTGATATTTGGCCTATTAGAATTAGTATAGTCATATAATAGAAAAGGAAAACTTATATTCTCTTCTTGGAGATATTTAATTAAAATATCTATTATAAAAAGGGTAGAATCAAGAGAAGTCGAGCCCTCAGTAGCAAGAGTAGCTCGTATAAAAGGAGTAAGGAACTCCTTAATCGTACGAAGCTTTTTCCAATCTTTGGAAGTCAAGATATCCTCCTCAAGCTCCTTCTCATGATCTTGACAATACCTTTCTACTATAGGCCGTAAGTTGAGTAATACAAGAAGCATCTTATACCAGCTATTCCATCTCATACGATTATCCATTGGAATTAGCCTTCCTGTAAGCATACGGAACTTCTCTGTTCTTCTAGCTGATCCACGAATATAAACTATAATATTATATACTTGGCCAAGGGGATCTATTAGCCTGAATTGGGCCCTTATTGCCTCTGTCACATTAAAGGCTTCAGCTTGCTCTTGCTTATCGTACGAATCAAGCTTCTCCAAGCTAACCTGATTCGTAAATAAGAAGGCTTATATAATCAGATTAATAATATGGCCCAGATAGCGAATACGCCAGTAATCTGCTTCCTAATTCAAGCCAAGCATATCCTTTAGCTCCTTTTGAACCATATGACAAAGAACATTATTCGTAGAAGCATTATTGCTTATAATAGCTCCAAGCTTATTAATAATGCCGTAATTTTGAAGAACTGGCCAAAAAACTGCCATTTGAGCCTCTGAGCTATGGCCAGAAACCTTCTTTAAAGCGAGAAGGGCCTTTTGTTACTTTCCATCATATATAGTAAAGTGGCCACAGATCGCAAGTAAAAGCCATCGATTTGGAGAAGTCCAGATATCAAGAGAGATATGGATAAGTGAGAGTATAGCCTGGAGTACTTGTCGTACGGTATTCTAATGTTTTCCCCAAGCTTCTTTAATTAAGCTAGCAATTCCTGAATGAGAAGTCGTAATTTTGCCCGTAATAGCTCGGTTCAGTAGTTGGCAAAAGGTATGGAACTCTGGCCATTCAACGAGAGCGTAAGACAAATTCCGTACGATAATGAGAGAAATCAAAGCTTCAGTAATAATTGAGCTATTGAGATGGGCTTCCAGGATCTCGGTATCAAGCTCCTCTCTCTCGCTCGTTCCAGTAGCTTGTTGGTAATATTGCTTCAATTGCAAATTAACCGCCACTTAGTTCTTGCTCAAAACCTTCTCAACAATAATCTGGTGATGGCCTTTCAAGTGCTTCTTCATATTCTGAGTAATAGAAGTACCATATGGCGATTTTTCTGAATCAGTACAATGAGCGCAATAAAGATAAGCTTGGTTCTCCTCCTCAGTGGGAGAACGACAGTACTCCCAAGCAGGAGACCTCCATTTTGTATGATTCTGGGAAGTCGAAATTGATTCTGCTGAAGCGGAAGCTAAAAAGGAAGAGTCTAGTTCAGATGGAGAAGACATTTTGAGAGTATAATCTGAATGGAATCGTAATGTGAGGTGAGAGAAGTAAAGAGAGTAAAAATTGAAGGGTGCGGGGTAGAAAGCGGTATAAGAATCGATTCGGTATCGATACGTATCGATATTAGTAATACCTGAGTAATACCATCCAGTATCGATACCGAATCGATGCCTCAGGTATCGTTGCCAAGCCTGTTTCCAGCTAAATAAGGGTTTTTAGGGGTAATAGGGGTTATTTGGATGTCTATAAAGGCCTTAGATCACTGTAAAATGGATAGTCGTCTGAGGAGCATTGCATGCCCCCCTTTTGTTTGCCACTTCAACAGGAAGTTTACCAAAACACTGCTAACGCATTTGAACAAGATATTCATATATTTGCTCATTCTTGCATGCTGATCTACTCCAAGGCGCCGCCAATGCATGCAGAAGCGCGAAAGAGAAGCACTAGAAGCGTCGAGCATCTTCCAAGTGTTTCTGTACGTCGACCTCCTTTCTTCGTAGCTTGGCGTCCAATGGATTTTGGTATTCAGCAGCCAAACTTCGTGCTAGACTAGCTGTATATCCTTGATCATCCATAAGACGTCACTCGTCCATCTCTCGCTGCCAATGTTGCCGGTAGTAAACATCTTCTTGTATTCGCCCCTCTGCATCTTGACGGGGTGGATATCTTTCCTGACCTGGGTATTGTTGTTGCTTGTACTGTGTCGATAGAGGAGTACCAAGACGATCGGGGGCATGCACATAGTTTTGCTCAACCGGAGGAGGTGTCCGGCTCCTCTGATACGCGAAGCTATTGCCTCGAGACCGATGCAGAGGACGCGGAGTATACTGAGTCGGGGGCGTGTACACGCGAGGAATCGCAGAATAAAGGGGATCCTTCAATATGGGTTGTGAAGGGGTTGCGTTATTGTCGCCAAAGGTACTGAGACCAATCGATCCACTTTCTTGTAATGGTCGTCCATATTCTTGTCTCGGAACATAAAGTGCTTGTTCCATTTCCCAGTCATGCTGGTTCTGATGAGACATCGAAGTCCTAGGGTCGGCTGCTGCATGTTCTGCAGTCAAGTCTATGATCTTACTGGGTGGAGACTTGTTGCTCGTAGGCGAAGGTGGTCGGGAGGGGGCCCAGCGGGGTTTAGAGAATGGTCGATATGCGCCAGTGTCATCAGAGGCGTGTATGTTGAACGATATTCCAGCATTATTTTGAGTACCCTCCCGATCGCTGCTGAACTCCGCTTCATTCCATTGGTACTTGTTTCTAGATATATTATTGTCAAAGTATTCGCGCATGGCTTGCTCGACATTGTTGTTATTTCCCTTCAGTCGCAATATTACTTCTGATTCAGGTATATTAGGGAGCAAGCTCAGTAAAGTATCAATATCGGCACGGGATGGTCGGAAGAGTGTAATTTGGCGTTTGGGTTGTTCTTGAACTTGGTCCCGAGCTGTTTCTTCCGCATGTTTTCGTTTCTTCAGAGCTCTGACCTCATCAAGAAGGCTCGCCCCATTATCAACATGAGCGTGATATTTTCGGGTGTGTCGATTGAGTTGAGGTCGAGTAGCAAAGCCCATCTCAGAATAAGCACAGGTAGGTGCATCGCAACGGTACTCTCGACGGTGCTGGGCTTCGTGCTTTTCTCGCTCTTGGCAGGATCCAAAACCGTCTGTAGATCGTTCGCAATGCGGATATCTGCAAGTAAATGCCGAATCTCCATATATGTCTCGAAATTCTTGCAGTTCCTCTTCACTGACGGACGATGACGAGGGAAAGGCTGGGCTCAGGAGTGCCTCCAAAGCCAATTGGTATTGATGCCGGGTAGAGCTCAACCAAGAGGGATCTGAGTCACGTATTTCGAGTGACAAAGCTGGGGTAGAGTTATAATGAGGTCATATTGAGCGAGAGAAATTTACCTTCGATAGACTTTTGTGTCCAGTCTCGGTTTCTCAAGTTATCTCGAAACACTTCCAAGCTAGAAACGAATTTGCTCAAACCAGGAAAAATCTCGAGGGAATTATGTTGTCGGGCGGGAGCTTGTTTGCTCTTAGAACTTCCTACCGTAGTCGATTGTGTCAATTCTCCAGGCAGCTCTGCTTTGTTGTACTTGACAATTTCCTCCACTTGTTGGACGAAATATTCTGGAATTTCCAAGTTCTGAGCGATAACCAGATCCATGTAAGCCTGAATGTGCTTGTACCAAAATTGGTTTGCGTATATTTGCAGCCCATGCAGCCCTTGAAGAACCCAGAGCATTCTCTCGTCTTCCATACTGTGTTGCGGAAGTAGCCGAAAGCTTGTGTTGAGGTATGCGATGCAGGAAAACCCAATGTTTAGATGCGCCTCCTCGGGTCTGATGAAAGGCCGTCCATGTCTGAAAGCTACTTTCATAATATATCTGCGAGGCAATCAGTAGAGAAGTAATATGGCGAATAAATGCCGTATATTGGGACTTACTCTTGTGCGGAAAAGTGGACAAATGTCAGGGTATTATAAGGACCATCTTCGATCAATGGTCTACAAAGGTCCATGACCCTTCTGGGAAGCTTGGTGTTCCTGTCAAGAGATTCTCGATCCGTACGAATGCTGACTCCGTCTAAGATTTCGTGTATCTTCAGTCGCCGGTAGGAACACGACATCCATTCAAGAATTCTGATCGAGAGCGACCGAGTATGAGGAGGAACTTCCTCAGCTATCATACGATCAAGTATCCGACCGTATCTAAGACTCGGGTTAGTCTTCAAGGCATACATTCCTTGTGTTCAGTTCCAACTTACGCCTCTTTCAGTCCATGAGGCAAGCTTCGTGCACACTCGTCGAGGTCTCTTCTGCTATAGCATTGCTCGAGGTCTTTCATGATAAGTTTCACCCAAAGAAACATCCCTGGAAATGTATCAGATATGGTTGATGAGTCGGACAGGATGGAAGGCTCACCATCTGCCTTTTCTGCGAGCAATCGAGCGATATTTTCGAAAAAGTCTGGCTCAAGTTCTACAATGAAGGTGGACTGGAGGATCTGAATTTTATATGTAACATAGCGCTGGATGTCCGATTCCACTTTATCATTCTCGTCGAGGGAGATCGTAGGTTTCTTATCAAGCTCGGTCTTGATATTTGGTTCCTTCCGACTCGAGATTAAGATTTTGCAGTGTAGCCTGGGACCCAGACATGTTGACTGCAGCTCCTTCAACAATATTTTCTGTCCCGCTTTTGAGCATTCGTCTATGCCATCGATAACTATTCGGGTGTATGGGTGAAGTTCCAGTAACTTGGGAACAAGGACTCTAAGCTGAGCAACGCTTGAGCTTAATCCACGAGAAACGAACTCATTCGTGATTAAGGAAGCAAGTTCTGGATGAGCTCTGAGAAGTTGAATAGCTATGGTTCCTAGGATTCGTTCGCTTGGATTGTCCCACGCATCGTCTTGATTGTTACAGAAATAATAGCAAACATTTAGTGTTTTGACTTTTTCGAATAGGTTGATGATGGAGGCACACATGACGCTTTTGCCTGAGGGAAGGTTAGAAAATATTGGAGCATTAAGAAATGCGGACGCACCTGCTCCTGGCTTACCATTCAGCCAAAGTATTGGCTCTGAATCGTCATCTCTAAGCCATGATTTCGTCTCAGGTACTTGTCCAATCCAGTCGAAGGTCCCGGCATGTCTCATTGCAGATCTTCGAGCGAGCTCTGCCTCTTGTCTTTTATCGTCTACTGCCACCCACGATGTTGAGCTTTGCAATTGTAGCAACCGCTTTTGAGAATCGTTATCGTCTAAAATTGCTGAAGCCTGTCGCTGCCTCTCTGCAATATCGTCTAGAATTCGAATTCGGGCCGCCCTATCCTCGACCATATCAACCGAATTTGCCTCCTTGTCAATGAAATCGCGGTGCTTCTCGATAGTATTGATGATACCCTGAAATCTGGCCCGGAAATCCTTCCACAGCGACAGGAAAATAAGATGCCATGCTATGTTGAAGATTAGAAAATCTAGGTGCATTTCGCTGCATGAGAAGTTTACCTCGACGCTGGAAGAATTTATATGCACGTTGGTGAAATTCAAGAATTGCGCCATAAATACCGGCAAGGACAGAATGAAACTCGGGGTTGTCTTTGAAAGTACTTGAGTAGCGATCGAATCGGGGAAGGGCGTTGCCAATCTCGGCGTATGCATCGAGCAAGGCTTCGAAAATGTCACGATGATTGCTTGCAAGCTTATGTCAAAATCAGTGGGTGTAAAGCGAAAGGGTGAGCAGAGTCTCAACGGACCTGCAACACGAGCTTGATTGGAGCCTTTGGTCTGTCAGTTCTCCGTCTTCTTTGTGCCTCAGAATGGCAGGGCGACTGACCCAGATGAACGACAAATATTGAGTCCCATTGCATAGAATCTCAATCACCTTCGCATATTTTTCGAGGGTCTCGAGCAGGGGCTCGATTCGACGTAGATTTTGCGCAGAGTGACGCTTCCGTTGGGCTGTTTGGATATCCTGAATCGCAGCCCAAACGTCTTGGAGCTCAGTGGATTCAAAGGTGTGCCGGTGCTCCAGCGATATTGACCTCTGCAAACTTTGAAAGGCTTGACGGATCGTACTTGTCGGACTTGACATGGTTCATGAGTGCAAAAAGATAAAATGTCAATTTCAAGAAATGAAAGAGGGTTCATCGCGGAAGATTTTGCTCTTGGTTGGGAGGCTTTCACGGCGTTCTGGAAGGGACGCTGGCGTTGGGCGAACTGCGAGGCTTCTGCAGCGGCGCCCACAAGGCTTTGTGTAACAATGGCTGCGTGGACATCAGCAGAAAATTTGCAACTTCAACCATGATACCCATCTGTACGAAGACATTCCGAGCTCTTCTTAGACTCATTGACTATCGCCAATGAGGTGGTTGTGAGAATCACCAGAATGAAAACCCCGAGATGATGGACTTTCAAGGGTCAGGGCTGCCTCGGTCAAAAAACATCTCCGACGCCAGACACCCAAAACGTCGTCGACTCTGCGACAACTCCTTCGAAGAGGTCTTGCCATACCCGCATGCCGTATCCAATCCAGCCCTTGGACATCATGAATATGATTACACCGATCTCGTCGTCGTGGGCGAGGAGGAGACACAGGTGCAGTGCAGCTCGCGATGCGAGAGCAATGTTGAGGCTTCGTCGATAAACGTTACGGATGATGAATTGCTGGAATGTTGCTACGGAATGGTGGGCAGCTGTATGAGTCCTTATTATGTGGCAATTCTAATCACTTTCTCTAGTTGTCTAAAATCTGTGTACGACTTCGACATCCTTCAAACGTGCCATTACCATCCCATCTTCCCGTTACCTTTCGAGCCCCCAACACACTTTCCTCACTGAGCAATGCATCGGCAGAGTTCGAAATACAATCCGATGTCCACTCAAAGATTCTGAGTGAGCTGCATGGTCTGGAAGATGTTACAACACAGATGTATTGCTGTTCAAGTCTCGAGCTGCCACGGCAATCCTTCCCACCCAACGCCAAAAGAAGAAGTGGTAAAATATCTCGGGTATGGCGCTTGAATGTGATCATATATGGAAGTGTGATGGTGGAGGATGTTGTCGGTCAATATCTGTCCAAAAATCGAATGTATCTGCAGGATCCTGTCGATTGTGAACGCAACGTTTTGTACAGAAACCCTCATATGATATCAACGGATGGAGGGATAGTGATGACCGATTCGTTCATGACTCCGCCAATACCAATTGAGGTTGAACGTCTGAGCATTGGGCCTGACTTACTGGCACAATTGATGGCAGAACAGACTTCTCTACCGGAAATGGAACCTCCTTCCACTGTAACTACCGCTTTGTTTCGGTATTGGTATCTCCCCTTTTCAACCCCATATGGCTAACAAGATACGACAGCCACCAAAAACAAGCGTTAACATTTATGGTTCGGCGCGAACAGGGATGGGACTTGAAAAGCACGGGTGATATATGGATAGAAGAGGATAGCGAACCGGGCTGCCGCAGGTGGCATTTTCTCCCCATCTTTGTGGCGTACCTACTGACTTGAGTACAAGTTATCGAAATACAGTTAATGGATGCTCTCGGACTAAACCGCCACCGTGCTTTCGTGGGGGCCTCCTCGCCGACGACATGGGGTTGGGCAAGACCCTCAGCATGATATCTCTGATTGCGACGAATCAATATCTAAAGTCCCCACCCTATGGCAATTCTGCATACGAAAATGAGTTGTGCCATAAACTCAAGGCTACCCTCTTGATTGTGCCTCCGCCTCGTAAGTACATTCGCGATCCCCCCTCCCCCCCGCATTCGTACAGTTGAATTATACTTCCCGGTGTATGATATGATGCATGGCAACAAGCAAATGGAGATAGGTGTATCCAGGCCGGGACTTAGGTGGTTCTAGGGTTCAACAAAAATTTGCATCGGAAAGTCTGAATTCATATACCTGGTAGTGACCGTGGTGCAGACTTGGGCAAGGGTGGATCTCAACTGACGGAACGATAGTGATTCAGGCGTGGCAAAAGCAACTTAATATGTAAGTTTAGCCCCCGAATAATTCCTGACTGATACAAAGGCCCTCCGACCTCTTTCCACTCCTTAAGCTTCTCTGCAGCTTTCTAAAATCATGAAGGCATATTCGACCGGGCACTTTTCATCTACACGTGTACCACGGCCAGAACAGAAAGGAGATTGAGAAGTTGCAACATTGTGATGTTGTAATTACAACTTTCCAAACATTATCTTCGGCTTGGAGGAAGCAAAGGCTTCAAGTTGTGCAGGACCCAATATTCTCGGTCACATGGCATCGAGTTATTCTTGACGAGGGTAAGTACCATTCAACTTTCTCGACTTAAGCTAACCTTAACAGCCCATACCATCCAAAATGCCCAGAGTCAGCTTGCTCAAGCGTGTTGTGCGCTTCAGGCTGAGAGACGGTGGGCAATAACTGGCACCCCGATTCAAAACAAGCTCACCGATTTTTCGAGTATCCTCAAATTCCTTCAAGTATATCCATATGATGATCAGAAGATTTTTGATGAGGAGATATCACACCCATGGCACCTAGCTAACCGGGAAGGCTTCCTAAGGCTCAAAAGTTTGGTGCGAGCTATCACTATCAGTCGGACGAAGACTGTGATCAAATTGCCTGCTCGGGTGGATGAGATTCATCATCTCGAGTTTTCTTCTGAAGAGAGCGATGGGTATAATGCTGCTAAGAAAGAGACCATTGCTTTATTCGAAGAAGCAATCTCTTCTAACAAACAGGGTGGCAAGACCTTCAATGCCTTGACGCGCCTCAACTTCCTACGAATCTTCTGCAACCTTGGCCTTTGGTGCCACAAAAAACCTAACTCTGCAATATTCCCAGCATTCGGAGAGTGCGGAAATTCGTTCACGAAAAGCGACGTGTGCGACTCTTTCTATTCGAATATATTAGATGGTTCTGCGCTGTGTACTCAGTGCGGCCAGGCTCTGCTCGAAGACTTGCTTGAAGGAACGTCGCGTCCTGATTTCGACTGCTCGCCCAACATCACCCGCATGCCCAGTCTCTGCGATAATTGCAAATCTGATTCGAGTTCTCACCAGTCAGGTCTAACACCCTTCTTTCAACGCGAGCAGTCTGATGTTTCTGCGGCGTCAAGTGCTCCTTCAACGCCAAGCAACCAGACACAAACCCTTCTGCCATTGGAGTCGATCCCGACGAAAATCAAAGCTCTTGTGGCCGATTTGTCTACACATTGTCTCACAGAAAAATGGTATGAATTTCTGCCCTTTATTGCCCAATATTCTGATCCCGTTTAGCGTTGTCTTTTCATTCTGGACATCGACTTTAGATCTCGTCCAATATATGCTCGATGAGAGTGAAATTATTTACACGAGGATCGACGGGAAGATGTCTTTGGGGAAGAGAACAGAATGCATGCGCTTGTTTCAGACGGATGACACCGTCCGGGTTATCCTCGTGTCGATTACCTGTGGTGGCGCTGGGTGAGTTCAGTTGCACTCTCCACATTTTCTAATTTGCTGAATCATAGTAGGCTTGACCTGACAGCTGGGTCTCGAGCCTACCTTCTTGAGCCTCACTGGAATCCGATGATCGAGGAGCAGGCTCTCTGCCGTGTTCATCGAGTGGGACAGAAGCGGGAGGTTACCACAGTTCGCTATCTCATACGGGGTTCATTTGAAGAGGTATGTCATCTTCACTTGATGTGATACCCGGTTCAAGAAATCAGTGGAAAGCTGACTCCATGCAGCAAGTTGTGGAAATCCAGAAGCGGAAGAAAAAATTAGCTGAAGTCACATTTGGGTCAGGACAGATGTCCGAGGATGGCATCAACTTAGGAACTCTACTGGCAAGTCGAGTCTCTTGCGTAGCATGAACAATCTAATGCTTCTGCAGTACCTAAAATCTGTTCTCGAATGAATTAGAAGATATGGATTGTCTGGCTGCCATCGTTCGCTGCGAGTGGTCTTGAGCCTGCGATGGGCAAGCTTGGCATATTTCTCACGCTGTGCCCGCGGTTAATGGATTTTTTCATAGCACGAGAAGTCCTGCGATTAGGACCACAACAACAAGTGTTGAGAACTCCATCGACTAGCCGGAGAACAAGTAAACGCCAGAGCTGCAGGCCTAGTCAAGAGGAGACGCTGCAGAATTTCTATCAGCTAGCGCTTACTTACTGTGGATAATAATAGAAAGGATACCTTCCAACATACCGAGCCCTAAAGTAGGGGAGGGTAACTCGAGGCACTCATGCGACGCTGTAAGGGGCTACCTGTGCCCACAGCTAAAATATATATATATATATAAATTTTTATTCGATTTGGTTGACGGAAAGTACGAGGAGCTGCAGGCACAGTCGACGCTGAATACAAAATGGGGAGACTCCCGTGAAGTGGGGCTTACTGGGGCGGCATTTCAGAGAGCACCCAGCGATTTTGTCGGGCTGTACGAAGTACGACACGCTATCTGATTCTGTGTACTTTCCCCTCCACGACTCAAGTATATGATGGCACCTCCGAGACTAGAACATTTGTATCTAATGTCTGAGTGATTGTGGGGTGTATAATATCTATGCATTCCTTCAGCCATGTTAAAGTCGTAGCTTGGAGAATTGATGTGTTATCGTGATCAAGGGTTGACAGCAAGTAGTCACCTGACAGCCAAATGGCCCTCCGATCTGGATGAAGTCGAAAGCATCGCGTTTTGGGGGTCTGTCTTTCAACCAGACGACGAGGTAATATGCGGATTCGAAGTCTGCGAGGCAAGCACATTGTCATCATCACCCCTATCACCACCACCTGAAGCTTCAAGGTGTCAGCAAGAAATTGATTGACAGCAAAAGAGTGTTATGATTACGGCTGAAATAATGACTTGCTGTCAGTGTGTCAAAGGATTATTCAAGTTATTCAAGTTATTCATGAATATTCATGAATAACTTGAATAAAATATGAGTAACGAGCAGCTTAAAAAACTTGAGTAAAATAGAATAATTATTCATGAATAACATGAATAACATGAATAACCATGAATAGTCACGTGTAAGTCACGGGATTATTATAAATTGACATATATTTTAATTTTAAAAAAAGAACTAAGGTGCCTATTAAGCAGGCTTATATAAGGGCACTTAAATACTGATTTTCTTTAATAATGAACTTGAAGTATTACTAAGGTTCAATTTACTTACTAAGTGCTACTACCACCTGATTAGGTAGTGAGGTGGCACTAGGTGCGGCCCCCCCCCCCCCCGGGGGGGCCCCCCCCCCCCCGGGAGCCTTACCTGACTAGGCTAGCCCCATCACGTGTAATAATCACGTGTGTTATTCAAGTTATTCATGAATATTCATGAATAACTTGAGTAATATATGAATAAAATATGAGTAACGGGGTTTATGCTTGAATAGAATATGAGTAACGGCCATTATTCTATTTTACTCTATTCATTTGACACACTGCTTGCTGTGTTTCAGAGAAGCCGATGCCAACCTAAAGAATAAGATACTTTGTTGTCATTTTTGTTGTCTCAGTCACTGGGACCATGTCGTGCTGATGTCGATCAACTTCCAGCCTGCAACAATTTCCACATGATCTGTACTTCCATGCCCACCATGGCAAACTCTCGCTTGTTTTGACGCGTACGCATGATAAGCTGATCAATTCGTGGCTGCCGTAGTCTCCCGTTTTCCAGGAGAAAGTCTGTGCAAGAGAGAAAGAAACCAGGTCTGTCTCTATAGTTAATATAGTCGAATGCAATGGAGATGCAAATTCAATGAACGAGATTTCGTGCGGCTGCCCGTAGGTGATGTAGATGTTCATACACTCTCCCGCATCGGTACCTTGGATGTCGAATCCTTTTTGCCTCAGGGGCTCGCTTACAAAGGGGTGCGGGGTAATTCGCTTCCTAGCCGGGAAAGGCGGCGTGCCTATATATTCGCCTTCCTGTAGAGACGAACATGAAAGTAGGCAGGATACTGGGGTCCGAATCGTTGAAGAACCTCTGCTGGAACGCAATTTCTAATACCAGACTTATCTTCCTTCAGGGACAAACGTCATATTTTCAAGTCTGGATGAGAGATAATTACTGCCTCTAGTCAAAGGTCACGATGTTGTAATTCTGAAAACATCACTTTCATGAGCTTATGCGACTTGTCATTCCCTCCAAGTTCATCATACAGATTGGATAAAATACCACTTCGGAATTCTTGACTTGATTTGATGCATCGTGACAACGTTAGGTCAAGAGAAGAGTTTACATCAATGATTTGACATTCAACTACATAATTCATAAATCCTTCCACTACTCTTACAAATTCCAGCAAAGCAAAAGAGTGAAGAAACCTTCGGATTACACAGATTATCTTCGGGTATCGCAGATCATTTACACACCGGAAAGTTGTTCCTGGTGAGACACAACAATATGTCTCTTCGCACGGTCGTGGGACCTGTCATCATGCAGAATCTGGGGTTCGCCGTGGCGTTCTGCAAATACGGATGGTGGGACTTGCGCTGCGTCGAGTTGTTGTTTTGTGCCCCTGATTCTCAGTGTCAGCAAGGTTGTTCCGAGGAATGAGATGGCGTGATAGTCCAATCAAACGAAAGAGGCAAATGAGGTAGGCAAAAGACAACTTGCTGGGGCCAAGGGTCTTCAGTACCTGTAGAATAATTCCTTACTTATGGGTGGCATTTCCGCCGTATGTCTTTCCACCAGACAGATCGCTGTCAACACGCTGTGGTTTGTTAGCACACATTGTTTCTATGTTAATTGAGAGTATGGGGACAAACCGGGTCGACCTTGTTGAGCATATCGCTGTTGTGTGGCCCTGCAGTGTTTTGTGCAGTTCCAGATCCAGGGGTTGCGTGGGTCCCTGAAGATCCCAAAATACCTCCTGTTGTCGAAGCGCCATGGCGGTTACCAGTGGAACTCAAGTCGCTATCCACACGGGGATCGACCTAAATTTGAGTTAGCATACGAATGAATGAAAGGAAACTTTGACTTCTGAGATGAGGGTCATGTCCTCTAATGTAAGGGGTGGTTCAGAAGCTATGGTAGCTCATAAAAGTATTACTGACCTTGTTGGCTAGGTTTGAATCGTGAGGGCCAGCATTCGTGGAGTGAGAAATTCCACCAGTGGTTCCCGTGTTCGATCCGATGTTGTTACCAACTCCAGTGCCAGAATAGCCTGCAGTTCGCTGTCCTGAGGTTGCACCCATGTTTCGGGAGTCGTCCACTGAAAGATTTGAAGTCAGAAATTGTTTTGATGAAGGAATATCAGGAATTATGTAATGTTCGAGCTTCTGAAAACGGAGGATTTCTTTGATGTCGAGGGAAACCAGATAGAATCTTGAACTTACAATCCGAGTCTACGGTAGGATCGATCTTATTTGCGAGGTTTGAGCTATGAGGGCCTGCAGTGGTGCTTCCTGAAGTGCCTGTCACTCCTGTGCCGGTCCCAGTGTAGCCCCCGGTCGTGCCGTGGCCTGTGTGGGTTGTGCCGTTGATGCCACCAGTTCTCGAGCTATCAACTAGAAGAGACAGAGAAGTCAGCAAATTACTATGAACTAAGATTTGAATCCGGAAGATGGGGAAAATCTTCATACGAGAGAAAAATGAGGGTACGAACGGTCTGAATCAATTCTTGGATCAACAGCGTTGGCTGCGCGGCTCGAATGAGGGCCTGCCGTTCCTTCTGGAACACCTCCATTGTGGTGGGTGGTGGAGGTGGTGGACTTGTCCTTGTCGAGGTGAAGAGCGTGCTTGACTTTATCCATGGTAGACATGTTGATTGGTTTGATTTGGAAGAAGATTTGTGGTTTCAAAAGTGCGATTTGGCAGTTTTTGATTTGAGTGCGTATAAGAGAAGAAAAAGTCCGAAGTTAGGTCGTAATGGATCTTTATATCAAAGCACGAGGCAAAAGAACTCTCCACCAACCACCCAGAAACCTGTTTTCTCGCAAGATCAACTTGCTCAAGATTTTCATAGCGTTACTCGAAACGCAAACCTCACATCAGCATCCTCGAAGCCATCTGGGACACAAGAGCCTTTTTCGTCATAACCCAGCAATGCCCCTGCTTTTTCATGTACAACCCCGCAGATCCCGTTTCCAGTGCCAGGTTTTGGGTGGCGGCCAAGCTTAGTCAATATATTTCCGACCTATCAATTGAGCAGCTTAATACCACGAGATGCCGAAAACTTCTTAGTCTGAAAACGTAATGGGACAATCGTCATAATTGTGGCTGGAACGTCATGGCGGGGTGCTTAATCGGGGATGTGGCTGCAAGGCTCACCAATCGGCTGATATGCGCCGTCGATCTTTCTGCCCGTTGTGGCTGATCTGAAACCGTGATTTTTCCAGAGATGTGGCGGTGCGATAGATATTAGTTCGATCAAATACTTGGTAGGTTGGACCAGGACATCCAGGATCGACACCCTCAACCGCCTTGGAAGTTGATCGATCCAATTCTGTATTCTTGGTGTCCATGTGAGACGTCGCAGAGCCTCTTGTGATGTCAGATGACGTCGAGAGAGTTTAAAGACGGGTCTTTGTCTTCGTGATCTCGAGATCAGTTATGCCGAGCCAAGGAACAGCTAGCCGAGTGGCCGCTTTACTTTCTTCTTCCTTCTTTCTTGGCATTGCATATGATTAAGAGCTTTTGAAATATCATAGATTCCTCTAATATCATCGAAGAGTTTGCAGTCCAGAAACTTGCCGGAAATATGTTTAAACAGACACATCATGCGAGGCTGTAATTAAAACTGAGCGTATCAGCATTGTTACCGCATGAATTTGAACGTGAGGTCTAGTCAACGGCTAATAGTGGACGTTCCCCCGTAGTGCAGGGCCGCCTGACACAGGTTGCGAATGATCTCCCAAATGAGATTCCCGGCCCCTGCAATGTAAGTCATTTGCCCCTTGATGGTCCATTGTTACTCGTCTATGAATGCCAGTCTTCCAATTACACTGCATCGTCCTCTTAGATGATATCTGCTAGCTGGTGAGGTATATGTAACTCGCCTTGTAAATTGTGAACCCTTTGACATCTTTTAAAAAGACAACCGAATTGATGCCACTCAGTCTGACTATAGCCCAAAATATGCTCCAGAAAAGTAACGAGGGTTTCTTGGTGGATATCGTGAGCTCTTGCGGGATGTCGTCCGACCCGGAAAACTTCCCCAGAACGATATAAGAAGCTCTCACTTCTCCACCAAGGTCCACAGGTGTTTTTTACTTCCGGTTGAAAAGGAGGCTGATTGAAAAGTATGAGATCCCTACACTAAATTCCGTTTTGGAAACTCCTCCTTCATTGCCGCTATCCTGGTTCCTCTGGAACCACCTTCCAAATCTCCATGCACCTGTTGACCCGTTGTAGCTATACCAGCTCCTTCGGGCTCATGCTGATTTGCATCTTGGCTATTCTCTCTGCCCCTTGTCTTCATTGCCGCTGAGCATGTTTCCGATACCAGACGTTGCGCTCACATCTATGTTGGGCTGAGATGTGCTCCGTTGTCCTGGCCTGCCATGTCTGTGAAAGTATTAGAGTGTGTTTTGATAAGGAAGGCTTATTGATTTGGCTGGCATTAACAAACTGTACGATAACTAGCTTTGCGGCTGAGCAGTGATCGCGTGCATGATTAGGTTTGACATTACGTGATGGAATTGCTCCTGTGCTCCCTCACGCGGCGGTGATGTCTGCCTTCTTACTGGCTGCAAGACGCCACTGATTCCGTGCCGTCTCAAGTACGTAGTCCCGTTTGTCTTGCCCCCCAAATTGTATTCGAGCTTTTAGTCTCCATTTCTGATTTCTAACGCCGGAATATGTATCGCCAATATCGATCAATTCCCTGTCCAAGCACCCAGACCTTGTCAAACCTTGACAGAACTCTCAAGCGAAGCTCATGGAAGTGGCCCAGAACACTGTCCCTCAATTATTCGCGGAGATAGTAGTTTGTAGAGAGTATTTTGCGCAGATGGAAGTTTTGATCGAGATATAGAGATATTTATGGAGCCTGAGGGTCGAACTTGGATTTTGGCGATATAGAAGGAGGCTTTCCTCCCTTAGCCCCTATGCAGTTGAGAAACATGGGTGGACCGAAGCATAAAAGCAAGGCTAAGAAGAGGGAGACCAAGCAGAAGATAGAGAAAATGTAGAAAGGCAAGGGCAAGGGATAGTATAGTTGCTCTAATGTATGGCAAGCAGAATTTGTCAATACTGAGTATGGATTTCTTCTATATTGCTGACTTGAGAGTTGTGGAATTAACTTGCGACCTGGTGGTTGAAAATACATGAAGAGAACGGTAAAATGACACGAGGAATTTTTGTCAGCTGATGATTTATCCAGCTCTCCAATTAGAAATCCGTGACAACAAGATTAGAGCATGGAACGTGAAATTGAGGGTCGCTGTGTCGAGTCCAACTTCACGGTTTCAAGGCATACCAAATATCTGCCAAAGGCATACTTTTTATCCATACAGGTCGATCTTGGAGTTCTCGGACAAGGGGTCCTGTTTGGTTCGCTGCTTTGCATTCTGAGTGCTTGAACTTTCAAGCCCGTCGGATTACGTCTTCCGTCGTGAAGTGCAGAGGGGGACCTAGGTTAGCAGGGCATCCCTCGTCGTTCTTAAGGGAGGAAGACTGTAGGCAAACCACTGAAAGGGGGGACGGGAGGCGGGTGCATGCTATCGCTCGAATCACGACCTCCTAACTGAGTCACAGGTTCTGGAATTCGGGGCTTCTGTTACTCAGCCCGAGACCTAATCCTGGCGGCGATATTTCTGTCAAGCGGAGTGATTAGTAATGCTCCATCGTTTTCTCAGTTGAGAATGGAGGGCCGAAAGATTTCAAAACTTATGCGTGAAAATGAGAGCTGCAGTATCATTTCATATGCATTGACTGCTTGCGTTTTTGCGGGTTCATAAATAGGTCGTGTCGTATTTGTATCGCGGCATCATGCAGATAATTCGACAATGCCAAGTACGGGAAAGTGGTCCTGTTCCTAACAAATTCTGGAGAGACCTTTGGAAGATAACGAATTTGGCACCTGATTTGGTGTGTGCAGAGCCTCCCACAGAGCGTCGGAGGCCACGGAGGGCTAGGTGAAGTCACACAGCCTGACTCAGTATCCTTGACCTTGCCTTTGGGATCCCCCAGCATGTCGACAATAGGTCATGAAGTCACACTTCTCCACCTAGAAACGCCCATTCCGTAATCTCGCCCCTGTATTTAGAGTTTGACACAAGCCAATTTCTCGGCTAATTTCAGAAAGGCTGCATGGAGGGCTTCCTAGGAGCAGTGAAGCCTTGTGCCCAACCAGAGTGGTTGTCTTACCCCGTTAGCGCCCAAATTTGTGAAGTGGCATTCAGGGATGTCCCACATCAAATCTTCAGTTAAAAGATAGCTTGAAGTCTAGGGAGGTTACTGCGGCAAGTACCGAAAGTCTCCTAAATATATATATGCAGTATATCTAAAGTATTCGCAGATCGATTTTTGATAAGTAGAATAATTTTTGTGGAGAACTTTGTACTTTATAAGCGTTGGGCGACACGATCCTGTGGTGGCCGATGGTGGTTTCAGATGAGCGGTGTAGTGGGCGGCTGGAAAAGGCTGCCGTTTTGGATGTCAAATGCGCAGCTCAGGGGCAATCATTGCTTCGTCCAGAGGGTAGTGAGCAGCTTTGGGAAGTCGGATGAGGCGTACCGTGTGCCAATGGCTTTTTCCGTCGAACTTCATAATTACGAAAATTTTAATATCTAGAGGCTTCCCTGTCACTAGGCTTTCAATGCAAGGAATAACAAGCCTTCGAGTTCGGCATCAAAGTTCTAGCGCTTAGGAGAGAACCTGTGGCGCTCGCACAGTTTGCTGGATTAGCTTACCCGAGCCGCGTTGGCGTCGTACCCCTGCAAGATCCTCGGTGAACTTTCCGAGAAACTTGTGCCTTCAGCAAATCAAGGCTTGACTATCTCACACTAGAACATGTTTCCTCTTCTAGAAGATCAGCTTTGCAGGGGCAAGAAGTTTTAGTCGTCCGCCACACTGCCGCTTACGATCTGGCTGTGGCCTCAAGCTGTATGTATTGTGGTTGATGAATTCTCCGCACTCTGACTTCCTCCCTCTCTCTCTCCCTCTTTTGCGGGTGGCCTGAGTTCCTCCCCATAATTTTGTTCCGTCCAGTCATTCATTTTCAACAATACAATTTGCTCTCCGGCAAGAGAGTCGTTATTGCACTCGCTAAGGGAAGGATCAACTGGAGCTGGACCTTGTTTCGTTTGAACGACAGTTTTTATTGCATATGCGGCATCCAGTCACACTCTTTTGGTAGTGTTACCAGATTTTCACCAGCATGCAAACTGAGCGACGACCGCACTTTCTCTCTATCGCTCAGGTTATTCCTCGCGGTTCTGTTGTGCATGTTCCCAAGCCCATCCTTTGGGGCCTGCGGGCGGCCTGCATCTGATGTCTGGCAATGGCGGGCGTACCATATCGTCTCGATGCTCAGCAATGGCTTCTTGCCGATCAGGTCATGCAAGAGGAGGCAAGCAAGCCGCCAAACTCTAGGTCTCCAGTCAGTGGGGTTATCAAACAGATAAGAAAAACCAGTTTTCTCAATGCTGCCAAGTAAGGTTCCTTCCTGGCTTCAAGCTCTGCCAGACAAGAATAACAATGATCATTTATACAGGGTGCCTACTGGAAATGCGATCAAGAAACGATATGAGACCTATTTCTTAGGTCCAGGAGAACTGGACGGATCTCTAGTGGAACTGGCAGATGCAATGATGGATAAAGCGATATTCAAGGGGCCCAAACTTGGACCTTCCGAGCTCGCCGAGGAGGTCAGGAATACTTATTTTTCGAAGAGGTAAGCCCTTTCTTCGGAATCTCTGAGGGAAGTTACTGATGGTATTTTCGGAAGTCCAAGTGCATTGCACACTCGCGAGGCAATCGAAAATCGGTACAGGACGGTTTTCTTAAAGTGGGAGGAAGCCGACGAGCAGATGAGGTTTGCAGCGCGAACAACATATTCTGCAGGAAAGAAATTCAGGATTGGAGCTGTCGTTTATCACGTCAAGCAGACTTTTTTTTCTGCCGAGTAAGCTTTCCGCTTCATTGCACTATTTGGAATCTAAACAACAATAGCCCTTCAACAACTACAGCCGATATTCAAGACCGCTACTGCAAACGTTGGGTTAATATCAAGAATACTCCTGCATCAGTGGAGTCATATGATGATAGGCGTGTTGCCCAAGAGTGGTCAATACCCGGAAGAGAGGCAACGATATCACGACCGGAAAACCATTCTAACACTACCATGGAACCTGCACAGAGAGACACTTCGAGCCCCCGTCCGCTTGTATCTTCGTCTTCGCCCGAAAACCCCCCTCAGAATTCCTCTACGCCTTTACAACAACATATCGTTGGACCCGCCGATCTGAAGGTACCGCCAAAGCCATTACCATCACCACTGTCTTGCGATCTCCATCCTTCAACACCATTGAGTCTAAAATCTTACAAACGCGCACGAAGAAATAGCTTTGACAGCAATAGTAGCACGTCCGCTTCGGCTTCCGTCAGTCCAGGCAGCTACACAAACTTCTCCCGCCCTCACTTGCAAAAATTCGAAATGCAACTGCGAGATTCAGGTTTCTACTCCTCCAGCAGTGCTAGTGATACGACTTCGCTTATCTCCCGCATGAGTCGCCTGTCCATCGAAGTTAAGCTGTGCGTGATGGACCATACACTGATGGACTCAGGCAAAACATGCCCAATATGTCGATATCCAGAGCCCAGGCCCAAGCCTCTTGTGTATGTGGCACCAGAGTATGCAGCACCGCAGCGTGCAGACGTCATCGATGCAGATGAGATGGATAATGGAATAATGACACAGAATGCAAACGCAAGGACCGGATAATGATGACACGTTGAATGAAGTTTCGTTTTTGGATAAATACCCCTTGGCTCCTTTAGAATTGTTTTCGTCACTTTCAATTTCAATGTGTAGTTTTACTTTCCCGATTCCATGTAGGATTAAAAGCCAGCGATATAGAGTGTTTGGGTTCTTCAGGGAAGAAGAAAACTGTAAAAGATGAAATGATACGACGGGACGGCAAGCAAAATGGAGCATCGAGGTTGATGATTAAATATGTAGAAATAAAAGAAGATATTCACCCAGCTATCTCCATAAACGACCACCTTAGCACTGCAACATTGGACGCGGAAGAGGTCTTGCGCTCAACCCCTTTTCCGAACTGTGCTGTATCATGATTCAACCTACAGGACAACTGCTGACAAATGCTTTGAATGTACGAACCATTCTGAGAACATTCTTATGATATAAGAAAAAAACTCCGTAAGTAGATCCACCAACTGATTGTCTTGGTGCAGCTGGATACATTAAAGTTGGAAGATCACTTGACTAGCCTAACCCCTTCAGAATTGTAGAGCTCAATTGCATTGCGTGGCCGCTGAACAAGGCTCTTGAGTGTACGGAAGAGTATTGGAACATTAATATAGTATTACACTCTAGTCATTTCGACGGAGCAATGCCACAATTGTGGTCTTGGGTATCTCAATTGCAATAAAAACTACACAAACATTCCACCCCAGAAGGAGCACGTGATCGACATGCCCACCCCCTTACTCCAACAACCAGAATTCACTGGCCTGCTTCAGGTCAGCAATGTACCAGACAACCAGGAGCAATGGCCGTTCCAAGATTTCAATGTACCACTTACGCAAAGAACAATGACCTTCGTGCGAATAATATCGGCACGAGACACAAGCTTCACCGAAGAAGCCCGGCACAACGACACACACCTCAAACGGGCCCTTTCCAGCGCCACGACACCTAACACTCGTATATCAGTTTAAATTGTACTAAGCACAGTTTATTGTACCGAACCGATTCCATTATCCCAAATAGAGTCCATTCTACCAAACAGAGCCCATTCTACCAAACAGAGCCCATTCTACCAAACAGAGCCCATTCTACCGAACATAGTTTATTGTACTAAGATTTGGAGCGTTTACGAAAGGCATAAACTTACTTCTCGCAGGCCTGACCTCCAACCCGCTCTTGTCCCACCAAGTACCCCCAACCAGCTTCCTTGTACGAGCTCCGGTTTTCGTCCGGTCCGATTCCGTGGGCGTTCTTGCCCGGTGCCACTTCCACGGCTCGGCAGATTGGCATCGACGCCAGCAGCTTGCCTTTTGCCGAGGCACCAGCCTCGTGGGGCCACCAAAGCAGGGCGTGGTGGTCGTCGGCGGAGAGGGTGGAAGGGGTGGCGGCAGCGGCAGCGGCCGGAGGGTTACGAGGGCGGCGGGGAGCACGGCCGGGGCCACCAGCAGCGACAGCGACAGCAGGGGCAGGGGCGACAGCAAAACGCAACTAGAAGGTCAGACGTTAGCTAAAAGCCCAGACGAGACTGCTACTTGAAAGGTAAAGGAACATCGGACGTTGTTTGAAGAGATCGGCGGAAACCAAGAGCTTTCAAAGATATCAAGTGTAATTCCGGACGACAAAGCAACTTGACATGCCAGGAAACATCAGGCGACATTTCAAGAGATCAGCGGAAAGCAAAGGCATCCGACTGGCAATCGTCTCGACCTCAAAAATTGAGAAAGGAAAGGTTGGATAATATTGTAGGAGACGAGCTGAAACAATAGCCAATAACGGAAACTGAGGTAATCGTCTCAAGTCCAGACAAAGCTGTGCGTCAAGGAAAGGACATGTTTGGATGGCAGTGTGGAGACATTGGCGGAAACTAAAGTCTTCGAATCTTAAGGGCGTCGTGTTCGTAATCGTCCCATTGCAGACAATATTGCTGCTGTCAAGAAAGGAATGTTCAGATAGTGGTTGCAGAACATCAGCGAAAACCCAGCGTCTTTGAAGACTGCTAAGGTTACTGTCCCAAGTTTCGTCGGAGGTTGCAAGCAAGGAACAGACGAAACGTCTTGCACTGACAAGAACATCTCGTCCAGAACAGTGAAAGAGGAGACTCTGCATTAACAATAAAAGTTAGGATAACTTACATTGTCAAGAGGAGATCGACCCTCCAGTGGGCCCAGAGGGTACGAGGGCTCAGCGCCCAAGTCGGTCTCCTTGGTGGTGACCCGGAAATCGTCCTTGTCGTAGGGAGCCATTTCAATACTGGCGATTGGATGAGCTGAGTTTATTTTTGTTTGAAATGTAGTGCTGGAGAGCGGCGGCAATGGCGGAGCGGGAATGGGAGTGGTGCTTGATCAGAAAAGAACTAGAAGCACTGGACGTAAACGACTTTGCTGCAACACTTGGTTGCCGCGGCGGCGAGACGAAACTAGAGAGTGCACCGGCCGCCTACCCAGATAAAATATCTTACCAGGAACACTGAAAGTACCACAACGGACGACAATAAATGGGAGAGGGACCTTTGATTTGTTTTCGTGTTGTGATTGAGAAGGGGGAGATGGGACGATACCGCATAGACCACCACCTTAGCCGAGCCCCTTTTCATCGGGAAGCATTTGCGTGAAGATGCGACGAAAGCTAGTTGACTTCTTAGATGCTTTGATTGACTTGGACGCCTTTTGCTCTTCCTTTTCAGCCAGTTTCTCATTGTTTGCTAGCTGAACCTGTATTCCCCTCTCCTTTTCCGTACGTTTCCGTTCCTCTCGAGCCCCTTCGTCCTTCTTGGCCTTCTCTTCCCTCTGCACTTTTTCCGGACGCTTGTCTTTCTTCTCGTATAATCGACCCAGTTGTTTTGGTTAATCGGTTGTGCGTATTGTGGTACCACAATCTGCTGAAGTCCATGCCCGAATTCGACTTGGTTGATTTGCTTCTTGTTGAATCTGAGTCGCAAGTATGCGGCCCGTGTCCACAAGTACCAAGTCTGCTTCCATAGTCCCTTGCATAATATTTCCTCCGGGATGCCTACATGAACCGCAAATTTATTCATGATACCGGCCAGCTGTGGCTCGATGTCGCTCTTCTGGACAGCCGGCTCTTGGACCAAGGTTTTCAATACCCGATGCATGTTTTCGAGCTGGCCACGGATATCGTCTTCCAAGTCTTCTTCTGTGTTTGATGCATTTTCAGTTGTACAGCATTAACCTTTCGGTGTAGGGCCAAGGGTGTAATGAAAATCGCTTCTTTATTGGTAACTTCTTCCGACATCCATTCATCCTCGTTGAGCTCGAGTTGGATCTGCTATATATTCTCCTGGTTCTCGACCCCTATCGGCTGTGCACCCTTTTGGGTCTCGGCTTGAATCTGCCTAGTAGCCTTTCGGGTTTTAGCTTGAATATGCTCAATAGCCTTTTGGGTCTCGGTCTGAATTTGTTTCACACCGTTCCGGATCTCGGTCTCCTGCAACCTCCGATACCTCTCTTCATGAGAAGCAATTCCATCAGATGCGACGAAAGCAAGCCACAATGCTGCAAGCTCAGAGATCTGGCGCAGCACCCATCGGCAATTTGATGATTCTGTCCCTTGGAGTTTCCAGGGCAGCGAGGACCAATCTCCCAGCTTGGCATCCGGAACAAATCCAAGTGGAGTGGTGGACTGGCAGCTGTCGCTTCACTTTTTCTCAGCCACATGGCTACCAGCTTCTTCGTTCTCAGTGCTGCTGCAAATGTCATGTCTCCTGATACTCCAGGACTTGGATCTTTGTCCTGCTGAAAATCTGGAGAAGGTCGAAAATTCCGGGCCGATGAGGGACTGTTCCGCCGGCACTATGGTTGAATGACTTCCTCTCACCGCATCAATGCTGAAGTCATCGCAGATATTCTTTTCGCTCCAATCCATGAAGTAGAGGAGCCACCACCGGCTGGAAGCTCCTCGGCGAGCAATGAGGGTATGCGTGCTGGTCAACCGATGAAGTTGTGCCTCGTTATATTTATGTCCCATTTCCTTTTTGGCTTTGATCCCTTGTGTTTGGGCTTTTCGCTGGTTAGTAGGAGTAAGCAGTGAATCTCAAATTGAACGAGCAGTGTGCTGTCAACACGAAAAGCTCGAGGTACTCACAAATTTCTGATCTCCTTTAGAGTGATTACTCCTTGAATAAACGTCTCCGGATGAGACCCTATGGTCACTCGCCATGGCCGTGGGTCCCAGGTGTTAAAATTGCAGAAATCAACGAATGAAGGGAGAAGACGTTCGTGTAGAAATATTCACTTTGAAAGTGAGGGTGAAAATCAAATGGTATGTGGTTGAAAACGTGCGGTAAATGCGGATGCCCGCGTCCAACTGCCAAATTCTCGCAAATTCCAAGAGGCTCCAGCGGAATTCTCTGCGCCAATTTCTACCCAATGACCTCGGCTTCACCCGACCAAAACCGGTTCTGCGATTTGTACAATGGCCGTCACCAAGGTGTCCACTGACCTCGGAACAAGTACGCCAATGCCGGAGGATCAACGGAATTGCATCAGGCTAGACAACAGAATTAGGACATTTCACTACTTCCAGGCTTGTATGTTCTTTCAAATCGACACGATCCAATTCATCCCAAGAATTGTTCTCCGGAATAATGACCGGCCTATTGCACAGGACAGACTTCCCAGGTGGATGTCTGCTTTGAAAGTAAATACTGAGAGATTTGGCAGCTTGAGTGAAGCAATTTCCGCAGCACCCAGAACCTCGAGCTCAAGAGTGACGTCACACCTAATGGTACCGCCTCGCAAAGAACATGTTATGGCTTCTAGTTCGTATCCGCCTCCATCTAGATTCAGTACTATCGATTCGAGATGAGAGTGTTGCAGGCCATTGATGGCCTCAAAAATCTCGGACAGATGACTCGAGGGCGTAAGCGCAAGTGACGGTAGTGAGGGTGGAAGTCTTTGGCCAGCAGATGCGGACAAGCGGGTGGTATCCGGCTTCGTCGAGCCTGAATTCGCAGCCCAAGCCTGGGCTCTCGATTGCGAGAGCGCTGAGAGTTTTGGAAATGGAGGTAGTTATAGCTTGTAGCGTACTGGCCCAGAGTTGTGCGGTCGACAAAGACATTGTTGAGGTCACCTGAAAGTGGAACTTGCACGAGCTTAGTTCAGTTACAGTTCAGCCATATGTGGGAAATAACCGGCGAAAGCAATCGGATTTTCGAATTTCGACACTCCACTCAGGGCATGCATCGTCAGTTGGATTTACCGATCTCAATTGCCAGGGCAGCATATTTCAGCCCACCTCCCAGCCGGGATCGTGCTCAATTCGAGGTTTCCTGCCATGACTGATTTTGCTTGTCTTGGGGTCCTTCAGAAAGCGTTGTATTGCTCTATTCGAAAGTACAAGGCCCACTGGAATCACAGATTGAGCGCCTCTACTCCTGCAATTGGCCTTCAATTAGCTGTGATTCTGCACACATTACACTCAAGGTGGTGGCGCGAACCAGGCCACCCACAGAGTTTGGCGATCGACGCAAGCACCGAGCCATCTTCCTCCAATATGCAGCGCTATCAAGAGAAATCCCTCCCCCGGAAGGGCATTGAGTGATGCCATAGTGCTGCGATTGAGTGGAAGAATGCTAGAAGTTGGGAGGAAGTTCCTGTGTGTCGTTGTCAAACGGCAAGGGTGTGGGGTCATCATTCTTATGTAAGCGGGGACCCCTCCTAGGTGGCTTTCTTCCCTCTCAGTCTTTGCGAAAACAACTGTATCATACTCTGGTTCTACTGTCAACCTGAATACAGTTTTGTTCACGAAGATGCCTCAGCTGATAGGTGCTGAGGTGCTCGATCAGCGGCGTCCTTTGCATATAGGCACATACAACGTAGCGTTTTGGCAAGTGCCTCGCTCCTTTTTAGCTACAGTTTATTCTGTGCGCATTGGTTGAACTCATGTAAACAGTGTTGCCCATCAATTGTCTAGGGTCTAGATGTTGCTGACAGGGATCGAAAATCATGTTATCCTACAAATTTCGAAGCATTCCAATTCAAACCCTAGACACCGAAAGCAAAAGCCCACGAAGTCAGCACTCCCAAACTTTTACCTGCAATCACCCACAAAATGCTATGAAACGTACGTTGCCTTTAATTCACTCTCATAACTAAGCCCCCCAAAGCTTGCTTAGCCCTGCTAGCAAAAAGAGGGTAAACAAACGACCTCCAAAAAGGCTGAAAGAGGGGAGTAAATGGATCTAGGTGAAATTGGACCAACATCTCATAATAGGACAGCATGACTCTTTTGGTGGAGGAGGTTGGCGGCCGAAGCGTAAGATTCTCGGCCTTGATCTGCGTTTTTGCGTTCATCTTACGCATTTTACCATTGAGCACCAACTCCAGATTCATTTCCTGAGAGGGCTCAGCTTAAAACCTGTACAGGTTAACCTGAAAGGAAAAGTGACGCGAGTATCATCTACGAGAATGACTCGTTTGCTGATCTCTCGCGTAACCTCCATGCTCAAAGACTTGCAAAACGACGACAAAATTCAGAAAGAAAAAAGAAACAAAAACAGAACTATAATGGGGGTCGGCTGGATTCGAACCAACGTCTCACAATTGAAGGGTACAGCAGGATCTAGTCCCACGCCGTCGAGCGGCCCCGCCTCTAGGGCAGATGTCGTGAAGACTTTCTTTCTGTGCGCTTTACCACTAAGCTACAACCCCAATTGAATTATGCAAAATAGTTTTATTTGAAACGATAAAGGTCAACCCAAAAGGTGGGGGAAAAAAGAAGGCTCGCTTGTTAGCTCTCCAGGTCAGGAGCAAAAAAAAAAGGGGGGGGGGCAAAAATTTTTGCAACAAAAAAAAAGCGCCATTCGAAGAGAAACTTAAAAATATGATACGTCGAGTCGGCGGGGTTCGAACCAGCCTCTATAAATTGAACAGACAGAGTACTGGTGATGCCGGATGTTAAATACTAAGGTATAATATCCTCGATCTTGCAGTCCACAACCCCTGATTTGGGTTGCACTATGATCATATTTTGGACTACGAAGGCCAAAGTGGAGAGGAGGTGAATACGTCCGTAGAGCGGAGGCATTGGGTTCTTCGCGGTCGCGAGTCTCAGGAAGGCAGCACAGCAAATCAAGAGCTGGCTTCAGCAGAACGGGCGAAGATCAGTATCTACCACGCACCAAAAGAGTCTCTTGAAGCATGTTCTTGCTCAAACATCAATTCGTCTATGTCTTTCCCACTCTCCGTAACGAGTCCTCCGCGTTTATTACCCCCTCTTGAAACCCAATAGCTTTCGCAAGACTCTTTGCCTCCTCAAACTTCTTCCTCGCTTCCGCGATGTTGCCATCCATCTCTGCAAACTCTCCAAGATTATGTGTAGCTACCGCGCAAGCCATATCACATTCTTCTGTTCGTTCTGGAGGTGTGCATTTAGCTGCTAAAGCGACGGCCCTTTCAGCCCAGGCGCGGGCATTGCTAACGAGTGCTGGTCGAGAGACGGGTGGCTGCCCTGGTGTTGGGGGTGGGGCTTGTTGGGCGAGGGAAATAGAGAGGTTATTCACTGAACTGTCAGTAAAAAACTAGAATAAATATTGGGAGCGACATACTTAACACCGCCGTATGGCAACTCGTAGGTGGCGACAAGGTTAGAGCCTGAAGAAACAATGGCGCAGCAAGGTAATGCTGGTTCTTCTCCTCATACATGTGTCCCAACGCCTCCAAAGTGCCTCCAATCTGGTCTGGATCCATCCACTCCCCCTCCTCCGGCTTTACGCCCTCTTCTTGCCTCCTCTTCTGCTCTTTCAATACCGTCTCCACAGCCCAAACCAACCTCTTCTCCGCAGCCTCTTTATCATCGACATACTGATTCGCATACAGCTCGCCCAGCTTAACACTAACCCCCACCGTCTTCCCCAAAACCCTTGTCCTCTTCCCCTCATTCCCAGGTTTACTTCCCAGCTCCTCCACCCACCGCAAATTATCCCTCCTCACAATCTCCAGAATTTCAATCGCCCGCCGAAACTGCTGCACCTTCTCCATCAACGCCGCAAGTTGGATCTTGACCCCGATAATCTCGTCTGAGAAAGGATCCATGCCAATCTCATCCGCGACCCTTAGCGCTTCTTTGTAATATTTCACTGCGAGTTTCGCATCAAGTGCTTGGTTCGTGTAATACAGCGCTTTTCGTAATTGTTTAGCTACCGGTTCGGGGAACTTGTGGAAGGCTCCGCGGAAGTAGGTGTAGTATAAGTAATTGGTGTATGCGAGGAAGCCCGCACCCGCGAGGATACTGTCTGCTATTAGCTTTCGTCCTGTTTTGCCCTGGGGGTTGGATGTACAAGAAAGTTGCTGCCGCGACGGAGAAAGGGTAGGCTTTGAATAGAACTTTGGAAGCTTGGCTAAAGGTCGCGGTCGATTGGTGTCTTTGCTGTCTCATCTGATGCGATATTGAGTTGCGTGGCAATGGCTTTCGTTGTTGACGTAAACATTGTGAAGCTTGTTTCGAAGCTGGTCGGAACGCGCTCCGGAAGCGTGGCGCGAACATCGTTGGAGCTGTACCAGGTCAATTGCTTCCCGGCGAAGTAGGGTCTAGATTATTGGGAATGTGTTGATCTCAATTCGAGCTGATGAAGCTGTGATATCTGAGCTGCGAGAATATTTTGAAGTCGATGATCGCGACAGCGACCCCTGTTCGGCTGATGTCAAGCCGACGCTAAAATCAACCTCCAGTCCTTGTATTTACCCCACATCCGAGGCAGCACAAAGGTTTACAGCCTCTGAACACCTCTCCAAAGCATTGCAATTCCCTTGCTCAACATTGCGTTTACGGAAAGAGGTAATTCTAAGTAGTTGCGCAGGTCCAACATTCCACAATGGCAACCAAAGGCAAATTCGAGCCCAAGACACCGGTAGTGCTCAACCCACCAAAGGACGACCCTATCACCCCAGAGTTTTTGTCGAGGTGCAATGGCAAGTCTCAATTACTCTCTCATAAAACTTTGGCTGACATCATATCTAGGTATTGACAGCAACCTGTGCTACGTCGCGATCAAAGTAATCTTCCCTTCTTCCTTCATCGAGCCTCGAGCCCACTTCCCCACCAATCGTATCCACATCGACGAGGCTGATAATAAACCAAAAATCAGGGCAAAGTCTTCGACGTAACCGGAAACAAGTCCTACGAGAAAGGCGGCTCTTACCACGGTACCTTCCCCCTCACCCTCCTCCTTTCCCCTGCGAGCCTGCGAGCATCCCGCATTCCCTCCTCCGCCCCCAAGCTCCCTAACAATAAACCCAACACTAATCACTCTCTCTTTCGAAACAGTATTCGCAGGCCACGATGCCTCCCGCGCCCTCGCCCTCACCTCCACAAAACCCGAAGACGTGCGACCCGACTGGGAAGACCTAGACGACAAAGAAAAGCAGACCCTCGATGACTGGATGACATTTTTCAGCAAGCGGTATAACGTCGTCGGTCTTGTAACTTCTCCTCCGTCTGGCTCTACGCCAGCATAGGAGTAGAACGGTCATGTGGCTATTTGATGATGGGACGGGAGGGAGTTCGGCGTACATACTCAAGCAATGCCGCTTCATATTGGGCGGGAGAAAAAGCCGAGACCGGAGCAAGAATAAGTACATCACACCGAATCACATCTTGCCTCGAGCTGCCATACGATCTATTTTTGCCGGAGGCCTCTCCTGCTCCGCTAACCGGGAAGTCCCGTCGTTAGGTACTTGACGGCTATTCTACCCAAAAACTCGGATCCGACGTGGCTGACTGGATCGACATTTGTGCAACGGAGCCATTCTGTCTCTCGCTGAATCTGGAGCAACCTCCTGAATGTCGTGCTATGGCTGTTTTACATAACGTGCTGTGTTACTCCCGCTGGTTATGTTCCCGGTCCATGCCCGCATCGATCGGCAGCCACGAGTGACACGACGTATTGTGAATTCCATTTCTCATGTTTCTAAGGCCGTGCGTCAAGACGCCAGCACTGGATGCTTTTGTTCTAGAGGAAATGCTTTGTTTTGTTCAAGTCGACGAATAGGCTTTGGATTGCCAACTTTCGTTCTTAATGTAACGAGTGCAGTATTACAATACGACAAGGCTCGTACAGGCATGCACACGATATCAATATCTCCCCTAATTGTACTGTAGACCCGCACCCAACTCCGAAAGATAGCCACTCGCAACAATGCACACAATGGCCCCGTCTCTCCCTTTAAATCTTCGTCTCTTCCGAGGTACACGCTCCCCATTCCTCTCCCAATCACAGCCAAACCGACACCGGCTCGTCAGCGGCGTGGAGTCTGGACCTGACCTCGGAAGAGGACATCCTCCCCCTTATCCGAGTGTAACATTCTGGAAGATCTACCGTCCGCCACGTGCGGCCCGCTTCATTGCCGCTGCACGCGTCGCATCAATGCAAGGTTGGCACGCCACGTTCTGCACCCACGTATGCTTGATGACCTTGACGCCAAAGCATTGGTGGTAGGGGTCCGTCCGCGCGAAGTGGCAGTAGGAGAGCAGGCGGCTGGAGTTGTGGCCGCAGACGAATTGGAATTCTTCCCAGTCGCACATGGCGGAAGCGTGCTGTGGAACGTCAACCTTGTTTTCAGATGCCAGGGCGGGAAGGGGGTGCCTACTTTGTGCAGCGTTGTGTTGCCTTGGGGGTATTGCGGCGCGTGGTTGCCACGAGGTTGCGCGTGCGTGGGCGGATGTTGGTTCCAAATTTCAGTTCCGAGAACCCGGTTGACAGAAAGGCTGACGCAATTTCGTTGACTGATAGGGTTCGAGGCTTTTGGGTGTGCCTCGGATTTGGTGTTGAGGCAGTCGTTTGCAAACGGAGTGAAGCAGATCTGAGGAGTGGTCAGAACAAATCCTTTGTGTAGTTGAGGTTTCACTTACAGATAGCTCTTGAGAGACAAGCCCTCCAAATGCGAGTAAGATCGTAGACAACTGATGACAAAGAGTAGATAGAGAAACAGAGCGCTTGACATATGCAGGACCGGGAAACAGCATTATTTATACTTTACGAAGTATCTCGAACAATACGAACGCTTACCGTGACAAAACTGCTGATCTTCATATGCCATCCATATCGGTCATGGGTAGTGTCACCTATCAATCTTTTTCCAAGAACAATTTTCTTATTTGGATAGAGCCTTGGTCTTCATCTATTGAGAAGCAATGGCTTCCGCGGAAATGCATCTTGTGTTGCCACTGCATTAGGGCACAGACATCGCTTGATGCCCCATCCTTGGCAAAATACTGGTAGCGTTCACAAGAGAGCGCGCACTCAGGGGACAAACGGGCAACCTCATTCGAAGAGAGTCAGATAGTTTGCTTTATAGTCAGAGAGATGACGAATGCAAGTTGGAAGCGGCCTTCGGATTGGATGGTAACATCGGAGGGGGGGATACAAAGAAAAAGTAACAAGGGTATTGTTGAGGAGCGGAAAGACTTTTGAAGGCGCGTTGAAGAGCCGGCCTCTGAGATTCCAAGTTTGCTGTCAGAGTCATGAAGAAGTAGTGATTCAAGAAGTGATATCTGATATAATACCGAAACGGCCTGCAGCGTGTGGCATTTGACATGCAGGTAGATCGTAAGCAAACGCCGGGTCATGAGAGTCATGGTTGGTAAAACCAGGTAATCGGAATCAGTGTGCGACATGGTGGCTGAAATGCTCCAAGCGTCTTGTGGCTCGGCTTGCAGAATGGCCGATGGAGAATCCTGAAATTCTGGTGAAGGAGCTAGAGAATCACTTACTGTCGTTCTAGAGCTTCGAGCCGTGCCAGCAAACCGTGCTTGACAAGACAATCATATCTGATAGACATGAGACAAGGGCGACTTTGGCCGTGTTGAAGAAAAAAGTAAGGCGATCGGCTTTGCCTTTGGGTTCTATCTCTACTCATCGAGGAGGGTCGCAGACGGCGCTTTGACAGTGATTCCGGGAAGATTATCCGTCCAATACGACAAACAGCTTCCACGAAGCTTCTCATGCACTACTGAAGATCCTGCGGCTCAGTTGTTCTGGTGCATCGTAACTGGCTGTTGGCTGGAGATTAAGACTAGCCATGCGATGATCTCAACCCAAAGCCTTTAAACTAAATAAACTTTGTAGCTTAGCATCTGGTTGTGCGACTTGACCAAAGATGTCTTCAGCCTGTAGCCCGGTACTGGGAACGATCGGAGATTCCGGCCAGCTGGCTTGAATCCAGGATGAAAGAATGCGAGGAAGCTTCAAGAATCACGCCCGTGCTTGCAAGGATGCAGGATTTGGGGAGAGCGGGATCAGAGGATTGAAGTGGAGGATTGCAGGAGAAGAAGGAAAGAAGTAGAGGGGTGTGGAGAAGGCCCCTGCCGATGTCCTCTCGTTTACATACCACCGCCTCTCATGCAAGTAACTCCATCCAGACACTTTGCTCTGGAGCTGTCCCCGCCTCTGAGCTGCAAGGAGACTTGGTAGTTGGATGCGGCGAACAAGTGTAATTCAGGTTCATATGACGTAAGGGAAAATTTAACTGGATTAAATTATTCTCTCTGCCACTCGAGAATTCAGGGAGAGCGGGTGCGTTTGAATGGACGGTCTCGCCATCCTCGCTTAACTTCGGTAGTACAACAACGAAATACGGACCAGTACAAGCAAAAATATTGACTGCTGAACAAAGAGAAAGAAGACACCAATGCGAAGTCCCTCGAACACTCAAGTGTGAGACCTCTGAAGAAGAAAAAATGAACTTCTCACGTGACAGGTCTCGTGATATTCGATGCCTGAGGACGCAAGGCCAGAAACCGCCCCACCCCACCAGCTGCAAACACGAAATCACGCCGTACATCTGCAGCAAGAAAACGTGGCAATCGCGAGGGCTTCATGATCCTTTCATGTACCCTTCGCACACAAGCCGGGCGTCGGTATGCACACCGATAGATTGGAGATGAAGCTATTGATGCGCGAGAAAGTTTCTCGCGCCGTCTGGGCTTCGGAGTCGCGGTCGTGCGCACGCGGGAGGCAAAGTGAGGCTTTCAAGCGAGAACAGGCAGCAGACTCACCGATGGTCCGCCTCACTTCTCCCTCCCTTTCTTCCTTCTTCCTCACCTCAATCCCATTTCTACCTCCTTGGCCCTCGCAATCTCATGATTCGGCGACTGAACCAGCCGCTGCATTTCTTTCCCGCGTGGTCTTGGAACGGCCTTCCAATCGTGTGTTGCTGTGATCCCCATGTCCTCAGATTCCTGAGCTTTTCCGAACGCGTTCACCGAGCTCCTGGCAGGGGTCGACCCAGCGGAACCCATTTACCTGCGCGATATAGTCTCGAGTCTGCCTTGCCGTGGCCCTGCGAACCAGTGTCCTTCCACTTCCAAAGCAACTCTTCACCATCGAAGTATCGCCCCGCGTTGCGAGGAGTCGGCGACAGCAGCTCTCAGGCACAGCTGTAGGGCAAGTTTCTAGCTGTTCTTATACAATCCAGTTGGGAGGTTTTGATCCGACGTTCCGCTGGCCGACTGTCGCCGAATTGTGACGGGAAACACCACCGGTTTGATCAATCTGACTTTGCTCAAGTTGTGCCGCTCGCTAACACACGTCAGATAGGTACAATGTCAGGTCAATCGAGTCGCCGTGATCGCTCTGTACGATAGAATCCCAGCTCTCCGCCACATTTAGGCTTCCGTTCTGATGGATGTGTTGTTTTAGTACTATCCCCCTATTCCTACCAGAAGTCCTCTGGACCAAGGACAGATGTACGGACCCGCAAGAGAGATGGGGCCCCCTCCCCTGGATTGGCCTCCACAGCCCGTGGAGATGGACCCCTTGAGCAATTCAAGGACTCTACCAAGTCCTCAAGCATCAATGTCTGCCTCCAATGCTTGGGACGCTCTGCTTCAACCTCATCCCTTCGGTGAATTATCCTATGGATCTCCGAACCATGCGAGGCCTCAGCAGCTCCCAATGGACGGCCCGAATCGTGCTTCTCCACCGACCCAATTGCCTTTGGTTCAATGGTATATGGGTAATGACGGACCTTGGATCCCTAAGGGGATATCAGAGATCGTCCCAGACGACAGGTCTCAGTCAAGACATATTGACAACCGAAGTCATCTAGCATACACAGGTCAGTATAAAGCACCCAACCCATCGGACCCAGGATCATTCCAATATTGTGCACCTCATTCGGACTCCGGTTATGGAACCAGGCGTAGTGATGGGAACCCCTCCGTGTTCACCGCCGACGTTCCAGAAAGGGATCAAGACTGCCAGAGTCTTCAAGGACATGTCCCCGACTATCAGGCGTTTCCTGTGCTCAACGATATGCTGCAGCGAGATGTTAGAACTGCTGAACCATCATGGAGTTACCCGACCTCTTCCCCTTCGGACTCATCTAAACTCACCTGCCCAACATGCCGGAAACATGTCAAAACCCAATCCGAATTGAAGTACGGACATCGAAGTCGTTCCCTGATGCATGCTAATGAATTGTAGGAAGCACGACTTACGACACAGAAAGCCATTTACGTGTACAGTCCCAGGATGTCCACGCACCGAAGGATTTAGTACTACGAATGACTTGGAAAGGCATACCAAGAGCAAGCATCCTTCAGCCATGTCGGAAACTGCAATGACCAAGAAGTTCCGCTGTCTTGTGTCCGGATGTAAATCCAAAGAGAAGTCATGGCCACGTTTGGACAACTTCCGGAGTCATCTTAAACGAGTCCATGGAAACCAGTTGAGGCATGATGATGACTTCGACGAGCTCATACGACGGTAAGTGGAGTGGATGCACGCATGTTGAAGAGGGTGCAGGGAACTAATAGGTAACAGCGGTGAATATGTTGAAAGGAATGGCCTTACGATACAGGACAAGGAATCAACTCAACGGCCCAATCTGCCGGAGCCACCCCGCACCATGAAGGCAGATATTCGCGACACACAGTCCGGTCAATTGGCCGAAACAAATTGGAAACCCAAATCCCTTTATCCCGAGGTTATTGAATCGTCTCAGGATTTTATCGCCCCCAAAGGACCCCAACCGGACTTTGATTCCAAGGTGGCTGCAACCAATAAGAGTTCTCCATCCGAGACCCCACAGCAGGAAACCGTCCAACCTTTGGAAGTTTTCCGGACCCAGAGTCGCATTTTGGAAAACAGGATCGATGTGGATAATGTTCTAGTCCCAGTGGGCCAGAGTAATTCGACAATTTCCAAAGTTGAACCTGCAAGTTCCCAAGCGGTTCCAAGAGGGAGTACCACTGGTAAGGCTCCAAGGCAGAATCCAGTGTCAGCCTCAGATGCCACTATTTTGGGGGTAGTCAAACAGGCATTGGCGGGAGCCAAGATTACTGACGTTTCTCCTGATCGTGCAACCCATCAGGATTCGGAACGGAACCACTTGCCCAATGGAAGGTTGTCCTCGCGCGATCAGTGGCCCGCTGGTCCGAGTTCGGCGATGCCGACCTCAAGTGGAGCAAACGGCCGTATTAAACCAACGGATGCCCCCTCCCCTGAAGAGGCAGCCCGGGATTCTGAGGCTCAGAAGAAGGCTCTAGAGGTTCTCAAAGTCATTCGCGAACTTGGTTATATTGTGCAAAAGGACACCACCCATTCTCCAAAACCCCATAACCTTGGATCTGCTGCCAGCAACAGAAGTGAAAACCAAGTCACCTGCCAGACTTGCAAGAGGTTCACCGGTCGTCCTTGCGAATTGAAGTATGTGTTCTCAACATCTTTTATGTGCAGTGCTAACTGTTCAGGAAACACATGAAGCGTCACGAGCGGCCATATGGCTGCACCTTCTTGACCTGCAACAAGACCTTTGGCAGCAAGAATGATTGGAAGCGTCATGAAAATTCTCAGCACTTTCACCTCGAGACTTGGCGATGCGACGAAGAGAGACTTGAAGGCGGCGCATGCGCCAAGGTGTGTTATCGCCGACAGACTTTCCAAGAGCATCTTGTAAAAGCGCATCAGATGGTGCTTGATTCAGACCCCATCAAGGCCAAGCTCGACAACTGTCGAATTGGTCGCAACTGCCAATCGCGCTTTTGGTGCGGTTTCTGTAACAGTCTGGTTGAGTTGAAGAAGAGGGGAGTCGATGCTTGGACCGAGCGCTTCGACCATATTGATGACCACTTCATGGGACGGCACAAGCTGCCAAAACAAAGCATCCAGGATTGGGTCCCCATGGACAGTGACAGGCCCAAAGGAGAGGTTGAGAGCCCGCACTCTCTCGGTTCCCCAGACGAGGACGGGCCTGGGCCTTCTCAATCGGCCACGGGATCTCCAACCGAAAACCCTCCCGAGTCCAAGGCTTCCACGGGCGGATCGCCAGGTATTGCATCCAACCATGAGGAGGGCCATGCAGGTCCAAGTACCAAAAGATGCAGGCCCAGCGGTGGCGATGACCCACTTCCAGCCCAGAAGCGCGTGAAGCACGATACCGTCGTCTACTGTGTAAGAAAGCCCTTTCCCTGAGCAAATCAATATCACCACGGTGGCGCTGATGGGTAGACAATAGTGCCAGTGCAATACGCCCCACAACCCCAGAATCGATCTACGGTGCACGGGCTGTCCGGAGCGGCCCCACGAGTTCTGCAGCAATTGCAATGTGGAGCGCGTCCCGGCGCAGAAAGATCCTAGTGATTTCAAACGCAGATCGTGATATTGGATCTATTTTTACTGATTTCATTCCCTGGTGGAATTCCCCGGATAACCCATGTGGATTTGGTTACCGTTGACTTACGTTTGAGCCGTGAGATGAGTTACGATTCACGACTTTTTTTTGGTTTACGGATGGATTGGTGTACTAAAAGATTCTTGGGTAGAGGTGGGATTTAATGGAGCTGGTGGCTTTCTTCTGGCCTTTCATGGCGTTTGTTGATCTTTTCTCGTATTAATCCTCTAATGCAGCTTACTGCCAGTGATTTACTCTGGATCCGAAACCATGTCAAACATGCATCTTGACAGTCTGAACTTCAAAACCCAGAATACATCAAACCGCCCTCAAGCAATGCGGCTCAGCCGCACCTGATATGTCTGGCCTCCCATTCAGGCCACATTCTCAATATTTGCGTTTCATTTATAGAATCCTTCGCTAAAGCTCACCGAGTTAGGTTTCATCTGAACCGCATGATGGAGGGGTGAGGGGTCCAGTTATTGGCGCACAAGGATATCCAGCCACCATCCACTGAGCCCCTGCAGAATCGGTGTCTGTGAGAGGCATAGCGCGCAGCGGGAGGGACCCCACTTTGGCGGGGCGAAGGGGCAGTGAGGCGAAATCATGGGCTCTCCTTGGGAGACTGACTGACTGCAGACTGCAAACTGCCCAATACCAAACCCGCGAAATCCGGTCTGCACTCGGGGAGCTGATGCGACAGCGCACCTCACACCCTCCTCGAAGGGAAGTGGAAGAAAGGGGAGAATAGCCGCCGGGTTTGAGGAAACGGCCAATCACAGCAAATTGGATAGAGCCGCTTGGGGGCGATACGGCGCTGTGTCCGCTTTGGGAGGGCCGCATTTTGGGGCTGAAATGGAGACTGGTGATCGTCTTGGAGGGGGGTCTCAGGGAAACTCCTTTCTTTTGCGTCCGTCATCTTGATTTCTGGAAGAAGAAGGAGGGATGACACGACCGGTTTCTTTCTGGAACATGGAACATGTCTCTAGTCCCTCGCCCGGCGCAAAAAATGCACATGCACAGGTGAAGACGTGAGTGTGGAGGAGAGGCCGAGTCTGCCTGGTTCCCGCCTTGTCCGCCCTATGGCGTATCGAAGGAATGGAAGGCCTTGATTGGGATTTGTACAACCACCCTGCAAAAAAGCAACGAGCATACCCTCCGTCCACGTCTGCCCACTCCCGCGTGCCCGACGACCTCCCAAACCGCTCAGCGAGAGCGAGAGAGGGCAAATGGGCTCCTCCCTCGCCGGCTGCCGCTCCCTGTCCATTCAGAGGCGCAGCCATGGACCTCCACCAACAGTCAGGGGTTTGCATATGCATTCCTGGCTGCTGGTGCTGGCGCTGCAGTTTGCAGTCGGTCTGCTTGCGGGACTTAGTTTGAGGCTCTTTCTTCCACACCGGGAGGCGCCATGTTTCCAGTCGATCATGGAGGTTGGATGTGCTGGTGAGGGGGCTTGGCCGCCTTTACTTTATGTCGTCGTCCCTCTGCTCGTTTTGTTCGACCACCCTCAAACATCCCACTAACCGCAGCTCCGCCCCTCTCCGAGACTTTGGAACTTGGCTGCTTCGCCCCGAATGCCCCCTCTCACCTGATCCAGCTGATCGGTGACCTCACTCATCCTCGGGAGCGAATTTGTATGTATTGTGCTGCTGGTGCATAAAGACATTGGTTGTCTGTACAAAGAGCGAGTTGTTTGTTTCCAAGTTTTTTGTACGTCTACACAGCATATTCTCGCCATTGATATCCAATCATCTCGGTCACTGATATTGGATACTTAGTGAATCTCACCAGCGGGTTCTTGGAGCAAACACGCCCTCGACCTCGAGCTATATTAGGCGCGCTCGCTTCGGCAAACACCTCCACCACTTCAACTTCCTTCCGCCTTCTACCTCCAGGCTTGCTGAACTCCTCGACATCTACATCATGTCGAACAATTTTGGCTTTGGCTCCATGCCTGGAATGGAGTCCCTCCAGGATTTCTACTCGAGCTCACAGTCCTACCAAGATGACCTGTGCGGGCTCGACAGCTCCTTCGATAACTCCTGGATGGAGAACCTCGATCCCAAGCTCAAAGTCCTGAACCAACCTCAAGCTCCCTTTTCATGGCAAGTTCAACACCATTTCCAGCAACAAAGTCAACTACAACAACCTATGCAACGCTTTATTCAGGAACCAGAGAGAACCTTCTTTTCTGCTGCTCCTCTTGCTACCACACCACAAGGATTCTTTGACATGACGCGTGCAGGAGCTCCTATCTCCACGCTTCCACGCGCTTATCAAAACCGCATGGGTTCCCCGTCACCATCGCAAGGCGCGGTGACCTCGACGTGTAGCAGTGGTTTGAGCCCACCGGCTGAAAACGATTGGCCCCAAGACAACATCTTCTCACCTCAGGTGCGAGGAGAGGAGCTTCAACGGATGTCTCAATTCGGCCATTCACACCAAAATGATTTTCACTTCGAGCAATTCCAATCCCATGGCTCTCACGTCCAGCTCAGCCAGATCCAAGGCTTCTCGGACATGCCTCCAGAGGAAGTTTGCTACGATGGCGACGAGGGATACGACGAGATGGCCATGAAGACCGAGTACAACACTGAAACCGATAACCGCATCTTCAAAGTGGAAGGCGGTCATTCCTCGTACAGATACCCAAGTGACGAAGGCCTCGGCGAATCCATCAAGGACGAAAGCTCCCCACAAAACAGTACTATCCATGTCGAGCACGACGCACTGTCCGACGCAGACGCGGATGCGGACGGAGACATTGACCAGGAGAGCATTATCGGCGTCGTCAACGGCGGCGATGACGATGATGTCGAGTACACGCCCAAGTCTACACGTTCCCGGAAGCGGGTTGCCTCCAACTCTAAGACTATCACCCCTCCCTCCAACAAACGTTCCCGCACCACCATCAAGTCCTCTCCAAACTCCAAAGCGGCCAAGGGACAACTCCAATGCAAATCCTGCGACCACGCGCCTTTCAAGGACGCCGCAGCCCTCCAACGCCACAACGCAGGCACACACACTCGAGCCTTCATCTGCGTCTTCGCCTTCGCCGGCTGCAACAGCACCTTCGCCTCCAAGAACGAGTGGAAGCGGCACGTCTCGTCTCAACACCTGAACCTCTCCGCCTGGATCTGCGAGCTGCAAGGATGTGCCAAAGTCCTCTCTAACCCCAAGGTCGGCGGCCCGCCCGTCAAAGGCAGCGAGTTCAACCGCAAGGACCTGTTCACGCAGCACCTCCGGCGCATGCACACCCCGTTCACGGTCAAGCGCCAGCAGAAGAAGAACCCCGAATGGGAGGAGAAGCTGAAGGAGCTTGCAGTGTCTTGCTCGCGGGTTAAGAGGCAGCCGCCGCAGCGGTTGGCGTGTCCGTTGGCCGCGTGCGGCGCCGTGTTTGAGGGGCAAACGTGCTGGGATGATCGCATGGAGCATGTGGGAAAGCATTTGGAGAAGGTGGCTACCATGGCGAAGAGCGCTGAGGTGAGGCAGGAGAATGATGCGTTGCTTGTTCAGTGGGCGCTGAGGGAGGGGATCATTGAGACGAAGCAGGGCGGAAGTGGATACCGCCTTTGCTCAGGTGGCAGAGAGACTAGGGTCGGTGATGAGGATGCGGAGGGCGAGGAGGAGTGAGCATCTGCGGAAGAATGAGCATCCAGGGGCAGCGAGCTTGCGAGCATGTCGTCTCTTCCTCTTTTTTCATTTTTAGGTCTTCTCTCCCTTTTTGGGCTTGATTGCACACCACTTTACTTTACGTTACGTTACGTTACGTTTACTGTCGGACCACGGATTCACGAACAGAATGGATGGATGATACCATGGGATACATACAACCCTCCAGAAAGGAGCTTCACGGTCATTTCCTTAATCTGTCTGTCTTGTTCAACGACAGACCTTCGTACATTTTTCATGAAGTTATGATTTCACGGCGTTCAACGGCACTGGCTTGCAACTAATGGCGTTCTACTCAGCCGATAGATCGAGGATACTGCAGATGGAGATACAAAAAATTAAAGTTTCATTGTAATATCAAAACCTTTTCCTCACCTTGTGACCCTAGACCGCTGCAAACCCTCTCGATTCAATCCTGGTGTCTTCCTCCGCTTCCCCCATTCTCCCCTCCCCATCCCTCTCTTCCCAATCCCCATCTTTGGTTGCTGGGTGACGCTTCCCACGTGACGCTTCCAAGCCCCCTTTTTCAACCAAGCGCGCCACCAAAAGGCGCAGCACTGGCTCAGCTATGCTTCGCTCGCGACCGCAGCACTGCGCAAACATTCAGCCGGCCGCGCAACCTAATCTGATTTCTCACGCTCACCTTTGCACTGCCCGCGAAGGCAAATTGATTTGGTGTCGCTCATGCACACCCTGGTGCATTGCCCTTGAGAGCAACCTAATTTGGAGTTGCCGTCCTGTGTGCGCGTTTTCTGGAATAATGCACTAGCGATGGCGCCGCTCTGTTGTCCTGCAGATGGCGTTGGGGCTGTACATGTGCAGTGTGACCGGAGTCTCGAGACGGGAGTTCGCACCGTGGTTCGCATCGGGCGCATCCGAGTCATTGGCCGACTCGACACCACCCACGACTCACGAGGGCGTTGGGCGGGAAAGAAGGCAGGGGCCATAACGGCATTCACCGCGCCCCCTCTCGTCTCACTTCATCTCGACGTCAAACGAGAGCAAAATCTCCGGTGAATGAACTCGGCAAGCAACTAGACTCGAGACGCGAGAAAAAGCAAACGCTTACCTCGAGAACTTGGAGAGACAGCAAAGGCGGGAGGGCTGAGTCACGTGTTCGTGCGCCGAAACGACTCCTCACTTCCTCCGGCAGCTGAGTCATTTGTTGACTCCCCTCTGATGACTGTCACTTTTTCGAAACGACACTGAATCTTTCGAGGATCACATAGACCTCGGAAGACACTAAAGTCAAAACAAGATAACGGAAAAGAGAAAAGAGTAAAGAAAGAGAACCGAAAAGGAAGGAAGGAAAGGGAAGAGAAGGAGAGGAGAAGATGGCATTAACTAAGGCAATGAAGCAGCTTCTCGCTGTTCTGGGGTCGAAACGGCAATCAAAAACTTCTTCTCCACTTCCGCCCCCGCAACCAACACCAGAGAGCCAAAATCCAGTTCTACTCCCAGTTCGAGAAACGGAAACCCCCTCGCCAGACACCAAGTCCGCGGTTGCCGTCCCGGCCAACACACCACCAAAGGAGGTGGAGGAGAAGAAAGAGCTCAGTGAGGGCCGAAAGGGTGGTTCGGCGATAGAAAGCCTGCCAACCGAGCTTCGGATAGCGATCCTAGAAGCGGTAACGGAGGTGAGGAGTCTGGATGCGCTTCTTCGCGCCTCCCCAGGTTGCTGGCGCGCATTCCACGGCCCGAGGATAAAAATCCTCAAAGGATTGCTCCAGCATGAGCTACGCCCTTCTCTCCTCCTCGAGGCGCGGACGGTCGTGGAAGCAACGAAGGTCCCTCGAGATGGGGAGAGGCTGACATCTCTCCGGCACTTCATGACGGGGTATAAAGAGTTGAAAGCAAGACTCGCATCCTCTGGCAATGCGTCTGGAGAGTTGCCGCCGAGCGAGGTGGAGATTGCGGATGGGGATGTGATTGAGATGGCGAATCGGGAGCTACTGATTCAGATCTTGACGGTCCATTTCTGCAAAGATGCATTGCGTCCGGTATCAGCGAGCAAGCGCTCAGCGCCAATTCCTCGCGCTCATCTTGAGATCTCGGAGACGGAGAGGCATAGGATCCAGCGAGCGATGTATAGGTTTGAGATTTTCGTCGCGTTGTTTGCGGATAAAGATTTTGGGAAGCCGTATAGAGGGCATGGGGTTGGGGAGCAGGAGATGGCGGATTTGTATTTTGGGGGTGAGGGGATGAAGGATTGGGAGGCTGAGGAGTTGGCTTGTGTGCGGGATTGGATAGTCCGCGTTTATAGGAGAGTGCTGGAGGAGACGAAAGAACTCGTCTGGGAGATGAACGTTGAGAGTGAGAGGCAGGAACTGAGATGTTTCATGAAAGAAGGAAAACAGTTGGAGGCTCGAGCTGAGAAACAGGTTTTGGCACGCCGTGGGTTTTCCTCCCTTTCCCCCTTTCTTATTTTTGAAGATTGAATGGAAAGCTAAATTTGGGGGAACAGATCAATACTGGGAACCCGAACAATGTGAAGCCTTGATGATGATGGGCCTTCCATTCCTTGCGAAAGCGCTCAAAGCAGCTTCAACGAAGGAGAAATTCGAACTCCTGAAACCCCACCTCATCCATTCTTTCATGTACGCGCCGACCTTCTTGACGAAGGCGCTCGAAGGCACTCCCGACTCCGGGCCTCCCCTTGCCTATATCCAAGTACACCACCGAAGACCAAGGGTCCAATTCGATGGCGATATTGAAGATGGACCGAATGCGGCGTGGGTGCGGAGTAAGCGGAGTGAAAGAGAGGCGCAGGGACAGTGGTTTGAGAGTCGCGGCGAAAGGTGGAGGGAGTGGGGTTACTGTTTGTGGGATGAGGAGAGGCTGAAAGGCTGGGGGTGTGGGGAGTGGAATTGGAGGAATGGGGCGAGGAGGGAGAGGGGACGGTGGGTTTGCGAGGAGGTGGTGAGGCTGAGTGGGAGGGTGTTGCCGAAGTGGGTTTGGGTTGTTGATGGAGACGAGTGAGGAGGGAGTGAGAGCGCGTGAGTAAGAGCGTTGTTTCTGTCCGGACCAGAAGAAAGGGAAAGTAATATAAGAAAACTCAAATATCGAAAGCCGTTTGGAGTGGCAGACTTACGGGTGTGTTCAAGATGTTTAAGTCCTGAAAATGACTACCCCGTCACCAGGCTAGCGGAACACTTTCACTTCTGATAAAATCGATCACAAACCATTACAGTGCCTCACGCTTCTCCAAAACCCGAACAAAGACAGGAATGGAACATATTATCAACGTTTCAAAATCAAAAGTTCGAGCATTTAAAAGTGGAGCAGTCCAGGCGTAGCACCATGGTCGGTCCGACACAACAGCGACAAAATAAAAGAAAGTCCACTATAATACTAATTGACATAAATTGTATTAATTAGAATTATTATATATCTTATTATAGTTAATTCTCTATTCTCTGATTATTAATATCTTTAATATTATAAGAGTTATAAAGTACGGAATTATTTTAAATTAGCTCACATAGAAATATTCGTGTTTTATATAATTAAAAATCACGACTTGTATAATATACAAGGTTACACGGGATTAAAATCATAGACCTTTAATACTTTATACTCTTGTAACGGCTGGCATAATTGCATATTCTGCCGCAAATATCAAACGAGAGGAAACGCGCCTGAAACGGGCAAGAAAGCTAGAGATTGGCAAAGGACTACTAAAGGTCGAGGCATTCCCTTCTCCTTTACTCTCTAGTATAGTATTTTCAATACATGAGATTCTCTGAACTTTGTGCTTCGACCATTGCATTGATCCCGCCGTCACAACTCTCATTAGTAGCAACTCTTAAAATTTAAGCTTCTATTATATATGATAAGCTTATAGAAGCCTAAGGGCCTTATAAGTCTAAGTTTAATATATTATTTACTTAAGCGTACCTGGCTTTCCCGAAATATTTTGGTGTTTTGTATAGTTAAAAATAAAAATAAAGTATAATTCGTTTATATACTTTGAAATTTATTTACTAATTAACCACAAATCCTATCAAAAATCGGATTAATATATTTTATTCACCTAATTCTCTTATATAATTATATTGCTTAGTATTAATTACTTCAAGTTATGGTTAAAAAGTTATTATAGGCGTAAAAGGCGGACCGTTTTGTTGTTGTTTTGTCGGACCGAATATAGCGCCTGTCTCGGCAGCGGGTCTGGACGCAACAATCAGCTGATTTTCCACATCCCGATGACACCCGAATTTGCCTCACCATAAAAGAGATTAAACGTCGACTTCTGTCGTCTCTTTCATTTGTTGTTCCTCCTTTACGAAATATGCGATTAATTCAGTTCAAGATTTTGCGTGCTGAGGTCGATTGAAGGAGGTTCCATTCACGCCATCCACTCCACTCAGAATCCATTCTTTCTTGCCTTGGAATTGAGAACAGATACCTCGGTACGTCAGATCTAGGGACTCCCTCATTCAAAATTGGCCCACTGATCAAGGTGGGAACGTAGACACGTGATCGATCCATTTTCATTTTCGTTTGCATCTTCACCCGATAATAAATTAATCACGCGCTACAATGCTGATCGCGCGCCGCTTCTCGCTCACCAACTTCTTCGTCGCTACCACGGCGCTCGGATTCCAGGTGTTTGTGCTGTATCCTTGGCATAAGAGGCTGGATGACGATTTTCAGGAGCTGAAGGCCGAGGCGGTTAGGGCGTTGAGGGAGGGAGAGGAGGCGAGGTTGAGGGAGTTGACGCAGATCAAGGAGGAGATTAAGGCGTTAGAGAAGAGGAGTGGTTGGGGTTGGAGGTGAGGTATTGGGGATTGTGGGTTGTGGGTTGAGATTTGGGAGGGTTGGGGAGAGGAGGGGCTGAGAGGAGAACTTCATCCAAGGAGAAAATGATATGAGCCGGCAGCCAGAGATTTGTGTTTGCTGAGATGTCAGGAGAGAGAATTATGGCGAATGTTTATTTAAACAGTGGGGTTGATTATCAGACTGTCAAGGAATGATTAGACAAGATAGAGGCTCAGGTCACTCCTCATCATCCACGGAAGGAGTCCAATGGGTATCCTGTTATTAGAAATAGAAGTAAACAATAAATTCTGTTAGGAATTCGAAATTGTATCAGATCTTGGAGAGTTAGTGGTTTGCACTCATCAAAATTAGTTGAAGAAGAGAAACATATCCGGACAATAAAACTCAGCGAAGAAGCCCCCCTTTTAGGTTCTACCCCGCCAACTTCCCCTTCGCTTAGAAGCGTCGGAGATCAAGACTTTTACGCAATAAACACCACACATACAAGTGAAATTTCTGTCTCTTGTGGAGTTTCTCTCTTCGAGGCTTGTTCTTTGTGAGCCATAGGGTGAATGATATGAGCAATCAAGAACGAGGATTTGTAGTCTATGTTTTTTTTGTCCTTGACTATATTGCAACCGTTCTCCATGTTTGATCACTGTTCGCCAAGTCTCGATATTCTTGTACCGCTGGCCCCATCTACGCTAGTAAAGACGATACTTGGCTGATAAAATCATCCAGTTCTTCCGCCTCCTTCTCTTCTCGGATTTGCGCAGATCGTATTTGTGATCCAGATGAGCGTGGTGAAAACGTGTACCCGGGAAGCTCTGTTCTTCGACTATCTGGTCCAGTTTTATAATACTTGGTGGCAGTTTGGCGTGCAGTAGTGCTTAAGTCAGAAGTCAGGCTCCCATTATATTGTTTGAGGCGCACCTTGGGTTCTGGATTGGTGGAATATATGGAGCAGAAGTGAGTTTGTCGAGCTTAGAATCACCAACTGCGGGCTGAAGTCGAGCCAAGTCCGCCTTGGACCAGTTGTTGGGTTTCACGAATCCAATGAATGAATAGGCAGCGTTGTTTGGCAGAAGATCCCAATGTGCGATTGGTACCTAGGTAGGGCAAGAAGTACCAGGGCGGAGCAACTCTTGTAGATTCCTTCAATGGTGACGTTCTGGACCCCATCCGGTATTGTTTTTAACCAGTTGCACCAAGTCCGAATTCTCTTTTCGTCGTCTTCGTCTTCTTTTTCAAGGAAGAAGTCATCTTCAAAGTGGACTGCGAGTTATACTCGGAGTGAGTCCTCCGGCCTCGGTGATTCGGACACTGTTATTGGCTGGGTTGACTGGGCTGAGGAATCGATTTGAGATGAATGTGCCGAGTGAAGTATCTCATTTGATACTGATGGCTGTGTTTCTGCTGTGCCTTTGGGCTCTTCCGCCAGGACGGAAAGCTCACCGGCGTCTGCTCCTGCTCGCACCTGCGGTCTGCTTGTCTGGATCAACTACCTTGTCCTTGTTGGCTACCGAGGTAAGAGATAACTTAGATGGAAGCCGAGCTAGAATAATACTCCTGTATGGCGATTCATTAGTAAGAAAGCAATAAACTGGCGTTCTCCTTTTGTGGCATTCGTACTTCGCCCGACCATTCTCATCCGTCCACACATTACCGTTTTCGTCCCTTAAAAGACTTGGCTTCCAATTTTTCAGAGAGCTGATCACTTTACTATGTAGTTCAGCGACAGAGATTGGTGGGCCAACAAACGACTCTTCGAGTTCCCGAATAAGGGCATTTGTGAACGAGTGTGGCCCAATGGCAGGAGCATGGGTCTCGAAGCCATATGCAGCGATCAATTCTGTGACTCCTTGGCCAGAGATATTGACTGCAGGATGCGCTGAATGGCAGCTGTCGTAAAGCAGGAAGATATCTGACTCTGCCTCTTCAAGTAATTGTTGCACGCCCCCAGAGGGCAATATTGGGGATCCGGGCTTGTCGGTTCTGTTCTTCTCAGCAGTTTCTCAAGACTATATATAGTATGCTGTACACACGCCGCCCAGATTGGTGCCTCGTTGATTTGGTGGCTCAAGCGAGCATGCCCAGCGTAGTAAACAATCAGTAGAGTATCATACGCATCCATTTCAAGGAAGCGGAGACCTGGGAAATCGTAGCCTTCCCGGGCTTCTTGCGCGGGATCCGAAATTCTTGGACGTCAAAGTAATAAAGATTACCAAAAACGTATCCCAGACGCTTGATTTCCTGCTTAACCCCTAGATTGTCGTCCTCCCAGCTCAACAGCAGCACGTGTAAGTCTTGATACTGGCTCTTCTGCCAGGTTGGCCATGCTGCATTGGCTATCTGAAGGTCGTCTGCAAACTTTTCAATACTTGGTATGTGCTCCTCTACGAAGGAGACATCGTGAGTATTTAATTTGATGAATCAATTTGCTTCAAGTTCAGCGTTGGAATCCTCAGAAGGGACCTGCAAGCTATCGCGAGGCTCAGAAGACGCCTTGTCGTCCGGCTCGTGAGAGCCACTTTCGGCGCCCGGGGAAGCCTTGAAAAAGTAAAGTCAGAACCGAGAAAAATATGGAAAGGTCATTGTGCATCGCCAACAGGGGGATGTATGGCAAACTAACAGTTGGGCAGCAGAGATGCTTAGGACCAATGCTCGAGAGACTCCTGGTATTTTCCGGCATTTTGTTCTATGTCATAGAGTCGAGGGGGTGATTACCTCCCCGTTATCAAATAGATCAAGTGATGCAGGAAACAGCGAGCCGCGGTAATCGGTTTCGAGGTTTGATGGAAAGCTTGAAGGACATGGCTCTGAATGGAGTGCAGCCTTAAATACAGGACTAGCCTGGAATATCGGTGAGCAAAATGGCTACCGATCATTTTGGGGAATGCAGGCAGGGGTGCCCAGTAGCGGAACGTTGACCCGCGACTGGAGTCGTAGGGTGGATTTGCACTACGGGGCTCCTTTAACAGGCTTGGAGACTTGAAGAGTTTCAGACGTTTATCTTACATTCTTGATGCCCTCTTTCTAAATATTAACGTGCTGAGTTTAATGTACCCTTCACCGAGCGAGACGGGGCCTCAGCCGGACTGTCGAATTGTCCCCTGACGCTAGACCTTAGCGACCCAGCCCCCCTTTCCCCCGCGCCCAATAGATACAATCGTTATCCCAGTTGTTACAGAATGACAATCACAATCATACGGATTTGGAAAAAAAAAACCGAATTTTGAGAAGCGATATGTACAGCCAACTGGGAACATTTTCAATATTTCTATTTTATCCAGAAGAGGGCTGACTTCAGCGGACAAACGGTTCCGTGAAGCTGCGCCACCGCCACGTCTCATGGAAGGGTTTGGGTTATCGGGATTGAGTAGGCTGCTTCAATCGGGAATGTGTAAAACGACACCCCCCCGGGTGTCGATTGGGGGCCACCTAACCCAAAGTAGAGGCGCTCGGACAGGAACACCAAAAATCTAGTTTCTCTTTAGTTTAATATAACTTTATAATTAATATAATTTAATACTTGTTTTATTTACTTATAGCGCTAACTAAAAGCCATTGGCCTGCGACGATTCAGTACTTCCACGCAGTGCAGGCTGGAAACCAAGGGCTTTTCATGCTCTTGGGCTAAGACTGAATTAACGAATGGTATTTTGACATACTGAGAGCGTATCTAATGCGTTAATTAATATCCCTCAGGACAGTATATCGTCGACTCGCCCTCAAGATCCAAACACGACTATATAAGTACGAAGCAATTGAATCTACAAGCTTGGTTAGGCTCTGGATAGGAACTAGAGTTTATGGATATAAGTAGAAGCGATTACAGAAGTAGTAGGCTTTACTTATATTGACAAAACGTATCCATAACAAGTCGACGAATATATATACTAATTTGAAACTAGAGGGCCTTTTCTCTAGATACACTTACAAATTTATTTTCTCTCGATATATGCGAGCCATATATTATATTAGGTCGAGAATATAACCCGTAAACGGTCCTTTATTACAAGGCAAATTAAAATATAATATTCAAGTTAATATTACAAGTATAATATCTAGGGCCTGGAAGGCAGAGTTAGACTGTCTCTATTCCGACGATTCAAAGCTAAAGAAAGAAGAGGATCTCGAAGGAGCCTCGGATCTAAATAATTGCAAGCTATATACGGGCCTATATACTAAGCTTAAGCTCGGGGTTATATATAACCATTAGGTAACTATAAATACTATACTCAGATACCAGATACCTTACTAGTTCTAGTCTAACCTCTACTAGTACCGTATATTATAATAACCGTAATATTACCCCCCCCTCTCGAAGTAAGCTTATCTCCGAGCTTTGAAAGTCCCTATCGAATTCTCAAGTTACAGATTAAATATTAAAGGCCAGGGCCTTTTATATATAACTTTAAAGGATTTCTGTCTGTATTATATAGTTCTGGCAGTATATTATTCTTAGTATAGTCCAACTAATAAAGGAGGTTCTGGGGCAGTTCTAGCTATTCAGGATTCTTGTTATAGAAGCTCTAAAGAGCCAGGATACTATTACTTAATAAGGATATAGAATACTATTCCGGATCTGGATTCTATTCTTTCTATTAGACCCGGTGCTTTAGCTTTCTATAAAGTAGCTTTACTACTAGTATCTCTTGAACTTTATACTTTATTTCTCTATCTTATAGTTCTAATAGCAGAAGCTCCGGATTTACTTATCCGGAAAGAGGATTACCTGGATCTTTATATAGCTTCTCTATATAAAATACCGGATATATTCTTATTAATTCTGGTAGTTTGAGCCTAAAGAAATACCCTACTTATTCCAGAATCTCATATAGTTTTTCTATTTAATAGAATAGCTTATAGCTCGGATAATTATTTTTCTAGTATTTAGTAGTAATTTATATCTTATCTTCTATTCTAAAGTCTACTAGTTAGTAATACTTATTAGCTTAAATAGTATAATATTCTTATACTTATATTATATTCTCCTATATTCTTTACTATAATTTATAGAACTATATTACTAGAGCCTTTACCTCTTATTTATTTAGCTTTTCTTTTAAAATATCTAATTATATTTGGGTTTCCTAGTTAAATAAGATCTGTAATTTATAGTTCTTTTCTATAAGAAACGGGAACTGGCCTATAGTTTTATAGACTAGAGCTATTTACTAGTAATTAATTATTACTACCTATTCGTTTTAATTATTCTAGTAGTAGTTTATATAGGGATATAGCTATTAGTTAAAATACTAATTAATAATCTCGATCTAGCTATTTATTTAGAAATAGTAAGTAGTTAATAACTTAAGCTTTATACTAATATATTTATAGAACTTGCTTTAGAAATCTAATATAAACTAGAGCCTTTAATTAGATACTATAATTTCCGGAATACTAACTTAGTAGACTATATAGATAAGAAAAAGAAGTACTAATTCTTTAGTTATAACTATATCTCAAATAGAAATTATAATAGAGTATTTATCTAAATAGTTAATAAAAATTACTACTATATTATATTTATTTCTATTCTTTAGGTACTTCTTAAAATCTACTAATATATATTACTAGAATTAGTTAAAGACTAGTAATAAATATAAGAGATCTGGCTTCTTATTTCTGAAAATATAGAATTATTAGTAGATATAATAATTATCTCTATACTAATTAATATCCGTTTCCTGACTTGACTAGTAATAGCAGGCCTAAAGAAGCTATTAAAGCTTAGCTTTTCCTGAATATCTTATTAGAGGCTATATATATATCTTCTAAATAAGAATAGTATATAAAAATATCTCAGATATTATTATATTATTAAATATAAATAGTTTACTATATTATAAAAAGAGGCTACTTTATAATATTCAAGTATCTTTCTTCTTATTTCTTGCCTTATTCTATAGTTCTTCTAGCTCCGGTAACTCTCGATTTTTATTTAATAGCTTATCTATAAGCTAGATACTATTATACTAGGTTTCTTTCTAAGCCGGATTTACTAAAGCCTTAATTAGGGCTAACTAGAGATCCTATATAACTTCATTATTAATCTTTTATTATAGGAGAAGAATTTGGGTTTAATAGGCTACTATTACCTTATTCTAGGTAATTATATTCTTATACTTCCTATTTAGGGCATTTGCTTATTTATTTAATTTGCCTGCCTAATATATAAGCTTAAAATAGTAATAGAAAAGATATTCTATCTAATAAGCTTGTTTTACTAAAAGCTTTTTTATAGTTATAAAGTATTCGAGAGCTCGGTAGTCTAAGTAAATTATAAAGAGTACTTTCTATAAGCCTTCTAGCTCCGCTTGCTATTTAGTTAAAAAGAGAATAATAGTAAATATCTCTTTATTATAAATATTATAGTTTAGCTCTAGTAGCTATATAGTTTTAGAGAAGAATACTACTAGATACTAGAGTTCTATCTAGAGATCTTATTATAAGAGAATACCGGCTATAACTTTATTTAATATATTTGTTTTAATTATAATAAAGAGATTAGAGTTATAGTAATATAGAATTAGTACTAAGAATATAGCTTATTTTAGCTTAGTAAAATCTTCTTAATACTAATTTATTTACTTGAATAGAACTTCCTTATATATTAGAGCTATTAGAGGCTTTACTATATAGCTATATTCTGTAATAAAATACTAATAAAAATTATAAAAGTTTAGAAAACCTTATATTTTTTTTAACTATTATTAGTAGTTACTAGTTCTTAATAACTACTATTTTATCTGAATTTATTTTAATACTTTTAGTAGAGATAATAAAGTCTAAATACTTTATATAAATAACTTTAAACTCTGATTTCTTAATATTTATTTAGAGGCTAATATTCTATAGCTACTAAAGAATCTTTTATATATAGTCTTTATATTTTAGAAAATTATTCAAGTAAATCAGAATATTATTTAAATAAGCTATATAAAAAATATTATTTATATATCTCTAATATATAGTAGAGCTATTAGTTAGGCCTTTTTAAAGAACTTTATACTTATAGGCCCTATATCTTATATAGAATATTATAAGTTCTTCTAATTCTAGGTCTATTTAGATCTAATAGAATACTTACTAAATATCTAGCTTTATATAGATCTTAGCTTAAGCTAGCTATATAAGAATCTCGTAAATAAGTAAAAGAGAATAATAATTTTTCTATATTAAGTTATTTAGCTTATAATAGTTAATATAGAATTAAAAAGTTCTATTAGTCTTCTTTATAAAGAAAATCGGAAATATAAAAAAGAACTAGCTTAACT